ACCGGGATCTTTGCTCAGATCGGGTTTTGACCAAATCACTTGCTAATCTCAGCACTAGACTAGACTTCTGAGTGAGCCAGAGTCAATTTTATACTGCCAAGTAATTAAAGCTTTGAAGCCGGCCTGGTATTCACACAGTCAAGGCCCGATGCAGTAACATGAACAAGCAAGCTTAAGCCCACACACATACAATATCTATTAGAGGTCAACCTCTCTGCATGTATTGCCACCCTGGCCATGGCCATGGCCATGCTGCACGAATGGGGCGGATGCAATGCCCGATCTGCCCTGATCTACAAAATGAGGCTGCATCATGGTCAGACTTGCATCTCTACGCGCTGCATCTCATCTCAATGGGGTCAAGTTCATTCTATCCAAAGTCTCTAGCCTCTAGGTACCCAGAAAACCTACTCCCTATGCCTACTCAAACTCCTCCAACCTAGTTTCGTCCGTACCAGGTTGGATCATGTGCATCTTTTGCCTTATGCAAACGAGAGCCTCTTTCCAAGATTAGTATCTGCAAGTATATCTTTTTACTGTGAGACATGGCGCGCTGGCGTCTATGATGCTTTCTTCTGTGATTGGGCTGATGACATATGCAACAACTCTGCTCACCGCCATCTCAACAACACAAAGGAGGGCATCCTGTCCCTTCTATGGCCTCACATATCTAGTCAAAGGGCATACATACGCACGATCACGAAATAGGTCTTTTAGGACGTCTGTTGAGGAGACTGCTTCTGAGCCTCTGATGCACATCTCATTCTTCAACCAGACGATGCTACCGCAGTCTGCGTTGAGCTTCCGAAACCAGATATTCTTGCATCTACTGCAATAGACGTGGTGGCTGCTGTTTTGTGCAGACTCTGCTCGTGAGGCACTCAATTGTACACCGCTTCAGATATCAAGAGTCTGGACCGTATATTTAGGCATGATATTCGAGGCAAGAAACGCGGAGAATGCAATACAAGTGGCGTGCATCTGTTACAGATCTTTGTAGTGCTTATTCGTCAAAGAAGATGCAGACTTGAGACCATCTTGAGGCTCTTGAGCGGTGTGATTACTTTTCTTGACGACCACATGATTGAAAATATGCTTCTCGATTCTTTGGGTTGTTATTGATTTCATCCTATACTGCAATTGTTGTTGTATCATTGAAGTGAGCTCTGCCTGGACGTACGTGGCCTCAAGCCAGGCATGTCAGTCACAACGCAACCAGCGTCACTACACTGTAAACCAGGAAAGTTGTATTGTTTTCCTCCTGTTGGAAGTGCTCAGGCTTGACTAAGAGAGACTTGTAGTCCTTCTTGGAATTGGCATGGCTGCCCCTTTGATGCCTTCTATGGTGCTATGAATATAGACGATAGCTTGAAGCAATGCACTAGGAAACTACTGCTTCTTTTTAACAGCAGACTATTAAGAGTTTGATAGATACTGTAGAACGTACGTATAACCAGTAGGACCATACCGTACTTAATATGTTCATCTCTCAAGGAAGTGCTATTTGATGCTATAGGTGAAAGGGGTAGCTAAATCATCCCCTCAGACATAAGATTTACTTGGAAGATTGAGTACTGGTATTTAGATAATTATACAATAGATGAAATGATACCTGGAATCATATTATGAGTTTCGAATATCATGCTGTGCGCTTTCCATCATCGTGAGCCTTGGTATGTTGTAGTTACATGTCCTTCCCCATGGTCACCAAGGCACTCGTATTACCCATCGAGATCTCCTCCAGGCACTAAATCCTCATAAGGATCTTATTAATACTAAGTTCATTTATGTCAAGATATGCTGGAATTGTAATGGGCAAACTATAGCTCATGATAGGAGGTAGAGACCGACTCACATGCTTGTGGAATAGGGTAGGCTCTATCACCTAAGACTGGCGAAGAGCAATGAAGGGGATGAGTATAACCGAAGTATACTACTCTTCAGGTCTGGGGGTTGTTATATCTAGACTATGTTCTTGTTCGAATCTTCTGTGTACCTGTAGTGATGGAGTGACCGTGTACTGCTGATCAATTGTACGTGAGAACTCGTCAACTCAAGGGTGCCCACTACGACAGGTAGCTTTCGAGCACATGTGGTAAGCAAGACATGGCATAGCATCACACTGGATGGAGAAAGTAAGGCTTCATCTGCCATCATATTAGACTTTTGTAAATGACTTGCGAGACAGAGTAGTTTGTGGTTCATACCATGCTATTTTGGAACCCCCCTTATATCACTGTGGGATCAAAAACCCAATAGTGCTGTTGAAAGCTACTTCCTCTTAGATGACCGTCAGGCGCAAGGCCACTGCGGATAGATCTTTAGAAATACCTGTGTAAATACCACCGTACAGTGACTATGGATCAAGCAAACGTCGAGGCTGACTCTTACGCCTGCTCTACGGACTGGGCGTAACAGTGAAGACTTTAGAGTCTAAATGCTCAACTACAGGGCTTCAGCTTGTCTCTTCCTGGAAAACGTTGTAACAAAGGAGTGTAAGAGAACCCTGAGCTGTGTTCATGGTTTAGGCCAGGAGCATATTCACCAGCAACCTCCACCTGGGCAGCGAAGGATCAATGTGGGTTAAACATATATTATAGCAAGATAAAACGTGGACTCGAATGATCTTCAATAGTTATTGCCAATGTGAGTCAATCTGCTTTGCTATTGAACTCTTTCTAAATAATAAACTGTCTTGTAGGGATAGAAGGCTGTTGCCATAGTGAACGGGACTACACTGTTATACATCATTTGAACTTGCAATTCATAAGGTTGATACGCCTCAGCCTCAGAAGAAGTGGTTTGGATATATGAGAATGAAAAGCTTCAATATATTACCTCGAGTTCTGTAGTAAGGGTTTTGTAGTCGAGTGATATAGACAACTCTTGCAGGGTTTGGTGAAATACTCTTCACCAATTTACTAAAACAACTGCAAATTCGACGACGAGTCACTTGACTAGACGACCTGATGCTCCAGAGGCATTTACCGGATTTCGACAGGAGTCTTACCATAACAGTGGTGTCAAGAAGCGTCGACTGAGTCAAGGAAAGGCCTTTTCTCGAGGTCATGCAACATGGAACCTCTTACGGGCTGATGGAGATGGTTCGCCTATCTTGGTAACACATGTATTCACCATTCGTCAAATTCCTTCGACCATGGGACAGAGCCATTGGTTAGAAGAAATGGCCATGAAACAAGGAGTAAGAGATCCCGCCATTTGCGGTTTGGCCAAGGACTTTCCTGATGCGTGCGATGCCGAAGATATATAAATGGCCTAGATCATGAATTACAACAACTACTAGAGAACTATGAACGAAAAGACTTGAGCATCATAGAAATGTAATCCTTATTCAAGGGAGTATAGAGTCTTCGCATTTTAGGAACCTTGCCGAGTTTTATGCTGATAGTTTTGAGATGGAGAGCTTCAATTTGTCGCTGCTTGCTATAGTTCGATGAAAGGCCTTCATCGCGCTCATCCCTAGGGTTGGTTATAAACTAGCCGACGTGTAGGTGCAAGTCAGTGGCTGAGATTCAACAACATGAACTCGAAGCCCTCTACGATAATCTCAAACTTGGCATATTGATACTCACAATCAGCGGATGTGATACTGAGGTCAGTCAATTGGATGACTCTGTCACGATTGAGAGTCTGATACCACGATGCCATCCGACAACCAAAGATCAAGCGATCAAGAGAGTAATCATGCCATTGACGAACGATACAACATCAAGAGAAGTAACAGAGTCAAAGAAGATGACGTGGGAATATTCCACCAACGTTCTGCATTGGAAAGGAAAAGACAACTTGTCAACTCGCAAACAATGCATTTACATGTCAACTCGCTATTTGCAACAACTATAGAATCGTTTCAAACAGCCATATTTCCCTCAATATTATCATGTCATATTGTACTCTAAGGTATCGTCCGACTCGGCGATGTAGTCGAGTGCCGTGCCGTGCCTTGCCGAGACTAAGCCCTGAACCACTACCGCGAGCTAGATAATTACACCGTCAACAATTGGCTGGATAAAGAGCTACTCGAGCCGGCATTACACCTCCGACGCAGTAATAAAGTTTGATGGTGGACCGTTGACATGTTTATTCTCTCATGGCCGGTTAAAAGCCGCAGTCAGCACACGTATGATGATCCCCCCACCACGAAGGCGAAGTATTCACATGTTAGAGCTTCGTGCCTGTATTTTGCTCAATTTATTAGGTCTATGAGAGTCTAGGAGAAGCTCTTGGGTACAGTAGCAATTGACTAGAAATAAGTTGTGAGCCAATTGGTCTCCGGGTCGTGTGTGTTCTCATGATACGTGATGTGATGTAATGTGACATGATATGATGAAGACTACCCATCATCTTCAACCCCTCCCAAGACGACATCATAGCTCGACAAAAGACCCCCACATCCCATCAGTGTAGGTAATACTCGGCATTGTATTCCGTTGGCCAGCGTCGGCCGCTGTGACTCCATCATGATATCAACGAGCTGCCTTTTTACCCCTCATCTGCGGACATAAAAAGGCCATTGCCATTGACATCCAAACATCTCTTCTTCTTTCTCTTCTTCATCAACTCGAATCAATCAACTATTCAAAAGACCCCAAGGTTTGTATCATGTAACTCTCCCCAAGTTCTGGTCTGACACATGTCACATGCTAGATATCTTCACTCTCCAACCTGTACGGCTTTCCTTGGAGGACTAGCAGCCATGGAGCCTTTCAGTGGTAGTTTTGTCCAGACCTGAGTTGGTGGGACCTCTTCAGGTAAAGTATCATGCATGAGCCGGTGCCCAATCCTCTCCCCTTCTCATCCATCTCCAGCTTGAGCATATCACCATCATGGATGATATACTCAATGCTGGTTGTGGTTGGGAAGAAGGGGGGATTGTGGCTGAGATTATACGGCAAAACTTGATCTGGATAATACCAGCGAAAGGATCATGTCCTCCCCCCTATTAACCACCAAAATCCCTAACAAACATAGGCACCAACATGTCTCCCCCTGCTGCTGTATCCCCTCCCTCCCGCTCTGCTGAGCTCGCCATGTCCGGCACCAAGCTCCCCATCCACGCGAGCAAGAACATCAACAACACGACCGTCGATGAGATGCTCGGCCAGTGGGATGACTTCAAGTTCGCCCCCATCCGCGAGAGCCAGGTCTCGCGTGCCATGACCCGCCGCTACTTCAAGGACCTCGACACCTACGCCGAGTCCGACATCGTCATCATCGGTGCCGGTTCCTGCGGTCTGAGTGCTGCGTACATCCTCGGCAAGAAGCGCCCTGATCTCAAGATCGCCATCATCGAGGCTTCTGTGTCTCCTGGTGGCGGTGCGTGGCTCGGCGGCCAGCTCTTCTCTGCCATGATCATGCGCAAGCCTGCTGATGCTTTCCTCCGCGAGGTTGGTGTTCCCTACGAGGACGAGGGCAACTACGTCGTTGTCAAGCACGCAGCTCTCTTCACCTCAACCATCATGTCCAAGGTTCTGCAGATGCCCAACATCAAGCTCTTCAACGCTACCTGCGTTGAGGACCTGATCACTCGCCCTTCAGAGGAGGGAATTCGCATTGCTGGTGTTGTCACCAACTGGACTCTTGTTTCCATGCACCACGACGACCAGTCCTGCATGGACCCTAACACCATCAATGCTCCCTTGATCATCTCAACCACTGGCCATGATGGCCCCATGGGAGCATTCTGCGTCAAGCGTCTCGTTAGTATGCAGCGCATTGAGAAGCTTGGTGGTATGCGTGGCCTTGACATGAACCTCGCCGAGGACGCCATTGTCAAGGGTACTCGTGAAATTGTACCTGGTCTGATCGTGGGTGGAATGGAACTTTCTGAGGTCGACGGCGCCAACCGCATGGGTATGTTCTCACATGATTCCATATGTATTGTTTTGTCTAACATATACAAGGTCCTACCTTTGGTGCTATGGCCCTGAGCGGTCTCAAGGCTGCCGAGGAAGCCCTCAAGATCTTTGACACCCGCAAGAAGCAGAACGATCTGTAAGCGTGGTTGAGGAAAGACGGATAAACATGGAATACAGAACATCTGTGTTCAAGATCAAGACCTTGTCTCTCATTCAGGCATGAAATTTTGTCACTCATTTGGATTGGTGATGGTATTATGGGCAAATTGAATAAATGAACGAATGCTTTCTCTGTCTCACAAGACCATAGTCCCTTGCAATTCGTGAACATGATTCTCTAAATCGCATTCATCATTGCTTCACATACTCGGCACTCAACCCTTCGCATGTCATGAATAACTCATCAACTGTCATTTCTTCTCCGAGATCTCCTGCGTCTCATCCTTCTTAGTTGGAGGAAACTTCATCCCTCTATTAACATCATTCGGCTCCGCACTCCAGCCCCAACCTCCAAGTCCTTCACCCATAGCGGCCCCCGAGAGTCCAGCAGCTGGCCCGATTGTAGCACGCCCCGCGAGCTGGTTCCTCCCAACGCCCGGTTGAGTATCCGCCCACGCATTGAGCTCTTCGCGAGTCTTGCCCGTGTACTTTTGAATGTCTTCGTCGCTGAGCGGGACGCTCTTCTTGCTATCTCTGAAACGACTGAATAAGGACTTCTTCTGGGGTTTCTCTGGGGTTGACTTGTCCATGTTGTTTGACCTGAGAATCGATGTAGGAATTGTTTCGTTGTGTGTTTAGTGAGTGAAATGTAACAGAATAGCTCCGACAGGTAGGCAGTGAGTCTATGGCATATTTATCTCTGGAATGGTTGTTGGGAGCTGAATGTCGAAGCTGAAAACTTGACGTCACGAGGCACAATGTCTCTACACAAACTGGGCGAGAACCAGCCACACGAATCCTTCACTAGGTGTGCCGAATAAGCCGAACAAGCCAGGATAATACGGAATAGAAGGATTGTACATTAATTATACACAGGTGCTGTCGACAGGTGACAGGGTTCGTTAAACGGCAGCTAATCTTGATTCGTATAAGTCAATATATCAAAAGTCACGGTGTTGGAGTAAGGCTGATCGATCGCTCATTAAAGGCAAATTTGAAACATCGACACTCAAATTATAGTGTTGTAAAAATACCTGACACAATATCAATCTCGATCATTCTACCGGCCTCTACTTGAGATACTCCTTCGCCTTTACCCTCTCACAAATCTTCTTCAGAACATCCCCCGCCCACTCATAATCCTCCATGTCCAGATACACCTGCGCACTAATCCTGATCCAGAACCGCTCACCGTGCAGAAACAGTGACATAAACGTCTTATAGTCGCTGATCAGCGTGTTTAAAATCCACTGGAACGCCGTCTGTGTCTCCTCCTGCGAGATCACAACCTCTCCATCCTCGCCCTGGCCCTGGACGCTCCAGATAGGCAGCGCAATGTTGGCCATGCCGCAGTTGCGCATCGTCCCCGTGCTGTTCTCCATGTACGTCGTCCCGAGCTTCTTTGCCACGGCGGCGCTGCCCTTCTTGTTTAGATCCCAGAGGTACGACAGGATGGCTTCTTCGCCGCCGAGGACCTCCTCGCGCCATTTGATGGCGTCCTTGACGCAGAGGTAGGGCGAGTTGTCCAGCGTGCCGGTGAACTCGAACTTCGTGACAAAGGCAGACTTGGAGCTTGGGGGTAGTGGCGTGGTGCGCTTCACCAGCTTGGGTTGGTAGCCGTGGCTGGTCGCCAGTGTCGTGGGGAGAAGGGACTGGTTGCGCTGGGGCACGTAGAAGACGGCGCAGCCGCGCGGGACATGAAGCCATTTGTGGCAGTTCGACACGAAGAAATCTGGATCAGCGGCGGTGAGATCTAGCTTCACCATACCAACACCCTGAGCACCATCGACCATGCTGATAACATTAAGGCGGCGACAGGTCTTGATCATCTCCTCCCAAGGAAAGACAACCCCCGGACGAGAAGAGACAACATCAAACGTGCAGATACGGGCTCGTTTTCCCTCAGACTCGATCTTCTTGACAGTGTCTTCAAACCTCTTGAGGATCTCATCGTCGTCGAGAGGATACGTGATCTCGATCTCGCGATGAGTCACATTGCCATCGTAGTAGTCGACAAGATAGTCTGCGACCTTGCCGCAAGCTTCGTAGATGGTTGAGAAGCTGATGATAACGTCCTTGCCGTCATCGTTCCATTTTATGTTCCGGAAAACTGTGTTTACACCAACGGTAGCGTTGGGGACAAAAACAACACCCTCCACTGGGGCGTTGAGAAGTTTGGCGACAGCAACGCGACTCTCGTCGAGCAGCTTGGGGTATTCATAGCGAATGAACGGATCAGGACGAGACTCGCTAGGTACAGTTAGATACAAAGGCCTTGCTGTGGATTTGAAGCCATTGACTCACCTTGCGTCCTGATACTCGCGGAATTTCTCCTTGATAGCTTTTGGATATGTACCAAAAGAACCTATAAGTTAACCCATGTTAGCTCAAGCCATTGCCCAATCAGACAATCGCATACCGTGGTTGAGATTCCTCCATTCCGGGTCAAACATAAACTCCTTCTTCATAGAGCTTCCAAAGACCGAAGCATCAGTCTTGCCCCGCACAGGAAGCTCCTGGGAAAAGCTTTGTCCAACAGAACCCATGATGATGTATGTTTATTTTGTGGTAGTCAACAACTGGTTGATTGTCGAATAGTCTGATGCTCCCATATAAAGTGTTTCTCAGCGATCTCTTATATAGATTCCCAGCCGCTTTTGGTGAGTCAAATGATACTCTAGTACGACTTTGATACCCCACATCCTCAACGTCAACGACGCCCTTAAATGTACACCAATCCAATACTCTTGTCCAAACCGAGGCTGAAGGCCGGGAGTACCCGCAGAAGGCCGTGGGGGACGGCTTTCCTTGGCGGGCGACAAGAGTCACAGACACTTATGGAGTACGAGGTCTATCAAATTGGGATATTTCGAGCTGAAGCAGGGGTCTTTATCATGAAAGAGTCACCTTGGCACGTCCCGGTCGCGGAGACTAACGTTGAGTAATCAGACAGTTTGTGAGTAGGTAAAAAGAAATGCACATTTCATTTAATCCGTGTAGTAAGTTAGAATACTACTTAGCCTGTATGCCCATCTCCCAAACGCCCTATCATGAATGCTCTCAGGGATCTAAGCCCTCGAGTTTCCCGCGTGTCAGCGGTCATTGGTGTATAAACCTGCGAATTGGTTTGTCGTTCGTCATAATCAGAGAAATCCCATTTATGTACTCGGTGGCTAGCTCTTAGCAACGAGTCTGACTCCTCCGGTGCTACCTCATTTGTTTGTCAACCGTGCCGATGAACGCGTCTGTACTCCTCTATTCGGAGGTATAATATAGTCCTTAACCACCATCTCGCGCGGGGGACCCTGGCTCAGTGCGGACAAAGCCAGCGCTGCTTCCGCCTCTTCCTGGGGGTAATTGCGCTTAACAATACAGTTGACAGGACCCTTTAAAGCATGCCACAAATCATTCGACTTTTCTGGCGGGAACATCGGTGCGGGACTTGAAGCAAAATCTCTCAGATGTGCGGGACTTGAAGCAAAATCTCTCAGATGTGCGGGAGCCGCCCGGCTGCGCGTGTTATGCGAAATCGGTCTTAGTGTGTCTGCGGAGTGCATGACAGGCGAGATAGATTGTAGCTGTCCGCTCTTTGAATACGGTTTCGGGGTATCGGGAGCTCGAGGTTCCATTGTTGCCAGTCGAGTAAATTGCGGGATATTGTTGGGACTCGGTGGCTGCGGCTTCAGAGGTGGTAACTGGAGAGACCCTTCTGGGTATGCGCTTTTCTGGGCCGATTGGCGTTTACTGCCAACTGAGGGCAGCGGTACCTCTACGCCATCAATTCTCTTGCGTTTACGTAGTCTTGCCCCTGATTTCACAGCATCCAGAATTGAGCTTTCGCTGAGCAAGGGTCTTTCTGGGGTAGCCATATGACTGAAAGGCGGAGTATGATCCTCAGTCCCGACAGGTTTGATGGCTTCGGCACTGCGTAGCGTTCGCCCGTGGTTTGGATTTAGTGTTGAGGGAGGCTTCTTAGACTGTTCCATAACACCAGGCGCAGACTTGCGTGAACGTCTAGCCCGGGTTCTTATCACATCAGGCTTGCGCTGAGGAATATCCACCGGCCCATCCAAAGTTGGGAGTATTTCTGTCGACGCAGCAACGATAGCTTGCGACGCCAGTGCTGTTGCTTCAATGGGGTCAAACCCAGTTATCCTGTGCAGATGCTTCATTATCTTCGGAACCCAGTACGCTGCTGCAGCTTTTGTGTCGCGAAGAGCAACTGGATAAGCTGCAACTGGACGCTTTCCTTCCTGATTTGCGACTTCGTCAGCAAGACCACCAGACTCCCGCTTCTTCTTAAGTTTGGGAGGTTCAGGTGTCTGCCACAACTTGGGTATCTTGTCTTGCAGATCAGACACCCAAGCATCACAATCCCACTCAACCCAATAGTCGATGACATCACCCCAAGAGCTCTCAGGGGGCTTGGTGTAGTTGACAAAGACAACTTTCCCGCCTTTCGCGTGAACTGCCTTTGCGAATTCTCTGACCATGACTTTCAAGCCATGAACCCGTAAGCTAGTGCCGAGAATGAGCAGAAGATCTGGGCACAGAGCCAAGTCATGCGTCACAATTGGGCTAATCAGATGTGCATTGGGGTGTTCTTCGCCGTAAAGAACAATATCCGGTCTCAACTTGCCGACACCCAATGCTCGTTTTCCTTTTTCTTCCCGAGCAACTGTAGCACCTACGCAATGAGGGCACTCAGGCTGCTGGCCTGACATTGTTTCGAGCTGGCGGCCATCATCATCCCATGAGCATAAACGACCGCAGAGGAAACATCGAAGCAGCTCTAATGAGCCATGAAGGAAAACGCACTCCACACCTGATTTTGGAAGTTCACGGCGTAGGTTCCTCACTGTTGTTTGGGGGTCGTCTGTTGCGCATAATTCGGACTCAGCTTGAGACAAAGGCATTGTTGTGTCTGCTCTCGACACACTAGACTGGGATTGCTGGCTGGCCTCGTTGTCGGATGACTGCTGCGATTTATCTGAAGAGTTCATGTCGGTCATGGCATTGACTTCGTCGACCATCCTGTTGAGCTGATTGATGTTGGCAGTTGATTTTCGTGAAAAGCGACCACGGCTACCAGGCCCTTCGTTCAAACATGTCGACAGCCCGACCTTTTCCTCGATCTGATCAATGTTCTGCGTATAGCAGCGCACAAGCTTGCCACGATCTCTCAAATGGCTGATAAATTTATGTGAGCTCGTGGGCTCCACGTCTCTGACCTTTTGGCGTAGTGTGGTCGCAAATGTGTAGAACACAGATGTTCTGAGAGGGTCGGACCATATTGACGCGTCAAACATATCCTTCCCTTTCATGTTAGGCAGTGTATTCTTTCCATTGCCAAAACTCGCTTGCGACAAGCTGATTGGGTTTGAGGGCGGGGTATCGTCAACTTCAGATGGTGACGTGCTGCTTCGAGAGCTGGGATCGTCTTCAAGAGACGTGTTGGTATTGGAGAACGGCTCAAATAAAACAGGTGGCGGAGATGATAGAGGTGATGAGCTTGGCGGAATGGTAGAATTGTTCAGGTGGCTGCGTCGCGTCCTTTGGAAGATCGAGGGTGGTGAGATATTCGAATCCTCGGGCGGAGGTGAAGATAGAGGGGAAGTGGGTGGTTGAGCCACGGTTATTGTTGAACGTGTCGTTCTAGGATTGATCAATGGCGTCTCGTCCGGGACGTCCTGCTTCTCCTCGTCTTCCGGGTCGCCTTCAACCTGAATTGTGTCTGCGATTTCCTCATGCTCCGGTTCCGGCTCCGGCTCCGTGTCTTCCAGCTGAACTTCAATTTCGTCTTTCATGTCGCCGTTATCTTCTTCCAACTTATGAGCAGCATCAGGCGATAATCTTCTCCTCTTCGTTGCACGGCCAGTGTCCAAGTCGGTAGGTTTGTCGTCGCTCGAACCATCGGGCAGACGCGCCTGCTGTGCTGCCGCGTCGAACTGAGCATGGATCAACGAGTACAGACCGTTTTCGGAACGAAAGTCCTGAGCCAATTAGTTACCATGCCGATAATTGCGTTGATCAGAATCACTCCGGAACGCAAAGTGGCAAGCGCAGGAGTAATGTCAAAAAGCTTACAGGAATGCCCGAATTCGTGCTGATTCCGGCACCAGTCACGACGATGACCTTACGCGCTTTGAGCAGCCCATTGGCGATTTCCGTCAGGTCATCCTGGGACTCGGGAGAAACGTGTGTGGTCGGCATATTCGGCGAGAGTGAGGAAAGAAAGTCGGCCGCGTCGCGATATAACAGAAGGCGAGTCTCTGCGGTCGCGTGAGGCCGACGGCGATGTTCGCGAGTTTACAATACGGATGATCGAGTACAGGCTATCGTCATTGTGGTGTGGGCGTTGTTCGTCGAGAAGCGTAGGTTTGGGAGGCCGTTTATGGTGTGAGGTTGAAGGTTCACGCAAGGCTGTGGCGGGCAAGCGGTGGTTTGGAGTAAGAGTTAGAGGTCCGGAGCTGCGGTCGCGAAGCGGGAGAGGACCGAGCGAGTAGGTATTTGATTTGACGGCCAGCGAGTGGATAATAACAATAGCAATTCAAGGTCGTAAGAGTTGGGAAGGATATCTTAATGCCACTTTCTTCCAAATGTGAGTGTTTTGGGGCAAAAGATAAAAAGTAACCAAGAATAGATACAAGAACGCGCCCGAGTATCGACCCTCAAGCCCAAGTGCCCGCTCCTATTATGAGACGCGCTTTTCAGAGGTTGGAGAAACAGACGGGGGATTTAATGGGAGGACCAGCCCAATGGAGGCGCGGGAGGAGACGCCGGACCGCTAACTGCCCGCTGAGGCTGCTGGAACCCCGCTATTTTTGATGGATGCTTGCAGCATTAATTAACTTGACTTATTGTAAACCTTCAAAACACGCAACAGAGCAACTGAGACACGCGATTAATCTACTCATGTTATATTATTGACAATCTATTAAAATATGTTGCTCAGAATACAAAGACGACTAATCAGTGTCTAGGCTGGTACTCAAATGGCCACCAGGACGTCAAATAGCTTCTGGAAATCAGATGGAATTCCAAGCCCTGTAATCGCATCCCAGCCCTTGGATGCCGGCCAGCCTCCAGGGCTGCCACCTTTTCTGAAATCGCACGATCGGCTGTCTCCCTTGACCGCGTCCTGAAGCACAGCCTGCACCTCCTCTGAATAGAGAGCCTCGTTGATCCAACCCAGCACATCTTTGCCCTTGCGCACGCGCGCGTCGTTGATCAGCGCGATCATGGCCGCAACTACAGGCGTGCTGGCGCTGGTGCCTCGAAGACCTGCTGACTGTCCTTTGATACGGGTGATGAAGTTGGTAGCCACGACAGACATGTCAGGCACTCCTCGGTTGCTGGCGTTGTAGTAGCCATCGAGATGGCCGTCGAGCGCCTTGACGTAGCTCTTGATAGAGGCATCCTGCCACTTCTCACGGGGGAAGTACTGCGAGAAACCACCGCCACTGAACTCAGCGCCCTCAGGTGGGTCTGTCGCGGTCGTTACGCCGCCGATGCTTGTGACCCATGGGCAAGTCGCGGGAAAGACAGCCATAGCAACATCCTTGTTGCTGCCGTCGACAGTGTGGCAGCTTGAATTGCTTGATCCCTTAGCACCTCCGTCACCTGAAGCTGCCAGGATAGTTGTACCGCGAGCCGTCAAAAGTCCGAACAGAGAGCAGACACGCTCGGCGTACTTGCGGGGGACCGAAACCTCGTTGTCACCATAAGAAACAGATAGCACATGGGGAACCTCATCATCGGAGAGATCAAGAAGGTAGTCGAGGAACTCGAGGTAGGGTTCGTTATCGTTGTACTCCTCAGGCAGTTCCTCGCCATCGTCGTCCAGCGTAGGGCCACGGCCATCAGCAAGGTAGTAAGTGATGTTGGTGGGATAGCCAAGTGCCATAGCATACTGAACATCGAGAGCCGCCTCGTTTCCTGCATCGAAAAGCTTTTGTGAGTTCTTGGCACCGTTGATCAACTGGACCGAGAAGTTATAACGAGCTTGATAGAGTGGCTTTGCGTAAATCCTGAGGAAATCGTTGCTGTCCTCATAGTTGGCGTTCTCTCCCAGGAAACCAGCAATGCCAAAGCGGATAGAGGAGCTGCCGTTGTAGGCGGGATAGCTGATATTGTACAGGTCATGGAGGCAATCGGGCGTGACGCCCCTGCTGCAAGCAACGGCACGCTTCTCCTGATGTGAGTCTTCGGGCTGACTTGGTGTAAAGTCTGGTTCGAGGGTGGTGAGTTCCTTCGTGGGTCTCATGAAGTTGGCGATTGGGTGGATGAAGCTGATGGCATCGGCCACAGATTCGGGCACAGAGTACTGTCTTGTTCGAAGAACAGGCGTTTGGTCTTGAAACTGATAAAAGCCAATTTCAGTGTCGAGAAGATCCTGGGCTGCTTTGACAGTTGTTTTGACGTGGATCCAGTCCTTGTCCGGTGTCGCCTTTGCTGCTACACCTTTGCTCTTGAGCCAGGCCAGTACCTGATCGACATCTTGCTGGTCTGGATCTCGCAGGGCGAGGGCCTCCTTCTGGCTCAGGTGACGCTGGATGTACTTCCCAGATGTAATATCGCGTCTCCGTAGTCCTGTCTTGAGGTTTGCGATATCGGGTTGTCGCAGAGCGATAGAGAGTCGCAGCGCATGGCTAAATTCGGCTGTCTTGTCGATCTTTTCCCATCCATTGGGAAGGACGGGAGTATCTTCGATCTGGATGGATTTGGTAGTACCGAGGCTAGCCAGGGCCAAGGCTGTGAGAAGTATCTTGGATATCATGGCTACACAGACCAGTGTGTAAGTAAATATCGAACTGAATAGGCACTACGCAAAGTTTTGAGACCTGGCGGCAATGTTTATATTTATGCTACTAGATACTCCACAGCCCAAGGGGGATCGACTCAGACCATGCCGTCATATCAACGGGGTGAAGTAGCTAAAAATGGCGGACTTGAAACCTTCATCTCGCGCAATAAAGCGGGTTTAAAGGGAGGCCTTTTTTTTCCTTCTCGTGTTGATGGTTGCACATCACAATCTGGAGCACAGTAACAGACCAAAACACAGCATCTGAGTCGCGGGATTGGGTGATGGAGAAAGAGGAAAAGTGGAAATAACGTTAACCGAGCGCCGGGCAAACGTAAAAAACAAACTTTGTCAACCAGTCAGTCGCGTACGCCGAAGACAACGTCTGTCCAGTCATTTCCGTCGGTTGAGGTTTGGTATTGCTCTTGTTTCGAGTAAAATGATGGGATTTAATGGATCTTTTAGATGGACGAAAGTTAATGCCGGCGGGCTAACGGTATGCGGCGTTAGTTTCGCTGCGGGCGACACGTGACTAGCCATTTGATTTTGATTTTTGCTGTTCCTGCTTGAGCACACCCTTTCGCTGAGGTTCGACGGATCGAAGAAATACCTAATTGATGATTTATCACTTTAAAATATAATATTGCATACATCTTACTGTGGTATCTCTAATGTTACATTTTGTTAGCATCTTGTCAAATACTGTATTAGTCTTGATTATAGCTGAAGAACTTCATATTCTTGCTGTACCCACAGACCCTTGAGCCAAGGAGCCAAGATGGACCGATCAACTCCCCGCAGCACAACACCACCTCGGCTGCTTTCCTATGATGTTACCATTAACACAGAAAACTGAAGTGGGCTACAGTTACGCATTACACATGGACATCCCGCGGAAGAACCACCTCGTGCTCGAGTTCGGGCTTAGTAGTCTCACAAACTCCGAGCCTTGAACCTCACCCTCTTTGATTAACCAGTGACACACAGAGCACTAATGCACCTACGAAGGGCCGGCTGAGCTATCCGCTTTGATCTGACCCAGATGCCAGAATATTTCAAAAAGCCTGACAGGGCGAGGCGATTCTTCTTCTACAAGCCAAGCCCACGGACGCACGATAGACTCCGCTTCTCTTCGCCTCCCCAATTTTCCACCGCCAAGTTACGGGTTCAACAAGCTGTGATTTGCTCTCTGTCTCTGTGACAGGACTGCAATTCGTTCCTTCGAATCAACTAGCACCGACCCCGTTTGTGCGCAGGCAAATCCCACCAACCAATTTTCCACAGACTCTCCACCACGCTGCAGGATTTCTCAACTCTCGCGCTCCACAGCCGACGGTCCGAAGGGGTCATGACGACGACCCGAAGACGCTAACAATTCTTTTGTCGAGCTGTGTTTCGTTGTATTGGCCAACAAGTCTCTTCATCCTGGCACCGGGCGTCGTCGTGGGGTGCACAATTGGTCAAGGAAACTGCTAACTATACCGCAACTATGCCTGGCATGCAAGCGTGCGTGGGAGAAGACACGGTCTACAGCTTCAGGCCAATCATGATGGCTTCACCCCGTGCCTCAAGACCCGTCCCGTGCTTCAAGGGACTTGGGTCGTTAAGCTGGCCCGTTAAACCTATGATGTGGATGTAATCAATACCTCCGCTGCTGACCCAGAGAAGCGTGGCTGCGTGGGTGCAGGGCCAGCGGGGTTTTGCCTGGGTTGACTCGTCTCGAGAATATTGTATCCTTTAAAAACTTGGACCCATTCTCATACTCTCGACTGAACTTTTCTTGTTTCCTTTCTCTCTTCTTCCAAGTAGCTCCTCTGTCTGTATATCTCTACCATATACTCTATACTCCTAGTTGCCTCTTTAGGACTTACCACATCAACTCATTGTGCCAACCCTCGTGGGTTACCTTACCTTTCACCATGACCGGCTCTGAATACCTCAATGTCTTCAAGGGCCCTGACTCGGTTCGCAACTATTTCGATCCTGAGCAATCACCACCGTTGCCTCTTGTTGAGATTCCTGACAGCCTCAACCCTTACCGTCAAGATGGCGTTCGCATCTATGCCAAGATGATGACCATGCATCCCGCCACCAATGTCAAAGTGATGCCAGGTTAGTCTTGCAGCCAGCAGTAGCCTTGGATATTAAACTGATTCTCAAACTCTGTAGCTATGAACTTGCTGGAAAATGGTGTGCAGCCTGGTAAGACCAAGACTATCGTCGAGAGCAGCTCCGGTTCTACTGTTATTTCTATGGCTATGGTCGCCCGTGCTTTCCACGGTATTGACGACGTGCACGCCTATCTTAGCAACAAAACAAGTGAGACAAAGTTGCGTATGATGCAGTTCTTCGGTCTTAACGTGTGAGCAATCCAACAATCTTAATGCCATACAAACCGTTTACTAACAGCTGAAAAGCACTTTGTTCGGTGGACCAGCTCAACCTACACCTGTTGACGAGAGAGGAGGCATCAGATCCGCAGCTCGTAAAGACGCAGAGTCAGAGTCTGTGTGTAGTCCTAACCAATACATCAACGACGATGTAAGCTTCTCACTTTTGTTTTTCCTGTGACTACAGATGCTAACAGAATGGCAGAACTGGAAGTCTCATGTACGATGGACAGGCCCTCAAATCCACCGCCAACTCCCCGAGATTAACGTGATAGCTGCGTCTATGGGAACTTCTGGTAAGTCTTGGTCTTGTTGATTATGGTCATCAGCTAACCTGCTCCAGGTACAATGACCGGCCTGGGCACCTACTTCAAGCAAGCCAAGCCTTCTGTGTACAGAATTGCGTATGTGAAACACTCTAGGCTGTCGTGAATATATACTGATGATCATAGCGTATGCACCAACGCCGGAGAGCGTGTGCCCGGTCCCCGCGAGTACTCGCTGATGGAAGAGGTCAAATTCCCATACCTATCCTCTCACGATGCTCTCGAGGAAGTCGGCGCCCCGGACTCATATTCCCTTTCGCTGGACCTGACCCGCCAAGGTATTGTTTGCGGTCCTTCATCAGGCTTCACTCTGCAGGGTCTGTTCCAGCGTATTGAGAAGTTCAAGCAGGAGGGCAAACTGTCAGACCTCGCTGGACCTGATGGCGAGATTCACTGTGTGTTCATGTGCTGCGATCTTCCTTTCCAATACTTGAATGAGTACTTCTCGAATCTTGGCCCTGAGAAGTTCAGCGCTCTTCGCAATGAGGTATGTCGAACTGAAAAGAAATCAAGAGATGGAGAAAACTAACCGGGTACAGCGTTTGAGAAATGTCGACCTCTACCGCTATGACGATGCTTGGGAGCTCAACTCTTTGTCCGCCTTGTCAAGCTACTACACAATCCACCCTCTTGGTACTCACGACACTGTCCTGTCACTTGCAGACCAGATTGACAAGGCCCTTACTCCCTCAGCCAACACTCAAGTCCTAGACTTTCGCTGCTCGTCCGACTACGAAGCCTTCCATCTCCCCAACTCGGTCAACATGCCCCTCGAGACGCTACGAGATGGTCCCTCCAGCGGCAGCCCCTTTGCCAACCCCGCCGACGAATGCGCCATGCTGGAGGAGCTTTGGCTCGAGCTAGAGAGCCTCTTTAACGTCAAGGACAAGAACGGAAACCGAAACGCTAGCGCTGAAGCACTCATGTCTATCCTCCGAGGAAAGAGGGTACTGACTCTGTGTTACGATGGTGATAGCGCTCGAGTCGCCAACAGTGTCCTTCGTGCGAAGGGCGTTGAGGCAGAGAGTGTTCGTGGTGGTTACGGCGCTCTTGCTAAGTTGCAGATGCCTTGTAACGACACCTGCGAAGTTGTTTCTTTCCCTGTCTCCATCGAGGCTTAGAAGCAGAGAATAAATATTCTCAGAGGCTGCAATGAACTGCGCCAATATTTTATTCACATCAAGGTGTACTATCCGGCTGGAAGTGCAGTGGGCGTCCAGGGCCGGCCGATGTCATTAGACGTCTGATTGGGACACATTTGGAGTTTTTTCTTTCTTCTTTCATGCCTTTCTTATATTTACGACTTATGACCGAATCATTTTAAAAAAGCATACTTGCTGGGCAAAGTGAGCTTCAACGCTGCTCAGCTATGTAATGGGGGAAGACGCCAAAACCGGAAGTGCAGTGGGTTTCTGGGTTTTAGGACAACGACTTCAACATGAAAATTAGGTACAAATAAATACACGAGTTCTTAATACTGTTGTAAACCCTGTTATTGTGGATTCGCCAGACAGATATTCCTGTCAATGCCCATGTAAGACTAGACTCACTATCACTCAAGTAGACTTGCCAGCTGGCTCTCTTAGAACTCCGCTAGGCTTAGTTAATATCTATCGTTCGATGTCTTCCAGAATGGTTCTAGAAAGCCCTTGGAACAGCTCCGGAATAAAAGTAAAGAAGCAACGGTGGACTCCGACGTCCGCGAAATATGGTCCGGGGATGCTCCATACATTCCTTCGCTCGCTACACCAGGTATTTAAACTTCGATCCACGTGGACCCAGACTTTCCGTTAAGTATGAGATGGCAAATATGGGAACAGCATGTTGGGAGGAATGCAAGAGGAAGTATGTACAATCGGGGATATTATGTATTGGGGCCGTAATGATGGTCTAAGAGATAACTAGGAAAGAAACTCACAACTGCAGCCAAGTCAAGGGTAAACGGCTTCGACTACATGCTAGTCTATAATTACATATTGCAGTTCTACAGAAGCCAGAGGACATTCACATTGGTCGATATGACCATGCTACCACCAACACCTCAAATTCACCACAATCATTTCTACAATAATGTCGAAAGAGGCATCAGACCTTCTAACAAGCGCCCACCAACTCAACCATGCTCCGTGCGTCTCCTCGGCCACAAGCCCACAAACTCGTGTTAGTGCCCTGCCACAAAGCCTCGACTTGGCGATGGAAGCAGATCTCTTGTCTATGGAATGAAGTAGCGGGTCAACCGGTCTCGCTAGTAACCTTCAAGGCAAATGGCAATAAGAGTATCCCGGGCACATGGGACCATCAGCTGTTCCTCTGCGACAGCAGATCTCGCGTTTGACGCCTTCGGGTAGAGACCTTTGCTTAAGCTTACAGAGAACCTTGGAAGGAAAATCAGGGTTCGGGGTTCTGTGAGACGCCCCTTAGAAAGGTGGTGATTGCAGGAGGGCATACGTGTGAAAAGAGTAGCCGGGTGTTCGGTGTGAATTTGAGATACTGGCTTTATGCAGGAACAGTACTCCATCCCTTAAACGGGTGACCTGCATAACGACCAGAAACGGCTTCCCAATGTCTCGGGTATAAGTGGCTTGGCACTCTAACGAGAAGTCTTAGAGGTTGGCCGAAAGAGAGTAGGTAGGTATGAATTCTCTATAACGTACTACGTAGAAGCCAGTATGAATACTTCATTCTCTTAGTCTTTGCTCACATCCATGATTTCACCTCCCTGCTAAACTATCGCCTCCACGCCCAAAGCATCCAAAAGTCAACTTCCGCATTGGACAAGGAGGCGTCAAACTCGATATTCATAGCGTTGGGTAGAGCACTAGTTCTCTAACCGAGCACCTCAGGAGTTTCAGAACCAACCAACAGTCAAACGGTACAACCAACACCATATACAGCAAGTAATTTGGACAATCCCTCAATGTAGAACCCTTCCCAACTTTAACCCATGGGCACCAAAAACCCAAAAACCACCCTAGAACAAGTCATAGCGTCGGTCGAAGCCGTATCACATCCTCGCTCACACAGACTAGTCTCAAAGCTTATATCCTTCAAAACCTAACTGCTGAGACTCTTTGGGTATGTGGTAACATGACAACCCTGGGAGAGTATAACTGCAGCCCTGTCCACTCTGTCTCGGGAGAAGAGAGAGAGCGGGCTGATAGTGTCTCAGTTTGATAACCTTCACTTTTTGACATTTATTTATTTGTCGTCCTTCCTTTCGATATTATTATCCAACTCAAATGACATTCATTTTCACTCCTGTTATCATGGTTGATCTCAAGTACCGTCGAACCCATCGATCCAAGTCTCTCCCGAGCAACCAGTCTTCTAAGAAGTCGTTCTTTTCCATCTTCTCCCGCCGTCTCTCTCTTAGTTCGAAGCGACAGTCCAACTCTGTACGCTTATATGATGATAGTGACGACGATGACACAGCTCAAGTGATTCCCCAACAGGTAGAGCCCCCGGACCCCCTTTCATCAACTCTCTTCTCATACATCACTATAGGTCGAGCCACCAATCCCGTCTCGCTTCTCCCGTCGAGCCTCTCGCTTCTGGTCCGCTTCATCGGCGAATCAATTCGAAAATGACTCTGCACCTCAATCCCCAACCTACCCCATGCACGGGGGCGCAGCCTATGTTCCCCGTCACGCTGCAAGTGACTTCTCAAAGACAACCGCCAATCGCCTGACCATGATGGCTGAGGGCGACGAGACAACACTCTGCTCATTCAACTGCCGCGCCAACAGGACCACAAGAAGCTACAGCACTGACGACGAGCTTGATGTGGACCACCGTGAGCGAGCACTCAATGCCCTGACAGCCAGGCGCAGCAGTGCATTTTCAAGCGAAGCCAGCAACGAGAGCGCCAACGACTATAGCCTCTTCCTAGCCGACGCAGTGACTGTCGCCGATGTACGTCGCCGAAGATCAGCTGCTGCTTGGGCCGAGCTCGAACACAGAGCTGCCGTTGCAAACCACAGGGCCAGCGGCACTGACTTTCTCGTGGGTCGACCAGGTCGACAGAGTACTTATCTAGGAGTGTCTAGTAGTACATATGAGTCGTCCAGACCAGGAAGCTCGGTTGCTACGAGCATCAATGATTATATCAGACCCGCGCAGGCCACCAGAGCTTGGTGACATATAGTTGATCGTGTGTAAGGACATTCGATTGCGGCATGACATGATTGGGAGTATCGGGTGGGCGTTCGGGCGGGCGTTATATGCAATTCTAGAGTGCAAACGACTTGAAACACTTGAAACATGTTAGGATGCTATCCAAGATATTCCAGACCATAACAAGCGCATCTGCGCAAACACAGGACCAAAATAAACCACATTCTTTCGCCTGAACCCTTTGCACACCCAACAAGTCTCGTCAACTTGCAGAACATCGGCATGCTGTATCAGAATGCTCCAATGTGTAGGTAACAAGTACTCAGCGGCACAAGCCGTTTTGAAGTGTGTGGTAGAGCGAGATCGTGGTATTGAAAAGCCGCCACAGTCCTATATATGAAACCAATACCCTCAAACGCCGGTTTCTCAATGCGCAACTCGTGATATCGCGGGACACATGATTCATCTCGTGTCTTCATGCAAGAGATACTGCCATTCCATTGCGCTCGAATCAAAAACCCCTGTCAGATGCACCGTAGTAAAATAAGTTGGTCCGTAGACCAATCCAGACCAACGCAATAATCCAAACAAGTTGGCGAATGCTTCATGATGACTTGTCAGCTGGGCAAGCTGGGGCATTGGCAACCCAAGTCAGAGTTGGCTTCTCTGCCACTTCATCAACTTTTGAAGTCGAATCCCATATGATAGATACCCATTATAAGTCAAATCCGCCATATTACTCAATTTATGACCGCATAACTCCTGCAACAGTTCTTCTGGGCGGAAGCAGAATCTCCTCGTCATCTGAACTATCGGCCGTCTCTGCACTCGCTTGATCAAGCATCCTTTCGATGTCCTCGTCCCGCAAAGTCTTTCTTGTTTTGCCGTTCCCAACACCAATGCCGCTTGGTAACGAAATTGTCCCTCTTAAATGACTTCGGCCACCAATTGTCCGCCTTCTGGGCATCACTTTATGTTGTGCACCATAGTTTTGTTGCGGAGAATCCAGGTCCATCGGTGAGCCAGGTGGTGGAGGAGCCATAGGAGACTTGTCATAAGGAGGCCTTCGTCCTGAATGAGCTTGGCGTTGTGCTGAGGGAAGAGGTTTTCTGGGCCCCGACGGCAGCGCGTGGCGCGGAGGTTGAGAACCATTCATGCCAATATTTGGTCCCGGCGATCCTGTAGGGGGGAAAGCATGCTTCAGGTTGGCCGAGTTTCCTGGACTGCTCATGAAGAGCAGAGTCTCAATAGCATCCTGTTCCCTAACGTTTTGATGCGGTGACATGAGAATTGGGTCGGCCATGGTGCGGGATTTGGGTCCGTGGTGCAAAGATGAGTGACCAGGCGTCTGAGGTGAAGCGGAGTGAGATTGCGATAGCATGTTCGGGGTTCGATGGGGGTTGGAGTTGCGTCGCGGGTGCGCGTGGGAACCAGGTAGCAGAACTGAAGGACGGATAGGTGCGGGAGGGGCCAATGAAGGCTTGTTCCATGATGAGCTTGGCGGAGTATTTGATTTTCGAGGTTGGGTAGTAGAAGCTTGTGGTAAAGGAGCCGATGAGGATGGTGGTTTGCTCATGGCCATTCGAGGACTTGCTGAAGAGCCCTGTCGTTGGTGTACTGTAGACGTGCTTGAGACCGGGGATGCCGCATGTGATGCCATATTCTCGACCTCCTCCAGTGAATTTGACTGCCATCCTTTGTTGACTTTGATCATGGCATAAGATAGACGCGTTCGTAACTCATTTGACAACTGAAACAGCGTGTTAGTCGTAATTCACATGCAGTCAAACCAGGTCTAAGATCAAGGACATAATTCTCATGCGACCGCACTTGACATACCTCTCCAATATGGCCACCTGATGTCGACGTCCTGCTAACAGCGCTCGGGTTTCTGGAATGGCCCTTCACGGGACTTTGGCTATCTGTTCGGGTTTTAACCTCTCCGTCGGCCATTCGTTTTCGTGAACTCGCATTATCGGTAGCTATTCTGTCCTGAGCGGCGGCAATCTGGGAGAGCTGCAACAGTTGACTATCCTGGCTGGACGGGCCGGGTGCACAGTTGCTTGCGTCGCTTGCTTGGGGGGTGAATGCGGATGCGGATGCGGGATCTGTCAGGGTGGTCATGGTGGTGTCCTGGGAGCCAGTGTTCGAGTAGGGATGACTCTGCGTAGAGCCATCATCGCGGTCGATAGAGGGCTTGCGCTGCATTTTGGCGATAGCGGCGACGACGACGGCATGGGCGGTTGTTGTTCTGGCTGTTGTATCAACATCAACAGCGATAGTGGTGGTAGGCGCAGTAGCAGTCGGCGATATCGACGCAATCGGGTGCGAGACTCGCGAGAGCGCGTCGTCGGCCGGGGGTGGGAGTGGTACCGCGAAATCCCCACCTTGTCGCGCTCCCGCTGTCGTTGTCTCAGTAGCAGTAGCAGTGGCAGCAGCAGTGGCAGTAGCGTCTAGTCGAGACTTGACCGTCTTAAACGGCGGAGGAGGCGCGACACGGTTATTATTCAGCGCAATCTCGCCCAGAGGTTGATTTGGACCCATGACTTTGTGACGAGAATCCTCCAGAGAGGAGTTGTGAGAGTTGTTAGGGTGAGGATCGAGAGGGACCACAATTGGAGGGATTCCAGAACGTATAAGCCTCGTGAACCCTCACTTTAGCAGTTAACGTTAGCTGCTGTACAGAGTAGACCGACACCTGAAAGTGGAGGGTACACGTTAAAAGGCCCCCCAAAGAGAAGGGTCTAGGGTCTCTCCGTGCCTAGCCAAGGACAGACCGCGCTGCGGGAAATCCGGGCTACCAAGGGAGCTAGTTAGAGGCCAGGAAGACAAGGGAAATAATTGGGTTCGGTCAGGTTGCGAAGGTGACAACGATATTGATTGTTTTGTTGTTTATTTATGGCAGTGTATTGTAACAATATGGTCGGAAGATATAATTCACTCTGTAGACTTTGGTCGTGAACTAATGAAAAAATCCAAAAAGCGTGTCAAGGGAAGTGTACGAATATTACTACATTGCTCTTCATTTGCAACTGCTGGCAGTTTGTGGTTATAACGCGATCTGATACGCGACGGGACGCTGACTTGACTCGGTCAGAGGAAAATACCTTAAAGTGTGCGCCTGCATGGGGGGTTCTCATAGCCGAAAATCTGCTAAAGATACACTAAGCTTTAGTGGCTGCAGGGTTGTCCTTGAGCGATTTGCAGGGCGTTCTTCCGCTATTAGGCGCTGCAGTTACTGTATCACAGACTGGGTGAAACCCATTGGATCATTTGGTATTGGATCCCATCACAAGCCATCCAGGTCGCGTGCACATTAAATGAACGCTGAGGGGAGAGGTCTATCCCATAACGCAGAATATAGGAGCAATACTATATTGGGGCGACAAACGAAGGCTGTCCATGATCTGAGGGGCGCGTAAAGACCTCATTCCCGGTCATGCAGCTCAAAAATAAAAAGCCGCGTGGCGATGCAAGGTTTTGTGAGGACTTTTGTGACATGCAGCTCAATGAGCTTGTGCAACACGCGTAGGCACCAGTTTAAATAAAAGAGTCACGATGCTGTTATTCGAGTACAACAGCCCAACCACACTCTGGTTAATTGCTGTTAACAATATCGTCCCTCACGTCAATGCAGATGAACGAGTGCGACAGGAATGGCCTCACCCCTGTAACCCCAAATTCGTCTGCCCCCTCATTGCCTGGGTCATGGATGACAGACAACCAGACCCATCACGCTTGGGTCAGAAAGACGTTGATGACGCGAGATCACGTGGCCACTAGCTCGCCATGATATCTCAAGATTGGACTGTTGGTGGGATGGATCTTGGCAGTCGCCCATTTATACTCAACACCTCTCAATAGGCTCTTTATCTCACGCTTATCAGTTAATTGTGTGCCTTTTGATTGTTGCGTTCTTATTACAATATCTATCAAATATGATAATGTCGCTTGTCTATATTCTCGTGATATCAACTTCAACGGTGGGCTCTGCCTAAAACCAACTATAGAACACCCCCGTTTGCTTATCCACATGCTGGCTCATCACTCCCGTCATTTCGTCCATAAACGCCTCCGTCCAGAATCACTTCATCGTTGTTGCTGAGATCATGCTGCACTCGCTGCCATCCTTTCTTTCTTCTCGCCTCCCTTCCCTCTACTTCGGCACCCTTGCCCTTGGCATCAAACACAGGTTTGATCAACGATCCCAGCAGAGGGTTACCACTGAAGGCTCCGCCAGTTCTTCCGCGATTCTTATTCGCTGATGTCTCACCAAGCGTGCCGTCGTTGACCGAGTTGTCAATGTCCTCCTCAGACTCAGGAGTGGCAGGTCGTTCGACCGCTGCCATTTTCCGGACAACCTTTCCACCCACCACATCGATGCTCACAACTTGTCTCCGTTTCTCATAATCTGGTCGTGCGTTCCACTCCATTTCACGAAGGACCTTCTGTTGCCTCTTCAGTTCTTTTGCCCTCTCCTCGGGAGTTGCCCACATGCTGCCTGTTCCTGTGATTGCTCCACCAACGTCGAAATCGGCTGCCTCGTCACGGACTGTCGTTCGCTGGGCGTTCTGTGCTTGGAAGTTGAGCAGCTTATCACGATGTGCGCGAGCCTTGGCCTCGGCATCACTCAATGAAGTGCCATCATTACCACGGGGTTGAGTGAATGGTGCTGGGGTCTTTGCGACATCGGCGCGGCGGTTAGACTCTCTGTTAGCAGCCTGTCGTTCACGCCCGCGTTCATCTTTGAGCTCCCGCACCATCGCTTGCACATCATCCGGTGTCAGAAGAGGGCTACCGCAGAAAGTACAAGGTCCCAGTCCCTCCTTCATGCATATCACCTTGCCACAAGAGAGACAGTTCGGTGCTGCACCTTGCAGAGGATGTCTCGTAGCGACACAATTGCACTTCCTAGATTTAGTGTTCTCAAGTGTAGGGTTTGTTGAGATTTCAAGGGCTCTGATGGCAGCATCCAGGTCAGAAATAGCTGTTGAGGCACCAGCCATCGGCAAACCTCCAGCTATAGATATTTTTGTAGTGGTCACAGCTGGCTTTGGTGTAGAACTTCGCGAACCTGGTGTTGACTTGGATTTCGACTTTGGTGGCCCCTCACCAAGAAGATAACCAGCGGAGGCATGCTGCTTAGGAGGGGGTTTTGCGACTGGCTTAGGTTCAGGTTTCGGAGTATTCGATCGTGAAGCATTATTACTAGTGGGTGCGCTCGAACGTTGAGGAATGTAGTCAAGACTGAGGTCTTTCTTGCTGTATGTTGTGCCTGAAGGTGCAGAATAATCGTTCACCTGCCTTGCCTGAGGTGTGTGGATATTCGCCTTCTTCTTCTTTGGTTGCCGTTTTGCCTTAGGTACGGCATCGACATTTTGCGACTCGGGTTCAGGCGGTGCAGCGGCATTCGAGTATGAAGAGCTCCCGGGTGCTGAAGTTTGTCGACGAGAGTTGAAGGAGGATATAAACTCGATCGCTTGAGGAGAATCACCGAGGAGGTTTCCAAAGTGATCCGCAGCTTCTGCCGTGGAGAGAGTATTGGCGTAATCGAGGACCTGCTTGAGCTCCTCGTCAGGAAGCGGTAACAGCTGCGAGAGCTGCGCGATAGACATGGCGCGTTTATTTGAGAAGGTCTCAGGGTTCCTGTGGTGTTCCAAAGGTGCAGCGGTAATTTACTATTTTTATAGCAAAATCTGCGAGGTGAAAAGAATTGGAATTAGATTGTTGACGTCGTTGAAAGAGGTAGCTTGGAGCTCCCCCACCAAACCATCTTAGCCCCTCCAAAGTCTCACAGACATTCATTTTGCTGACTCACTCGCCGACTTTTGGCTTGTTGCTTCTCTTCCTTGACGCAGCCGACAACCTGCACAGGTAAAAGGAATGAATCATGTTGGTCTTTTTCCTTGGAGCATCTGATAGCAATTGATATAATAATGGGGAAATCACTGCAACCAAACGAGCCCACTGGTTGGACGTAAGATGAAAGTGTCCAGGTTTCTTTATGTTATGTATATACACCGGCTCAACGGTTGATGTATCTTTTACATCATTTTCTGTTGTTATACGTGATGATTGTTTCAATAAGGGTCATGGAGCTGACAGACTTGTGTTCATAAAAATAGTTCTGGGGTGTAAATTGACTGTTCCCGGGTGAATGGATGAGACTACCTAGGTATGGCATGATTTTGAAGCGAGCCAACCAGGTTCCAGTTTCGGGTCACTTCGCGATGTTCTGGCTATGTCGATTTTTGATCTGAGGATACCTACTACCTACTCAGTTTGTTTAAATTTCGGTACAAAATCCCATGAGGCAGTGACCTACAAAGATCTCAACAGTCAGTTGGTAGTGGTTCAATGATGCAGTAACACTAGGTGCTATATATACAGTTTAAGGCTCCTGACAAAGACGCAATTCTCACTTACTGCCCTTGTAAGTGAGGAAATACGGGTAGATCGAGATACAAGGCTGTTAGGGCTTGTGCTAAGCCTCACAAAGACCGGCACAAGCGACAATAGCTATCAGCGATTCAACATGATTTACAAGAACTAGTGAACTGAGCTATGAATAAACATAAAATATGTGTTTATTGCGTGTTTCACGATTGTTTACTGGGATTTAATATTTAACTGCCCGTTGCCCCGTGTCTTTCTCGAATCGAATACCGGTATCCGAGCCTCCTCCGGGCCACTCATCTCGATGCCCTAAGCCTGAAGCAGTATAGTGCACCATCATTGCGTCGCACTGGAGCTCCCCATCCTCCTCCTTCCGGGTCTTCCTCCCCGTATTTAAAGTGCTCATCGCCGACCTCTTCTTCTTTCCACCCCCATCCCGTCATTTTTCTCACCCTTTTCACCAATTGAAGAGTTATCAATCGCAAAAATGTTCGCCGCTTCTCGTATCCAGCGCCGTGCTTTCTCCGCTACCGCCCGGGACGTAAGTAGTTATCCTCACTCATCATGTGCGCAAAGCATTTGCATCATACTTGTGCTCTTTTTTTCCTCTTCACCGACCGATCCCGGCCCGGTTGTTGAGAAGTCATCGCAAAACCACCCTTGGGCTTGGCAATAGCTATAGCAGCTTCAGTGTCTTTGCTACATGTGCTGACTCGTCTTCTATAGCTTTCCAAGGTCACCGTTCTCGGTGCGGCCGGCGGTATCGGCCAGCCTCTCTCTCTCCTCCTCAAGATGAACCCCCGCGTCACTGACCTCGCCCTCTACGATATCCGTGGCGGACCCGGTACGTAATCGACACCCTCAGTTCCATTTCTTCCTGGGCGAAGTCATATACGATTGCGCATTCGACATATAAGAGTCGAGCAACAGTCGAATATACCGGCCAAGCTACTCTTATAAGCTCAATTAGTCCATGATGCCACATCAACCAGATCTGGATTCATCTTTGCTAACATCCATGATTAGGTGTTGCTGCTGACATCTCCCACGTCAACACCAAGTCCAAGGTCAAGGGCTACGAGCCCAACGCCGCTGGCCTCAAGGAGGCTCTCCAGGGTGCTGAGGTTGTCCTCATCCCCGCTGGTGTTCCCCGCAAGCCCGGCATGACCCGTGACGATCTTTTCAACACCAACGCTTCCATCGTCCGTGATCTCGCCAAGGCCGCTGCCGAGGCTGCCCCCAAGGCCAAGCTCCTGATCATCGCCAACCCCGTCAACTCCACCGTCCCCATCGTCAAGGAGGTCTTCAAGGCTGCCGGTGTCTACAACCCCAAGACCCTCTTCGGTGTCACCACCCTCGATGTTGTCCGTGCTTCCCGATTCGTTTCCGAGATCAAGGGCACCGACCCCAAGGATGAGAACATCACCGTCGTTGGTGGTCACTCTGGTGTCACCATCGTCCCTCTCTTCTCTCAGTCCAACCACCCCGACCTCTCCTCCGACGCTGAGCTCGTCAAGCGTGTCCAGTTCGGTGGTGACGAGGTTGTCAAGGCCAAGGACGGTGCTGGCTCTGCCACTCTCTCCATGGCTATGGCCGGTGCCCGCATGGCTGACTCCGTCCTCCGCGCCGTCCAGGGCGAGAAGGGTGTTACTGAGCCCGCTTTCGTCGAGTCTCCTCTCTACAAGGACCAGGGCATTGACTTCTTCAGCTCCCAGGTCGAGCTCGGCCCCGAGGGTGTTGAGAAGATTCACCCTCTCGGCAAGCTCGACGCCAACGAGGAGAAGCTCGTTGACGCCGCTCTCGTCGACCTCAAGAAGAACATCGAGAAGGGTGTTGCCTTCGTTGCCTCCAACCCCGCCAAATAAATGTGCTCTTGAGTTCGCTTCGAGCTTGGAGAACGACCTGGCGTGTATCGCCAGGTAATCTGTTGAAAAGGGAAAAATGAGAACGAGGTAGAAGGTAGTCTGACTTATGACAGATACCTTTCGTATGAGAATTGGGTAAGAGACCATGGACGTATAAGCGATTGATACATCCATGGTTCTTCTTCCCATTGTTCTATTACCTCCATAGATTTGGAAACCAAGTCTCTGTACCATAGCTATAAATAAAAGAAATACCCTACAGCATTGTGATATTTGATGGGACCGAGCGTGATTGATGCGCACCTCATGCCACTATTGAGGTTCCTAAAGACATATTAGTGAAGTGCATCAAACACTACAGATTCTTACGTGGTGCAATCAGCAGAATGTCACGAGAATAACATGATCAAAACGATTGGCTATGTTCATATGATCAGGTCTAACTCCATCGATAATGTACATCTACAACTCAGCAGACTTGTGCATCTCACAGTCTGCCACCCCCAACACGTCTTGTCTAATAGTTGCTGACTCTAAGCCTCCCACATAATCTACCCCCAGGATCCAAACCATCCCACGATGGTACATATCATACAAATGTCTCTTCTAAGCTCTTGCAGCTCTCCACTCCTCGATCTTTCTCCTGCGCTCCTCAACCTTGCGCTCGAACTCGGCAACCTTCTCGAGTCTCTTATTCTCCTCCTCTTCGTCCTTCTTCTTCTGCACAGCGGCGCGACGAACGGCCTCCCTCTCGAGCTGCTCGGGACGTCGCTCGGCGATATCACGAGGGCGGTAGTCGCTGAAGAACTTCTTGAGACTGACCTCAATGATCCAGCAAGCGGCGTAATCAACGACCATGACGGCGGTCATGTTGGTCTTGAACTCATCCGAGAAGGGGACGAGCTTCATACCCTCGTTGATATCGGGGAAGAGCTCGAGAGCACAGGCAAAGGCCAGACCAGAGACACCGAGAATACCGTAAAACATTCCCTTGTTCTCGGAGAGAGACTCACGGAAGGGACGACCTTGGTAGTTGATGGCGAAGGTGGAGATTTGCTGGATGAGCTGGAGGAGGTAGACAGCAGAGTTAAGCAGAGAGGGGGCGAACTCAGCCTCAAGATCAACATCGTCAGAACGACTGCGAAATGTTAGTTATGGTCCACGATGACTTCAAGCAGGAGATCAACTTACGGGGCAAGTCTATCGCAAAGGCGGGCAATGTAGATCAGAGTCACAATGTGAACAGCGAACTGTCCCAAGATGGAACCAATGATGTAGACGTTGAAGATGTTGGGCTGAGGACGTTCTTTGCTCAGACCCTCGACAACACGAGCGCGCGAGATGCTGAGGAAGCAAACAGACATGAGCATACCACTGATGGTGTACTGGGTGTCGCCAAACTTGATACCCTCAAGGTATAGAACGGACAAGGAGTAAGCGGTGATAAGACAGTTGAGAGCGAGAATCTTGTACATCTGGATGGTGGCGACGAGAGTGCAGCGACCTTGACGAATGATGTTGGGCACTGCAACGACGTTTCGGAGTTTGGAAGTGAAGGGAGCAGCAACAGAGGCATCACCAAGTTTCAGAGTAGGTGGCTCATCGTCTCCCAATTCAGCCTCCATCATGCCAGATGCGAGTTTGTCAGCGAAGCCAGCGGCCTTTTTAGCAGCCTCAGTTTGACGAGCAGCATGAGGGCCTGCATTGATGATAGCCTGTGCGCCAGGGGAGGTGATGGTTTCGAGATCGTGGCCTTGAGACTTGGCGTATTCCTCAGGAGTGATGTTCTTCTTCTTAGCCTCACGCTCGATAGCGTTCTGGAACTGAGGGTTCTGAGGACCAGGGGGGTACAAGTGGGCAATCATGGCAGGAACAGGGGGAGCGGGCTGGTTGAAACGTTTCATGAGATCAATCTGCTTCTGATACATCTCCTTCATCTTGGTGTTGCGGGAGTGCTCAGCAATACGGACGAGGTCGTCTGGAGTTCCGTTCAACAAAGCGATACCGATGTGAGCTTGCTTGAGAGCACCAACATCGTTGGTACCGTCACCAGCCATGAGAGTGTAGTAACCCATATCCTTAAGACCGAGGAGGATATCCTCCTTTTGCTTAGGGGAGACACGGGCGTAGACCCAAGCGTAGCGGAGAATCTCGTTCCAAGCGACCTGACCCTTGAACTTGGCAAGGGCATAACCAGTAACACAGATATCCTTGGAACGAATGATTTCGGGGTCAATGTTCTTGGTGGGATCGACCTTGATGCTGACCTTATCATCGACGCTTCTCCAGACGAGCTTCTCACCATCTGAGTTGTCTTCAGGGGCATCGAGGATGAGGACATCACGATCGACAATCTCGACCTCACGGGCGACGTGTACAGCAGTGAGAGGGTTGTCTCCAGTAATCATGACGACACGGTGGCTGCTCTCGTTCAACATCTGGACAGCTTCCTTGGCATCATCCTTGAGAGGGCAGTGCAGAACGAGGAAACCAGCGAATGTCAAGTCGGACTCAACCTTCTCACGCTTGAGATCGTTGATCTTGCCGGAGCCAAGCTCAGTATCAATAGTGAGTTGCTTGTAAGCGAGAGCCAAAACACGAGAACCCTTGCGAGTGAAGTACTTGTAAGTCTCCTCGTAGTCATCAGGAACAACCTTGAGCATCTTCTGGATTGTCTCGGGCGCACCCTTGACACCAGCGAAAGTGCCCTTAACCTTGTGGCCAGTCTTGATATCGTTGCCGTGAACCATGGCGACAGAGCTCTGGCGCTTAAGGGCCGAAGAAAACTGGAATCGGCGCTTGATCTGAACGGTGCCGTGTGTGCTTCCAGCCTTGTTGGTGCTCATGAGAGTATCGTTGCGGCCCAGAGTCCATCCAAGAGAGGTGAGAGTAGCCTTTTCCATGGGGTCACCAACGATGTCTCCCTCATCAAGCTTGACCAGGGCGTGGGCGGTGGCAAGAACCAACTTGGTTTCCAGTGAAGCCTCGGTGACAGCAGTCATGGTTGAGTGAGCACCATCAGATTCCTTGATATCCTTGATCTCATCTTCATGTCCGAGACCAACACCAGCGATACCTTCGACAACGAGATCCTCGCCGGTGAGAGTACCGGTCTTGTCGAAGCAAGCCACATCAACACGACCAGCATAAGGAATACGGAAAGGCTCGGTACAGAAGATAGCTAGCTTGGCCAGAGCTGCCAAACTAGTGTTGACAGCCAGACTCAACTCCATAGGAAGCTCAGGAGGAACGACACTGGTGACGATCAAGACACAGTCGAGCATAAGCTTGGAACGCTTGCGGTCCTTGCGAACACCCTCGTCCCAGACATACCAGGCGGCAGCAATTGCGAATACCAGGAGGAACAGAATAAAGAAGAGAGCCTCGGCGTTGTTTGCAGAAACTCGCTCGGTGGAGTAGATCATGGTTCGGACCAGGTTACCCTGAGAAGTCTCGAAACCGGTCTTCATGACGATAGCCATGGCACCGTTATCCGGGGGAGGGGGAACACCAGAGGCGAGCTTGGGCTTCTCCTGATCGGGGTTTCCGTGAGTGATCTGGAGAACCTTGGTACCACCCCACAGGAAAGCATTCTTATCGAGACCTTCAGCATCCAGAGGAGCATCGGCGGGGCGAAGCTGGATTGAATCCTTGAGGAGAGGGGTACTCTCACCAGAGAGCATAGCCTCGTTCACAATGGCAGTACCCTCGACCAAAAGCATATCGCAAGCAACACCGCTGTCCTCCTTGGTTCGGTTGACAGAGGCGAGGTCACCAGGAATGAGCTGGTCACTCTGTACCTCGGTCCACTTGCCCAGACGGAACACCCACATATCGTAGGGCTTGATGCTCATGCCACGGAACTCATTGAGGGTGCGCTGGCGCTGCCAAACGACAGTGCTCTCGAAAACAACGAGCATGAATAGAGTGAAAAGCGAATAGTACCAGTACTCGTCAAGCATCCAAAGTCCAACACAGAAGATCTGGAAGACGAAGAACGGGGCGACGGCATGCTCCTTGAAGAGCTCGGTGAAGGTAGGAACGGGGATGTCGAAGGTGTTGGTGCCATAGTGCTGTTCAATGCGTGACAACTCGGTCTGGGTCTGAACACCCTTGGAGGACTGGAAGTGGCCGATGGTAGGCTTAGGCTCGACATCGATATCGTACTTGAGGGTGCTGAATGACTTGGTAGCGGTGTCATAGAGGAAACGACGCTTCTGGAAGAGGAACGAAGTGTTGAGCTTGCCACCAGCCTGTAATGAATATGTTAGCAACGTTGAGCTGTTTCTTGATATCTGTATCTTCCTACCTTATCACGAATAACCTTGCAAATCTCGGCAGTGCCAGCGTTTGCAATGGGGATGACCTTGATCAGCAGGGCATCCTCGACATCCTTGGCCTTTGAAGCGGTGAATTTGCCCTCAAGGTCGACACTCCAGTGGGTGCTGAGCCAGACGAGCGACTGCAGAGTAATGATAGTGCCAACCCAGACAACAGTCCATTCCTCAGCGCCGATGTACTTTTCGTAGAGATCGGGGCTCAAGTAGAAGGCGAAGAAGATAGGCCATATGATGGTGAAGGGCCAAATGTAGGCGTGAAAGTGAAAAGACAACGGGCGCAGCAGCTCGGCGTGCTTGATTTGCGGGTTGTCGACGAGGGGCGCCATAATGGGCGAAGGGGGGGTTGAGATAGTCGTATCTCAATTTGGGGAGGGAGTTTGATGAATATTGACTATATCATTAGATGGAATAAATGACTCCTTCCGAGTGTTTGCGGTTGTTTGCCCGCCGAGTGGCCGTATTTCCCAATTTCTTGGTTGCAACTTGCAAGTCAAGTCGCGATCTGTACTTTTCGTCAAGGGTAATTGATGGTTCGCCCGCCACGCTTATTACCACTACAGCCGGGACCGGCGATTCGGGGTTTGCCATCCACCGATGTCATCACGTGACGGTTATAGCACGTTATTGGCCTTCTAAAAGTATCCATTGCCTTCTCAATCTTATTTGAACAGATATACGGAGTGTTGAGGCAACTATTCGACTTACGCAGTGATATTGGAGCCTTGAGATACCGGCTAGTGTTATTCGGATTTATTTCTATCATGTAGCAAAGGTCGATAGTAGGCCTGTGACCAAGAATGGGTACTTGAAGCTTGTTTGAGACCCCAACGATACTGAGATGTAACTTTATCTCCCCGGCCTGTAAAATAAGCCGTCCAAACGAGCTGTCCAAACGAACCAGCCAATTAGACAAGGGCTTTTCGATATTGTCAACTTCAATTTCACGTCTATCATTAGTCCTTTCTATCAAGGTGACAAATTCACTCGAATTAATTGACCCGTCAGCTGGTCCAGCTTGCAACTGGGATGGTGAACACATAGTCTAGTACCCCTCAATAGCAATTGCTGGCTCATGCCCCAGGCGTATAAAGGCTTGAGTGGCCGTACATGTAGAAGAGTCTTTCTGCTAAAAACCAATTCAATCAATTTCTATCCTTAAACTCCACAGCATGTCAGGTCTTCAATACGATGCAGAGTTCGCTGAGGCGTTGGCCCGTATCAAATCCAACCGCCCTTCGGCTCCTCCCGAGACAGCTTTAGACATCCGCCGCAACAACCATGCTCTCTTTGACAAAGTCTTTCCCCAAGCGCCATCTTCCGACATCATTGAGCAAACGAACTATTCAGTTCAGAGCTATGATGGCGCCCAGATACTTCTTCGCCGCTATGCGACACCTGAGATCCTCAACGCCCAAGAGCCCCAGCCCGCAATTCTTGCAATCCACGGCGGCGGGTTTATCTCGGGCTCGGTAGACATCTGCGGTGGCCTCACGGCAGCGCTGGCTTTGGAAGTCGGTAGGCCGGTGTTTGCGGTCGGTTATCGTCTTGCACCTGAGTATCCTTACCCTGCAGCGGTTGAGGATAGCTTCGCGGCTCTCAAGTACATAATGGAGCATGCAGCAGAGCTGAACATCGACTCTAGGCGCATATGTGTAAAAGGCGAGAGTGCAGGTGGTGGAATAGCTATCGGAACTTTGCTCATGGCTAGGGACAGGAAACTTGATCCTCCAGTTGCCAAACTCGTTGCTATTTATCCCGAAATGGATGATAGAACTCGTTACTCTCCGGATACAGAGTTTCTCAAACTTGTCACTTGGAGCCCTGTCCATAATCAGATCGCATGGAAGGCATATGTAGGACAAGACAATGCTGGGAAACCAGATGCAGACGTTTCGTCTTATGCAGCACCCACTAGAGCGGAGAACTACAAGGGGCTGCCGTCTACGTACGTTGACGTCGGTACGTTGGACCTGTTCAGGGATGAGGGTTTGGAGTTTGTGAGAAGACTCTTGGAAGACGACGTCGAGGTTGAATTCCACCTTTGGCCTGGAGTGCCTCATGTGTTTGAGTTTCTGGGACCAAAGACAAGATGGCATATGCGAGCTGAAGAGGCGCGGAATGACGTACTGAGGCGGTTTTGATAGCTAGGTACTTCACATCATTGATATTGGAGAGGACAGCATATAGATACATAGACGGAATCTAAATTTGCGAGCCATCTATGTAGCTAATGATGCATCAATGTTAATGCTTCTCAAGGAAGTTCACAAGAAGCTCTGATATTTTTTCAGGTTGATCCTCAAGACAAAAGTGCCCAGCATCCTTCACAATCGTAAGCTCAGATCCAGGGATGGCATCATGCAGCTTATGAGCCCAATCAACAACCTGCCATTCATCATCTGCACCCCAGATAAGCTGCACAGGAAGTCTCTCCAATTCTCCCAGACGAGGTGCCACTTCCAGCGTATGCTTCGGGTCATAATGCCGAATCTGGTGCTCAAAAAGACTGGGCTGTCCAATCGGACCAGAGATATAGTCCATATATATGTCAAGGGTTGAGTTCTCGAATTTTTCGGTGTTTGAGACGGCGGTTAACATCCAATCCTTGAAATGAGCTCTGTGTTTGTCACTGTCCGTCTTTATGAGGGAGTCAAGACCGTTTTGCATTTGTTCTTTGGTTCGTTTGGAGGGGTAGCTGTCGAAGCCCACAGAATCAATGAGTGTCAGAGACAGGACTCTCTCTGGAAAGAATATAGAGAAGCGCTGTGCGATACCACCTCCAATATCGTGCGCGATGATGTGTGTTTTCTCCAAGCCCCAGAGTCTCATAAGACCTTCCAGGATAGGAACCTGGCCTGTCATGGAGGTGTCGACTGTAGGGTCCCACGGACGCTCAGAAAGACCGAAGCCAAGAAGATCAAAGACGTGGACCTTGTAGCCTGTATCAACAAGTTTCGGAACTATGTTGCGCCATATGAGAGATGAGGAGGGTGTTCCGTGGATAAGAACTACTGGCTTGCCTGAGCCGTAGACGCCATAGGCAACACGGCATCCCTTGACGATGGCGTTCTCGGTAGAAATTGGTTGAATCATGATTTATTTCGTGAGAGTCTGCCGTTCCAGAGTTTAATGGAAGTAGCCGTGTCGAATATTTATAGCAATGTATTACTAATTGGGTGCATGTCGTCTGAAGGGCGCTGGAGATGGTGATCATGATCGCCTGACAAAGCACAGCAGAAGCCGTGATGGAACCAAGAGGGGGTCAAAAGGCTTGGCATAAAACCAGGCAGGATATAGCGTTTCTTTCTGATTATTCTGATGGCCCTCGCTCGATGAATCGGGCCTTAACTCCCGTCATCATAGACAAGAAATACGAGCGAGCTTGGTCTTCAGGCGGCAAGGTAGTCTCGATTTTGAACTCCTTCACCAAAGCAGGAATGACTTTGAAGACGACCAGCTCTGCCAAATGCCGCCCGGGACATGTTCTCGAACCGCCGCCCCAGCTTAGACTTATGCGCTCCATGTTGCGTGCTGTGTCGGGACCTGCAGTTAGCCAGCGGTCTGGGTTGAATTGATCGGAATCAGAGCCAAATACATCCGTGTTGCGGTGCAGAGCAACTGGATTACATCCCACAGTCGTGCTTGGTGGGAAATAATAGCCGTGTAAGTGAAGACCGCCAGTGGGAACTTTACGTGGCAGTGACATGCTGATGACGGGGTATAGTCGCTTAGCTTCTTTGATGAGGGATTGTGTCTCTGGCAGGCGTGTTGCAGTGTAATACTGAGTTGAATCGCTTGTATCGAGAACCTCGTGGTAAACTCGTGCTTGAATGTCGCCATGTGAGCCCAGCAATGCGAGAATGGAGGTTAGAGTCGATGCCATAGTCTCATGCCCAGCGCCGAAGTTGGTCACAGCCATCTTACGAAGATAGATTTCTGCGAACTCGGTCTTGGTCCTATGCAATTGAATCAAATCCGCAAGGAGATCTCGGCGATCATCTTTGTTGATTTTGGATTTTGTGGCTACGTTGACCCGCCGCGAGACTCTTTTCCCAACATCCTGCAACAAAGTCAGTCCCGAAACAAACATGACTACAGTGAGTGTAACATACTGGGAAGAACGGTCGGAAGTCCTTGGGTGGTTGGAAGTTGACGCCCCAAATCGTGCTGAAGAGTCGTCCGATTGACTTGTATAGAAACTCCAGCTTGGTGACAGTAGGGAACAGCCCAAAGACACTCTTTCGTCTCCAACCATGGTATGCGTGCGCCCCCGAGCCATTATCGGTGCCGTTTTTCAGCAAACCTGGTGACCACGACAGAACAATTGCGCCGAGGCATTCTACGGCGATGATATGCATCCACTCGTTAAGTTCGACTGGTGCGCCCTTCAAACTCTTGAGCTTGGCGACAGAGCGCGTAAGGACCTCGTCTATGGCTGCTTCATATTGTATGAGATTGGAAGTTTGGTATACAGGACCAATGAGTCGACGTTGAAGACGGTAGCGCCTCACATCTCTCTCTGATAGAAGATCGAGAGTGTCTGGAAACTGTGGGTTGAGTTGCCAGTCAATATGCGGCTTGCTTAAGGCCGTCGCCACTACTCGGGTCAGTTTTTGTGTATCATGGGAAGCAGTTCGATCATACAGTAAAAGTCAGATTTCTCATAGCCGCTTCCGCTACCTGGATGGGACATTAGTCGGTAGTTCAGAAATCGCACGTCTTGCTAGGTAACACACTGTAAATCGCCTGAAAAGCTTCCTTGCTATTGAACCAAACCTCGTTAGGCCCAACCCGCACAACAGATCCATATCGACGATGTAAAGTCTTTCCCAGAAGAGCCATACGTCCATTTCTAGCATGATACGCATGCCAAAAGCTTGATACAGCAGCAAATCTCGGCCCAGGCACACGTGCCAAGGGATGGAAGTATAGCCTGTAAACGATGATTGAGGCTACCAGGACGAAGAGGCAGGAGATTACTCGGAAGAGAACCTGGTACAGTAAGCTACCTGAGGTCACTACCCAGGCGTTGAATAGAGAAAAAGACATGCTGTCAGCTTGTGAAGCATCACAGCGGGTCAGAGTTGTTTGGTGCTGCGTGGCACTGTTTATTGGCAAAGATGAAATCGAGTTGAGTGAAAAAAGTTCGAATGAGACGGGATCCCCACATTCACACGTCTTCAGCCAGACCGTTCTCTTTATACTAAAAGTTGAACAATGAGTATTTTTTTTAATTATGTGCATTGAATTAGTTAAGTAATATTGCTGGTATTCGGCATCTCGCCTGTGTGACATTCTATCTGGCTTCTTTTCAAGATCCGGCCTATTCCTGGTATTTTCCTGGTGAGTAATCTCTAACCCAAACATCACTAAAGGCCCTGCCCTTGCTTAGCTTTTTCTTTCCTTTCTCTTTTAACTCTCAACTCCTCACGCCATTTAATACCCCAGACCATCAAAACAACCAATACAGGGCACCCAAGGATATACAGTCCTCCTACCAGAGTAAAGGCCCAGCCTGTGCCCATGGCATCAATCATGGGTATGATCGCTGCACTGGCTCCAGCTCCCACCAGGCATCGCGTCAAGTTATTCGCCGCAGTCGCAGTTCCAGCCTTCCCAGGGTTGATGTCTACAAGCAACGAATTGACCGTGTTGTTGAAGCCGACGACGCCTACGCCAAAAAAGGCGCTCAGTACGCATGGAACAGCGACATGAGTCTTGGCGTGGACTGCCCATCCCCAGCCGATGACGGCAACGGCTGAGAGTATAAGGAGAGGGAACCCGATCTCTAAGCGAGCACGCTCAATGGGAAAATCGGAGAGATCCTGTTGCTTACTTCGCTCGTATGGAATACCTAGCTTCTCACAGTGACGCTTGAAGTTGCGATTGGTGAAAGCACCCACGATGAAGGCTGCAATGACAGAGCCGGCTGCTAGGGGAAGAAACATCAACCCGTTTTGGACTTCATTGAAGCCATAGATGTCCGCAAATAGAGTCGGCATCGCGGTCGCTACGCAGTAAAAGCCCGAGAAGCAGATGCTGCAGAAACCGAGAAGTAGGCCCATCTCTTTCTCGAAAAGCATTAGCACAGATTCGAGAACATTGGGTGCTTTGAACTTGAACTTGACCGTGGAAGCGGCGGAGACCTGTCGACTTAGACCCGTCTTGTCCGACTGGGCTCTTGTCCGTCGGGATTTGAGAATCTGCCATACTGAACGATACATCAACGGCGGAGTAAGAGAGCCGTCTCCTACGATTTGACGGCATGTCTCTGGGTAGAACAAGACAATGAGAGCCATAGCAACACCGGCGAATATGGCGAGAAACCAGAAGATGGAACGCCAGCCTAGATACTCGGCGAGAAGACCACCGATGACAGGACCCAATGATGGGCCTAGCACACTAGGAACAGCGGTCAGGCCGATATAGTTACCTCTCTCAGCAGAAGTCACAACATCTGCCACCACAGCGACGCAGAGAGCAACAGTGCTAGCAGAGCCAGCAGACTGAAGACATCGAAGTCCAAGAAGAACACCATAGCTTGGCGCGAGAGCAAGTCCGATATTGGCTGCAATATAAATGGTGAAGCATACTATATACGCAGGTCGTCTTCCACCACTATCAGCCAGCGACCCAATAAACATGGGTGTGATCCCTTGGAAGATCATGTAAGTGGTGACAGTGAGGTTGATCTGCGACGTAGTAACACCCAAGTCTTTGGAGATAGCTGGTAGTGCAGGGAAATATATCTGGGCTGTCATGGGCGAAAACATGGCTGTTGCTGATGCAGCCAGAACGATGAAACGTTTCTCCCATTTGGTAAAGATTGAATAAGGAGCACCTGTGTCTTGTTCCAAACTAGGTTGTTTTTCAGGGTCTTGGTTTGGTGATTGATCGAGACTGTGTATTGTTATACTGTCATCGTCTCCACTGGGACGGTTCGAGTTTGGCGGACTCATGTTCCCCTGATTTAAAGAGATGTATAGAAGCAGATGAATAATGACATTTCAAGAAGCAAAAGAATTAAAAGATTTTGAGCTTCAGGCAAATAAATACTTATTGAATGATGCAGGGTAAAATACCAATGACCGACTTACTTGGGATATAAGTGGATTTACCCACATCCTTCGGTGCCGAGTCGGCGGACGCCTTAGACAGAGTCCGATGTAGCAAATGAACAACTGTGAAGCGACAACAGACGTGTTTGGATTGGCTGATAGTCGAGACTTCTGACTCGCTGATGGAGATTATACAAAGTAAGTCCGGTATGTTCTTGGTTGACAGGGGTAGTTATAGAAGGTTGTTAAACTGATCATGTACTTTACTCCGACTCATGATCGTTTGTGTGTTTAACCAACTCCATTTCTCTCGACTTTATCTACCTAGCAGAAAAAGATTCCCCAAAAATTCGCTACTTCCCTTATCAAAGCCTTCGAATCGTGATACGAGATGAACTATGCCTTACTCTGATGGAATTCGGCCTGTTTCACTATAAAGTTTGGCGAAAGGTTTGGCGAAAGGTTTGGCGAAAAGGTTCGTCAGTATATGCCATCCACTCGCAACAATGCAATCGTCTACTAATAAGTTCGTGTGAATACAAACGAATCTAAAAAGAAAATGTGTCCAGTTTGCCCTAAAAGTATATCACTCCTGTGTTTTAAGTAGTACGATGAATCCGCTTCTCACTCATCCTTACTCATTACCTTTCAACATCAACATACTCTCACAATGTCTTCATCAATCAAGACCAGATGCCTTATAATCTCCGATACTCACGGACTAAGATTTAAGGGTGGAGCCGAACCTCTCGAACGAGCTGATATTGCCATTCACTGCGGTGATCTTACAGATGATTCCAAGTTACACGGCTTCAAAGAGACCATCCAACTCCTCAAGGGTATCGATGCTCCTATCAAGATCATAATTGCTGGGAATCACGACTTTTCTCTGGATGATTCGGCGTTCAAAGAAAAGATTTCGGAGGCTAACAGGCTGGCGCAAGAGGACCTCAATCAAGACATCAAGAACGAATATGGCGACTACGGCGATGCCAAAAGGCTCCTTTTGGAGGCGAGGGATCATGGTATAATATTTCTCGAAGAAGGATCCCATCAGATCACCTTACAAAATGGCGCTCTCCTCAGACTTTACACCAGCCCATATACACCTTCAACTGGTGATAGTAGCGATTGGGGCTTCCAGTATAATGGAGCACATGATTTTGACATCGAAAAGGGGACCGATATTGTTATAACACACGGTCCGCCACACGGTATCCTGGACCTGACTGGAGGAAGAAGGAAGCGAGTTGGATGTCCTCAACTCTTCAGGGCCATTGCAAGAGCACAACCCCGGCTACATTGCTTTGGGCATGTTCATAATAGCTGGGGCGCAAAGCTGGTCTCTTGGAGACCCCAGATCTCGGAGAACCCTTCACATTTTACCGACATTGACCACGAGAAGTCGTCAGTCATAGAAAGTCTATCACGTCTGAAAGGCTCCAAATTCGAGTCGCCACAAGAAAAGAAAGCTCGAGAGGACAGTATAAAGCGCTATAATTCCCAGCGATGCTGTATTTCTAGTCATTGTGGCCAAGATGAGAAGCCTTTGGGACCAGGAGAGACTCTATTTGTCAATGCCGCACTCATGGGAGATGATGGGCTAAGCCATCACCCATGGCTTATTGACATAGAACTCGAAGGAAAGGAACAAGACCGGAAAAGAAAGGCCGATCCGGTTTTGGTCCCGAAGCAGGAAGTTAAGAGATCGAAGTCTACCTAGTTTCGACCATCATACCAAAGGTTTGAGACTAGATTCTCCCAGAGTATGAAAGACAGATAGCTTATCTTGTACTTTGTTTTATTTATACAAGGCTGCTGTGGCTTTATACTCTACATATGCCTCTCATGATACATACAGTTGTGTGCCAAGGTTCTTTAAAAGCACTGGCTTTCTCTTCGCTGATTTCACCGAACACCTACAAAATCGATACATTCGTGAGCATCTCTATATAAACTCTGTTCTACCAAAATAGCAACGTTGATTTGCTTTATCTCAGGCCTGTCTGCTGATGAGATGTGTATTTTGAAGTCATGGTCCGTGTTAGCAAGTTGCCCGCGGGAAACTATCGGGGCTTTAACTAGGCCCGCTGGGGAATTCGCATGTCATTACCTCGTGGTCGACAGTCGATGAGTGATTTTTTTTTGTTTAAAAACAGATGATTATTGAGGAACCAGCTTCTATTCCTGACACCTTTCAAGAAAGACACGATCTGCCAAGAGGCTGGCTTTCTTACAGACATCCGACATCGCCCCCCGCATCCCATAAAACTACCCCACGTTGAGCACTTTCATCATTCGGGTAGAGACAAGAGACAACATCGCATCGAGTATTCATGATGGACTACTCACTCGAAAATCACAAATCTTATATCGGGAGGCCCATCTCGGAGCTTCCCACGCCGTCGCTGGTTGTCAATTTGCCGGTGCTCAAGAAAAACATCGACACTCTGCATCGCGATGTGGAGAAGCTCGGAATTGGCTTCAGACCTCATATCAAGACGCTCAAGGTAAGTCACATGTAATATGCAATTGAACTGGTCGGATAGCTGACTATCTGAAGTGTGTCGAGGTCACCCGGTTGATGCTTGCTGGAGGTAAATACAGGGGCATAGTCGCATCCACCATCCCCGAGATTCAAGGTGCTCTACCCCTAGTGAAAGAAGGCATATTGGAAGAGGTGAGATTTGCCCAGAACGCTAAAGGCGACAAATACTAAGAGATTGCAGTGTCTGTACGGCCTTCCAGTCTATCCCAGCGTTCTGCCAAGATTGGCCAAGCTACGGGAATCTCTACGTATCATGCTCATGATCGACAATGAGCAACAGGTCTCATTTCTCGAAGAGTCAGCTACAAGCAAGCAACCCTGGGATGTCATGATCAAATTGGACGTTGGCTCGCACCGCGCGGGCATTGCAAGTAACAGCAACGAATTGAACCGCTTGGTAGAGCGCGCGGAGAAGTCTTCTGCTGTTAACATCTACGGATTCTACTGCCATGCTGGTCACTCATATGGCGGCCGATCACGGGAAGAAGCAGAGGAGACCCTCAACGTCGAAGTGTCAAGCGTGCTATCTGCAGCCAAGTTACTGCCCACTAATCGCGAACTTGTCATATCTGTCGGCAGCACACCAACGGCGCATGTGGTCAAGAGCCTCAAGGCGTCAATGCCGGACAATATCAAGCTTGAGCTGCACGCGGGCAATTTCCCCTGCAACGATCTACAGCAGGTATCTACAGGTCTCGTGACAGAGACGCAACAAGCTGTGTCAATAGCTGCGGAAGTATGCAGCGTTTACCCCGAGAGGAACGAAGCGCTCGTTAACGCCGGAGTCATTGCGCTATCGCGTGAGGCGAGCGCCTATAGCGGGTTCGGCCGAGTCGTTGGCAGTGCATGGGGTGTGGTGCGATTATCCCAGGAGCACGGGATCCTGGGGACGACGACTGAGGGTCGAAAGGTAGAAGAGGACTTCAAGGTTGGACAGCGAGTCGAACTGTGGTGCAATCACTCATGCATCGCAGCCGCGGCATTTTACGTTTATTATGTGGTCGAGGAGGGGATTGTCAGGGACACATGGATCCCTTCCAAGGGCTGGTAGATCGTACTACGTAGATCATGAGCAAGTCATCAATTAACCTTTAGATGGAACTATTGGCAACAATTACCATGGAAAGAATTGAGCGTTCTGATTCGCTCCCCCAGATCATGTTCCTGGCTCCAATTTCTCCCGAACCAAGCAAAATCCTGCTTTATCTTTGGCGAGCCTGAAAGGAAAGCTCCATTGTGGATCTCGAGCCGCATACGTCATCGGCGAATTGCGGAAGCTTCAAAAGGTGCGGGCTTCTGGATCTGCGTCACATGAAGTGCACATCTTCCCTCCTCCATCTTTTTCTTCGATCACGACACTCTTGGCCTCAATCTATCAAACCCGCTACTTTTTCGGCGAAATCTACCAGGACAATACTTCCTCAGCAACCCGACTCTACTCTTTAATTCCCTGTCTACTACCCCGCCTTCACCATCAGTGAGTATACACGTCACTGGGTCGTGTTTGTGCCCAACATCAGATCACTGACTTTTATCACAGTGTCTTACGCCGATATTGCTGCCAGCGGTCCTAAGCAGACCCCCGAGGAGGTGAGTACCTCTAGCTAAGCTACAACTTCATCTTCCAATTCATCTTACTGACCCCTCCAAGGCTGCTGCCCCTCAACTCCCCGAGATCATCTCTGACGAGTCTGCCTCCACCGCCTCTCTGGTCGATGTTGATATGCCTAGCGTGCACACCGTCCCCAACGATTTCCTTGAGCAGGAGATCCAGACAGAGACACAAGCTGCCCGCATTGGTCGAGAGGACGAGGCCGAAGCTCGCGCCGAGAAGCGAAAGCGTGACGAGGTTGCTGCCAAGGCCAAGAACACCGACAACTGGCTGATCCAACAGTTCTCCAGTCTGTCCGACGGCAGCGCCACTGGTCTCGTTATCGCCAACTTCGCTACCGTTGTCGGCTTGAGTGCATACCTCGGCTACAAGGGCTGGGGTCTGTATGAGAAGGGCAAGCTCGACTGGAAGGCCATCGGCCTGGGTGCCGGTATCCTTGCCAGCGTGACTGCTGCCGAGGGTGCTGTTGGACGATATCTGTACAAGGGCAAGAAGGGTGGCTCTTAGGAGGGCAGTCCTAGGGTTGGTTTCCAAGAATTAAGAGAAGACTGGTGCGTGGTTTCGAAAAAGAAACCCAAGTCCTCGTAAAGCAACCAAGCTTTCTGGGATTCATGAGTTTTGTTCACGCATGAGATGATATAGTTTTTTGTTGTACTGCATTGTTTCCCTTTGTTTTTAGTCTCTACTCTGGCTGATACCAGTTTATTACCCATCTCAAATACATGCGCAGGCACGATACTTCGATACCTCAATTCAGATGAATCTAGCGTTTGACGTGTGACAATACGAAGATCTGTCGATCATATGGCGCCTAGTGACTGAGATGTGATCATGTCTATTAACGTCCGTTACTTTCTGTTCCTTCTCATCATACACTGTTGGCACAGGTATATAAGCATCCTTGCCATGCCAAATCCTAAATATTTTACAAAAAAGTACATTCTAACAATGGCGCCATTATTTTACATCTTTTACTGCTTCTTCTCGGCCTCCTTCTTGGCCGCCTCCTGCTTCTCGATAATCTTGATCTCCTCATTCGCAGCGGTAGCATCATGGGCCTGGGAGGGCTCGACGGCCACCTGCTTCTTGGGGACATCGGACTTGTGCATGTCCTGCCACAAATCGGGGTTGCTGGGCTTCTCTACGGGAGTGGCAACGTCCTGAACCTTTCGGGTGTCGGTGGTATTGGCTTGCTTCTCAACTTCGTTGGAGGTGGCTCGTGAAGAGGCCTGCTCGTCGGGCTTGGCGGAAGTAGAGGAATCTTTAGGTGGGGACTTTGAGTCGACGGCAGGGGCACTCTGAGAGCTGGGCGCGGGCTGCTCATCGTCAAACTCGGGAGTTGGGGGGCCGTCTTCGTCGTCTGCGAGCTCGGCGCCATAAATCTCGGGATACTTCTTAAAGCACTCTTGCATGCCCCTGTAAGTCAATTAGCAATCTGCAACTCAAGACCATCATTCGATAAGACGTACTGGAACTTCTCAATACAGTCCATGCCCTTAGGCTCTTGTTCAGAGAACACGAAGCAGCTAAAAGCAGTCTTAAAGTCCTCACCACAAGGACCGTCGGCCATACCACCCAAGCAGGGGCAGTCCCAATTGATCTCGCCAGTCTCCGGGTTGAAGGCGCCCTGCTGGCCGGCCTCTTCTTCTAGAGCAGCAGGTGAGCCATCGGCGGCGGCAGCCTGTGTGCTAGATTGTTGAGTCTCGGAGGCCTTTCCTGACCCTTCTGGTCTCTCGCTCTTGGCCTTGATCTGCTTGCGCTTCTCCTCAACGATGGAGTCAACTGTGGGAAGGTCGTCGTCAGAGAAAGCGGCGGGCGCAGGTATAGTTTTTGCTTCTAATTGTCAGTCGCACGATCTACCTGTTAACTCCAAGCAATTGGGACGTACAGATAGCCTCATCGGCAAAGATAGGGCTTGTGTTATAGTAGTAAACGGCTCCAAAAGCCAGACCCAATCGCATCGCTGAGCTCTTCCATGATCGGGACTTGTCGGCGGGAGAAGCTGTCGAGTTAAATCGTCGGGGGGCGGCACGGATGGTGGTTGAGCGCAAGTTGGCAATTACAGGCCGTGAGGCCGATCGCAAAGTCGTACGATACATTGTGATATATGGGAGGTCAGTAGAGAAACGAAAGGAAATGGCAGCCAAGGCGCGAAATCAAAGAGATGCAAGAAGAATTGGTCAGCAATGGTGGAGCATCGGACCTGGAAGTTAGAGGTTGATGATGCAAATACTGGCTCTGGCCTCCGAGAAGCCGGGCTGCGTGAAAAAAGACAGTAACCGTGATTTAACCGTAAGGTGGGCATGATAAGACCCTTATCGCGCCATGACGCTCACCCCATCATAGAGCGCATTCATCCCTGATCGTATGAGTGAGAGCCTTTACTTTAAACTCCAATCAAGCTTTAAACGTCAATCTTGCGCTCGGCTATTTTGACTTTCAACTTTCTCTGTGGCTGATACATAGGCTAAAGCTTGTTCTTTCCTCTTTTTTGAAGCTAGACAGGGCAAGGTAAGGCAGACAGAAGTTGTCGCACAGGAAACGAGGGGAAGTTCTGAAGCTAGGTACTAACGAAAGCATTGTCTCTCCATCTCTTTTCAGGGAGAAGAAAAAGCAACTCTTGCTTTAACAAAAAGTCACGAGGATCACTAAAGGGAGACTGCGATCTAGAATCTATCTACCATCATCATTTTCTTCTCATTCCAAGTCACATACTCACTGAAGCTATCCTCATCGAACCATGGCATCAAAGATCTTCGACTGGCGACCGGCGAAGCTGCTCCAGGACTATAACATAGGCCAGGAGTTTGCTCTGCTCATTCTTAACCAGCCTTTGAAGAATGGCGTCAATTTGCGCAAGCTTTGGAAGAACTGTACGTAGCTTGGCTTGCTGCTGCTTTTGCGATTCCGGTGCTAAACGTTTCCTTGTTTTGTAGCTTCTGTGAGAGTAGCCGCTGATGGAGGAGCGAACCGACTACATAAGCTGTCGTCTTTCCACGGAAAATACGTATGTATAGGATACTCAGCCGCGAAAAGTAACTTCTTCAATTGCGCGACCGTTGCTGACCCTGATAGTCTAATCTCCAACTCATCATTGGCGACCTCGATTCGCTCACCCCAACGGTCCGCGATTTCTACTCGTCGCAACCTTCTCCCGCGACCGTTATCCACGATGCTGACCAAGAGTCGACCGATTTTGCTAAAGCCATTAATTGGATCCGTAAAGAACATCCCGACGGAATTGACATTGTAGCTCTTGGAGGTATCGGGGGTCGTGTTGACCAGGGTATTTCCCAGCTTCACCACCTCTACCTCTTCCAGAACGACCCCGATTATGCTACCGGGCGTGTCTTTCTTCTCTCCGGCTCGAGTCTTACTTTCTTGCTCAAGGCTGGTACCCACCAGATCCAGGTCCGTGAGGATGGAGAGGAAGACACCTTTGGCAAGCATGTGGGCATCATTCCTCTTAAGGAAGCAGCCAACATTACCACAAAGGGATTTGAGTGGGATGTTGAGAACTGGCATACCGAGATTGGCGGCAAGCTCAGCACTAGCAATCATATCCTGCCCGAGTCGCAAGTCGTGACAGTGACGACGGACAAGGACGTGATCTTCACAGTGGCACTCAAAGAAGGCGACGGTGATGAGGAGTAATCTAGTGCTCAAGAAAGAGAAGAGCAAAAATTATGCTGCCTTGGATTTTTGAGCACGCTTGAGACTGGTATAGTACAAGCAAAAAAATAAACATAAGACATACAAAGACTCCCAAGCGCCGCGCTGATGCCCCCATTCCTATATGTCCGTGACATTTCCTCCCCTAAATACATCCACCTGGGTTTTGTTCTATCGCAAGAAATGGAGCACCAGCCAGCAAAACAGGAAGAATACTATAGCTCCAGCAAAGAAGATCCATTTGTCCTCCTTTGCCCTTCGCTCCACCATGCGGATAGTATCGCCACTAACGCCCAGGGTGTTGGCGACGCTATACAGTCGCTTCTGGGTGCTCTTGAGCATCTCGCGCTGCTGGCCTAGATCGCTCAGGACAGCCTGCCCGCGCGCGATGTAGTCATCCAGGGCTTGGTTGGTGTTTGAGAAAAAGTTTTGCTCCCTGAACGCATGAGCCTCGCGCATCTCGTCAGGAGAACCTGTCGTCAACTGTCCACCGGATTGTGTTGGGTGTCGAGGCTGAAAGACAGAGTGCGTGTTGGTCGTCGTAGGGTTCGCATAGGGGTTCTCGGGGGTAGCGTTATACGGTCTTCGTCCGAGGAGTTCCGTGCGGTTATCCTGGTGCTGAGCATCCTCGCGAGCCTTCTTAAGCGAATCGACCTGTGTTCTAAAGTCGGAAAGATCCTCGCGGAACCTTTTCACTCGCTCAAAAGCCTCTTCTTGCTTCTTGGGGACGATCTCCTGGCGGGCTAGACTTTGGTATTCGTCGAGGGTCTTTGTGAAGGTTGCGATTGAGACGGACACATTGCCAATATCGGAGGGGGATGTTTGGGGTTTGGTGTTGAGGTTGGAGAGCTCTGCGCGGAGGGACTTGCTTTGCCGCAAGGCGGAGTTGTATGCGATATTCTAGTGTAGGGGTCAGTGGTTATATAAGGAGTTATAGGTCTGGAATTAGCTTACCATGGTGAAGAGTTTATGGTGGAAAGCTTGGAGTTTGTCGAGCGGCGTGCAGCAACGCTTTCATCATGATTCAGGGTATTAAGATACATGATAAGGCCAGATTTCGCGGAACGGGTCAATGAAGCCCCGTGCGAGACACTTTCCGATTTGCTTACCCTGTATCTTCATGATGTTCAAAAACATCTTCTTTTTCCTCATATGATAGAATTGAATTCTGTGTAGGAGCTCTAATTCTATGGTACCCAGAACTATCCTCCCTCCTAGCAGAACTGTAATACCCTATTGGTATTTGCGTAAAGTTTAGGGATCCCATTGTCTTTCATCTCTCCGCAAGACCTGTCAAAACATTGGGTAAAGGCCCTGGACTACATTATGGTCTACTTAGAAGAAGTCCGAAGGTAAGTTGTACACAAGGTCTAAATTGTCCGCACCTGTCAATTGATAAAACCAAACTATCTGGGATTTTATGGAACTAATGTTTGCTAAAGTAGGTTTTATCCAGCTCCCCTCTAGCAATCATTACATAATTGGGACAATCAGCCCGTATGATTCATCCATCAAGGCACTACTATCGCTACTCAAACAATATAGGAGTGTCATCAAAACCGCACGATAGATAATGATATCATCCAGTGGATGATGGGTCGCATTGGGTAGCTTCCATGTGCGACTCTTATACTCTTGAGCTCTTTCAGCTCCGTCTTCTCTCCCACTGACCTTGTCCTCCAGAGACTGTTCTTCTATTTTCCAAAGATCCAGTATCTTTATAAGAAGTTCAGACGTATCGCGCCTAATTTCCATAGGAGACTGTACTGAGGCATAGAGAGAATTGAAGCTGCCAGGCCTTTCTATCGCGTCCAAGAAATAGTTAATACTACCTTCTAATCCACGACGGCTAGATGGCACCGTTGCGTTCTTAGCATGGAACGGGGCCTCGGGAATTGGCTCTTGTTGAACAACATTGACTATTTGTCGAACCCCATCCCCGACAACACTTAATGTGAGCTGTCTGCACAGGGCATGGGATTTAATCTGTCCTAACCATGAATCGATGGTTCTGAGTTCGTGCTGAAGTGCATTCTGATCATCCTTGAATTTGTCATTATGCTCACGATCTTGAGTAGGGCTCTCTTTGAGATATTTCAAGGAAAGCTCGAATGTTTCCTTACCCAATTCCAGCTCGTGGATATCAGGATCTATTGATTTAGCCCATGAAGTACCAGTGCTGGTCAGATCTAGCTCGTAATTGGCGCTATTCATCAATGGGTTGGGTATAATGTCGCAATAAGCCATGGACCTACAGCCCCAGAATCGGCTTTGAAGTAGAAGAGTATCCAAGCGTTCGCGGAGTTTGACCTTCTTGTGCGGAAAGACAGACGGAAGAAGATCTGGGATATGTGCCATGAATAGGTAAAGAGGACCGCCCATGAAAAACTCAGGATCGAAGTCCTTCACATGATCAAGTAAGTTAATACATGCTGGTTTTGGCTCCTCGTTGTGATGGGAGCATTCCTGTCGCACACAGTTCGTGAAAACATCAATTCCTTTACCCTCAAACCGATTGAAAGTAAGTAATTGGCCCATGTCCATAAGTATTTTGTCTAGGCTGTCATAGCGACCGAGTCCATGGATACTCATATGACCGTGTGCTTGAAGCAATCGTCTGTGTATCTCGTGGTGCCAAAACGAATACCGAGAGTACATATTTCCATATATCTCGAAGACTCCAATAGCGCCCAACAAAGGATGCTGCCGAAAGATGAGATTGAAGTGAGTATCGCGGACCCTTGGTAAGCCGGATTCTCGGTCAATAGTCAGGCGACCACGTCCTCGCGAGAGAATCATAGCCAGAATTGCGACAAATCTGATTGAACCATATGCTGGGACAGCCGAGAACTCCGAAGGGAAAAAGTCAGCTCCAGTCAGTTTCACCTCTTCCCATAAGTTCGTACAGTCTAGGGAAAGGTGCGTTAAAAGGGCAAGCCATGTTGCCGGAAAGTAATCTTCTGGGCTTTTCCTGAGTCCTCCTGGATCTTGATCAGAACAGTTAGAGCCCTCTCTGAATTCTTCCAAAAGTCCCAAGTTCAGTGACTCGGCCTTTAGAATTGGAGTAGACGATGTAGTCCGAAATCGCATCTCAGCCCAGTCGAACTTGCGATAATTGCGTCGTGACCATGGACCGATGACATAAGCTCCAGATTTTATACGGCCAGGACCGGCAGCTAAGAATGCCTGAAAAGCAGTCAAAGCTGCGAAGGCAATGGCAACAACGCCGATGATAGCAGTGAATATAAAGGTTAGAGGATCCCAGTCATATTCATTGTTCTGCTCCTGGATCTCACTGAGGATACTTGCGATCGTCTCCAAGACGCATTCCGTAGTATTTAGTAAGCACTCGGCCTTAGTCTTGGACGCCATATTAATGGTGAGTAGTGCAGTAAGAGATGAGAAATGATAGAGAAGGAGCGGTCACAAGAGTTAGAGCTACATATGGGATATATGTAATGGGCTTGGCCGTACTGCCGCGACGGAAGCTTGGATTCTGTAATCGGCGGTCCAGTTGGGCAGCCAGGCAGCTACACACCATAAACACTGGGTTAGGCCAAGTAACACAGCATGAAGATCTTTGGGTGTTGTTGAGCGGTGATTCGATATTTGCGGGTGGCCGTGGCTGCAGGTGGCAATAACCTGTAAGGATATTCTTTGGAGGATGTACGATTCTTTTCTCTTCCCTCAAAAGTTGAACTTCTTTCAATGGCTGTTCCGGGGGCCTTATGCAAGCCACGTACTTGTCCGGGAAATGACCAGTCAAGCTGAACACACCCTTGTATTCTTGGGTCTGGCGTTGCCCAACCAGCCAACTCCCAGCTTGCTTTAAAGTGCATGTATTTTTGTCACTAGGCTCACATACTGGAACCCTTGATCAGCAGATTTAGAAGCCAAGGGTTTTCTGACTCGCGCCAAGACTTCTTTAGCAAATGGTGATTTCAAATATGTATCGTCTTACTGCTATCGTACGTAAGCTAAGGCGACAGCTCTATCCTTTCGGTCCAATTAATAGGTCTCCCAACTGTAACTGTAGCTCTTCTTTTGGCCAGATCCATATTGATGTTGAATAGTGTTACAGTTTCTTGACCCGGTGAGGTCTCAGCGCGATTGATAGATGTCGGATATCCTTGCTCATCTTGAAATAACTCAAAGAATGAAGAGTGATCAATACCAGTAGAGGCCAATTTCTCCTTGAGCAGCTCAGAAGTACGTTTTATACGATCTTTGGAATCAGGTAGCCAACCAGGCTCATCCACTCCGGGGTGATCAAGAAGGAGGTGGTTAGTATGAGGAAGCGTCCCGTCGCTGTCAAAGTTAATCTCCTTTATGCCTATGCTCGTACACTCCAGACCTATCGCTTCAGATTGGTCTGCCACGAGTATATGGCCACTTCCGGCTGTTCCTGTTTTATAGAGCTTGTCTGCTGCTTCTCGTGCAGATTTAGACTCGAGAGCTGTCCGTAAAGCAAGGTGAATTGGAAGTTTGGTATTGTCAACGCCGCGAGCTCGAATTGCATTCAACAGTGTTCCCACCCCAGCTGAGTTTATACCAATCTTGCCTATCACGCCCCCCTCAGTCACCATTGAGATATCGGGTAGATCTGTTCCAGGCTGGGAGATGTGGCAGACAATAAGATTTGGCGCTTGCCGAAGCTGCCAGTCCCAATTCTGCGCCAGGAGAACTTCGCCGTTGGGTTGTCGGTATGCAGCACTGGTACATCCATCCGTTTGAATCGAGGTGCTAGGGACACTGGTGTAGAGACTAAATGTGATTTCTGTCCGAACATTCAGAGCGACGATATCGACGAGATCAACGCCAGCGCCGTCTGCTAAGCCTTGAAGCTCTTGTACATGGCGGGGAGAGAGCTTTGTCAGAGGCTTGATGTAATTTTCTGCCTCTTGACGTACAGCTTCCCAGTTCATGGAGCATGTCTCTTGGAACAGGTTCTCGTAGAATGCGAGTGACCCCGCTACCTTATCCTTTGCTAGTGTGCCATGTTGATGACCGATCTAGTTATGATATTGTTAGGAATAGTTTGATTTGTTTGATTTGTTTGATTTTGGATTGAACCATACCTCGTAGGGTGTTCCTGAGCAGTGCACCTCCAACATGATAAGATGTTTCTTTGGAGACAGCGCAGTGTTAGTGTTGAGGGTAAAATGATCGCCGGCTTACCCCAACATGAGCATTATATATATGCGGTTGAGTAGCGCATCCATCAGATCAATCAATGGTGGGGTTTGGCTCAAGTTCGCCATTGAGAATCACTTATCTGGTTACACTGGCGGGTCATTAGTCTTTGATTTATGATACTCCTCAGCACAACATTATCTCCAAGTTGACGTGATCATTTTTGGAGTACTGGTTGTCGAATATGGAAGATTTTCTTGTTCACAGATCTAGCTTGAATACGGCTTTGGTCTTATTATAAATAAAATCAACCCTTAAAAAGATTGAGCTGATTCCTGGTTGTGGCACAACAAAGGATCATACAATTGTATCTCTACGTTTCGGATGATAATTCCCGGTTTGAGTCGGCTAACCCTCCGACAGCTTCGGATCGTGAGTGGACACCTCCGGAGGTAATAAGCGGAATATGATTGGGGCTCATGACAAATTTCTATCAATCATCGGACTCTTCTCCGTTATGAAGCTTCGACAAACTCGAAAGATATTTCTGAATCTCACCCAAAACACATCAAAATGGGAGACTTACCACACCTGAGTGACCAGATTGGCACCTTCAGCCTCTCTACTATTAACCCTGCCGATCCTGCTTACACCCCTCTTCTTTATCGACTGCGGGAAGAAACCTTTCAAAACCGGACAACTCAAGTTAGACATGGCTCAAATCTAAGACGCTTCACCCGGGATACTTCCATCGATATTCCTGCCGCCATCCAAAAAGACTCTGGAATTGATCTTGACAAGTTCATGCGCCGATATGGCCTGACAGGTTGTGTGGTTGTTCAAAATGGAGCTATACGACTCGAAGAATACAGGCATGGCAACTCACGAGCTTCTCGGAACGATGTCCAATCCTGTACCAAGTCAGTAGTTTCTACAGCGCTTGCCATCGCACAGCAGGAGGGCAAACTATCCGTCAACGACCCAGTATCTCGCCATGTGGAGGAGTTGAAAGGAACCGCCTGGGCCGATGTGCCCCTTCTTGCTCTCTCCAGCATGACGTCCGGGGTAGTCGAGCAGTCTGAGGAAGAGAGGCCTGCAGACGTGCCGAATCCCATGTACGCTACAGAACTTTACCCTCAGACAGATCCAGAGGTTGTCCTCAATTGGCTCAAAACATCCAAGAAGGTGGCTGAGCCTTGGGAGGAGTTCCACTACTATAATCCCAATTACTACGTGTTGTCAACGGCCATTTCTCGTGCGACTAAGGAGCCTCTTGACGAGTACCTCTCGCGCGTGATATGGGAACCTGCGGGGATGCAATACGACGCGTATATACGAACAACCGGTGCGGGACATGTTGATGGTCATGGCGGTCTTTCAGTCACTCTAACTGACATGGCACGCTTTGGATGCTTCATTCTGGACGGTTTCAAAAAAGAAGGCAAAGGTCCTAACGTGCCACCCAATTGGTTCCAGGACATCTCACAGGCCAAGTACAGTGTCGGTGCCCGGGCTCTCCACCCTGACAACTTTGTTTCAAACTTTGGCTACGAAAGTGGATGGTGGACGACAGGGAGAGGGGGCAAGGAGTATATGATGGGAGATGATGGAGCATTTGCGGCTATTGGCATGTATGGCCAGTCTATCTACGTTGTCCCAAAGTTGGACGTCGTTATTGCTATTCAGTCTGGATATCCTGAGCATGAGCTGGACCTATTCACCAAGAATGCAGAGTTGGCAACTTCTATTTTGAAAGTTTTGAGGTAGCAGGATAGTGTTTAGAAGAACAATGTAGGATATTCATGAAGCTTCCTGCTGAAAAAACCTGAAGAGCGTGATTTCATGCTCCCTGACTGCCTCGTCACATTATAAGTGAAATAACTTCTTGAACCCCTGATCAAAGCTCGGCAGCAGCCAAGGCTATATCTGTTGAGTCACATTCAAAAGTCAATCATTCTGCACACGCAATATGCCAGGTAGTAATATTGTTGGCTCGGTTTAGTTTTAAGGGTTGTGATACGTTTGTATAATATCAGGGTACGCTTTCGTTAAGGTTCTATGCGTAGATATCATAAATGGCTACGCCCCGTCTCTCGAGGTAGTGAAATATTTATAAAGTTTACACAATGATATTCCCTCGACACGGCATATTAAAAAAAACTTAGAATTTTACAGAGTATAAAGAGAACTCTCTCCATCCTGAATTGATTCTCATCTTCCTCACACTTAACTTTAGACACCATACCTCGTGCCCACCATCTCGATTTGTTTTCAACCCTCCACACCTTTCTAGCCCGCTTTCTTTCTTAACCCATTGGAAGAATGTCTTCGATGTACATCTCAGCAAACCCTGCCAGCTTTCTGGGCTCTCCTGCAATGTCTGTTGAAATAATTGTCCCTACTATGGGTAAAAGGCCCTGCGCTACATGCGGCGTCTCCTTCGATACTGTTGAAGAGCATCGCGAGCATGCTAAGAGTCCTTCTCAGTAAGTTTAATTACTATCGTACATTTGATAGGCAGTTTTGCTAACAATACTGAAGTCTTCATAACCTGCAATTCCGAATTGCCGTCAACGATGCGACTCCTCATAGCAAACTGCGAAAATGGTCTGAAGCCGACGAACTCTTCAACGAGGAAGCAAATACTCTCTCCGAGGATGAAGAGAATATTACCGAGCCAGAAGAAGAGTATGAAGAAGATTGCGACGAAGTACCTGAGTTTAACCCAGGACGTTGCCTCTTCTGCCATCACAGAACCTCATCCTTCGACAAGAACCTGAGCCATATGGAGGCCTGCCATGGCTTCGGCATCCCCTACCCCAAGTATCTTACTGTCGAGCCCGAGAACCTGATCTGGTATCTTCACTATGTCATCTTTGGCTCTTTCCAGTGCATGTACTGCGAAAAGCAACGATACACCCTTGAAGCTATTCAGCATCACATGCAGGCCAAGGATCACTGCCGCTTCCAGATGACACCTGAGATGCTGGAATTCTACGATGCCGAAGCCATGGAGAGTAATGGGATCAGTAAGCCTTCCGGAGTAAATGCGAAGATTCTTAGACGCCAGTCTGGGAAGCCTCTCGTGCATCGGTCCAAGTCCCCCCTCTCAACAAGAATGCAAGTCCGCAAGATGATGCACATCAACAAGCGCAAATCCCTCCCAGCAGGTGTCTTCGCTAACCCTCGGTCGATCCGAGACACTGAGACCACGCACCCTCTGGACTTCGTGCCGGAGATGCAGGGGATGACCATCGCGAACTACAAGAAATTTCTGATAGAGGTGACGGAATACCAGGACGTCATGGGCAGAATACGCGGGAAGCGAGATCTTGCCAAATCCATGCGACTGAGACATAGGTTCGCCATTCATCCCGGGCTTGGTGACGTTGGGAAAAACTGGATGAGGAAAAAGAAGATGGCGGCTTACCAAGACTATTATTTCTCACCACGGTTGTAAACGTGCCATGAGGTTATGAGGTAGACCTTCTATACACTTCTGACTCTACCCGCCAATTTGGACTCTTTGAGTTTGGGTTTGGATTTTATTTGATTTTACGAATTGATCGATAGACTGTTTATACTTATGAGAACCAAAAGCGTTGGAAGGATGGAGAAAGAAAAGGATTGACTTTAGAGATTCGCGTCATACATATCTCAACTATAGTGGCTAATCGTATTGCCTGAGAGGTATACTGATCACCGTAATTATAAATACTATTTCTGGAAGACACAACATTACATGTAACTGTGAATATATATAACTAGATTAAGCTGCCCTATCTGAATTTCTCATCAAACATTTGCTGCGAGACCCCCTGATTCAGGTTGTAATTCAAGTCACAGAACAAAAGGAATGAAACGAGCCGTTCTTGCATGCCACTTATCCCACTCTTGACCGAATGCTCGCTTCAACATTACCTCCTCCTGTCTAACCCTTGTCCAGATTGCATACGAGACAAGCGATGCACCCAATGGAAGCAATCCCCATATCCAGGAACAGAACGTACCATACCACTCTGGCGGGACCCAACAACTGATAGCTCCATCCAATCTAGCTAGCAGCACTATATTAGATATCATGAGGATAGTCATGCCTGTATAACTGGGATGCTGAACATATTGATAGATGCCTGTTGTTTTCAGGCGATCCGGCTCTTTTAATGCAAAGGTGAAGTTTTTGCCCAGCGACGCATATGGAACCAACCGGAGGGGCACACCGGCACAAAGGATAAGAGCCAGTGGTATCGCTGTCGCAGCAGACCATGTTATAAGGTCGGTGTTCAGTCCGTTCTCTGCACCACTGCGAACAACAGAAGCTGGTATATCTGGGTAGCGCAAGCTCAAGTTGGCCGTGTGCAGCGCCAAGAGTCCCAGAGGAGCTAGGACTACTTTGGTCGAGTGTTTGTTGGTTAGGAACAACCGACGAACAGAGTCTCCTGTTGGTGGCGCTGCATGTTCGCTAGGATTCGGCGGCGATAGGGCGAGATATGTGCCATATGTGGATGCTAATATTGTGGCTGCCAGAGAAGCCTGAGACAAGGAGGTTGGAAAAGCCATTGCTGTGTCACTCAATGGGAAGAGAGGTATGGAGTATGTATGCAAGTTAACATCGAGTCACTGGATGAGACATGTGGATTTAAGGTACGATGACGGAGGGAAAAGTTGATCCGACTAGACTGGACCAAGCGAAGCGATCGAAGCTAGCAGTGACACTTCCACGTGACAGCCGGTGACGATGTCGGGATACTCACGAGAGAATGAGCGTTTTGTGTCAAGCATTTCCTATACCTATTGAAGAAGTAATTCATAAAAGATCTAGATTGAGTGCCTTTTTGTTCGATGTCATTATCTGGAGGACTGGATGTAAGTAATATGAAATGTGACGTATGTCTGATGTTTGAGAATTACTATGTATGGCCAGTTAGAGACTCAGAATCAGAAATTCAGAATCAGCCATAGTGGATACCTTCCTAGGCTTATCTGTCATAACTCGGTGGAAGAACTCTCCATCAACATCCAACATCCAACATGGTTGAATTGTCTACAAAGTTTCAGAGTCCAACAATAACAGCAACTAAAAATATTCTAGAACAAATGACGAGCATGGAAACGTTCCTAACAACAACTGCGCCGGAGAGTTTAAAAACCCGTATCGTATCGGGGCCACTACCAGCAGAGTCTAACCACCAATCCAACGCTTTCAAGGGTCTCTCAAACTCCCTCCAAAGAGGAAAGGTCACGCCCGAAAAATCAATATTTGTGACGCTCATACTCCACTTGGTCTGAGACGAAGACCCTAAGCGCGAGATGGGATTTGTCGATCACTGTTTTGTGGCGACGGCTGCATAATCGCCTGCAGTCTAGACCTCGTTGATGTTTTTAACTGCCAGCCTACGCAGTACAGTATGAGTACTACCGCTACCACTACCACTACCATTACCAGTGCCAGTACCTATGTCAATCTCCCGGTTTTCGGCGTTCGCCCCCCTAGTCTCTGGTGGCGAGCGCTAGCAACCAAAGCTCAATGTCTTTCTCTCTTTCTTTCTTCTTTCGCCAATGATGGTCTCTCCTGTGATGAAAAACGCGTGAGAGAATGAGGGGGACAATTCAACATCGACTTTTGACATCACTCGCTTCAATCAATTTCAGTGCCAGTTCGATATCCAGTCCCAGCAAAGCCTCATAGCTCTGCATGTGACATTACCAACCTACCGAGAATGGCCACAGCATGTGTCAGTGTCCAGGTGCCTAAACAAAGCATCGTCTCCGAAGCTGCTCGGGAGAGGGAGACGTTTAGGTACGAGGCACCTTTCCCCACAAGCTTCATTTTCAATCTGTATCATATTTGCTGAACAAAATAAAACTAGATATGACGACTCACTATTCAACAATATCCGCATCAACAACTCTGGTGCTCCGGTCCCCAGTACGGAGCTGGCTACATGTCCAGATGTCATCTTGACAGCTCTGGCTCGACTTTGTGCCTCTGAAACCGGTGCAGCGCGCTGCATGATCTCGCTGTTTGACCAGACTCATCAGTATATTATTGCAGAAGCTTCGTCCGTGACCCCATTGATTCCCAACTTCGGAGATGCCGGCAACGGTGAAATCCTGTGGCATTGCGGAACGGCGATTCCACGGACACACAGTCTCTGCGAGAGTACTTTATGTTCCGGCGACCCTGACCAGTTTGGCCCCGATCGAACCTTTGCTGGTGACGAATTGCCGGTTATTGTTTTTGATGATGTTACTCTTATTCCCGAACTTGCATCAAAGCCTTATTGTCGGCCCGGCGGTGCTTCTAGATTCTATGCAGCCTCGCCAATTCGCAACGAACGAGGTGTCAACATTGGCGTTATCTGCGTGATCCACACAGAGCCTTCACTGCCTTGGGAAGACAGACATTCGAGGCTGATGCGGGAGCTCTCGATAGCGGTGGTAGAGCACCTTGAGACCATCAGTCTTAAAAGCAACCAAAGGCGCAGCGAAAGGAAAAATCGAGGTTTGACGAGCTTTCTTGAAAACCCTACTGTGGCACCTCTCAGCCAGTCTCATCCTTCTGCACGAAACAACGGGGATCACGAGAAGAAAACTCCTGCGACTAAGAGGCCCAAGACTGAGGATGTGCAAAAGGCGTTGGGCGAGATGACTATGAAAGATTCCACGACTTCAAGTGTCGACTGCGGTGACACAGCTACACCACATCCAGAGACATCAACCAAAGGCGCCTGTCCGGTTGAGTTCTCCACAAAATTGACAGCCCCCCAAGAAACATCTAGCCCTCTTCTAACTTCAAAGCAAATCTTCTCTAAAGCGGCTTCTATTGTCAAGGACTCTATCGAAGCCGACGGATGCTTGTTTTTGAACGCAGACATGCTCGAATTTTCAAGCGCCGGCTCCTCAACTGAATGGATAGACGAAGATATGGCGGCTCGACGCCCCTCGGCATTCAGTCACAACGAAAGTGAAGACGCTTATACAACCGGCTCCTCCGAAGAGCGCATGCGGCCACCATGCCAAGCACTCGGTTCATCGGCTGCGGGCCAGGAGTACACCGGGAAGACTAACGTTGGGCTTCCACAAGCTCTCCTCGCTCGGATGATTCGACGATATCCTAGGGGGTATGTCTTCAACTTTGATTCTGACGGAAACTTGCAGCCTGATGAACTGTCCGATAACGACAGCCACCATTCGTATAACACAAATCAAGAAGGGGCCTACGTCCCGAACAAACGAGAGAGCAGATTCCGAATTCAGCAACGAGAAGCAAGTATCCTGCTGGAGACATTCCCAGGTGCTCGCAGCGTCGCTTTTGTTCCCATTTGGGACCTTAGAAAGAAACGTTGGTCTGCCGGTGGCTTCATTCATACATACAACATCAAACGCATTTTCACCATAGACTTTGATTTGAGTTATCTCAGAGCCCTTGGAATGCTCGCAGCGTCTGAAGCCTTCAAATTTGAGACTTTAGCTGCTGATAAGGCCAAGACCGATGCCCTGGGTTCGCTGTCTCACGAGCTGAGATCACCACTTCACGGCGCTGTTCTCAGCGTTGAACTTCTCAATGATACAGATCTCACTATTCCGCAGCAGAACATCGTACGTACTATTGAGACGTGTTGTCGAACTCTTTCGGATACTATCGACCATCTGCTCGAATACTCTAAAGTAAACAAAGCCCTACAACAGGAAGCGCCTCGCGAAAACCAAGTAGACGGTTTCGGCTACAATCGAGCTTCTAATTTTGGAATTCCTCCGAAGCCTAGGAAGGTTGTTCAGCTCGATGTACTTACTGAGGAGGTTCTGGAGAGCGTCTATGCTGGCTTTAACTTTCAACATGTCTCCATCAACCAACTATCAGACAAGCCACCTCGACGACCTGGTCACACTTCTATTCGTCGAATGGACACTATGCAAGCTATAGAAGAGCTTCAGACACCACTCCGGAAGACGGGAAACAACAGATCGAAGACAATGATCGGAGACGTTGAAATCTTTCTCGTTATTGATTCGCGCCCATCGTGGGGTTTCTATACACAGCCGGGGCCTGTGCGTCGTATCATCATGAATTTGTTTGGAAACTCGCTCAAGTACACCCAGCATGGTCTTATCAAAGTATCCTTGGAGCAGTCAAGTGCTATTCGAAACGACGACAATGACTGTTGGGTTACTATCACCGTTTCGGATACCGGAGTAGGCATTAGTGATGAATTCCTGGAAGATGGATTATTCAAACCATTCTCGCAAGAGAACCACTTGTCTCCCGGTACAGGGCTTGGACTAAGCTTTGTCAAGCAGATAACAGCGCAGTTTGGAGGCCACATCTCCGTCGATAGCAGAGTTGGGGTTGGAACCACCGTGACAGTAAGACTGCCCATGAAGTTAGGAGATGACTGTCACAACGGTGTTGGCGAGTTTCGACAAAGGGAAGAGGAGTTCGAGCTGCAGACGGATAAACTGCGAGGACTACGAGTCAAGGTAATTGACTTCAAAAGGGATGCAGTTACAGGTGGCGGCTCTTCCAAGAAAACGATTGAGGCCCCGGATCAACTTGTGCAAAATATATGCAAAGACTGGCTAAACATGCAAGTCAACACCGACCCCGACGGGTCTGCATCATCATGCTGGATGCCAGATCTCGCCATATGGTCTGAACACGGATTTGAAAGCCCTTACGACCCGCAAGAATCACTGCCAGACGTACCAAACATTGTGCTTTGCGCCAATGCCCTTACGGCGCACCAATATGCTTCTGGCACAAGGACTATACCACGCCGTGGAGTATTCGAGTTTATTTCACAACCGTAAGCTACTACGTTCTCCTGTTTGTCGTTAGTTACTAATTCGTATCTAGGCTCGGCCCTCGAAAACTTGCAAAAGCATGCGCTCTGGCTCTATATCGCTGGACAGTCGCGCAAACATCCACTAATTCTCCAACAACTGCGTTCACGCAGTCAGAACCTCAAAATCCGTCTATCAGTGAAGCATCTACACTAACAGATCCTGGCTCACCATTCCCTCAAAGTGCAGACGCAACACCAATGCAATCCGAGGAATACTTCAGAACCCCTGAATTCCTACTTGTGGACGACAATTTTATCAACCTCAAGATCCTATCATCATACATGAAGAAGCTCAAGCAGCCTTACCAAACAGCTTCGGATGGCTTAGAAGCGGTAACAGCATACGAAGCCGATCCATGTCGTTTCTCATGCATCTTGATGGATATCTCCATGCCGGTAATGGACGGTTTTGAGGCAACACGGCGTATCCGTGCTTTTGAATCTCAACGGGGCGTGAGACCTGCTCTGATACTGGCTTTGACTGGCCTGGCTTCTGAGGAGGCGCAGAGAGAGGCGACTGTGAGTGGACTGGACATGTTCCTTACCAAGCCTGTGCGATTGAAGGAGCTTGGTCCAATCTTGAGAGCAAAGGGAGTTTTGGAAGAGGAATCGAATGTGGGCTAGTTGATTTAGGCAAAGAAAAAGGTGGCTTGGTGATATGTTGTCGTTAATGGCTAAAAGCAAAGGATAATGAATAGAACGGGAATCATAAAGATAATAATGAGACAAGAGTTTGGAACATTTAAGTAAACACGGGATGTTGGTCTAACTCGAGAGGAAGATTAAACCTCGACCACAAGTGTCTCAGCTATCTACTCCCAATGAGAAGCGCCAGTTGTAATGTCTGTCACCCAGGTGCTGTGCAGGATAATCAAATTATTGACATTGGCTCGCGGATATGGCTTCACAACAGGACATGGAGGAAGGCCAAAAGATTATGCATTTGGTTAGTGTACAAGCCTGTTCACACATGTCGGTATTCGACTGAGAGACTGGATAAGCTATGATAAGATAGAAATGTACTGAGATTGCCCGCTGTCTTTTAGTGTTTCCTTATCTTGAAGTTCTATCTCAGTAAGACCAAAGGCTCGATATTCACATCAGGGGTCATAGGTATACATAAAGACTTCTCTCATCCATATCACTAAAGCATATCAGGGGCAAACCCAAAACTCGTGCTGGATTTATAATTGTGTTTAAGCTATGTATCTCTGACTCCTGAGGTGCCCTCACAGTGGCTTCAGGAGGGAAGATGGGAAGAGGAACATAGAATAGAGAGTTGTATCGTGGTTCCATGAGGCTATTCGTGTTGAAGTATCAAAAGGAATTAGGGTCCTAGTGCCTCGCCAGACTCATATCTCAACAGTCTTGGAGCAATAGGGGCCATGTGTATATGATGAAACTCAAATCTGCGCAGAAACACAACGTAGTACGTACTTTGCACTTTTGTGTTCTTTGTGTCCAATATCTTGGTATCCTTGATCAATGAAGTACCATAAACCGCAAGTCGAGGTTCACGGTCAAGTCCTTGTTATTAGCATCAGATCACAGCCCTCATCTTCACCGCAACTGTCGGTCCACCGCCAACCCCTATTAGCAAGCACCCTCATCAGATCTCTGAAAACACACTACTTCATCGCAAGAGGTGAGAATTATATGTATTAGGTATCAAGATAAAAGCAAATGCATGACAATATGACAGTATAAAGCACGCTTCATCAACCCGCCATTCTGCTCCGTAACCCATAATAGTTTGTTCTTTCACATGAGACACCATTCCCGGTATCCCATCCCAGCGCTAAATGCAACTCCTCTCCCGAAAAAACGCAAATGAAAACGATAGAGATGGAAAAAACGATGATTGATATTTTTTCGCCTGCAAAACGCCATGCCGCTTCATATCCGTAACCCTTGGTATCTTCAACACGACCCAATAAGCGCCAGACCATTCTCTGTTGTGTGGTTTTCTCTTCTTTCTCTCGGCCTTGATTCTGTGTCTGATGATTGTTTTGCTTTTGTCTTTTTCCTGGTTTGTTGTGGTTTTACTGTTGATGTTGTGATGAGCCTATTGAAGACTACAACTTCATCAATTTGGTGTGGTTCTCTTGGTTCTTATTGAGGTTCTACTGCCGATGAGGAGTCTCTTTGAAACGTCTTACCCAATGCTGTCGCACGCGACCTGGCATCTTGCAGAATACCATGGCCTTGCATTCGTTAACAAGAACGCCCTCCGAGATCTTGACCTGCAGGTCCAAATCCTCATCGGCAAAGTCGCGAAAGAAAATATCGAGGGCCTCCTCCTGCCAGCGCAAGGCGTTTCGAGATCGTACAGCTTCAACGAGCTCATCCACCGGGGGACCGCTAGACATAGTCTGGCTGTCTGCCTGGGATGGGGAACCGGCACTCGGGCCATCGCGCACGGCCATGGGCAGCATGGACGAATTGAGGACAGATGCGGTGAGAGCACGAGACCCATCGTTGGACGAGGTTCTACGGCGTTTACCGGGAGATTCGGGCGCGGCTTGTCCCAGAGGGATGGTGGAGGTGGGTGGCGTGGTATCGAACATAACGGGGGTACTCGTGGTGGGAAGCTGTCGCTTGCGACTCTGTGTGATGGTCTCGTCGGGCGGGGTAAGAGCGTTCGCGTTTGGTACAGTCGGGGGTCCGCGAGGGGGGATCGTGGTAGACATGGGCCGTTGCGTCGCTGACCCAACGGAGGAAGTGGTGGGAGTCTGGGTCAGCATGGGTCGCGAGTTGGGACTTTCGAGTCCTGGGGGTCGAGGAAGGGGATCGCTTTGCAGGTTGAGAATACCGGTGCCGGGCATATCGGGATCGTCGCTGATGGGTCCGTCTGTCCGTCTTCGAGGCTTCATTATCCGTTTGGGAGCGCCACCCGAACCGATGACGTCTGGATAGAGAACCTCCATGAAGTCCTCGTGATCGAAGGGTCGGCCGCGCAAAGCCCTAGAAAGCGGTTCCCTCTATTTGAGAGTCAGTACGTGCTTGGACGCAGTTGTTTAGTGTGTAATCGCCCACGGCGGGCGAGCCTCGATACTCGCGTGATGGCAGTCCCTCATCGTTCGCATCGCGGCCGTGCAAGAAGTGTTTACCTCGATATGCGCAGCCCACGCCTCCTCGGTAGCAGTCACGGTCCTCGTCACCTGGCTATAGACAAATTCGGGATCCTCACGAAGGCCTCGCCACAAGCGAAAGCGCTTCCTCGCGTTGTCGCTCTTGTTGATCAGATGGCTTTTCGCAGGGTAGGCGCCATGGCTCTCCTGTAGAGCGACGGCGGCGCGCTCCCAGGCCTCGGCCTTGAAGGAGGAGTTCTCGCGGAGACCAAGTTGGACGCTCTCGCAGAGGCTGCGGAAGAAGGTAGCTTCGTATGCGGGAGTCCAGCTGAAGCGCGGCGCTCTTCGATCGCGGTCGACTCGGGCTGGGGGTTGACCGTCGGGGCCGAGGGCATCGGCGTCGTCTTCGGACATTGTTTTTCTTCGCCGGGAAGAGACTTGAGGAATGGAAAGGCAAAGATAAAAGGAACAATAATAATTAACAGGCCCCCTCGTGACTTTTTGAAACGAGGCTGAGGCCGAAGCGGAAGCAGATGCTTCACCAAGACTATACTGTTGGTGCAGTATCAATCAATCAATCAGTAAAGTAGGATCAATCAATCCAATGTGTCGGGAATTCCCAAACCTTAGCCTAGCTCGCCCAGTCGGGACTCGGCCGGGCGGTGAGTTTTCAGGTGGGGGCAAGAGGTCACCTGGGCCACTGGGAATTTCACTATGCGTATGCCATCACGTGCGTTATCTGAAGAACAGGGAAAACTCAACATCAGCATCTAAACATTCTTCTATACTTCTATGCCAGGGTCCAAGAACAACCCATGATATCATGTTTTCGTCTTTGACTTGAGAATGCGACGCGCCGGAACGTTTGCTCCTTGCCTAACCCCCGAGTGTGATCCAGGGCCGCGGGACAGGGATTTGCGGTAGCTGAGGCTCAAATCCCACTCAATCTCCATGTAATTGGTCTATCAGACGGGTGAGCTGCATTACAAGGATTACGGGTACTTGGCCATCATGATCTGTCAAGGACTGTCATCGAGAGTAAGCTTTGTGATTGACTCATCCAACTTATGGAGATTGTTTCCACTGTTGAGACTTGAGACTGGAGCTTATGACCCGAAATATTATATACCCGCGGCTATCGCGCATCAACTACCTCCATATTTGTTGTTCATCCTTGATCATCTCAGCTCTATTTCGTCGGCCAAGATTCATCCCACGTCATTCAGTATACCCGACAAGTCATACAGCCAACAATGATAGATGAGCCGCTCAGTGAAAAACTCATGTCAATCAGGTGTATTAATTAAGGCATTTATAGTATTATCAATATTAACGAAGATTTATCGAAAACATGTGATTCAAAGCGAAAATAGAGACTCAAAAGCGACAGCAACGACGATGGCCACACCAGCCAATCCCAGGTTGCGACCGGCAGCACCCGATACGACAACTGGGAGTTCTGAAGGCATTCCTAATGACACGTTAGTACTTTTCTTCATCCTATCATCTTTGTTCCTGGACTTGTCACACTCACCAGGGTGGGCACTCTCTGGGTAGTCAGTAGCTGAGCTTGGCCTGACACTGGATTGGAATCCGTGGTTGTCGCCCGCGGGAGCATTGGGTGCGGCTTCTCCTTGTGGCTTGTTGTTTGAACCCCCGGCAGGGGTAGGGCCTTCTGGGCTGTAAGGCTCAGTCTCAGGCCTTGAATTTTCTTGAGCTCCTGGGAAGTAAGGATCGTCCTGGTATGAACCTTTCTGGCCTCCTGGGTAGTCAGACTTGTCCTCAGACTTGGAGTCTTCTGGTGCTTCATATCCATTATCACTGTCGGTGGGCTTCACAGCAATGGGCTTCTCGGTTGGGTATGTGACATGGTTGATGTACGGGCGGTCCGAAACAGGATACGTGATGGTAGCAGTGACAGGCTCAGGACCACAGGTGGTACACGTCTGGACATCATACGTGAACCCAAAGGGGAGATCATGGTCCATGGTGGGCTTCGCCTCCATGCCCTTGTACGTCTCGGTGATGACATACTCTTGGTCGTAGAGGCCAGTGGAGCAAAAGGCAGGGTACCTGGTGGTGTACTCAAGAGTCTGCACGCAAGTCGGGCAGCCGCAGTCACAGTCAGGGGCTTGCACCTCGACGATGATGGGACCTCCTGTGACAGCTGGCGGCTTGATTATGCAGCTCGGGGCGGCGACAGTAACCGTAGGGACGGCCAGACCACCTTGAGTGAAGCATTGTGTTATAGTCGCCGTGGCATAGGTGAGGTGGATGCCATCGTCAGCTGCCCTCACAATTGTGAAGAGCGCAGGCAGGACGATGGAGTTGAAGTGCATCGTTAACGAACGTGGAAAAGTGAATTCAGATAAACGAGTGACTGAATTAGAGAGGCACGAAATAGCTTCCAAGTCAATAGAGGAATTGGGAGCCTTTTGAACGGGGAGACTCCCACTCTGACTCGCATTGGCCCGTGGAATCGATTACAAGGGAGGATTCTTCCATACCAGAAGACTCGACTCATTTGCCGCAACAGCCATGTGGCTGGCTGGTGTAGATCAGCCTTAGACAACAAATGAGGGCTGAAAGGGCCAGATAATAGCATGTTTGCAAGCTGTTTTTCCCATCTGAGATTCTTGTTCCAACACGGGATGCGAACCTTCTTTTACCAGAGAAACATGCCCCGTGGCGGGCTGAAAAATCCAAAATCTCCAGCGTCGGATGCGTACCAGGAATTCGAAAGACGTGTTGGTCCCAGGTATTTACGTTCTGTGCTCAGACGACTAGGATTTGAGCAAGGGAGTGCCGGTGAGTCTATGTTTCACTCAAGTGGCCATCATAGCGACGGCGGCGGAGCTACGCTATTTTATTATAATTATGTCTCACTCCAGAGATGAGAACATATCAAAAGATTGAATCAAGAGTCCAGAACGTCACGTGGCTAATTCAGAGAGCACCTGGGCTGAAACTATGTGCTTTTACGGCCCCTTGCGCATCAACATACATTCTTGTGTTTCTAACTGTAACATGATCAACATCGATCAACGGCTGTACAGTGTTCAGATCCACTTGGCTTACTATATAATAAGTATATTCATTCTAATTCACGATTATTCGTGAAACATTATATGCTGTCGAAGCTTCCGTTATCCTTTCCTTTCTGGTCTTAATTGGGACCTGCGGTCATCAAGTTGTGTTAAGTTGTATACAACTTACAATATGCTCATGAACCCTCTTTCTCCATCCCATAATCATGCACCAAGCACACTTGAAATAATATGGCCATTGACATAAGCTAATTGATTTCTTTGCTATGCTTTCTTTTCTCTTCCCCTTTGCTCTTCGAATAAAAGGTAGATATACATATATCAAATTCATGATACTTCTAGACTTTGAAAGCCGTGACGGAACAGGTCCTTGTCTTACCTTCCCCATAAATGCTCATCAAGTTCTCTCTTGTACCTAAGTCTAATATCAAAACTAGAGAATTCCTTCAGCTCGTGTGTAAAACAAAAATGAGGATTGATAAATGTCAATGGCTGTATTCAAAATAATCCAATGTGATATTACGCTAATTTATCAGGCCAGCAGTCATACCGGCAATGCATGACAGTCCCTAAAAGAATCGCGCCGACAGCCCCTTTTCAATGATTTAACCAACCGCATGCTTCATAGCCAACTACCACGGGAAGCAGAAGAAGGGTTTTGGTAAAACAAACGCAGTATAGAGCAGATATATAAAAAGCACGACATGGCCCCAACATTTTAACCGTGGTCAAATTACCAAAATATCATCCAAACATAAAATCATCTCTATACGTACACCGCCTATATGAAGTTAAAGGACAAAGTCAAAGCTTATGATGAACTGTGGATAAAGTCCAAATTTAGACTTCTCCAATCCCACAACTGTGAGAAATCGCCTAGGTCGACGTCCGTTATAGTTCCCAGGCCGTAGTCCACGTTCAGGTCCTGAGCCTGATAGTCGACGTATTGCTGAGGCACCATGCCGGCAACTTGGTGATCCATTTGATTCATTGCGTAGAGACCACCGCTTTGCATAATTCCATCGATTCCGGCACTGGGAGATGGGACTTGGTGTGGCGCAGCTCCTACGTTGTAAGACATCTGCGGTTTGGCGTATCCTTCCAGTGGGACTTGGGTAGTCGGGGCATAGGCGGCATGGTCGTGAGCATCATGCGAGTAATTGCTCGGGGGCGTCGATTCTGCACCAGCACCTTCGGAGCTTCCATAATAACTTGGCGAGCTTTCCTGCGACTCTTTCTCGGGTTGGTATCCGGGATCTGGCTTATAGTAAACTTCTTGGTTATGATTGCTGACCGGCTCCGCTCTAGATGCTTGTGCGACTCGCTGTTTCTTACGAGAAACGGGCTCGCGTTGAGGTGGCGATTTTCGAGGCATCTTCTGGGCCATCTTCACCAGGATGTCGTGAGAAGTCTTTGCAGTTTTTGATAACAACTTGAGGCGCTTCAACAGCTTTATCGAACTATCCACTGAGTCGATGATCTCGTCCTTCCTCGGAATCGTGTCGTCATGGTCCTTAATAATAGCAGTGGAGAGAACGGCTGCTGTATCGAATAGCGAGAAGATGATGAAATGAAACCTGCCGTCCCGATGTGAAGCATGGTTGGCCCATTGGTTAGTAGTTTCCAAATTCTTCAAAGAATACTTGACAGCGTCGTTTCGAACGGCCAAAACCTCCTCTGAGGAGTTCTTCGTGTAAACCTGTGCCATAAACGATCGCATCGGGTTCAGGATCATCAGATACGCCATTGTGTGAAGGTAGAAACGGTGAAAGACAATCCAACTGTACTTCATGTCCTTGGACGTGTCGGGATTGTCCACATCGTACACGGCGGGGAAACGTCCTATCCATTGCTCAAGCGTAGCCTTATACTCTTGAATATCGTTTGCGGAGGTGATGTTTTTGGGAGCACCCCATCGCTGTGCTAGTTGTGTGACCAGCTCTGATTGGAGTTTCATGTGTAGGAGTGGCGATGGTGAGAAATCTTCCAGTGCCAGACTCGGTGGCTCCACGTTGATGTCGCTATGGTCGATAATCGTCGGCCGGCCCAGGCCAGAAGCAAATTGCCTGTCCACTGATTAACACACAGTTCGAGGATGTTCGAATAGTCCCGCTTACCAGTCCCAGCAATCCAAGACACACCACACTCTGCGACGCATCTCTCGCTCAAATTCAGATAAACCTTCGGCAATGGCAGTTCGGTGAAGACCTTAAGGACAACGTTAGTATCGACGTTATATAGATCAAGGTGTATGCATGTACCTAGCTCGTGTGCCTCGCGAACAGCAGCACCGATGACATGCCAAGCTTCAACAAATTTTGCCTCAGACTTGTACCAGTAGATAGAGTGAAGCATCCATTGAATGTTGAGGAGATGGCAATGGCCAAGAGGAATCACCCTCCCAAGTTCTGTAGCGGCTTTGTGATACTCTACCGATAGCTTGTCGGAGGGCTCCGATAACTGAACCTCAATGATAGGTTTCATGTCGACGTCTAGGTGCTGGGTGGCACATGCGCAGACCATAACTAGCAGGATTGTCCACTGCAATGAGAGTGGCTGGTTGCGAGACCTGCAATCCCACCATTCTTGATACTCTTGAAGGAAGACAGGAGGATAAATGATATAGTAATGATAATTCATGTTGTTAAAGAAGCTTTGGACCAGAGCGTCTGAACAAGGGTTAGAAAACTGCACTTCTGTTGAATTCTGGGCCAGTTTAGAGGACACTCACCCATCTGGGGGCGTCCTGGCAGAACATCGATTGCATGCTTAAGCTGAGGACAGGTACGAGGATGAACCCAGGTTAGCTCGCCTAGAGGTTTCTTATCCTTCTGTTTTTTATTTTTAGCACAGGTAACGGTCAAAGTAGCTTTGAAAGCCAGTTAGAAACTTACCTTTGGGTCGATAGTCAAAGACTCGAAGAGGGGTCCAGCGGCATATCCCATCGCCCCAAGTCCAACATCGTCGTCGTCCTCATCAGGTTCGGAACTCTCGGGTTCGCCATCATCCTCTCGGCTGCGAGAACGCTTTTTCTCGCTACCCGGCGTGAGACTGTCAGAGGGTGAGCTGGCAGTGTTGCCCTGAATGAAGCGGCATTTATCTGCGACCTTGCGCTTCTGGCAGTGGTTGCAGGGCCATTCTCGGTTGCACTGCCGGTGGTCAGCGCGGGGCTACAGGGCCATACTGATGCCATAGGAAAGAGCGTGGCATCGTTCCCAAACCATATCAAAGGACCCAAACGTACCTTTTGCTTCCTGCGATGGCACTCAGCGCAAGCCGAGCGGTACTGGCCTGTATGCGAATTGTTATCCTCCATGTTACGGTGGAGTTGACGTGTGGAGTAGTTCGACAGGGAGAGACGCGAAGGAAAGTCCAAGGTTGGGTTGGGGAAAAACTTTGACGCGTTGTTCCGGAAATGTTCCAATCGGCCAATTGAGGGTAAAAGAGGGTCTTGACTGTTTGGAGGTTAGTGCTGCACTTGGACGGATGATGCCGTCCCCGTTTTGATTTAGATCACCTCGATTTTCTTTGCTTTTTGCCGGTTCTGGACCTCAGTCGAAGCTACGTTGCAGTTATGAAGGGATATGGAGAAATTGGCTGCGTTCTTGGACAGAACTAGGCAATCGCTGACTCGTTTTAGAGGTCAAGAAGCCCCCTATTGAACATCATCTCGGTCCGAGTCTGCTAGTCTATCAAAAGTTCACAACTAACACCTGCGTAGTCCTTGTGAAAGCCGATCAAGCTGCAACGCCGCAAATGCAGCCTTCCTGGATCTGCACGAACCTCGCAAGCCACTTTCCAGCTTCCACGGCAATTCATTCCATGTTTGGCCCGAATGGCTTTCAGGCTTGTGGGGTCTTCCGAATAATGACAATAGGACGTGATGTCAGACGTTCTCTTACAAGGCTGAATTAAACTTGTACTCCATTCGTCCAACGTAACACAAAAGGTCTGGAATGTTCATTCACGGATCATCATAACCGCCCACGAAACCTGATAGAAGATATCTATCTATCTGCCTTGATTTCAATTAAAATTTCCAGCGACTAACTAACGCGTCTCGTATTGGTGTCTGTGGGTTGATCACGGAGTGATTGCGTGAGAGCTCCGACTCATATGACCTGGACCCAGGTCGAGGGAGTCGTTGAATAGTAATCATTCAAATGCCGAGTATTTGTAATTATTACACATAAGGTTTGTGGCGCAGTCATTTGCGGCAACTCTATCTTCAGAGGGCGTCTTGGCTAACGTCTTGGAGTAAACCTAGTCGCTAGTCTCCTACTCACTTGGGTCTAGATGCTTCTACGGCTGTTCTACATTGTCTGCGCTATGGCTTTCTGGCTCTGAGTGGGAATTCCACGCGATTGAGAGTTGATTTGAGATGCTCATATTCAGCTGCGTAGTCCCCATCATGATTCATGTAAAATTCCCATGAGACTGTCTCAACTTGAAAAATGGAGAAAAGCGAACTTGGTAATGCCCAATAGAGTTCGATCTTTAATTAGGGTTTTTGGAATTATTAGCAAAGCTCTCGACTCTTTCGTCATCGGACTCTATCCCTTTCTTCGCTCCATCGCAAGCATCGCGACTACTAGCTATAGGTTTCTCAACTTTCTTCCTCCGCAAAAATTTACCGGATCTCCTTTAGTGATTTGATTTGCTTCCCGTCTTTGTCAAAGTTCTGTTCACTAAGCCACGCCTCAAATGCTTTCTTGACAAGAGGCCATTCATCGTCAGTGATGCTGAACCAAGCCGTGTCTCGACGTCTTCCTTTGAGAATCATGTGCTTCCTATTTCAAACGTTAATATGACACGATAAGATCAATAGCCTTGATAAATACCTAAAAATGCCCTCAAACACGAAGCCTAGACGCTCGGCAGCTGCAAGACTAGGCTTGTTGAGGTGATTGGCCTTCCACTCCACTCTCAGGTATCCAAGGTCGTCGAAGGCATACTTGATGATAAGGTAAAAGGCCTCCGTAGCAGCTCTTGTCTGTTTCAATTGTGCACCAAATATGATACTGCCGATCTCTATCCTTCGGTGGTCAGGAACAATGTTGAGAAAGGACATTTGGCCAACTGGCTCAGATTGAGGATCATTGCGAGGACCGGAGAGAACAGTGTAGAACAATGGGTCCTCCGTCTTGCTGAAACCTTCAACGGCTTTTCTCCATTCTTCTGGTTTAAGATATGGGCCGCCAAACATGTATGTCCAAAGATGGCCATTGGCGCTACCGCCGAGGTGTCTCCAGGTTGGGTCGGCATGAGAGGGCTCCAACGGAATTAATGCAGTGTAACGGCCCTCCAATACACAACGAGATGGCGCCGCGGCGGTGCCCGATGGGGTGACGGGGCCAACTGTTTGTCTACTCATGATTTTGGTTGTTGTGTATGTGAAATTGTTTCGAGTTCAGTGTAAGAGGAGGTGTCTTGATTTAACAACTGGCGTTCGGTCGTCGGATCCGAGGCATGATAAGCTCGGCACTTTGTCCCGAAAGTGAGTCACGATATCTTCCTTATCATGTGGATAGTAAAATTGCGCCCTCCCGTTGATTCATCATGTCTAAACCCGATATTCAACATTTACATACCCTCATAATGGTGTAAGTCTTGCAACAAAGATATTTCAAACCGTTTGAAAAAAGGGTTTCACCAAACATCGAAATTTCAAATCTAGTAGGTGCTGAAGGCTAGCAACATATATGCATTACATACTCCGTACCTCGTACATACTCATCAAACGATGTTCAGATATATCCGTTCTCAAACACTTGCATCTTACCCCCATTGGCTTCAACCATAGCACAGAATCTCGATACAGGACATGCAATCATGAAATACGAACATCATGATATCTAAAACCAAATGACAAAATGAAAGAGAATCAGTCACCATAAGAGTATTGTTGGTTCTTTCAAATTGAGCCAAATCTCGCCAAGTCTATCTCTAGACTTTGTGACCATCATGCCCGTTTTGTAGTATGATAGCATCGCATTCAGCTCTCTACCCTGTAGCTTTGCTTCCAGTGTTTGAACTGCGCCTTGTTTAGGCAATCTGACATGGAAACCGCCAAGATTCTCGCCTCCAATCAAAGAGTAACGCGCCATATAGAGCCTGTTACGGAGATGTCATGTGAAGCTGCGCCTCAACACATGAGATACATAATCAGTCACTCGCGAGCGACATCTTCATCATCTTAATCAACCCTACGCTGTCTAATCCAGCCTGAAGACCACGATTTAAAGAACTAAGTTTGCGCTACTAAAGGTAGATGTGGAACAATTTGACCCTCGCCTTATCACGCCCATTATGTCAAGGAACGAGGATATTCTGAAGGCTCATGCAGAGCCAGTATCGGCGATGGAGCCTCCTCCTTCATATGATTTCGAACAAACTCAACATACTCTACAAGACAGCCAAATCAACGCACCGGAAGCTTTATCTGTTCTTGTACTTGACGACTGCAAGATATACTCTATATTCGCTCCGGGTCGCATCCTCTATGAACTCAGCAATCCCCCATGCGAAGCAACTCGCACAGTCTATGGCGTTGAAAAGATACGATACCGTGTGGTGAACGATGGCGCTGAGCCGAAGCTCAAGCATGTTGTCGGTCATATCTATGACATGGGACATGACCTTTTGACCCTATCAAGGAATGTGGCCATCACCGGGCAAACAAGCCAAAAGCGTACCTATAAGAACGTGATCATGTCTCGAAGGCTCGGAGGGGGTATAAAAGTTGACGGACTGCTCCAGGCGGAGGCTCCACTGAGAGATCGGTTGAACCAAGGTCGGAACAATACTGTTGTGTGGAAAGATGATACAGGGCAGACCATTGCTGTTGAGACACGGCTGCAGCGCGACAAGGACAACAATATCCTAGAACTTCCACGGCTCTCTATCAAGGCTAGCATTGAAGAGAAGCTCTACGATTTGTTGGTTACCTGCTGGTGCGGAAGTATATGGAAGGAAGCCGAGAAAGATCTGAAAGAGCCACTGAGTTGGGGAAAATGTAAGTCATTCTTCTGGTAGTTTGAATTTACTGACCTCTCGCCAGTCAAGCATATTGCATCTACGATGCCCAACAAGGCCCCGGGTATGTGGTATGGTGGTAGCACAGGATGAGGAATTTGATTGAACGAAACACATTATTTATGTTGAGAACGGGGCTATCACTGGAAGTGCAATCAATATTGTTGTAGTTAAAATGACGGCTCCCCATTAGTTTCTCATTGAGCGAGATTGCTGGTGTGTTTATCCAGTGCTGAGAAGCTCTTGCCGAGCCGTTGAGATCGCCAGCGATTGAAATTGTCGATGTCTGAGCACAATTAACTAAATAGTCAACAATCTAAGAAAATTGGGGGGTTCGTCTACAGAAATACCTCGATACTTGTACGAAGAACGCGGTTGGTGGAGGCCTTTTGAGTTCAAGACATGTCCCAGTCTAGTGAGGATTGATTTCGCTTAAAAGTCAATATTGAACGGGATGGAAAATCACTCATGGAGTTGTGAATTGTGAACACAGCATTACAGCACAATGGCATGGATATCTCTCGAGAGACATCAATACCGGTGACAGAGTACAAGGGGTTGGATGAACCCTGAATCGGAGGCCAAACATCTCTTATCAGTTAGTTGTAAGGAGGGACTCGACCCCTCAGAATAAGTATAGCACTCGGTGATATATGCCGCGTTTATAATTGTGATGATTATCGGCCAGGATCCTGGGGTTGTGCATAACCCACGCGGTGGACGGGCCAGTCGATGTAGCATTAAGCTATTGACTAGGCTCATTTCCACAAACAAACTCCCTCGTGTTTTCATTGAAACACTTTTCTATCACTTGCCAAGATGGTTCCCGTCCGTTGCCATCCAGCCACCCGCGTCTAGAAGACATGAACTACGGTCCTGCACGGCGGGACTGATACCTAAACAAGAGATAAGACCTCGTCGAACGAGTCCGGTGATGCTTAGGTTCAATACTCACCTGAAATGTGCCCCTTTTAGCGCACTCGTGGCGTGAGCTAGACAGGAAAAAAAACAACTTGTCTTGGCGTCTGCAGGTTGTAATTTAACAGACCAGGGGGCCCTGGGGCCTTCAACTCCAAAGCTCCGGAGCTAGGCGAGATGAATAAAATGAATGCCCACCCCCTAGCTTCAGCTCTGTTCAGCTCCCAGGTCCAGCTGTTCTCGAATAATTCGAACCTGAATCGCCTCTTGAATTGAGAAATCCAAGTCGTGGGCGGAGGGCAAAGAGTCAAAAATGGCTCCGACAAGCCGCATCGCCTTTTTGGCGCTGTCTTTCCTCTTTTCAGGTCGATTTGTAGCTGCTGGTATGTCACTAACAAGCCCCCTTTTATCTAGTGCTTCACTGACATGCGGGTTCAACGCGTCTTAGACTGCGACATTTCCGGCAATTATACAATTATCGAATCACCCGACGACCAAGACGGAATCTCATCCTGTAAAGATGTCGATGGTTCTTTGTCACTCCTTTTCGACGAGAGTCCTTCTTCGTGGCCATCCGATAAGGCCTCAGTTGATCTCGGCGATATTAGCTCTCTTACCGGCAGTCTGGTTATCTACCCCCACCATGACTCCAAGAAGACGGTAGTCACGGCGTCGAGTTTAAAGACAATTGATGGCGAGCTGACGATATGGAACACGGGCACGGGCAAAGACCACACGATTGAGGAGTTTGATTTGGTCTTCGACGCATTGGAGGAAGTCGGCAAGAATTATGTCATCACAAAGGCCTTCGCCAAACTCTCAATTGAGCACAAGAAGGATGTCGAGGTTGGCTCTATGATGAGGGTCACCGAGACCAAGGTGGAGGAGTTGCAACTCAACGGGGTGCATACTGTGAATGGAGACTTTTCAATCGACACCAACAGATTGATGAAGGAATTGGATGTCACTGCTCTCACCTACGCGAACAAGGGCTTCAGCATCAAGGGCAACTCGGCTCTTGAAAAAATCTCGTTCCCCAAACTCAAGACGGTCAAGGGAAACCTGGAGGTTAACCAGAACGGCGCCCTGGCAAAGTTCCGATTCGCTGCTCTCGAGTCAGCTGCAACTATGGCTATCACCGCCAACGGAGGGCCTGCTACCGTGCTGCTGCCGTGGCTGTCGATGATTGGAAACAGCACCACTACCGCGACCTCAAATTTCGGAGGAATAGAGAAGATTGAGTTTTCTTCTTTGCGCAAGGTTAAAGGCTCATTGACCTTTGAGACCAATGCGTTTGAGGATCTCACAATTCCTCTGTTGAAGGAAATGGACGGTGGCATCACTGTGGAGGACAACCCTTCCCTAACGACATTTGCTTTGCCGAGAGTTACATATATCGAGGAACTGGATATTAGCGGCAACGACGAACTCATCAACATCACAGCGAACGCTCTTAAATCTGCCGGTACCATCTCGATAAAGGGATCTTTCACGAATGTCGAATTTTTCAACCTTGAGAAGGTCACGGGAGATTTCAAGGTTGTTGGCGACAAGTCTATGGACTGCAGCTGGTTTGACAACAATATCAAGAAAATTGTGGTAGGAAAATACACATGTGTTGGAGATCACGATGAGAAAGAGAGGAAGTCGAGTACTAGTGGTATAGAGGATACTGAGGGTAACCCGGAAGACTATATGTCCGCCGATGATGACGATGACAGCGAGGGAAGCGGCAGCAGCGGAAGTGGAAGTGGAAGCGGAAGCGGAAGCGGAATCGAAGATGGAAAAAGTGGCAGCTCGGGCAGTGATGGTTCCGGTAGCGACAAGGGAGGTCTTTCAGCTGGTGCAAAGGCAGGCATTGGAATCGGTATCTCCGTCACAGTCGTCTGCCTCATCGTAGGAGCCGTTATGTTCTGGCTCTGGCGCCGCCGCAAGACCACCGAGCCCGGCGAGAAACGTCTCGGCAGCAGCGGCAGCGGCAACTCGTCAAAATCCAACATTTTTGATGGGCGACAGATGGGTGTCCAGACCAAGATCGTAGCCAACAACCCCAGCCCGTCGCCGAGTCTTGGAACAATGAATTTCGGGCGCAACTCGCTCATCGAGACGACCGGAGGCTTCATGGAGAAGAGCCTTGATAAGTGGAAGACGATCCGGAGAGTGAGTGTTTCTTCGGGAGGTTCGTCGACTGTCAAGGAGGGGACGAGTATTCTCAAGGGTTGATGGTGAGCAGGGTTGATGGATTGATGGAGTGTTTGGAGTGCAATTCAGCGTATAGTGATTATTGATACCACAATTATTAGAAAGACATTGGCAGGAAGCGATCTGCATATTCCATATCGTAATTTAATACTGGGAGGTTTAAACACTTTATAAATCTAGATGCAGCAATTTGATATCATGGCAGCCCACCAAACCATACATTACGCCTCTACGTAGTAGGACAGCACCACAATAGAATAACAACCAGGGTTATCCACTGGACCCTGAATTATCCAAGACAAAAAAGAATGCCAAAGAAAAGCTGAACCACTTTAAGTCCACAAGTTGTGAGACTCGATACACGCGTGTGGGGATCATCTCCAACTTTTCTCACTCAATCACACAGCTTCATCTGTGCCTCTGAAGCTTCTTACTTGCAGAATGCAGACCCACCACTGATTACGCAGAGGCCAGAGCCCCTCATCAGCACAACCACGTTTCCAAGTGATCGGCATGAGGTGACTTCTTAAAACACAAAGATTGTCTTTTTTCTCTCCATTCTCTAACATTGTCTCTCTCACTAAATCCAGTGGTCATACCATATCAATCAAGCCCTAACACACTCATAGCCAAAATGACGTATCCTCGTCCTGATTTTGAGCGCAACCCGCTGCGTTGGGAGTCCCTCAATGGACAATGGGATTTCCTCTTCGACGATGGCGATGCTGGTCTTGCTGAGAACTGGCAGCGAACAGGTCTTCCCGAGAAGGTCAACGTGACCACATCCGCCAGCCGCAAAGAGACTGGCCAAAGCGACAGCGTCGTCCAGAAGATCATGGGCGAAGCTCATTCTCTCATCCAGAACAACGTGTTTACCGCCTCAACACAGACTACCAACTCAAAAACCAAAATCACCGTCCCTTACGTTTTCCAATCCCCTGCTTCTGGCATCAACGATAGAGGCGTGCATGAGGTCCTTTGGTACGAGCGTGCTATTTCAGACCTGCGCTCGGCGCAGGAGAAGGAGCATGGCCACAGATTGGTTCTGCGATTCGGCGCCGTTGATTATGAAGCTACTGTCTGGGTCAATGGTGAATATGTCGGGGGTCACCGAGGCGGACATGTTCCTTTCGAAATCGACGTTACCGATGCTGTGAAGGCGGCCAAGGAGGCTACCACTCATCGCGTCACGCTTCGTGTTTATGATTCTGCTTATGATCTGACGCAGCTCCGAGGAAAGCAGTATTGGGCTGCCAAGCCTGAGACCATCTTTTACACACCCTCTGGCGGTATCTGGCAGTCTGTCTGGCTGGAGGTTGTTCCATCTGCTCGTATTGCGGATAGTTCTTATGGTACCGTCATCAAGTCCAACGATATCCACTCCGGACAGCTTCGCAACACCATCGCAGTCAAGGGACGACGAGCTGGAAATGACTATTCCGTGGAGATTGAAGCAAGCTTTGCTGGCGTCCCTGTGGCGAAGTCGGAGAAGAAAGCACTTCCCCGAGAGACTAGCTCGGTTGGTGTTGAGCTGAACGTTCGTCTATCTGAGGAGCAGAGGTCTAAACTACCCCAGTCTGTCCTTCAAAGTGCTCCTTTGGATAACGACTTTGCTTGGCGTGATGGCGTTGCATTGTGGTCTCCAGAGCACCCCCAGCTATATGACCTCGTCATTCGACTTTATGACGACACAGACAAGGCCGTCGACGAAGTCAAGACTACCACCGGTATGCGAAACATCAACTGGACAACAGGCGACGGAACCTGGCGCCTCAACGACAAGCCTTATTTCCAAGCTCTCTGCCTAGACCAAGGCTACTGGCCCGAGACATTCATGACACCTCCAAGCTCCGAGAGTCTCAAGCTCGACATCGAACTTGCCAAGAAGATGGGTCTCAATGGATGTAGAAAGCACCAGAAGGTGGAAGATCCTATATTCTATTACTGGGCTGACAAGCTTGGTTTCCTCGTCTGGGGAGAAATCGCCAATGCTTATGCGTTCAGCGCCGAGTACATCGATCGTTTCAACGCTGAGTGGACTGAGGCTGTTAAGCTGGTTATCAACCGTCCCTCTGTTGTGACGTGGACTCCTGTTAACGAGAGCTGGGCGTACCCTGCTCTGGAGGACAATGCTGATCAGCGTAACCATATCCGACAGCTCTATTATCTCACGAAGTAAGTGCCCACGCTTCTAATTTCAAACACATGCTGACAATCAATCAGGGGTCTTGACGACACCAGAAGCATTAACGATAACTGCGGCTGGCAGCACGTCCTTACTGACCTGACAACTTTCCATGACTACAGCGACGGCCCAGAGATTGAAAAGACCTGCTCTACGCTAGAAGGCATCATTGGTCCCAAGGCTGGCCGAGGCGTCTTCCTGCCTCCCATTCCCGGTGTAGACGAGGGCTCCAAGCACAAGCCTGGCGCACCAGTCATGAACACCGAGTTCGGCGGCGTGAACATTGCTCCTCCCAAGAAGGAAGACAATGCTGGGGATAGCCTGGACTGGGGCTACACCACAGCTACAAACGCTGACGATCTAGTCAAGAGAATCGAGCGTCTTGTAAACGGCATTGTTCTGGGCGGGCACTGTTGTGCTTTTGTGTATACTCAACTGTAAGTTCTGTTGCTGCTTTTCGTTGTAATCAAACTGACGGGTTTCTCTAGTGCCGATATTGAGCAAGAAGTTAATGGGTTGTACACTTTCAACCGAGAGGAGAAGTTGGATGCGTCAAGGGTTAAGGCTGTCCTTGACAAGGCGCTTCAGAGCTACTACAGTAGAGTGAGATAAGTGATGGATTTGTCGATCACGGACGAAGTGTTCTTGATATATAATAAGAGGCAGGGAAGATGTCTGAGATAAGTAGGCAGACCTGAAATATGAGGAGAATATGATATCGATAAAACATGACACACATTCTGATAAGTCCCTATATATCGAGGTAAGTGCTTTTTCTGTAGCCCAGGTTTTCATGACAGATTCAAGTGTTGTTTTGATTGTCTAGTCTTGGGAAAATGCAGAAGCCCGGGAATAAATGACTGATCATGGCATAACTTATGATTCGTTGTAATTTACTTCTACAAAGTTGATAGGGACAATTTGTATGCAAAGACCTTATTCAACTGGCTTCCAGTGTCTGCCTTAAACATAGGCAAGGTTTAAAATTATCATCTTTATTTCATTACTTGTATGCAGTCAACTTGGGCACCCGATGAATGATAATCATAAGTCAATACAGCTTGGACTGATCATGTACTCAAATAAAAGCACAATTGCAATCAAACATATCTCCCATGAATGAAACCTGGAGGCTCGAGTAGAATATAACACCCCGATATGCGAATCATGCAGCTTTCTATATCACAAACAAAAATCGAACGATGTTTGCTTTTGTGATACGGTGCTAGTCTTCGCCTAAGATTGCGTCAAGTCCGAGTCCATTTGTGAGCATCAGAGCCCCAATCAAGACTTGAACCCAGATAAAGTGAATGGAAGAAAGTCTCGAATATCAATTGGTGACTTTTAATCACAAATCAATTGGTCTGACCCTCATCATTGGCCATGAATCGGCATCATGAGTTCATGACTGCGGGGATCGGGATACTGCTATCATATCACGTGATTTTACATGAGATGGATGGATGATGGATCGGCTCACCAGACAGACTCAGCCAGACCCGACGCTCCATGATGTGGCTGGGGATCATCGCGAGCAACACCACTTTAACCACGGCGCCAGACCCGGCATTTTGCCCGCGGTTGGGACCTACTTCACATACAATACAACGCATCATCAATTAATTCTTTGTGTCGCTGCTCAATTGGATGCCATAGTATCACGCGGCCCTCTTCCCTCCCTCCTCGCCTTCGCGCGATGCCTTCGACACGGCCCAACGCGCAGTCGCCAATCCTCGATGCCGATGGTGTCCTCGACAACATCGACACCATCCGCATCCCCGAACCACACGGCACCTATCTCCAAACTCGCGGCGCCCGCGCAGCTCGTCGAATCTACAAAGCCATGGGCGTCTGGCCCTGGGACATCGTCCCTGAAGCGCCCCCCAAGATGTGGGCCATCAACCTGCTTGAGGATCTAGCCCTCGTCGCAGACCATGTCGCCAGAAATCCCGGCGACACTCTACAGGATCTCCAATCAGAACTTCGCAAGTCTCTTGCGCGCGATCGCAAACCTTCGTATGCTGGGAAGTTGATGGCACAGGACGTTCATGCGGCCAAAAAGCGATTTGTGCGGACCATGCCTCAATCGCCAGATGCACAAGACGATACCGGTGATGATATCGGCACCGTTGAGAGGCGCTCTGGGCGGCGGCGGAGAACAGCAAACTATAGCGCGCCAGATTCCCCAATTGATCCATCGCGATCGCACCGACATACTTCCTCAGAGGAGAGTGAGGAGCTCATGGCCTCGTCTATCACCGTCGCCTCAGAGTTTCCCCCATCTCCCCCTGTACCTCGCAGTGTCAAGCATTTAAAACGACCAGCTTCAACGATACCCACACCAATAGAAAAACGAATCCGCCATAGTTCACCAGAAGGATCGCGTCTCTCTGCCGCGCAGAGTCTAATGATGTTTAGCTCTCCAATGGCTACGTTCCAAATGGCTACATCTTTCGGCCCTAATGCAACAGTCAGTTTCGCCCCAGAAGACATAACAAACAGTTGTACTGATCGTTTAGCAGGCCAGCGCCACTCGCTCACTCGAGCCAAATAACCTCCAAGAAGCGTTACAACCCGCCACAAACGCTTTTGTTACGGCCATTGACGATCACGTCCGAACGATACGTGCTTCGCTCGCCATAGCGCAGCAGGAAATATTTCCCCATAGAACGGTGCATCAAGAAGCGATGAGTAAACTCCGTGCCGCGCAAGATCGTGTCCAAGCAATCCACGACGACATAGCCGAGTCGCAAGAGAAACTACGACAGCTTATCGCAGAGACCGCCGCAGAAGACGCCCTAGCGCCACAGCTCCACGCGCTCCAGGAAAATAACATGTCTCTGCCGCCTGAAATAGCCCAAGCAATACGCAGCTACGACACGCGCCGAGCAGCCAAGAGCGAAGAAATAAAGAACCAGGAAACGGCCATCAGCGCCAAAGGAGAAGAGCTAAAGAGGGCGACCTCGGACCTCGAGGTCGCCGAGAAGAACTCGGGCGACGTGGAGTCCGACATCAGAGACCTCCAGGTTGCCGTGACGCGCGGGACAGAAGCAGCCCGGTTCGCCAGCATGTTCAGCGTGATGGTGCAGCTGGGCCCGGAGGGGCTTGCGAACATTGAACAGATATACCCAGAGATAGGCTCGCTGCTTGAATCGCTGCTGGCGTCGAGGAAGAACCCGTCGCAGCGGGGCCAGAGTCAGAATCACCATATGCATAATGTCGTGGACGGAGAAGAGACTAATGGATTGTCGGGAGTTTAAACGTAGTTATAGCGATGTATATTTCGGTACGAGCACTTTTACCATAGCGAGAATAGACTTCCGCATTTACTTTCACTTGTCTCAATGGATTCGATACGCATTTGTGTTCACTCTTCGACCTGTTCCCAACGAGAGACTTGGGTTTGGGGAACTGGACGTCACGATGATCACTTCACGGGTAATTAACAGCATAGCAACGATGATATTCTGGACTGCTCAGCCCTCTACCATTGGACTCACACCAGGTTCCGTGGTCTAGTGAAGGCGGTCCTATCCCTGGCGAAACCATGCTTTTTGCTCTTGTCGTCACTTGGTCTTCTTTTTTGTTCATCGTCTTGTATGCATGATGAAACCTGTCAATGGATGCCGACCAGGAGTGATTCAATGTCCTCGATAGTATCGTTGATAGACCCTATTGCTTTACGGATAGCACACCTGCTGAGACTCAGATCGCAGTTACGGTAAAGCTGTCGCATCGATCAACACTACGTTTATATCAAGCAAGGGAATTGGACTTGGAAAGAACTAAGAATGAATTGCTACATATGTAATTAACTATGGTGCAGTAATCGTCTTGACATGTCCTGCTGAAGCTAATTAGAATCCTTTTCTGGAACATCGCTTGCAGCATCGTGCACAGGCGCACTACCTTCTTGACCCTTGAGGACTTGCACTCCTGGCTCAAATGAGTCTTCGTCATGCACAGGTGGTCCAGTGAAGTTCTTTCGAGCATAGGCAAAATACCAAACAAAAGCGATAGCGGCAAACCCGGCAAACACAACAGAAGCGTAGTTCATAGTCTCGGCATCGACGGGGATGGAGACAGGCATGCAGAAAATAACAATGGAGAAACAGATCCACACGATGCAGATACCGTTGATCAGAGGTCCAAATTTGCCAAGAGGGTAGGGGGAGTGCTTGACGATCTTGCGGCCGCGCACAAGATTGACGGCAACGGGGACACCGTAGGAGGAGGAAAGACAGATGGTGGCGACACCGGTGAAGGAGTTGAAAGCAGCGGAGGATCCGAAGTAGATGCATCCCAGAATGCAATCGACAACAGTGGAGAGGATGAGAGCGTTGACGGGCATATCCAACTTTGTGTTGACACGGCTCCATAGCTTGTATCCAGGGATGGCACCATCTCGGGCGAAAGCGTAGGTGCAGCGAGACGCAGCGGTGAGGGCGCCAATGCCAGCGAACATCAGAATACCAAGAATGAGGAAGAGGAGACCAAAGCCACCAGCAGCGGAGCCGGTGACAACCTTGAACAGAGTGCCGATAGGCTGTGAGTTGGCGACTCCGAGAAGCATCTGGACGTCGGGAAGGACGAAGAGAATGGGGATAAGGTAAATAATTCCGGTGACTCCGGCAGCAGCGACAGACAGGACAATGGCCCTGGGGACCTCACGCTCGGGGTTTTGAACCTCTTCACACATGGAAGCGACCATGCCGTAGCCGGTGAGAACATATGCGCCTGTGGAGTAATTGTTAGTTGTGAATCATGCAGGAAATGACTAAGGATGCGTACCTTGCAGTAGTCCCACGAAGAACGACCAGGCGCCAGGCCAGCCACTTGCCGAGGCATCGTAATGGGTAAAGACAAACTCGGCAGTTCGACGCGAAGGAGCCATAACAAGAATCGTGACAATAATAATGATGACACTCGCGCCGGTCCAGTAAATGCAGACCTTGTTGATAATATCCAGGTAACGAGAACCAAAGGCATTGACCAAAGCGCACACGAGCATGACAGCCCAGAAGCACAAGACAGTCTGCCATTGGTTGGCGACAAAGTCCTCGTTGAAGATGCTGATGGCGCTGAGAATAAGCTGCGCGCCCGAGAAGTTAATTGACAGCGTAACGGTCCAGTTGCCAACGAGGGTGAGCCAGCCGTCGATAAAGCTGACGATGGGGGCGTAGCGAGGGGTGCTGAGCATGGCGCTCCAGTAGTAGACACCGCCGGCGGTCGGGAAAACGGCGCAGATCTCGGCGAGCGAGGCTGCGATGCACATGGAGATGAGCGAGACCAGGACCCAGCCCCAGAGGACGGTGACGGCCTGGCCGTTGGTGAGGGTGATGTACATTGTCGTCGAGAGGCCGAAGGGGACGGCCATGATGGCGAACGAGAGGCCCAGCACGCTCAGCATGCTGAGGTTTCGAGGGAGCTCAGCCTTGTAGCCGAGACGGGCGAGGGCCTGATCGGCGTCGCCGCTTCTGCGGGACGTTTCCATGATTGGGAGAGTTGAATTGAACTGAACTGAATTGAAGCGTGGGAATTGGAGTGAATGCAATGTAATTAAATAAGAGTATTATGTGCCAAGAAAGTTGGGGTGCCACAGTACTCGTGGTGTTGATGTGTTTAATGGACCCAAGATATATAGATCAAGTCAGGGGGGAGATTGGGCATTATTATCGTCCAGAAAAAAAAAGAAAGAGAGATGAAGAATCAAGGCAAAGGAAACGGCCCGTGACAGGGAGGGGCCCAGACTCGGCTCCTCCTCCACGATCTAGCTTCACTTATCTCTGTCCTGAAGCAGCTTAGTCTGTTTAGGTCTGGGGTATCCGTCCACCATCACAATCTACCTACGAGTAGTGGCTTGACATTCTGTCATTGTACTGCTGATCATAGCTGCTACTGTAAATACGCGGCTAGATTCCGCCGTCATTCTGCATGTGAGGGAGCGCGGTCGCGGCTAATTCCAGTGCAGCAAAAAAGGATGGTGTTAAATATCTCCAACGTCGCAAGATACCATCCTCAGCTATCTTGACCTCTATCTGATAAGCCTGAGCTGAGATGCTCGCGCGCCCTCAAACGACACGCGACTCCACATGATAAGCATGGGAGGTCATTTCCCCAGATTGAGCTGATAATGGCAAAAGTAGCTGATACACGTTCGTGTACGTAAATGTCAGGGTAAGCGGTAGTGTCGGAGGGGGGCCCACCACGAGATAACCGCGCACCGAGCCGGTTTCTCAGCCCCGGACGCGTCAATGGACGTTACTGGCTCTCTCCGCATTTTCCAAGACGTTGCGCAGCGGGACTTGCCCACACTTATCCTCATTCCCCTTGCGGATCTATACTTTTAGCTTGACTCATGAAACTAGTTATCATGATGGTATCACGAGGAGGGGGGAAATGCTGGGGGTGGCTTGGTTGGCTTGTTTAGTTGGTGACGAGGGGCACCACCATAAATACATAGTGAGATATCGCTGCCCGGGCATGATTGGTGTTTGCACGCGCACCGCGGTTACCCTGGACACCCATAGCTTCAAGTATATCAATTGACCGCGAACCGCGCTCCGTATTAGGACTACACGATTGAAGATAGCAAAGACATGCTCCTGCTGATACACTCGGCAGTTGGTCCTTTAATCTCCACTATCGATCTCAGCTCACGAGTCGCTACCTTACATCCGCATGTCTGATCATGAGATACTCTTGCGCCCAATCTCCTCCATTGGTTCCCTTTGACCGAACAGAAGATGAATACTGTCGAAGAATTGCTGTGTTCAAATCGCTAATTTTCAAACAATTAACGTGCGTATGAAGTAGTGCTCTTGGGATGCGAACCATGCCAAAATCTCAATATCTAACATTACGTGTCAATTCCAACTCGATTACCGTCAATACCACAAACGCAAAAAGTCGATGGATTGATATGAAACGCATGGTTGGTTAGACGAGGACACAGTTCCTTTCTCCTTAACGCTGCTGCCACAGTCAAATGACTCCTTAGTGTTTTCATCCTTCCAAATTCATGATCACCTTCGTCGCCCGCGCCCTTAACATTCTGTTTGAACCCTTCAAATTCCCTGTCCTTTACTCCGCCCCCTCCAACAGCGCTCTTCAGGTTTTCAACACCGAAGGGAAATGGCCCAATGACCAGTAACCTGATTTTATTAAGGGATAGTTTCCTGACAATATGCTTACACTTGCAGCCCCAGATGTCATCTTACATTCTTTTCACATGCAAACTCCTGAACATGCAATCAAACAAGTGATCAGTTCAAAGCAGTCGTGGCAGCTTGCAAAGGGTCAACAAGAGCAACAAACTAGTACCGAAGGTCGTTATTCTGACGAATCATTAGATTATAAATGTTGTAACTTACATGCCAAGAATTAGAAACGTTCGAAATTTGGGGGCCGTTTTTGAGACATCAACCCAGTCACTGATACCGAAACTGCGTATCCAATCATTCACGCGTGTTACAATGACATCGCCTGTCAGACTGCGTCACTTTGCAGGAGAATACCGAGATTTACTGCAGAGCCTCATACTAGATAAATAACCCTAAATTCATCCGTATTCCAGCTTTTTGTCTTTCTTTAGTAAACAAGCATTTTTACCCTTGTGTTCTTATTTGGTGAGTTAATATTACTACTGAATTCACCAGTACTCTGAACTAACTAGGACCGACTAGCACTCATATACCCAACCGCAATCATGCCTTTCTCCATCTCAGACATGACCAGAAAAGATGAGACCGCCGAGAAAATTCCCACTAAAGGTAACGGCCCAGGCGCCTTCCTCTCTCCATCTGGCTTCGCAACAATCGTCTTCTTCCCCTTTACAATCTGGCACAGCACACGCAATTCCAAGAAAACAGTCAAAGCAATGAGGGAAGCCAGACAGGAAGAAGCAGAAAGGATCGATGCTGAGAGATGGGAGGAGGCAAAGGAGGCTGAGAAGATGAGAAAGGTACGGGAGAAGCTTGATGCCGATTGAGATGGTCTTGGGCCACAAGGACCTCCTCGGGAGAAGAAAGTTCCCGAGGTAGAGCCAGTTCCTCCTGAATTAGAAAGGGATCCTGAGAATCCGCGTGTTTGTGGTCCCGAGTGTCCGTCTCATGGGATGAAAAATTGTTTGGTTCACAACCGTAAGCCTCCATCTCGTCCTACTAGCCCGGGCTTGTTGGCGGTTTAGGTTGGGCGATTGGACGGTATATGATGACACGTAGCTACGAATCGGTAGAGTTTTAAGATATGATAGGTTGCGGAGGTGATAAATCTGGCTTTAATACGTGTCCTCGCATCTTATGGTGATTAGGAAAAAGATTTTACTCAAGAATTGATTGTGCACCGCCATAACCTTATTGATTGACTCATAATTTGGATTGTACCACTTTAACCAGAGTAAAGCAAGTTTCAGGAGTCGGTCTACCATTGCAATCCGTGCTATGCAGTAAGTACTAGCTTTTATGACCATACTCGCCGCGACAAATGGCCGCCACTGTGTAATTTGTTGTTATACTGTAATGCAATGGGAAGTTTATAATACCTTAACGGGTAACAGGAAACTGTGTTTTCTTATCAGTGTAGCCTTGATCTATCCCACCGAGATATTGAAGAAGGTTATCCAATGATCATCATCATCCTGCAATAGCCTCAGCTCAACTAAGTTTCTGATCCATATATTTAACTCTCTTTTCAATGAATCTTCACAAAACTCAATAATTTACCCAAAGTATCAACTTGTGAAAATGCCCTCACCCCTTTGTCAACCGAAGCTTAACTCAATCTGCAATTCTGGCCAGCTATAAAAGACCGATGTGCCCCAAAGATGCGAGCAAATATTTCATCCTTCTAAGCAACTAAAACCCAAACTGTTCACTGTTTCCACCACAATAAGCCAAAATGTTCAATTTCTTCGGCCTCAGGCGCCAACAGGCGCACACTACCACGGGAGTTGGACATACGAATCGCGAGTTTGGTCAAATGGAAGACGCGATCAACCGCATTGCAGAAGAATCTGACCAATCTGAGGAGGATACCGTTCTTGTCGGAACCAGATCGGACCACCCTGACCGTTCCTCACCCTCTGAATCTCCAGTTTTGCCTCAGGAACAATCTACGAGCCAATCACAGACTACGACAGGTGCGCTCCAACTGCCAACATCGGAATCTCGCACAATTGAGGAAGTTGCAGGCGGAAATGCAGCCAACATATCATTGCCGCCTTCCTACCAAGACGTCACGAACCCCAGACTGTGGAAGGTGACTCTCAAGTTCAGTACAGGTGACCTTTTCCAAGGAGACCATCCTGTCGTTGATGCAGAGACAGGCTGGCTCGGCAGTCTCGTCATTAGGACTGCAGATATCGTCGAATTGATGCAAGAGGGACTGTTCCTAAGTCAGGAAAACGTGAAGGTGCAGGAGAGTTACGTCACACCTACCTACTGTCAAGTGTCCAAGGGGTGGTGCTGGGACCGTTACTTCACTCTAGTCGATCCAAAATGGTCAGGCAAGATGCTCGTTCGGGCAATGAATTCGAGAGTGCCCTCAAAATTTCGCATAGAACACCTCACGGCAGATCATGTATACACTGCCGAAGTTGTTGATGCCGTCAAGACGAATAACTGGTACTATAGTTTCAAGTGGGATGCCCCAGAATCCAACGCAAATTACATACTAGAGGATACGATGATGGAGGGATTGTGGCCATGGCCTCGGAAGGGCCTAGAGTCTGAGGGGGGAACTCAGGAAGAGGACGGAAAGTCTGAGGACGAGGAAATGGAAATCTGAAGGTTCAGGAAGCAGGTGAGACTCCTCAAACTGGTCAATTCGGTTGTTGACTTCCTTATTGAGTACCTACCTAGTTTTTGAATACAAGATCGAGCCTTCCCATTCTGATAGCCCTCCCTCCATATACTTGATCTCGTCCCCTCAGATTCCTTTTCTTCTTCTTCTTCTTCTGTAACCATCATCATCATGAAGAAAATGTATGTCTACCATATCCCCTTTATGATTCACAGACGCCTCAACTCCCACTCTGATTCACGATACTAACCATGTCTGTAGACTTATTTATCAAAACACACCGGCTCCCCGGCGCCATCACCATCGCCCAAGCCCGGAGGACCAGACCACCACCGCCACCACCACCCCCACCCAACCCTCCTCATCACGCTCCCTCTCCTCGCCCCCCGTCCTAGGGGCAGTCGACCGCCAGGTCGAGGTTCTCAACGGCCCAGACAATCTGGTAAGATTTCTTTCTCCTTCATTGCCTATCTGTATAAAGTGTGAGACTAATCATACTGTTCAATGCATAGAGCTACAACCCATGGGTCGTCGAGAACCCCGACCTCGAGCAGGGACTGCCCTCGGCTAGGAGGGGAGCGAGTCCTGAGAGGGAGGACGTGCCAATTGATGAGGAGGGGGCACTATACGTGGGGGTGGAGAGTTGGCGGGCTGGTCTGGTCGTCTTGGGTTGGGCAATGGTGGTGGTGACCGGTTGTATCATTACCATCATTATCAAACTCCTTCGTTTTGGAGAATAGCGCTATCAATATAATTACCACAGCGTTACCACAAACAAGCGCCCTGCGTGATTCACTGTCTTGATAACCTGGGTATGTTCTGAGTGCGTTGTTGTCAGAAATTCAATAAAACTTAGGTCAAGTTCAACTTAGATTATATAAATTATTAGAGTTTAGTAGAGCTTAGAAGAGTGGAAGTCATTGGAACTATCGCACGACCACAGAACGTCTCATCAAGTGTGGTGACAACCAAGCACTTTCTATTTGAAATTGGTCTATAGGTAGTTTCTGTTCTAGATGATTCTTTTGGGTTTTGCTTCTCTACGTACCCGTTGGAATAGTAATTCAGTCTATCCTGGGCGGCCTCCACCCTTTGACCTTTTTACTCTTGCTGAGAAATCACATGTTCACTCGCAGACACCCCAGCAGCCCATCTGTACTTGCTAGCAACATGCTCCTCAAGAGGATATTTCTGGTCTGGCAAACCATAGAAATTCTCCCGGTAACTCCCGCCAGGAACCGCGTAGTCCTCCCAGAAAATCCCCCGTGCTCGAAGCTCAGGAAGAAGCAGCTCGATGATGTCCTTGAATGTGCCAGGGAACAGAACATAACCCTGATATGGTTAGCAAAGCTACATTGCTTGGTGGAGTAGTGGACTTACAAAGTTGAATCCATCGACATCTGCTTCATCGATCCAGGTCTGAAGACTGTCTGCTACCTGAGAGGGCGTGCCGACGAATAGGGGACCGTTGCCTCCGAGACTAACGTGCTCTGCAACAGTGTGTTTCGTCCACTTGGAGTTTGCTGGGGAGAACTTTGCATAGCCCTCGACGGTTGACCTGTGAAAGAATGTCAGCCAAGTTATCGTCCTAGCCGCGTATATACTCACCGAACGGCATTACTCTCGACCTGTCGAAGTTCCTCATCATCACCGTACTGGTCCAGATCTATACCCGTCCACCCACCAAAGAGCGACAAAGCCCCCTCGGTAGAAGCATACTTCCGTGCCTCATCATACTTAGCCTTGGCCTCTTCCTCCGTCTTGCCAAGGATAGGTGTAACGAGAGCAAGAACCTTGATCTTACTAGGATCCCTACCAAACTGATCCCGCGCAGCCTGTCGGATCTCGGCAATGTTCTTCTTACACACCGCAGGGGCATGCGCAGAAGTAAAGATGGCTTCAGCATGTTGAGCTGCGAAGGCTTTGCCGGCTTTACTAGCACCAGCTTGGAGAAGAAGAGGTGTGCGCTGCGGACTGGGGTCGACTACGTGAGGGCCGGGGACGTCGAAGTATTTGCCCTTGTGGTTGATCCGGCGAACGAGCTTGGGGTCGGTGTATACTCCGCGCTCGCGATCTAGCTTGACGGCATCGTCACGCCAGGATGAGTTGAGGAGCTTGTACATGACCTCCATATACTCTTCAGCTTGAGCATATCGCTCGTCGTGCTACTCATAATTAGTGACTGCTCTGTGACGAACTGTTTATAAAACTTACAGCCAGTTGTACGGGGTGGCCCAGATTTCGAGCCGCTGAGTCTAGATAACCGGTGACGATCTATACCCGAATTAGCTTCCTGTTTACTTGAGCGATCTGTGGTCTTTACATTCCAACCTAATCTATAATTTCAGTCAGCAAAGCTCTCTCCAATGATTCGTGAAAACTAACCGGCCCTTGGTGAGGTGATCAACTGTGGCCAGCCGCCGAGCGAGGTGATACGGTTGTTCGTAGGTAACAGAAACAGTAGCTCCAAAGCCAATGCTCTTGGTCGCAGCCGCCATCGCAGGAATGACAGCCAAAGGCTCAGTAAGAGGCCATTGAGCTCCTGAGATGATCGCGGGCTCGAGAGATTTCTTGTAAACATCATAGCCTCCAAGCACATCAGCAATGAAAATGCCATGGAATTTAGCATCCTCGAGTAGTTTGGCCAGCTCGATCCAATGCTCGGTATCTTTGAATTTCCATGATTCGTCTTCAGGGTGTCTCCATAATCCTGGGGATTGATGACCGCTGCCTATAATGGACTTGTCAGTGAGAATTTTGAAATTGGCTGAGGTAGCACGAACACATCATTACAAAAGCATTGATGATAAGGCTCTTTTTCTTGCCCGTCTGGGCCTCTGCGGTTTGAGACGACATTGTATGATGTTGGTAAATGTGCTTGATCTGCCTTAGTAGGTAGGTAGGTTGTGATGCAGAAACCTTCCGCTTGTGTGGTTGTGCTTGCCCCCAGCTTATCCTTCTTTAATGGCCTCTGGGATATCGGTGCCGACTTCCAGCTTCTAGAAACGGATTGCGTGATTCTCTTCAGCGAGTACATAATATGCAAGTAATGATACTAGACAGGGTATGTCGTTAGTCTGCAGATATGGCATTTGGCTATGTATGGATTTCCTGCGGGCGGAGCGATGGCGCCATAACCATGGTGCCTTGCAAATGATGAACGCTGACCAAACCCCTCAATTCTACCCGGAAATGTCGGGGAACTTTACTGTATCGGCATACAAACCGGAATAGATTACGGCTATTTTATTGTTAGAGAAAAATGACAGGATTTGATATGGGAGGTTCCGCATTATCGGAAGTCGCATTGATGTGCGAGTGGACAAGATAACCACCATAGTCATGGCTAGGTAGTCACAAGCTATGGAATGATTATGCTGTTTGAATAAATGAGCAATTTTCTAAGAGAAATTTCAGGTGTAGATGAAGAATTCGATTTATATTCTATTGCTGGCTACTGAATATGGATATATGTCACGGAACAGAATGAATATTACTTGATCTCCAAGAATAACTCTAGATTCTATTGCACGACTATCTAACTCCTGTCTCTCACCGTTTATCTTTTCAATTTAAAGGCCCATATCCAAGTTCTAAGTCAAGTTTTATATGCAAAACCATCTACAACTTCTTGATATCCGTCTCCTCACCAGAAGCAGAAAAGTCCTTCTGGCTATCAACTTCCTGAACTGGGCTTTCCAACGAGGGAGAAGCATGGGAACCAAACTCCCTGAGCACCAGCCAAGCAGGGTACAAAGAAACAGCCCAAAGAGCAAAGTTGAAGTAGACACCTCCAACTTCGGCGAACACAGGCAGAGAGGTGATGCCGTAGCTGACAGCCTGCCAGGCGGACTCTGTGCCTCGCAGAAGAGCAGAGTATCGGATGATCTCGTCTTGGGTACCTGCTAGATGGTGAATGATGAAGTAGCTGAGGAAGAAGTGTTAGAAAATGGAACAATGGTGTATGCAGTATGGGGACTTACAGGAAGAGGTAGTTCAGCTGGAATCCCAAAGTGAGGAACAAAAAGACAGCGAACGAGGCTCCGAAGCCTTCACTGACCCAGTCATAAGTCGGCCTGGTTTCACGGAACTTGGAAACCAAGATCGTAGCCCAGATCCACCAGCCGCCCTGGAGCGTTGCGATGACAGCAAAGGAAGATCGAGTCCTGATTCTGAGAGATACTTTGGTGCGATCGAGCCAGGACTATCATGAGTTGTCAGCTATACTCTACATCATGAGAAGAAATGTGACGACTTACTCCGAGGACGTTACCACCAATCACAGCAACGATACCACCCAGGAAAGATCCCAGGGCGCGAGATCGTACAGAGAACCACACTATTCCCAGATCAGTATGTTATAACGAGCGGAGAAATCAGAGCACTTACACGCAAGATAAGTGAAAAACACAGATTCGGCAAACACAGCCTGTCCGATAAACAAGACGATCAAGAGAAACTTCTTTGTGAAGAAAAGTCTCGCCGTCTCCTTAAGCTCGAATCCAGGAAGCTGATCAATCGACAGCTTAACCTTGACACCATCCTTCCTCTGGACCTGATCAGGCTTGCTAAGCAGCAGAGCAACAAAAGGACCAACAGCTTGGAGCGCGATGAAAACAAGGAAAACAGAGTAGGAAACCTTTCCGGCCTCGTTGCGGTCGGCGTTGAGACCAAGGTTGATAGCACCACCGAGGATCTGACCCGAGAGACGGTAGGTCAGCCAGTAGCCGAGGGCTTTACCACGGTTCCACGGCTCTGGGTATGCAATGGCGATGGCAGCTTCGGCCATCCAGAAGACTCCGGCTGAGATACCGCAGAGGGCAGCGCCGAGAAGGACGAGCCATTCTGTTCCGAAGCGGTTGTTGGTGTAAAGGCCTGCTGCGTAGGGAGCATATCCGAGGCTGGACCACATCAGCAAAGTGCAATATTATTGGGGGTGTCAGAAATACATACGTTCCAAAGATCAATGCTCCCTTGATACCGACATATTTCACCATTGCGCTTGAGAAGTAACACGACAGAACCATCAGGCAAAAGGTCAAGGCGTTAGCAGCGTTGATCAGCTTGGGTGAAGCTGCACCACCTGCACCAAGCGAGTTCATCGCTGTCCAGATTCCTGGGGCGGACAAGTTGCACAGACCCAGGATGGTGATATTGAAGAACGTGGAGCGGTACCATTTTACTGAGAGGTGTCAGTATGCGTATGAGATGTGTACATTGTGTGACTTACCAGGATGTAGCTGGTCCTTGGGAGGAGGAGCGATTTCGCTATCTTCGTGGCGGTTTTCTACCGTCATTTCGGCGATTGAGAAGGAAGAGCAATTGAATGGGCTGAAAGGATATCAGAAACTTCAAGAGATACTCAATTATATGAACGTGTAATTAGTGGTCAATGATCGACATTTATATCTCCCCTTGGTAGTTCAATATAGCGTCTTGGGAATATGATAACAGCAGCACGCAATTCTAACCCTTGTTGCAGAGATCACTCAAGTGCCGAACTTCTCAGTAGACTACACAGCAACACTTTAGCGTACACGTTTATCAGTGGCGGCATTGCGTTTACCAGAACCTCGGTTTTGGGCCTGGTCTAGATTGTTTTATAGCTCGGTATTGCTGTGCAGGGGAGGTTAAGTGCACGTATTGGTCGTCGTATGGAAGATAGGCGTAGAGGATTCCACGATCAACTCCCCGAGGATGCTTTACAACCATGACGAATAAACTGCTAAAAAGAATTAACAGCGGCTCCGCTGTCTAGCGTGGTATATTCGCAATTGGAAACAAACCCCACGTGGAAATGCGTCGAGTTAAATTGGTTACATGCATTCAAGACGGATTGCGTGCAAACAACCATGTAATTGCGAGATCAACCACTCAAGATATCCGCCTATGTATCCCAATTCAGCCATCCACTCAGGCCACTCTATTTTACGCGAGTATCAATCTACGGATTGCTCCACCATGTCTCATGAATATCCCTCAGATCTATCTCCTCCGGCCTCTTGAGATACGGCGTCTGATCCGCCTCAGCATTAGTCTCCCTCCTGGTCCACCCATTCCCCAGATAATGCGCAAACCGGTTCTTGGACTCCCCGAGATACGTATACTCCCAGTCCTCCCATCGCGGTGTTTGCCGAACTGCCGTGATATGTCCCGCGCTGCCGGGCCAGAGGCCGTGAATCCTTGCACCCGGTCTGCCGCCGTTGTACCACGAGCTGCACCGATCAGTGAGTACAGTCTTGGCGAAGAAGGCGTCTGAGTACTCCACGAAGTCATCCGCTGCTCCCTTGGAGGGACTGATGGACTTGATGCCCTCTCGTGATGCCTTGCGAAGCACTTTGGAGAAGTATGTCAATTGCGTCTCGACGCTGTGCGGGACTGTGCCTGATGGACCTGTGGCTTGGGGCCCGTGGACGAAGAGAAGATTGGGGAAATCAGGTGTTGCTAAGCCAAAGTACGTATAAGGGTAACCGTAGACACCGTCTGCTTTCCACAGATCCCCGAGTTCCTGTCCATGTGCGCGGATGGGGAACGCAGGAACCATATCGACGTTGGCGCCCGTTGCACAAATAACAGCATCGACATCTCGTGTCTCGCCATCCTCAGTCTCAATGCCAGTTTCCGTAAAACGCTTAATTCGTGTGCGGATGTACTCCACGTTATCTTCGGTGATGGCCTCAAGATATCCCGGCCCCGGCGTGAGACGGCGACAGTTTGGCGAGAAGTCTGGCACGATATGTTCAAGAAGCTCAGGTTTCTTGGCCAGCCGCTTCTTCATGATGTCGATAAAGGCTTCGCGAAGCTTTTGGTTAGACTCGCTGTTTCGGAAGAACGAGTCGAATCTGGTCCAATACAGGCCCTCGAGATCTTTTCGGAAAGCCAGGTACGCATCGGGATCCTCTGCCCATTTCTTCTTCTGCTCTTCAGTATAAGGCTGAGCCTCTATTTTCCGCTCTTCTCCCGCCCAAGACGCTGCTATCCAGGTCTTGTTCCTCGCGTAGTGGTCTAGGCGCTTGACGATGGGTTGTAAATTGGCTGTGACTTGGATACCGCTGGCTCCATTGCCAATTACAGCCACTGTCTTGTCCTTGGGATCAAAATCCGTGCTCCAATTGGAGGCATGTCGGAGATGGCCTTTGTACTCGGATATCCCTGGGTAGTCGGGTAATTTCCAGGCGTTGAATCGACCAACACTGGTCAAGAGAAACTCGTTCTTCTCGACCGTCTCTTCGCCAGTTTGTACATTGCGCAACTTGGTGACCCAAACACCCTCCTTGTCATCCCAGGTTGTGCCCTCGACTCTGGTATTGAGCTTGACGTACTTGTACACGTCGAATTTCCGAGCGACCGATTGCCAGTATTCGCGAATCTCGTGGCCGGGCGCGTATCGATCTGACCAGTCTGTCTTTGGCGCGAAGGTGCTCTGGTAGACATGCGATGCAATGTCGCATCTTACGCCGGGATAGACGTTTTCGAACCACGTTCCAGCCTAAATTTGCGTCAATAGAGTATATCGATCAATTGGACGAAGTTGGTACATACGACATCGGCGTTCTTCTCGTAAATGGAAAGCTTGATACCGGGTACTTTGGCCGGAAGAAGAATCCCCGCTGTGATACCAGCCAAGCCAGCGCCGATAACACCAACTCTCAATGGACGAGGTTCGTCAACAAATTTGTCAATTAATTGAAGACGAGGATTGTGGTAAGGAGATGTCTCGTCTACATCTGGTCCGTCTTTCTGGGCTGTTGATGCGGTGTCATTCGTGTCGGTGACAGGCGATGTCGCAATGGGTGTGGCATTTTCCACCCTTTCTATAGAGACGTGGGAAAAGCCTGGCTTTTCAGTATTTAAATTGTCGATTGAACTGTTTATCACACCGGCGGTAGTCATCTTTTCGGGATATAAACCAACAAATCGTGATAAGGAACAGCTAAAAGAATAAGAATGCTAACTATAAGACAAAGCGGTATTTCTCACGGCCCTGTCTACACTTATCGCATCTGAGCTTAAGCACGTTAGCAGGCATTATTGTGACATCACCTCTTATACAGATCATTCGGTTGCATTTTTGGTAGTGTCGCTGTCGCAATTCTCGTTCCTCTTTCATCATATGGCGCCTTTGCAAATCGCAATCACGCCTCAGCCCCACGCTCTTACACCATCGCAGACTCGACGACTAACGCGAAGACCTGATATCTCTATCCAATCAAACGTTTAGCAAATGGCTTACGCTTTTTCTTCTTCTTTGTATAATCGCAGCTTATCTTTTTCATATTTGATGAGATACTAAAATTCTGGGTAACTCAAGCGCTTGACGATGCACATCACGATTGCGCTACCAGAAAAACAGAAGCTTGCTGTGCATCAACCATGCTTTTATGGTGATACAGTCTTTCTTATTCTACCTTTAATAATTATTATTATGATATATCCTCCGCTGTGTGAGACAGATGGTATATCGCTAAGTTCTAAGAGAGATATCATACTCTTTGTTAACTATGCAGGTAACGTAAAGATTAAGAAAACGGATCGTTTTGTCCTCATTGACTTGTTATTTATGAATTCCAATAAGGTAAGCCGGAAATGCATCTTACGCTCAATATGTTTGTTTCTGGTTCAAATAGTTTCTTTAGATATACTGCGACAAACCAACAATACACTCCAACCACCATCTCCTCATACACATGTTATCCTCTATACCCAGTACCGAGTACGTACAGAATCGTCCCCTGACCTACGTAAAAGTACAAAAGACATTGCAAAACAGTCCCAATGGTCCTATACCGCTCAAGTGTCAACACTCTCCAGATCCAACTCCTCCTGTCGTCGACGAACCAGAATCTTCGCCTTCCCATCGCCCAAGTAATTGAATCCATACGGCTTTGGCGTGGGAACTACCCCGTCTTCGAGCTTCAGGTCGTACTTCAGCAGCAAGTGGCACAGCACAATCTTTATCTCGTTGGCTGCGAAGAAGCGTCCGGGACACGCGTGTAGACCGTGTCCGAAGCCCAAGTGATCCGAGCTGGTGCTTACGAGATGCGCGTGCTTGTCCTGGCCTGGTGTTTGGCGCATCTTCAGATGGCGGTAACCATCGAATGTAGTCGCATCTTTGTAGTATTCTGAGCTCCGCATGTGCGTGGTATCGCAAACGATTCTAGTTCCTTTCTTAATGGCATCGCCGTTTGGAAGGGTAATATCTGCGAGGGCCTTTCTCCTGAAAACACCTGTAGAGGTTATCAGTGTATACGTATCATAGTAAAAGTAGGTGTGGGTGACATACCAAGAAGAACTGGCCTCATTCTCTGAGACTCTTTGACAACGCTGTCCATCAGTTTCAGGTTAATCAACGATGTCTTCTTCCAGCCCTCTTTACTCAAAACATTGACTATCTCTTCTCGAAGCGGTTTAAGGAGTTCAGGGTGCTGGCAAAGATTAAAGAGCGTCTCCATAAGTAAATCCGAAGTGGTATGATACGCGACCAACGAGATGGAAATCTGGCAAGTAGCGGGATCGTGCTTGGTATACTCCTTCTCGAACCACTCGATAGAATCATTGAAAGGACATGGCTTTCCTTGCGCAGCAGCCTCGCGTTTGATAGCGTTTCGACGATCAAGGTGGGGTTGCAGACATTGGCGAGCGTTGTTTAGCTTTCTGCGAACTTCCCTACACTCAGGCATGAACCAGTGAACAAGAGGTCGAGCCCAGCGAGGATATGCCATCAAGAGGTTAGAAGTAGCAAAGACACTAAGGGTATAGTCGCCTGAAACCCTGACCCATTCGTCATCGCGGCAGAGTTCCTCGCCCATAAAGACACGGGAAGAGACACGCGATACGATGCGCATTAGATCGTGTTGGGGCTGGATTGCGTGCCATTCTGGTAAGATATCACCGTTAGTTATGCTCCTTCGTGGCAGGTTGGGGGATGCATTACCAGTTGAGTCGGTAAAAACTTGCTGCATTGCCAAAGATGTCTCTTCCGAAAGAGGCCCAGTAAGCTTATCTACCAGAAATTAGTGGAGCTAACAGTAAGAGGTAACGCTGACACCCACTCAATGTTTTCGTGATATACTTGGTAATGACCGTAGTCATTCCATCGTTGCCCTTAAATGGATCGAAACCAGGGATGTAATCATGAGAGTCCTGAACTGAGTTAGTCACTGTAACACCAAATCTCAGTACATTCTGTCTGTTCCTCAGCACTTACATCTCCAGACGGGCCCATGAAGTCCAATTGTCGGTTGCTTTTCAAGCTATCAAGAAACTCGGGAGGAATCACCAAATTCTCTCCCCACTCCGTGTGAGCCCAGTACGGCTGGTTCTTGTAGAGAGCTCGAGCTTTGGCGAGGAGGCTTCCGCTATTCGCTATGAAGTCTCGAGTAACACGTCGATCGCTCCATTCGAAGGATTTCTTTGGGTTAAGAACCGGGTATTTCTTGGTATTGTCGGAGAAAGAGTACTTCAGGATGAAGATGCTGAGGAGCGAGATGGCGCAAAAGACAGGATACTGAGGATTGCCCAGAACAGTGTCTAGGTAAGTAGAAGTCATAGTTGGATAGTGACTGTCGAGGCTCTCTGCTGAGTGAATGGAAGAATCCTTCAGGATGTTATGAGGGCTCTTATACTCCTCGCAGCCGCGATGAATATCGCATGATCAATATTCACGCTGGCGATCATGACCGAAAATGTTGTCAAATATCATACTTCATATTCTCGGGGTCTTTCAACGCCCGATACCCCGGATGCCCTATGGTGGTGAGCAGTGAAGAGACTGTATCATATATAGTGCCTCGTAGCAGCCAAGTCCGCGATCCACCATGCGATGCAACGAGCTTGTGTGAATATCTGCATGCCGTGCATGGAGGGGAACGAAATTCACGAATACGACGGCAGGTATATACGATCCTGGGCCCGCCTTTAACCTTGCTTTTGGAGATGCATTCGCTGATTGGGTCCCCGGCCATAAGAAGATCATCCTATCAGATTAACTTTAGCCCGAGACGGACTGCGGGCTGTAGTCTTAGACCGCGAAGCAGATCATCGAGACACTCTGTGGAACCGGACGAACATGATTGGTCGTCGTGTATGAATTCTCGTCAAGTATTTCCTGTTTCAACGGTGCAATTGCCGAAGATCCACAGACAGATCCATTTCCACCGGCCAGTCGCACCCCAGCTTTAGGCTCCAGGCGATGGGCCGAGCTTTTGGCTGCATGGACGGACCTCATGATAGCCCATAGAAGCCCATGAGCGTCCCACAGAATGTATATAATGCAGGCCAGTCATTATGAATACCTAGGAAAGGAAACTGTTGAAATAAAGTACCGTCGAAAGTGGAGGCGTGTGAGTCATGGTATTGCAAAAGGTGTGGCCTGTGAAGCTATATATATTCCAATAGATTTGACATGTCGAAACAGAACTAAGCAGCCACGTCGAATTCGATACGTTCCTCAGAACCTATAGTTATATTGGGCAAACTTCATCTTTGGCCGATGGCTTAAAATCGGCTATAGCCCATGTACCATGTCAATATTCGTCATCATTTATTAGCATCTATACATCTCGGTACATCATGGCTCCGGCAAGTCTCTTTGAAACTCCCCCGTTCTTCTTGAATATGAGCGGAACATGCGTCTCGGTTTCGAAATATTGCAGCCACGTCTACCCTCTGCCAACCTGGTCTGGCTCTCGGTCGCCATTCTATCTTCTAAATGGTATGCGCCGTCGCTGACAGTACTCGAAAAGGTGCCTTCCGCGATGACACCGCAGTGTTTGTCGCGCGCGATCTTGCCGATGAGGTCGGCCATGGCCATCTCGATGTGTAGTTTCACGATATATGCCAACGGATGGAATTGCATATACCTGCAAATGTCAGCATGTCTTTAAAAACAGGTTTCTGTGACGTACACAAACGTATTTCTCAAACTCATCATGGCGATGATAAGAACATCCATACTCAGGGAAAATCCAATGATGAACATGTTGAAGTGCGTCAATCTCCTGTACTTCGTGAGACCATGCACAATGAGATTCATGCGCACGATGTGTATGAAGTAGAAATTCAAGCAGCCATCGACGATGAGGTATATGCCTTTTTCGCATCGGTCCCACCATTCGTTGATATGGATATATCGCTCTGATATTTGCAATCGCGCTGGTATCCAGATGCAGTAGACGGAAATGTTGACGGCGGTTATTAAAATTCCGACGAGGACTTTGAGTCGGTAGGCTTTGTTTTTGTGGGTGAGGAGAATGCCGCATCGGTTGACGATGATCTGCAGGAGGAATTGGACCTGGAGAGCCCATGTCGTAACTGGGAACAGTGGTCAGTTAGAGTTAATATCGAGAAATTGTGAAACGTACGAATTGTGAAATAGAACGCAAAGCTATAGCTTTAAAATTAGTTGATATTCTGCTTCATCCGATATAGAATTCGCACCTTGGGGGTATAACGTGAAGTAAATGCAAGAAACAAATAACCGCAAAAATAGAGCAGACCAATATCTCCCCCCAGATCATTATGATATACGCATTTCGAAACACACGCCTCCCATGGCGGCGGTAGATACCCGTGGTCTGTTTGATTGCTTTCCAAACCGTGAGCCACCCAAAACCAATGGTGAAGCCCAGCGCGGTCGAGGCGATGACCAGATCACCTTTGGTGACCTCTTGGGCTTTGTAGTGGGGGGAGAGGAGAGTTATCATGGCATGCTAGAAGAGCTCTCATTTGGACGTGGTGCATCGGGTTTTGTTTTCCATCGTGTATATCGAGGGCTGGAGGATGCAAAAGAGGGAGAGAAAAAAAGGGACGCAATGGGTAAAGTTTTAATTACGAGGCCTGGGAATGAGAAACATACACATACCTACTGTAGGGCACGCGCGGAGGCGAACATGTAGCGGCAGGTTGATGATTGGGAGTAATTCAGATACTAACAAAGCCTCTTCATGCATGTCGCATACAGCGACAGTTTGTATCATGTATCTTGTAGCGTGGACATGTAGAGCCAGTCAGATCTCACTATAGCTACAGGTATAGTCTACTGCAGCATCACCCAATGGGCGTAAAGTTTAAAGACTGATTAAAGCGACTAACCTCCCAAAGAAGCAAAGCTCTCCCCGCATCGGCAGACTCCCTGGACTACCAAGACTTGTTCCACTACCGTCAGCGATCAGCCGTTGAGACAAGCGCAACCGTGGCTTTCTTTGATCGACGCTTGAACTTGAGCCTTGCCGCTCTTTCGATCCTCGAGGAGGCAAGGGGAAGCTGGGGGTCGGGCTGCAAGACTCGAGCCCTTTTAACCCATCCACATGCGATCTACATGCCCCAGTGACGGTCCTGTTGCATTTATACCGATGGTTTCGTATGCTGTTGAGTTGTGGCGGACGAACTACTGGCTGTTTGCGGCCTGTTGATCGACGGGTTGCTGAGGACAGGGTGTTTTTGGAAACCTGCGGTGAGGCTGAGTCAAGACGAGAGAGTTTGAAATGATGGTGTCTTGGAATCTGTCGCCAATTGAAGTATCGTCGTGTCAATCCAGACCATTCATTCCAAGGGGGAAAGCCCTTGGATAGTACTTCTATCATTCGTTCATCTTCTGATTGGAGTTGGGCTGCGCACAACATCGGCAAGATATATCTCGTCAAATGTCACCATCACCCACGCCGTTCGATAGCCTCGATACTCCCCCGACACACTGAAAGTTTAGCCACAACTAGCCTCAATCTCAAGATTGGGATCAACCACCCTTGACGAACGTGAGCGAAAGGTGGCGAGTAGGAAGCTGTTTTTAGCCTGGTTTCAGGGTCGAGTCAAGTGGTTCATCAAGATCGGCCGAAAACCCGACCAGGTCCTGTACGGCTCGTGCCGAGACCCAGGCCCCTTTTCTCGGAAAACTGATTTCCGCGGATGAGTATGCCCCGAGCGCTATGAAGGTGTCGGAAATATTGCTACAGTATTTTATATCCATTTTTGAGTATCTGGGGTTGCATACAACATATATATCGCTACAGCACAGTCGACTACCTACTCTGGCCATTCGTCTTCTTCGTATACCTATGTATATGCATAGCTACATGATTTATCTACCTACACTGAGCATCTGAACCATGAATGTTGGAGATGGCCCCCGTTTTACTACGGACCATAGCGCAAGATCATGTGTAAAGGAAGACACTTCTGGCTGCCACCTGGACCAACTTAATTGCCCAGACTTGGTCACCGATAGAATAGCCACGGCAATAGGCAGTGAGGCTATTTAGCTCACCCGAGGCGCAACATGGCTTTAGTGGCTTGGTCCAATCGACGGGTATTACCAGTCTCGGGGCACTTCCCGCGGGGAGCTTCAGCAGATATTGGTCACTGTAGTAGTCCTCCAACAAAAAGCTGGCGTTACTAGAAACTTGGCATAAGATGGCATCTCAACACAGTGGCTTGAAACTAGTCCAATAAGCGTAACCAGTTCCTAAGCAATGATCGACCTGGGGGTTTCCCAACAACTACCACTACAGATGAAGGCCTCGATGTCACGATCAGGCTACAATGTATTGGTACATTATATCGCATCTTTAGTTTCATAATCATCGGGTACAGTAGTATGCGCGCTGATACTGAATCATTTAAGGATATACCTGCTTAGTGAAGTTGACCTGAATAGTGAATTGTACCTGAATATTCCGGTAAATGGCAATCACGCCGTGGTTTTCGAGTTTGACCTAATGATATATTCGCTCTAGACCCTATTTATATATATATATATGTACGTGAATGCTACTTTCGCGCCCCTCTATGGCCGCGTCGGTCATAAACTGTCTATTTGCAGTTGGTTCCTCCATGAACAAAAGTACCATCAGAATTCTCGCAACCGCAAGTACCGTCGTTAGGGTCCTTGATGCAAGTAGTGCCAACACCAGAAGACTCGCCGTTGTTGCTGCTACCAGTCAGTTTTCCACACACACAAGAAAACATATGATAGGTGAAAACTTACCTCCAGAAGAATGTCCAGTAATCCGCATTGGCAGTCAACTTACCAGACGCGGGAGGAGCACACTCGTAGGCCTCACAAGTACCGTAAGGCGCACCGTTGTTCTTGTCGTACTGGTGGTCGACCTTGAAGATGGCAAAGGTCTGCTTGCCGGATACACGGGTGTTGTAGGCACACTCAGCAGCCTGGATGGCCTTGGAGGTCTTTGAAGCTATTCCGATACTGTCAGTGCTGAAATAATAGGGTGATGTTCCTGGTTGACTTACGAGAGCATGAAGGGCTCTTAGGATATTTGCCCTTGGTGTTGCTCTGAGCAGGATCAAGTGTAGCGGTGACAGCGCCAACGATGGCAAGCACAGAGGTGAAAGTGGTGAGAGGATACATATTGATGATGAGGAGGTATGAGATTCTTGGCAACTAGAACTAGAAAAGGATAGATAATGAGTCTTCTAGGACTTTATAGTTGGATATATCCCTACATACGTATGCCTTTGTTTCAAGGAAATTGAAGCACTGTTTTCGAAACCTATCATAGTGGGTATTTGCATGTTTCCATCGGTGGAGTGCTCGATCCTTGGCTAATAACAACATGGATGTATGTGGCTCGAGCTCAACATTTGCCTCGTATTGCTAGGTACTATTGGATGGAGGGTCTAAATCAATCAAAGATATTTCACGTATACGATCATCGTACGAATAAAACGAGAAACCGAACCAGTCGCGATTGGTGGATATATGTGCCGGGCAAAAGCAGAAGAAAGGTTTCCACGAGAGGTTGAAACCAGGGGTATGTCTCCTTTTGAAATGCTTGTTTCCAGTAGGTTGGCATGATTGCCCACTTCCCGTTGCGCTAAAATGACAGACATTATAAGGCTGTTGAATCTATTTATATCAAGTGGCAGTACCATGTCACAAAGAATATCCGCGTTCAATTTTCGAACCTGTAATTGTCAGAGTAGATGAATTATCCACAAACTTCCCAATCAAATATGATATACAAGCCAAAACCAAAAAACTGCACAGGAATTAGTCACTTGCTACTAAACTTTCAACAAAATATGTGACTTTACATGGAATTTATTAAAAGGTTTAATTAAGCTAAGCTAAACTACTACACCAACGAACACATCCTAAAGATCCTCCACGTCCGCAGCGGTATGCGGATGAAACGTCTCGAACTTAAAAATCGCCTTCTTGCTCTCGCCCTTGGGTTCATACAAAACCAGCTCAGGACAATCACCCCAGTCACCAATCGCACCAGAATCAGTAAAGAACCCATTCTGCAACGTCCCCGTAACATTAAAATGATAGCCAATCTCTTGTAGTCTCTGTCCCGCACAACGCAGCGACACGCGTGAGCCGTGATGCTTCTCCAGCGCGGATTGGATGTCGGAGAGGTGGTACAGCATGGAGTATGAGGGGATGATTCCGACGTCGCGGAGCCAGTCATAGGTCGGAAGGCGCTTAAAGAGCGAAACGGCCTTTTGGAAATACGGGACGGCTTCTTCAGCGACTTCGTAGTTGGCGTAGCAGGCTGGGTCCAGGGTGCTGAAGCATGTTCCGTGGGTGGCCCACTCGTCCTGCCAGAGCTTGTCGTTATCGCCGTCGGGGGATTCCCAGAGGTTGTTCATCTCATCGACAGTTTCTTCGGCGCCGGCGTGGTAGAGAATCTGGGTGATGTTTGTGTATGTGCGGTTGGAATCGCAGTTGGTAGGGAGAGAGCCATCGTTATGGATTGGCCATAGCCCATGGATAGTCCAGGAGTCTGAGACATGTTAGACAGATCTTGCAGTACTCGAAGTTTTCTCTTACCTAGAGGCCCAGTGACAGGTCTAGTATCCCATACTTGGGTCTGGAGTAACCGTGCTGGAGAGAGGTAACAGCAGGTATTATCGGCTGTTGTGTCATCGTAGCATGAACTTCGACGCCCGCTGGCGTAGACATTGGGCGTCCCAGCAAGTGCCACTACAGAAGTAGCTGCTGTAATAAGCGATAAAATCTGCAAAGAAGCCATTGTTTCGGTCAAGTTACTCAGATATCTTGAAATGCTTTGTGTTTACTTCAAATTCTCAAAGTTATCACAGCTCCCTTTATAATCTTGACCAGAACCCCTAGATCATTATACGGGCTATTTCTAAGCCCCTTTATCGGACGATGAACCGGTTACTAACAGAAAGCATCATAGAGTTGTTGGTTTCGGGGCTGATACAAACGTCAGAACCGATTCAAGAAAACCAGTCACATACTATCACCCGCTCGAAACACGTCAGATAAGATCCGAATGCGTCTAGTGACGAATCGGAAATGTCTTGGAAGTCGAGAGTTTGCGGAAGGCTGGGCCACACGATTCCAAATGCGGACCATCCAACGTATACAACTCGAGAGAGTTTCGCCGATCCATACCAAGTGGTGAATACAGCTGCGTTCTGCCCTTGCATTTCCAAGTTTGTTCAACATGCAAGGTCCTGAAATCGTTTTGTTCGGTGTTCGTTTTCGTCCAGTGCTGGGTTTGAGGCCGTTTGGTTTCAGCTGAAGCCACCTTTTGATATCAGCACGATGGGATCGTCAGTTTCCCTCCTGTACATGAGGTACAAAGCTCCTGTGGAATGCGGTCCGGTCCGGGTAGCTGCAGTTACGGTAGAAATTGGTGGTTGGATGGGTGATGAAGCACTCTTGCGCTGCTGCAGCCACACCATAAATCAGCCTCTTCCAAGAGTTTGCGTTTGAAATTATGAACTATTAGAATTTTCATTCCAGGGATTTTGAGCTGATAAAAGCTTGGCATCGGGAGATTGGGAACTTCTCGCTGTAGTATGCTAAGAATAGGATGATTGTTTGCGTGATCACCAAGGCATTTGGGATGCCATTGTTGTAAGACCCATGACTTCTCGTCTCAGCTGCAACGGGCAAAAGTTGAGACATTTTGAGACAATACGATTTCAGATGAGACCAGTTCAGATGACTCAGATGCAGTAGATCTCTCCGATACAAAACCAGAATGCTATCGTCTTCGAAACGCTTAGTGGTCTGTTTTCATGCTATAGTAGACCTTCTCCTCATCATCTTGAAAACTAACAACCTGAGGGAACTCGGCTGGTTTCCCGGCCACCAGCCGGGCGAAATGGCCATCAACCAACGCCATCTACCCGTCATGGCAGTTCGATCATCGGAATGTGATAGTTAAGGTTGACTTGTCAACCTCCTGCTCTGTGCACAGCCACGAGTATAACGGCAATAATACTTCCGAGAGCTTGCAAGTCTTTAACGACTAGGTTCTTCTCTATACGATACCTACTTGACTCGTGAGGAAACTCAAAACTGCTAAGCATGGCAGGGCACCCCAGATTTAGGCTATTTGAGCTTGTGTGGAGAATCACACGTCATGGTTATTATACACTGGAATGAAGACTTATCACTCAATCAACCAGGTCTGTAATGCTCAATTAAAGTTTTTGAGTTACAGGTTCATGATAAGAATGGCGTTGTGAGGATCTTCAACGGCTTGAACTCGCTTCAAATGTCCATTTTGAATACTGGCGATAGTGTCATAACCGCTCCTCGCTTCATCTTACACCGAACAAAATCAGGGATGACACTCCTCCTCGCGCTTGCTCGGGCCGATAACAGGACTCACCTCTAGTAAAGAGGGGAAGGAAACAATGTCGTCAAGAACCAAGATGATGTATAAAAAAAGCATGACCCATGAAAGTCTCCGCTTCTCCGCAACTTTATTATCGGGATGTTTTTGTAGCGTCTGGTCAAGATGCAGCTCCTCAGTATCCTTACAGGCGTCGCGTGCCTCTGCGCATCGTCATTAGCTTTGAAGGACAATTACAAACCAGGACCTAAAGAGCCTCAGTTTCACAACTCGGCAAATCATCCAGGCGCTGACCCTCATGTGATCTACGACTCCAAAAGCGGCCAGTATTACGCATACTCTACCGAGGGCGCCGACCCGGGGAGTCTCTTTGCCATCTACAGCAGCCCTGATCTATCAACCTGGCACAAACACCCTGGCGGTGTGCTGAAAGCGTGCTACGACGATGACATGAATCGCATCGAGGGCGGCCAAGCCTGCTGGGCGCGCGATTGGTACTGGGCGCCTGAGACATACTACAACGAGAAAACAGGGTGGTACTTTTTCTTCTTCGCGGGACGTTTGCGGGAGGATCTTGCGAAGGATTATTTCCGATACTCGGACTTTGAGGAGCCGTCCAAGATTGGCGTCGCTGTCTCACGTTCGCCGACTGGGCCGTTTAGGGAAATTCACCCGAAGCCCGTCGAGTACTATCCCTTCGATCCTGACTATCACGATGTCAATCTCATCATGGACGACAAGCAAATGCTGCCTCCGCAGACTTTGGCAGAGGGTAAGACAGCGCCGAAGGGCACGTACATTCCCACCATCGACGTCAATATCTTCTTTGACAAAAATGGCCGTGTTTATCTTTATCTCTCGCGCAATGCCTACCGCAATTGGAATTGGGATAAGAAGTTGGGCAAGTACATTGAGGAGTCCAACATCATTGTAATCGAGATGGAAAGGAAGTGGTGGGATGATCCAAAGGCATCGACCATGCCGGAAATTATCGCTTCTCAGAAGAACATCCACGCCAAGGATGCGCCAAAACTACCAAAGAACATCACGTCTTACAACGGCACTGGCGAGATCGGTTCTCCTCCTCGAAAGGACGGTTGGAAGACTGTGATTTCTTACGGCGCTGATCCACAGGATTGGGAGAACTACCACGTCGATGACCACGAGAAGAACAATGGCACAAAGAAAGACCGTCGCTGGGCTGAAGGCAGTACCACCATCACAAGACCAGGCAAAGACGGAAAGCCTATATATCTCTTGACTTACAGCGCCAACAACTACGAAGCTTCCAACTACGGCGTTGGTTTCGCCACATCAAAGTCCCCATTTGGGCCTTTTCGCAAATCATCCAAAAATCCAATTCTCTCGCAGGAGCCTGATGCCAAAATTCCGATTTATTCCACCGGCCATGGCAGTATCGTCGCTTCACCCGCCAAGCACAACGCAAAAGTAGGCGCGCAGGAGGTTACTCTTCGAACGCCGCCGGGATCAGAGCTCTTCTACGTGCATCATGCCCGTAACAGCACCACGCGTGATAGATCAATCTACACGACTCGCATGACCCTCGATGAATCAGCTGTATATTTCGGCTCGAATACTGCTCTCAGTATGGACTTGACACCTCTCGACCAGCCGTTGCCCAAGAATACGTACCCTATTAAACTACAGGTTAAATGCTCCAAGACAAAGAAAGGCGGTCGTCAGTTTCATGTTCGTGTGGAATCAAAGCCTGGAGCATCCTTTGATATTCTTGAAGGGACTAACAGGGTCGTTGATTTGCCTGGGAATAAGGTTGCGACGTCTACAAAAGCTGATGGGCATGGCTCGTTTGATCTGTCTTTCGGCAATAGTGCTGTGAAAGAATTGGCATATCAGCGCTTGAGCGTGGATGGAAGCTGGTCTACTGTTGCTAAGAGGAAAGTGGCCTGCAAATAGTGTCATGAATGTAGAGTTCAAATAGCTGTTGAAGATAAATCTATCAATCTTGCTCATTGCATGTGCACATGTAGATAAAAAGCGCCTTTGATTTTGGTAGAAGAGCCTACAGAAACCAAAATGCTGGAGATATTATTAACTCCAGCAAGCCCTCATGGCTTCTACTTGTTAGATTCAACTGAGGGCAGATCTCTTTCGAATACAAGGCAATCTCTTTGTTACTAGTTTCACGCAACATAGAGGACAATATGACGACGTGCAAGGATAATGATATTCGCCCGAACTCGGAGACGCGACAAGAAGTCAAATAATCAATTTCCCATATGGTTTATCTGGTTTTCATAACACTAACCTTAAATCAAGCTTCGGCCAACCCAAGCCTCTCCCAACTTCAAGGATATCCCTCAGTCTAGCACTATACCACACTCAGACATAGACCACCTTGGTAACAGTAGGCGTAGGCGCCGCAACAGTAACAGCAGAAGCACCAGCGCACGAACAAGCAGTCAAGTAACGAGCCTCGCCCGAACAAGCACTAGCGTAAGTAGGAATAGACTTGGTCACATAGACAGTGCTATCCAACCTATTAGCTTGATACCATAACTACAGACCGTTGGGGAGACCGACCTGGCTTCGGGAGTAGTGGTAACCTCAAGATAGGCGTTGCACTGTTCCTTGTAAGAGGCCACGACTGCAGGGCCACGGAAACCTGGGGCGACAGCTCGGGCACAGTTATCGCCGCATCCGTTGCGTTCTTGGAGCTCTCTAGGGACGTTGATGGCTAGGACGGGGGCGATGAGAGTGGCAAGGAGGGTGAACTTCATGATGACAGTTTGGTGGTTAATTTGCAAAGATAGGTGAGGTTCAGAGTGAGGGATGTGCTTCTTGATTGCAAGGTGGTTATTGAATTTCTGTAAACTGGCCGAGGATTTCAGGTCTTTTTGTACTCAATTTCCAAGTAACAGAAGAGACTCAGTTCTTCTCAAGGCTTTCAATACCCCTGGAAGGATCCATCAGGACCCCTAGCCAATATCCAACGGCTTAAACAGAAACTATTTAGTTAGCACCTGGAGGTTATCGCCATCATCCATCAGCTTTCCACGTTTTCTCCACTAGCGCAACGGTTAGCCAGACACAAACGCCACTGACCCAACCGTCAAAGGGGTTATCAGCCAAAACAACAAATCTAGATCACGCTAGGACTTATACCAACACAAGGTGATCCCATAACAAGATTAGTACAACAGTCGATTGCACAAACGGTTATTATCTGCAGAGACCACATGACAATTTCGAGGATAGGCTTTGTTGTCTAGGTGGAAAGTAAGGGGTGACTATTTAAAGTCTTGGTCCACGGCTTGCGCATTGGGATATCAGTGAACTGAGGGTCCTGGAGAGCCGAGCTAAGATACTAGATGGGGTGAAGTACAAGATTGGTTGGCCATTGGTGTGTTAGCCTGAAAAGGAGGAGCCTTGCAAGGTACACTACTGTCATTGGTCTAGGCTCGCAAGACCTTACAAGACGCAAAGGCTGGGTTGAGTTGAGACGATTGAAGGTCTCTTGAGAATAGTCGTGGATCTTTGAAAACCTAAACAGAGAAACGACGAGACCAGGGGCAAGTATGTTGTGATAGGAATACGAAATACATATATATATATAATATCGAAAGGAGATACTACTAAGTATATGCTGCATAAAAGCTAACATATGAGAAATAAACAATAATGTTTCGCTATAGCAAGGCTTAGAGACCAAACTCCACTATAGCAAGAAAGAACAAGGTTGCCAATCACCCTTGTTCGCAATCGTGACAATCTACCTTTAGACCACTTGGCCTATCGAAAGAAAGGAACAATACCTATTCCCCAACTCAACCATCCATACCGTCGCGAATGCGCAAGAAGTTGGCATACCGCTCCAAAGTCCAGCGCCGAGATGCCTTGCCCCACACAGCCATCGGCAGCGAAAGCATGAGAATAACAAAGCTCAGAACACCAAGCTCGATAAAGCAGTTCTGGAGTCCAGTGTCGACCCAGTAGCTGCACACAAAGGTGAAGATGGTGGCGAGGGTGTTGTTGATGACTGCCACCCCTACCATGCCCTCGAGCACCATGTCTGGGTAGCTGTCAGCGAGGTAGGTGATGCTCAGATCACCGGCGCAGCCATAGCCGAATCCGATGAAGCCAAGGGCGACGTACGGAACGGGCCAGTCCCATCCGTGGGCTGACCCGATGCCGAACAGCCACATACCCAGGGGGAAGACGACGACGCAGAGAACCATGAGGTAGAGACGGAACTCAGCCTCCATGATACCCTTGTTGCGCTTGGCCATCCAGAGGATGAACCTGTCGCTACAGTATCCACCGTAGAAACAACCAATGACACTTCCAATAAGACAGGGAATGTTCATGTTGGCGACAGCAGAGTCGGTGTAGTTGTACGGCTCGTTCACCCAGTAATCCTCTTCAACAGTAAGGTAGAACGACAGCGCAATGTTTTGCATTCCCCATTGCAAACCAGCAAACCAGACAGCAGGGAAGGTGAAGATGCGCATGGTGTGCCATAGGCGGCGGACATACTGCGTCAGGCCCAATCCTCGTAGGTTAGACGCCGGGGTGATAAGCGCAATGCGCTGCCAGTATGATTTCTTTCGCGTAAACGAATCGCATAGTCTGTTTCGCTCAATCTCGTCGCGTCGCTGAGAAGATGCGCTTCGAGCGATGGTAGCTTCCTCGTCCACTGGCAAAGGAATACTCTTCTCCATCGCATCCTTGGTGGTGACATCGTCACCTTGGTGGACAGGCAAACCCTCAACATTACCGCGGTTGGCATCGCGCTCCTCAGCTTGGTGGAGGTCAATGTAGTGGTTGCGCTCAAATGCCGTCTCCTCGAGACCAAAGTAGAACAGGAGCAGAGTAAAGCCCGAGGCAATAGCGCCCATGTGGCCGATCCAGCGCCATCCTACATTCTCTGCCAAGTGACCTCCAATTAAAGGCCCAACGTAGGTACCGACCGTAGTCGCGAGGGTGTACATACCCAGCGAGGTACCATTCTGGTGCTCAAACCAAATATCCAGCAGAGACAGCTGCACAACCGCCTCAGCGACAGACTCGGATGCCCCGACAAAAAGCTGGGACCAAACGGTGTCGGACGTGTTGGTCAGGTGGCCGAACCAAATATTTCCAATGAGACCCCATACCGTTCCTACCAAGTATAGAATACGTCGGCCGTAGAGATGGGTCGCAGGCGAACTGAGAAGCGTCCAGTACCCAATGGCGACGAAGAGTACACCGGCGCCAGTATTAAAGACATCGTAGCTAATGCCGTATTGCTCATTTACACCCACGCTCGCAGCGCCGGCAACGTTGGACGTGGCAGCTGTCAAAGCGACAATGTAGCACACCAGAAAAGAGTGCCAGATCTTGCGCGCAAGACTCCAGTTCAGTGGATCGTTGGGAGACTTTGTCGGAGCAGGAACTAGAATGACGTCGCCGTGTTTCTCGATGCTGGCATCGTTAGAGGCGACGCTTGCCCACTCATCGGTGAAAAGACGTCGCGTGCCCGGGAGGACTTCATCAAGATCGCGAGTAGACGGAACGGCCATCCGCGACGATTTGCAATGGGAGTTTAGTGTAGGGTCTTGTTAAGTTGAGTTTGCGCAAACGGCTCGGAGCCGCATTCACTCGCGTTAAGGAGGATAGGTATGGGTATGTAGGATCTCGATTGAGAGTCAGCAAGACATTGTCTAATTGCGAAGGAGTTTATCTCGGAATTGTAGCACAGCAGTAAGTAGTATTACTCTTCTCTTCCAAAGGAGGGGGGGAGGAATTTTTTATAAATGCCCGAGATCCCCATATCTTTTGACGAGCAGTGCCCCCCACCAGGAGGATTCCCATTAAATTTTGTGACCAAACCCTTGTCGGGCCGCAATGGAGAGACCGGAGCGATGCCACAAACGGACAGGGCGTCTGACAATTGTGGTACGTTTGAGAAGAACAAGCTCAAGCTGGGAGGTGTTGATGTCATGGTTGATGCGCAAGGTGTGGGAGACGGCACAGCTCTTCCGATGCGAAAGATAAGGTCGCGTGCGTATGCTTATGCGTGTTCGGGCATTGGACGGATGATCCCTGCGCTGTCGCTGTGGGTGTTTGCCATGCTTTCTGACGGCTTCTCCGCGATTGGATTGGGGTGTTTGCCGTTGATTTGGAGAACTGAAGTGGAGGTGACATGCTGTGCGACACAAGTACGAAGAGATGGGGATCGCGATAGTAATTTGCAACTGTTATCATTGAGTCCACTTCGTGAGGCTCCGTTCCGCTGCCATTCGCAAATCAGGTTAGCTCAGTTTTGATCACAGCATGCGGAACATCGCCGGAATATATCCCGATACATGCTCAACGGCAAATAGCGTTGATACAAATGTCGACTTTGAAGACATTGCTTTTTTCTTTTACCACGTCCTCAGGCCGATTCAAAGATCACGATTATGATGTAACGTTGTCTATCCCCCTTTTTAGCATAGAACAAAGAAAAAGGCCGCATGGCCCAAGCCTTCCAGAAGCCAGGTCAAGGACAAGGGTTAGCGATGCCTAACGGCTAATAAACAAACGCAACTTAATCCTGAAATCTCCTGTTCAGAGTTTTATTTATGGGGTAGAGTGCTCGGATCTCGTATCACACATGTCTGTTTCGCTCTCGTTAAATATCTCGTCGCTGTGGTATCAATAAAATGTCCTGTTTTTCCAATGATCCCATCTCAGCCGCGTCCAGCACTAAACCATCAAAAAGTCCACATTCAAATCTTTTAGCTTTTGTACCCAGTCCATATATCCCTCGCCGTCCGTGTCGTTCTTCCATAATATCTGCAGAGTATCAATCGCAGAGTAGAGGAATCCCCATGGACAAATTGCCGCGACCATCTTTAGTCTATCCATAACCCACGCCCGGCTCTCCGGAGTCGTTGCCGTCGTTCCATAAATAAAGGTGGGCCATCCCGTTGCTTTGAAGTTTGGGTCTTCGTCGGGCAACGGCAGAAGCGTCTTGTAAAGATCCTTGATGAGACCTTTGCAAACTTGGTCAGGCATACGGGCGCGCAGTGCGGGAGATGACTGGATGATGTAGAGGCATGTGGCCAGTCTGTGCGCAGAACCGGTGCGACAGCTGCTCCAGAGCGCGGCTTCGTTGGAGTCGGTCATTCTGTCTTTTGCCCACTTGAGAACGTCGAGGCTTTGCGCGCGGTCAAGCAAATTGGTGATTTCAAGTAATGCCTCATGATTGGAGATGCTTCCTTGTGACTCGGCATGCAGTAGTTGTGCTGTCTCTCGAAGAATATCCAGAACTTCAGGAGGACAGCAAAAGAACGAGTTGTTAGTTCTGGATAATGTTGTTTTCACCTGACCTGGGGCGAACGAAGCTGCTTGAGTGCCTGGTGTTGATGGGTTAAATGACAAGCTCAATGTGCAATATCTGTGATATAATCAATCAGCCACTGACTTCAAACGAAAGATGAAATTTAAACTTACACATAACAGTCTGCAACGATATAGTCCCGCAGCTTTGTGTCAAAACTTGCATATGGCTCCATCATATTCAAAAGTTTCTTAGCGCCCTCGAGATGTGGCCGCCAACTTTGCCAGCCAGACTCTATCAGTTCTGAATTGATAAGAAAGAGAACAGTGGCAAGAATCACATCAGCTCCAATGGTGTCGATGTTCCGAAGAGCTTCGGGCATCATCTGTAGACCCTTTTGCTTGGCGACGAGAGCATCCATGAGCATCTTTTTTGGCGCCTCTTTCCGTTTATACGGATCAGATTCAAGCCATGGTCTTGACATATTTGACATGTGAGCGGCAGACACCGCGATGATAATTTGTTGCAGGAATGTATGTTCATTTGTGAGCTGTAGAAGATTAAGGTAAGGATTCCTGTTGCCGTTGGTTTGGTCGTTGCCAACTAGATCCAGGCTGACTCGTGTTGAGACTGAGTTAAGGTCAGCATCTTAGAAGACTAGCGTCCTGAACGAGTCCGTACAATAATTCAAATAGTATCTTTGCGACTGTGTCATATCCTGAAACAATGGATCGATGAGTGTCCATGGAGAATTCGATGAGGTTGGCGAAGGGGGTGAAGGTGGTGACCATGGTTGAGTCTTATCTATAACAGATAGTTGATTTTCCTGAGGTGACATTAAACCCCAAGCACTAGGCTCAAGGCCTTGTGTATCGAATGAACCCATTTGCATTTCTGGTGACACCTCATCTGTCATGACCGATTCACCCTGCTTGGGTAGCCGGCATACTGAGGCGCTCGAGCTCTGTCCGGCCAATTTCCCCCGTGTGGCGACGGAGCCAGTCCATAGAAATAGGCGGCCATAGCCAAGACACTCAACACCCCTGGAAGCGCATTTGGAGCAGTGCGGGATAGACCTATCGCAGCGCAGTCGAGCGCGACGACAGCTATGACAAGCCTTCTTGGCCACCGGGACGTTACTTGAGGTGATAGTGTCGCTGTCGGGGGGCGAAGATGACATCGGGGGGTATGTGAGATTTAAGGCCTTTAGGTCTCAAAGCCTTGCTCCTTGCTTATCAAGACAGCTAGAAACCGGAGGCGTTCCTGGAAGATGCAACAGAAAAAATGGCGTCAAGATGGATAGCTCGTCGTGAGCAGAGCCTCGCGGTTTGCAGAAATGGTTAAAACTTGGTTGATCCCCGAATCCTGGTTCTTGGTTTGTAAGATGTTTGGTTGATTTTCGGAACTCCAAAGCACAGGCTGGGAAACGTCGAGGAATCAGAGTCCATGTTGATGCCTGGGAACCAAGGCCGATATCTCGGCTTAAGCGGGATGGAGTTCCAGGCAAACCCGCGAGGAGGGTCTGGAGCATTCTTTACCCGAAAAAGCTAGAGCAGGATCTCCCAGGCTGTCGGCTCCATAATTTTAGCTGGGCTGGATGATAGAGACTCACTAACATCGAACAAATGCACCATGTGAGTTGAATACGAAACCTAGAGTTATTAAGAGGACATGGAACCCAGATCTTGCATTGCACTCTTTTGAAACTACTGATCACTAGTAGATTGATTGAAATTGTTTACTCTGGGATGTATATTTGAAATCAAGCCTTTCAATCAGTATCATGACATGTTAAGTATCATGACAGAGATATATAGCATGACCTGCTGACCTTTGCGCAAACGACATCTATAGAAATTACTTCTATACATAAATCCCTTCCCAGAGTTTATTCATTTCTGTTATCCAAAACCCCACATGCCACCAACTCTAGCACTTTCGCTCAACATCATAGTTCGAATCACTACCATTCTCAGAGCCATCCATATGCCGCCCAAAGACATAAAGCTCAACATCTTTGATCTCTTGTCGAAACTCTTTTGCCACCGTGCGACGGAAGTAAATACGCTTCGCCCACTTATAGCCCTCCGCCCCAGCGAAGAAGACGCCAACGGCAATAAAGATAACACCCCATTCCCAGTCGATGGGACTATGCATGAAGACCACGCGGTTAATCACAGGTATATAAAGCGTTGGTGGTATGAGAACCGTGCTAGCCGTGACGGACCAGAAGAGGAAAGGGTTCTTCCAAAGGCGCTTCGTCCATGCCTTAAAACTACCACCTTTTTCGAAGATCTCGGCAAAAAAAGATCGGCGGAAGTCGACGAGTTGCCAGGCAAATAGCAGGAAGTCCCACGTCATGATTGTGAACGCTGTTGACCGGGCTGAGAAGACTGTTTCGCAAGACTCGGAGTATTTAATGTTGCAGTCGTGTCCGAGGCCTTGCTTGTTAAAGCCGTAAAGGACGACGACGGAGGAGCCGAGGATGCTGATCAGCATGAGAATGCCGTAGACTCCAAGATCGACGAGAAACTCCGGTGTGAACACGCCATACTTAAGCTATTTAGTGGGTTAGTGGCTATGAGGTAGTTGGCGGGTTTGATTGACTTACACTATGAGGGGGCCGACGGAGAATATCAGGACTAGCTTGCTCAAATCCAAGACCAGTCTCAGTAAACGCTCCAGCAACGAGCAACATCCAAATAATCTCCACCGGCGTCAAGACGAAGATGGAAACCCCACTATCATCCTTGAAAGACAAGCCCACCAGGAGACAGATGACAAAAGCGACGTTGGCAGCGAGCACGTGAAGAATGAATTTCTGGATATTGTCAAAGATTCTTCGACCTTCCTCGATAGCGTTGAGAATAGATGCAAAGTTATCATCCGTAAGAATGATATCAGATGACTCCTTGGCGACGTCTGATCCGTTAAGGCCCATCGCGATACCAACGTCCGCATGCTTCAAGCTAGGACTGTCGTTCACTCCGTCACCTGTCATGGCAACGTAGCGACCACGGCGGTGTAGAGCTTCGATCATACGAACTTTGGTAGTAGGTGAGCAACGGGCTACAACGAGCGGTAACTCAGGCATTGCGTCAATCTGGTGGTCGGAGAGGTGGTCGAAGTCGTGTGCTGCCATTACCATTGTCTCTGCGATATCACTGCGAACCATTCTCATTCTCTCAGGTGATGGGATGATAGAAACATCAGCGGCGATTGCTCGAGCAGTCTCGGGGTGGTCGCCTGTCAGCATGTGCACACTTATACCAGCCTTCTGGCACATTTGCACACTGTTGCGAGTTTCTGGTCGTGGAGGATCGTAGATGCCTATAAGGCCGCGAAATACAAGGTCTTTTTCGAATTCTGATCGATCCATGGCTTTCGATAGGTCATCGGGTAATCCATTGATCGGAGATCGACTAGCCAGAGCGAGAACACGAAGGCCAAGGCGGGCAAAGGCTTCCATATTCTCCAAGATGGATTCACGTGTGATTGTGTCGAGGGGTTTGACTCCGCCGGGTGTCTCCATTGCAATACAGCTGCTAAGGACACGCTCAACTGCACCCTTTGTGAATATGTGCGTCTCGTCGGTGGTGGTATCCTGGAATATGACAGACATTTTCTTGACCTCTGAGTCGAAAGGAAACTCGGCAAGCTGTTTCCAACTGGGATTAGGACCGGATGATAGAGTCGCGCGGTTCCAGTTGAAGCGAGTCACAAACACTTGGATAGCAATCTCTGTAGGATCGCCTTGTACGAGCCACTCTTCAGGGCCACCATCTTTGCTTCTTTTCTCAACTACAGCCAAGTTCGCGAGTGAGGCGATGTCCAAATAGTGTTTGAGTCCTTCGTTGGTGCTGGGCTCTGTGTGGGGGTTGACAGTCTGCGATTTCAACTCTTCGCCTGGTCTTGGTAGGTCTACTGGTCGGACAGGAGTGAAGTCCATATCACCGACCAAGGCGTTGTAGGGTTCGTTTGTGGATGCAATGGAGTAAGTACCGTGCCCTGGAAGCCAGGCCATTCTAACCACCATCTTTCCCTGGGTCAGAGTACCAGTCTTGTCAGAGCAGATATCTTTAACACCTGTTAGCTCTCCAAATCTCAGTAACTGGCATGCAAAATGATTACTTACTGGTTACCCCACCAAGGGCTTCCAAACTCTGCGTATTTCTCACAACAACCTTTCGGCTCACCATCTGCTTTGTTCCATCCGCCAAAGTGATAGTCAACACCAAGATCAGTGAGACTGGGAGAGTTCCCACAGCTGTCGCAACGGCGTAGATGATCACATCCTTGCGCGGCTGGAATTTGTTGGCGGCTAACACGATGATGGCACATACAACGGCAAACCCGAAGACATATAGGAACAGCTGTGATAGCTTCCTTTGCAGCGGGGTTCCCACATTGACACCCAAGAACTCGCCAATAGAGTCTGAGACAGACAACAGCCATTTGGTAATATGAGCGCCAAGCGAAGCTCTCCCGTTTTGATCACGTTTAACCACTCGCTTCTTCCGGCCGGTATCCTTCAGAGCTGCTGCAATAGCACCAATCTCGGTATAAGCACCAGTGGCGAACACTGCACCTTTGCCACGACCCTTTGTAACATTCGTTGAGCTGTAGGAGACATTAAGGCGATCACCCGGTCCCGTGTCGTCGTCGAACTGCATCTTATGGTTCTTGCGCACAGGCAAAGACTCTCCGGTGAGTAAAGCCTCGTTTGCCTCATAGTTCGTTACGTCGATTAGGCGGATATCGGCAGGTACGGAGTCGCCCATCTTAAGGTCGATGATATCGCCGGGCACGATCTCGCTGGTTTGTATGGTAATGGTCTTTTCGTCTCGGAACACGTTTGCTGTGGGCTGGCTAAGAGATTTCAGGGAGTGGACGGTTCGGGCGGCTTGCAGGTCTTGGACGAATCCAATGATGATGTTGAGAAAGATGATCAGGGCGAGGGCACCACCTTCAATCCAGGCTTGGATTCCGAAGCTTGCGGCTAGAGCCAGAATCAAGACCTATAAGGTTAGATAAGAGGTCTTTTCAGAGTTCATGTGACACTTACTAGAGTCATACAGTTGAAGATCTGGGCGATGAAGATCTTGATGGGCTTAACGCCCTCTTCCTCACCCAAGTCATTTGTACCATACTCGGCAAGTCGTCGAGACGCCTCGGCAGCGGTCAATCCAGTAGCTGGAGTTGTTCTGAGCTCCTGCACCACTGTTTCGATTGGTAAAGCATGTGCTGGACGCGACAGTGGTTTGTTGGATTGACCCGAGATGTGGTTCTCGATGTTGGGGGCAGGTTGTTTGGATGACATGGTGGGTAGGTAAGGTGGATGTATCTTTCCACGGGCATGGACTCGTGATTCCAGCAGGGCCTTTTTATACCTCTTGGAAAGAGTTGCGGTGGCTGCTATCGTTGGGTGATCCTATTGGATTTATGGTGTATAGACCCTTATCGTTGATATTTCTGTGGGTTTTGTTGAGACAGCTGAATGTTTCCAAATCAACACATGTGTGGCAGCCAGACACAGTACAGAGGGCTGACTTTAGAGTTCAAAAAGTAAACGAAATAGAGCTGAGGTGCAACATTGCGCGGCCTCCTTGTCATTGATATAGTCAGAGGCATAGAGTGTGGTGGTTGACCTGCAGAACAAATGACTAACAGCCTCAATCAAATCATTACTGCATGGGGATGCCAAGAAACAGTACAACCCTCACGACTAGACCAAGCGAGGTAACTTTCGCCGTCTCCAAGATTTATTCTCTAGGTGTTTGACCGGCGGTCCAGTATGAAGCAGAAGCCCCTTGTCTTGGCTTGTAGAACCAAAGATTGGTAGTGGAGCAGTATCTTGGCATTCTGGAAGCGAACACGGATTCCGAAGATTCCATTGCCCGAGTGAATGTCATAATTCCTTATCAAGTCTTGATCTACCAGGTTCATGTCTTGCTGTCCCGATTACAAGTCTTGGTTCCCGATTTCGTGTCGTGCCAGCAGCTTGATAAGCATTGAGATTGGTCAACAGACATATCAAAGCCCTTAACAAGTCTAAGCCGAAATAGTGAGCCAAGACTCCAATGCAGTAGCGTAGTAGCTAGTAAAGTCATTGGTCAGTCGCTGGTTTCTTCCGGAACGAACGCTTCGTCTGTTCCCGAGACGATGGAGCCTTGGATCCATCAAATGCTCTGTGGATTGCCTAAAGCGGTATCTCACAGCGAACAAATGACTAACGAACATGCTTGTCAAATATGCTTATTATTCTACAAGCCAAGAAATTTAATGCTTATTCTTGCCATTTAGGTGAATAAATGATCGTATGGACTACCTAGATAGTGAAGAGCCACTGTGTCGTATCTGAACATTGCTCAGTTGTAAATTGTCGTGATAAAGTCCATAACTACCAGTATAGAATACCAAATGTTAAGCACTTTATCACACCGATAACATATTTTACCTGACAAAAGGAGTATCTTGTTGAAAATGCTTCATAGAAGGTACTGTAATAAACCCCGCTTACCCCACGTCATTGTCACATTGGTCAAATAGATTTCCTTGATCACAACAGCCAAGCCAAATGCTGAATAATACTAAATGTCAATACGCGCCCTTTATTGCAACATGTATTTATTCCAACCATTACGCCAAGAACAATCGAGAAGATCTACAAATTCAACTTTCCCACCGACAAACGACATCATCATGGTTAACCTTCCAGTCCCGTTCAGCGACATTCCTCGCGTCCAATTACTATTCGATCGCCCTACTGACATCGAGCCACTATCACGACTCACAGAAACACTGAACAGCGGAGCAAAATTATGGATAGCTCGTGAAGACCGCAACTCTGGCCTTGCTTTCGCCGGGAACAAAGTCCGTAAGCTCGAGTATGTCCTAGCCGATGCTCTTGCACAGGGCGCAGATACTCTAGTGACTACTGGCGGAGTCCAGTCGAATCATATGTGTCAAACCTCTGCTGCTGCTGCCAAACTTGGTCTCAAAGTAAGTGGTATAACGATTCAAAATATGTTTTCCGACTAAAGGTCAAGGTTGCTCTTTATCCGGCTGATCGTGTTGCCTCGGACCACGCCGAGTATAAGTATTTGGGGAACGTCCAAGCAAACGGCATCCTAGGTGCTGAGACCTTCCCTCTTGATACTAGTAAAGAGACTGTGATCAAAACGCTCAGAGAAAGAGGGCAAACGCCTTATCCGATTCCACCTGGAGCGAGTACTCATCCCCTCGGAGGCTTGGGCTATGCTCGTTGGGCATTCCAGCTGTTGGAACAAGAATCCAAGCTTGGTGTAACTTTTGACGCGATCGCTTTAGTCGCAGGGTCGTGCTCCACAATTGGTGGTATAGTCGCAGGACTAAAGCTTGCACAAAAGCAAGGGCTTCCTGGTTCGCAGAAGCGTCTGATCGGATTCTCAGTTCTGTATCCCTCTAAGGAACAGGTCGTAACGATGGTGCTGGATATAGCCAAGAATGCGGCATCAAAGATTGGCGTGTCTCCAGATGACATTACAACCGACGATTTCGAGATTGATACTTCGTTTATCGGTGAAGGCTATGGACAGCTCAACGACAAGACAGCCGAAGGGATGAAGGAGCTTGCCAGAACGGAGGGCATCTTGACTGATCCTGTATACACCGGGAAAGCTTTCACTGGTTTGCTTGAAATTGTCAAACATGGTGAATTCGAGGGCAAGAATGTTTTGTTTGTCCACACAGGAGGACAGGCTTCTCTTTCGGCCTATCCGAGCCTGAGATAGTAATCACATGACTGGAGGCTATCGTGGGGTTTGAAATACTATCACTGTTGACTCCCTCACTAGGTACTCGAAGGCTTGTTCTTCTTTCCTGAAGCAGGGAGTAGTCAATCAGGAATCGTGGCAGCTAGCCTGGATACTTGTTTGGCTTCCTATGAAGAATCCAAGCTTAGATATATAATTCAGGGTTTGACTAAATGTAAGATATCCACAGATTTTTTTAACACACCTCACATTATTTACTTGGACGGGGCTTAGTGATGTGTTTATGACCCTCCCGCATTTCCCATGGCCTCCGAAGCCAGATCGGTCTGTATCAAATGAAAAATAATGACCTGTGATTGACAGAGTCTCTCTGATTGGAATTGCTATCACCATTTCTAGACACGACCACGCTAGCCTGACCAATACCGACCTCAGCCCAATTATGCTTGCACATGGTATCCAGGCCTACTTAGCCCTCGCAATGGTTCTCTGCAAAAACAATGGTTTATTCTGCTGAGAAAGCTTCCGAGGGCATTGAAATACCCGCACTATCTAGCTATGAGCTTAGACACGAAAGCATTAAGGGGTAACCATGAAGTAACAAATAAGTGTCTCTGTAAGACTGCGCAAACCGTCTCCCACTCGTCCATATCAAAAGCCCTTCTCTACCATGCGACGCTCAGCCCAGGCGCCTAGTTCTCCGAAGAACTCCTCCGGGTCATCGCCTCGCCAACGTTTGAGCTGGAACCAGAGGTAGCGTGCGTCCTTTCCAGCCTTCGTGACACGTTCGAAATCAGGCGCGTGTTGATGAAGAACCTTGAGAGCGTTGGTATCCACGAACAGGCACGGGGGTGAAGAAGAGAGGGGTCAGTAACATACCTCAACGTAGTTTTTGGCGTGATTCATGAATTCGTTTCGGTATTCAGCGGTTTCGTCCTCTGAGATTCGTGTGATGGTGGGCTTACCATTCTCGTCTACATTAAGGTCAACAGGGAGAGCCATCTCGGGATCTGACAGCATAGCGGGCCAAATGCAGCCCGTCTCCCAGTCATAAAGTGACTTTATATGAACGTGGTTCTTGTCCGCTTCGGTCGTGATAGACATGTTGTGAATGCCGAAGTCGCCATGCTCTAGCACCATACGATACAGATCTTTCTCATTCTCTTCCGACGGTAGCATGTGTGGCAAGAAGCGAAGAAGAGATTGCTTCGCCTTCAAAGCCTCTGGACCGACAGTATTGTTGTCAAATTCCCATCCAATCATGTCGCCTTCATTCTTGATCGTTGCTTCAATCTTGCAGCGGAAGACGGTGAGCCAGAAGTCTCTGGTGGGCTCGACCAGGCAGGGCAGCTCGCTGGGCATGAAAGCGAAGATGCGCTGGAGGAGGAAAGTGGCGACAAAGTCCTTAGGTGGGTCGTAGTTGAACAAAGAGGCTCGAAGACGTGCAGCTTGGGAGACAAGGTCATCCTAAATGGTGGAAAGAGATGTTAGCAACACGATGCAGGAAGTGAAGAAATTGGCTGCTGACTTTGCCTTCTGGCAGCAGTTGCCACCAGACATTGCTTCTGCCATGGGAAAAGTCAAAGACCATCAGTCGCCGACCTTGGACACTTCTTCCCACGTCATAATCCACCCCAGACTCATGCTTAACAGGGGGACGCAGGTAAAGAAGAGTTGAAACAGGGATCTCTGGATGCCCCGAGAGCAGGGTGTAGGCGGCACTCTCGAAGTTGAGCTCGCGGATAATAGTGTCGAAGGTAAAGCCATCGTAGTTGGGCACATTAATGTCGGCGCGACCGAGACGAACGAGAATCTCGCGTTGATTCGAAAGCTTCATGTGAAGGCCCTAGAGTTGCATCAGCTCTGGCAGAGAAAGGAGAGCCTGATGTGATGGGGAGCAGCTTACCATGTTGTTAGATCCCGAGGATACGTGAGGGATGTCAACCACTTTGGCATGCATGTGAGCCTCGATTTCTTGCAAGAGTTTGTTCACATCCCAGTTGTCCTTGAAAGGGCTGCTCCCCTTGCGGACAAGATTCAGCAGGTCGGAGCCATCAAAGTCTTTCCCATTGGGCATCTTTGGCCAGCAGTCGCAAATGTATTCATCATCGTCGGTAGCCATACTGGAGAAACAGAACTCGACTTCTGTTGGTGATCTTTCAGAGTTGACTGATTGCCTTGCTGCGGGAAAAGTAAAGCAAGGCTGGCAGTTTTGGAAGTTGGATGTGGTGAGGGCAGTAGCGAACGTGGTAATGAAGGCTGTTATATACAGAGGGCTGATTAAGAATTACATATTTTCAGCCTCATGCAATTAACGAAAGTATCTGCCCACCCGTACCTGCCAGAGCACAAAGACATCCCTGAATCACTACCCCGCCCTCGCACAGGCGTTCCTTCCATGATCATGTTGCTGAATGGCTCTGCCAGCGTACAGAGCAACTCTCAAGTCTAACAAAGGAAACTTCACATGTGTTAGAAGAGAGACGATACATGAAGGAGTTGCAATCCTTGCCGAGTCTTCGTTCCCTCCTTTCTTCTTTGAAAACACAAAGAATACCTAAAGAATAATGGCTTGAGGAATAGCTACTTCCACAGATCTCTGAAAAGGTCTTTGTGAGTCATCCGGCGGCATAAGCTTTGTTGGCTGTTCTGGCCGAAAAGTTTAAATGTGATCAAATATGAGGACACGGAAACATAATGTCAGTTCTATGAGAAAATGGTACTTTTTAGATGTCAGGCTTGAACCAAATCAGAGTTACGGGCGAAGTCAGCCCATATCCTTATCCCGTCTACGTCCCTGGTTATACGCGAGTATCATGCTTTCAAACCAGAGGCAACAAAAACTTGTCAAGTTTGAGTCCTAAATATAACAAAACGATAGACACAATTAGGTCATTACTATCCTCGTTTTATCCAAAAAATCAAGTCTCCAATATTGCATGTTTATTGGAGTTATCCGCCATGTGATTTTCAAAAGTCAAACTCCAATTTCAAACCCATCTACGATATGTTTTAAGGCGAGATAAAATACCCATCTTCCTCTACCTACCTATGCACATATAAGAAATAAAGATATAGCAACACCAGGCACAAGTCACTTGTTGCATGGACTGCCAATCAAAACAACCCATCAAATTTGTGTATCGGCTCGTATCAACCAATGTTATAGCTATTCCATTACGATATCGTTGCCTCTTCCTGTATGCTTCTCAACTGAAACTTCTTCGAGTCCCAAAATTCAACTGCCGTCAATCCTAAGCCAGAAATAACAAGCCGATATCTCTACCTAATGTCTGTGCCTGTCAAACGTATATAGTTGCCGGGTCGCCTCTCAGGATATTTCTGCACAGATCACTCGAGGGTCCTTCAACATTGAAAGAGATTATTGCCGGGTGCGTTCAAAAGAATGAAAAGGCTCATTCATATGCATGTAATCACTTGTATGATATTTACAGACATAGCAGTTATGTTTGCGCGAATTATAAATCTGTAGCATTTTGGTCTCATCATGGAAAAGCTCGAAGGGGAATCATGTGAGATGAAACAAGCAGAGTGTTTTAAGAGTCCCAGCACAAAATTAACGAATTTATGGTATTGAACAGAATAGGTGATTAAGAAGAAAAAAACATCCGGCTGATCCAATCAACTCCGTGCTTTACTATGCAACACCAACCTCTCCCCATCTATATACACCACATTCCCCTGCTTCCTTCTCTTTCATATATCATAATCTTAAGGAGCCTCGTGAAGACCTCCCTGGTACCCAGCCTGTGGTGGGTGAACCCAGGGCTGACCCGCCATCTCAGCCGGTGCTTGCTGATGCGGCTCAGGGGCCTTATAGTACTCTTGCACGGGTTGGTTCTGCGCACCAGTGGCCATCTCGCTGGGCGGGGCGTATCCTCCAGCTGCTGCGCCGGAACCCTTTCGCATATGCTTCCAGAGAAGGAATCCTAGACCGGCGAGGACAGCAATGCCTCCGAGTGTCGCACCGACGGCAATTCCTGCTACTGCGCCAGTGGAGAGACCCTCGTCCTTGTTGCTGGCTGCTGCTTCTGTTGTTGACTCGGTCGCGGCCTTGGTTGTGGTTTCGGTGGCGGATTTGGTGGGCGTTGGGCTGGGTTCGACGGTTGAGGCTGCGCTGGTCTCCTCCTCTTGCGGGACGGTCACGTTGAAGGCGGCGCTGTTGGCGTAGATGTCGTTCGTTCCGGACTTGAAGAGCGAGAAGTGAAATACGGCATCTTCGCCTTTGTTCACTCGTGTGGAGAAGCCGTTGAAGCTGACTTGCCAGATGAAGCTGGTCGACGTTGTGTTTTCTGGACTATGTTAGTCTGGTTGTGTTTTGAGGTAGAGTCACGCGCACCTCTAAGTTGGAGGAAGAACTGAGTGCCGCCGCCAGCAGCAGGGTAGTCCTGCCAGAGCAGAAGGTTTGTCTCTTCAAGATCTGTGGTCCATTCGACATTCATGCTCTCGTCGACCTCGTAACTCGGGTTATTCTTCCATCCTGTCGAGCCAGATCCTCCGGGGGTGATGAAGGAGGTGTCAGCAGCAGCCCGGGCGATGAAGCTGCCCAGCAGAACGGTAAGCGGTAAGATAGCAAGCATTATGAGCAGTGTTGGTATTATCCAAGGTGAGGAAAGACTTCGCGATATTTTCACGCCTGAGGAACCTGGCGCGGCAGAGGTCGTCACGAGTGTTTGTTTTTCCCGGCAGCACCCAAGCTTCGGCAGTAATCAGGTCGACAAAAAGAAGAGAGGAAAGGAAAGGGAAAATCAGCAGCAACTCAAGCTCGGCCCCAGTAGCAGAAAATGAACAATGGGGGGCTGCTCACTCACTGTTTCACCTCATTCAGCCCCAATGGGCGAGATCCCTGTATGTGGGAGTCTTAGCGTTGAGGCAGACATCCTGGGGGCCAGGGTATGATCCAGTGAGACGATGAGATGAGAGACAAGGGGGATCGCTAGCTAGACTTGGAACCGCTAGCTCGGATCCTTCGATACCAAAATTAATTACCATCGGGTTTTAGAGGGGCTGGGCTGACAGATGGGAAATTCGTGTTGGAAAATAGCGGGAGGTGAGACCAATTGTGCCAACAGGGTTGGGTGAGTGCTATATGTAGGGGTAAGGAAAAGAAAGGTTCAGGAAGACAGCCTACATACATATGTATGAGGTACTACTCATAATGCTCACAGTACTCATATTGTCATGTCCAGATAGTAAAACGCCCACATTGAGGGATAATCTCCCCTGAAATTATCCCTATCGCAGTCCCAAGACTAAAGCTTAAGCGCTTACCAGATGGTAAGCTTAGCCAGTCAGCCTCGCTAAACTCAGCCATAGACATGGGTGTGCACGCCACTTCCAGGCTTGGCCTCGGGTAGGGCGTTCCCGGCCGTTACAGTCTCATCTAAATCAATTACCCTATAGCTATTGTCACAACGAGTGTGACAACTGTTTCATTCAAAAAGGATGTGATACTGTGGGATGGCTAATTCTGAACGAATGATGTCAGCGTATTTATCGGTCATCCAGTCATTGGAGCAATGTTACATTATCCCAATCATCATATTCTTGTCCTAACGTCAAACATATAGCATATTGCTACCAAATCCATCGCTAATTGCCAAACCAAGCTCAGTAAACCCATTCTCATCCAGACCTCAAGCACAACTCCTATACATCAGAGACGAGAACTTACAGGCTTCCCATTCTCGGCCCCAGCATCATCGCTCTCACCCAGGATCTGACGAACGATAGCCCTCCCAGCAGCCCGTCCAGAAAAGATGCAGCCTCCTACAAACGTCCCCTCAAGAGAATTATACCCATGGACACCACCTCCACCGAAACCTGCAACTTCACCAGCGGCGTATAGCCCCGGGAACGCAGTCCCGTCTGCTCGCATGACGTTGCTGTCGAGGTTCGTCTCGATTCCGCCGAGCGTCTTGCGTGTCAGCAGATTCATCTGGACTGCGATTAACGGTCCGTGGGCTTTGTCGAGGAGTCGGTGCGGTGGGGCAACGCGGCTGCGACGGTCGGGCCAGTATGTCCTTGCGTTGTTGATGAGCATCGCCTGTGCGTCTTTGGAGTACGGGTTGTCCATCTGGGCATCGCGGGCTTCGACAACTCCTTTGATGGCGTCGTATTCCAGCAGAGGGCCGTTGCGGGCTTTGGCAAGTTCGTTCATGCCAACCACTAAATCTTCCAGATTATCACGGACGACGAAATCCTTGCCGTGCTTTTGGAAGTTCTGCACGGGGACAGTGCCTTTCTTGCCAAAGACTCTAGTGAGTAGCATCCATATACTCTTCCCCGTAACGTCGGGGTTCTGTTCTGAGCCAGAGAGTGCAAATTCGCGGGCGATGATGCTTTGGTCGAGGATGAACCATGTGTAGTCATACCCTGTGCTGCAGATATACTTCAGCGTCGCCATGGTGTCTGTACCCGGGTAGAGGAAGGGCGGTAGTCGCTTGCCGTTTGCATCGAGCCACAGAGATGACGGTGCTGGGAGAACTCGAATGCCGTGGTCCGGCCAGATGGGGTTCCAGTTCTGAAGACCTTCGGTGTAATGCCACATTCTATCACGGTTGATGACGTTGGCGCCGGCGGATTCTGATATACCGATCATACGACCATCGACGTGCGCCGGAACGCCAACGACAAAGGTCTCTGGTACTTTGGGACCCAACCTGTCGACAGGCCATGCAGCTTTGACAGCGTCGACGTTCCCTCCAATACCACCCGAAGAAACAACAACCGCTGAGCCGTAAATTTCAAACTTCTCCTTCTCAACCCGTGAGGATTTGATTCCACGCGCAGCATCGTCGTCTTCCAAAATCCGGCCTCTAACTCCAACGGCTCGTCCGGACTCATCGACGATCAACTCATCAACCGCGTGTCTGAACTTGAAAGTCACGATACCCTTCTCTGCAGCTTTCTTGACAGGGTCAGCAAAGACCCTCACCACCTCTGGTCCCGTGCCCCAGCTGACGTGAAATCTTGGGACGGAATTCCCATGGCCTTCGGCAGTCCCGTCACCCCTCTCAGCCCAACCAACATTGTACAAAAACCCGAGCCCTCGCGCCTTGACATAATCCTCCATCTCATCAGCCGCAAAGTCCACAAAGGCCTTTGCCCACTGGCGCGGCCAGTGATCCTCCACCTCGCGATCAAAGCGCGCGGAGCCCATCCAATCCCTCATCGCCAACTCCCGCGAATCCTTGATGCCCATTCTGCGCTGATACGAAGAATCGACCATGAAAACACCGCCGAGCGACCAAAAGGCCTGTCCGCCGAGGTTGTGCTCATTTTCCTGGTCGAGTAGAAGCACAGGAATCTTACGCTCGGAAAGTTCAAATGCTGCGACGAGGCCCGCGAGGCCAGCGCCGACAATGATCACGGGCTTTTGTGAAGCCATAATGAATTGTGATGTTTGTAATTCTAAAGAGAGAAGACACGTTGGTGAGCGGCGTAGAAGTAAGACGCTCGGCGGCGCGCGGGGTCCGCTTAATGGGTGTTTAAGTTCACCTACGTAACCCCAGTCTATGCCTCGGTTCATGGACCATACGTTGTTTGACGCCAAGCCGGATCTGCATGGAGTGTACTCCGTACCGGAGACGTCAACTCGAAAGTCTGTGTATATTTAACTTTCGGCAATCGTTAGCATGTTTGTAGCCATTCGTTCAACTCAGATATCACGATAGTCTACTGTGTACAGCGCTCGTTGTTGTTATCTCTTAATAATGCACGTGCTACCTCAGGATATCTGAATTTCAAAAAGACAAGTCAACGCCAATCACCACAACCAGAGCACTTCTAAATATCAAACATGTCATTCGTGTATACATCAGTTCAGATTCCAATATCAGGCTTCTCAGCCGGCATACCGATGTCGGGCTTCTCGTCCGGCATCCCGATATCACTCTTGGTGAGATCAATACCAATGTCAGGCCTCTTAGCCTGCTCGATCTTGACCTTCTTCTCCTCCTCGCTCAACTTCTCGTACTCTGCGACATTCTCATCCCACAGCCTCACGCACTCCACGTTCCAGTTGCAGTCTTCAACCTGGCCGTAAGCTGGGTGGCTGTAGCGCGGATGCTTGCTCGGCCAGTTGGAAGCGTGGTAGTGATGCTTCACCATGGCGCCGCGGGAGTCGTGGTTTCCGGAATTCGAGTGGCCTTGGCCGGCGCAGAAAGCCTCGACGTCAAGAACGAGGACGCGGCCGACGACTTTAGATTCGTCCATGTTGTGGAATAGATCCCATGTGACCTTTCCGCCGCGATGGTTTCTGTTCATCTGCTCAAGCAGCGCTGATGTAAAAGCCGAAGGCCCAGTGCCGCTGATAACTTGGTCAAAGGTGAGCTGGATATCTCCCAGCGGGACCCTTTGCTTCTTGGACTCGTCCCTGAGCCACGCCATGATGTGCTCGATCAGCTTGAGCATGACGGGCTGGCGGGGCTTTGAAATAATGGTCCATTGGCAGAATGATTTTGACTTCTTGCCGAGGATAGGATGGTCGCTGAACTCGGGCTGGTCGATTTCAACGCCGACAATCAAGTCAATGTCGTGCTCGTCGTATCGCTCTGGGACAAACCGATACACAGGCCGTAGAGCTTCGACGTCAATATCGGCGTAGACACCTCCTTGTGCATACATGACCATATATCTCAAGAGATCAGCCTTGATGATGTGCAGGTTGATGCTCTTGTAAAACGCGACAATATCCGGCCGATTTATAACAGTCCCCGCGCCAAAGTGCTCCTCCACAAAAGCAAGCTCGTTATCATCTGTGAGAACTTCATATCGCATCCCCGGGTTCTTATTCACCCACGTCCTCGAAGTGACCAAATCACGATCCTCAAAGTTCAGCGGGTCTACTTTCCACGTCTGCCAGATCTTTTGTGGAAACGAGCTGAAGCGCGATGGTGTCATGACTGGTTTTTCTTTTCGGAAGGCCCCGAGGGGACTGGGTATGGAGTAGAAGATGTCGAAGTTAAGGATGATGAAGAGGAGAAAGACGCAGGCCATGTACAGTGGTATACATCTTTGCATTTGTGCTGGGACTCTGTTTCGGAACTTTGCTGTTGAGGCTGCGAGAGTGGGAGAGCCCAGTGGTGAACCCATCTTGTCGCGGGTGTAAACGTCGATATCGGTCTTGGTGACGGTCCAGTTGGCGGTGGTGGGAGGAATATGAAGACTAGAGGGGATGTTTCGTCGAGGGCCACTCGCCATGACCAGTCGTCACTCACACGGATGAAGATATCTGCACGACCCAGAAGAGTAACTTCTTGGCTTCGTCCAGGTTCTTAGAGTCTCAATTGGAACAAGACAATATACATAGCCAACCTTTCTTGAAGAGAGAAAAATCAAGCAAATACCAAAAAACCTGCAAGTTCGTCCAGAACCTTTTCCTTATCAATAACTACGGGGACCATATCGCCCAAGGCCAAGGGAACAGTGGAGAGAGAGTAAAAGACATGGGTTTGATCAGTGCAAAGAACCCATGTGATTGTTGTGCGTCTCGGCAGGGGGAACGTTGTTAGCTTGCAGTCCTCAACTTCCAAGAAGGGCAGCTCCTCCGTGATTTCGTTGATCGCGGAGGTGGGTGATATCCATGGGCATGAGGGGAGGGAGCGGTTGGTCAGCGGCAAATATACACAGGCAGCTAAGGTTACATTGAGCGAATTGGATGACCTGCAGTTCATGTTAATAAGAAAATTGCAGTTTTTCTCACGAAATATCTGACAAGAGGCGCACGTGTCTAGACACCATTATTGGATCTTACAACATCGCGGCTTTTCTTAGGTGCCTTGCATTAAAATTAAAGTCTAACGCCTATGACCACCCACTTCATTCTGCTAACGTTAGTGAAAAAACCCCAACCCATCTTGGCTTGTGAAGAAGCGAGCCTCGGATATAACGACTCGAGTCAACTCAACCCCTGTATTACATCCCCCGCACTCCGTCCTAAACAAGCTTTCTGCCCAGACATTGCTTTAGCCTGCCGAGTTTCCCGTGCTTAATGCCAATGGCGCTTCTACGGAAGGATTTCCTACGGCCACCGTCTAACCACCCTTGTATTTACCCCGTCTCCATTAATTATGAGCAAACGTAACATCGAGATTTATGCTCGTGAGGGGAATGGGGTAACGGTTTTCTCCCTTGGTTGGGTCGACGTTGTTCAAAAGTTCGTGGGTCGTAATGTGAACCCTGCTCTTTTATGAGAATTGACAATGACATCCATGTCGAAGAACCCGTCGTCACATTTTCCCACATGCTTGCAATCTTGTCCTCGGCTTGCGATCCTCCATTTGTGCTTTTCTCCGACTTGTATGTCGGCAGTGTGGACTCGCTGAGAGTACATACAACGCACGTCTTCAACATCATTCATTGAACCACAGACCTTTGACAAGGCGAACATCTTGACTTCCCACACAGCAGCTCAACATGTCCCCTCGAACAAGCGGTCTTCTTGACAGCGATGACTGGGACGAGGTCAAGTCTGACCCAAGCTCAGAATGGTCCTTTACCAAATCATACTGGAAGCCAGCTGCTGCGGGCGGCAAAGTGAAAAACATCGTCAACACCATAAAAGCCGGCATCCGCTCTAGAACAAGGCCCGTTGAAAATCTCCGTCCAACAGCCTATTTAGATGGCCTGCGAGGTTTTGCAGCTCTCCTGGTGTATTGTCACCACCATCAGTTGTGGGCGCACGGCATCGTCGAGCAGGATCACGTCTTTGAGAACTCGTTTGGCTATCAAGGCAAATATCACTTCGCAACGTTTCCCTTTGTGCGTCACTTCTTCACCGGTGGTCACTACGCAGTGTCGACATTCTTCATCCTTTCGGGCTACGTTTTATCCCTGAAGCCCTTGACTCTCATCCAAGCGGGAGAACACAATCAACTAGGCGATGTCCTCGCATCGTCCCTCTTCCGGCGCTGGATCCGCCTCTATCTCCCTCTCATCTTCGCCATGATATTCTACGTCACTTTTCTGCACACATTTGGACTCTGGACGCGGGTAATGACCAGACAAGGAAGTTGGTATGATGAGATGTGGTCGTTGTACTACGAGTTCAAGAACTTCAGCTTTGTTTACAAAGTTGGCGGCGAGCCATGGCTGTCGTACAATCGTCACCTGTGGTCAATCCCCGTTGAATTCAGAGGGTCCATCGTTGTCTTCACTGCTCAGATGGCGTTTTCGCGGTGTTCGAAAAATGCTCGTCTGTGGTGCGAGACTGGTCTGATTTTCTACTTCATGTATATCGCAGACGGCTCGTTCTACGCCATGTTTGTCGCGGGCATGCTCCTCTGCGACCTAGATCTGCTTGCCAGCAAAGGAGATCTTCCACGTTTCTTGGCACGTCTTGAGCCAGCAAAAGAGTTCATTTTCTACCACCTCCTGGTCTTCAGCTTATTCCTGGGCGGAGTGCCTTCTGAGAACGACAAAGTCGAGCAACTTGCCAAAAACAGGGGCTTCTACTACCTCTCGTGGTTCAAGCCGCAAGCTGTGTATGATTACAAGTGGTTCTACCTATTCTATGCAGCTGTTTTCCTGGTTGCCTCCATCCCTCGCATCTTCTGGTTGAAGTCCTTCTTCGAGACGAGGTTCTGTCAGTATTTGGGCCATATCTCCTTCTCACTATATCTGGTCCACGGCCCAGTGATATGGACTATTGGTGAAAGGCTCTACATGGCAGTGGGGTGGCAGAACGAAGAGATGATGAAGAATATCCCCCATTGGGCGAACAAACTGCCGCTGTCAATGTCTGGACCCCTAGGCTTGGAGCCGTCAGTCCTTTTACCGCAGCTGATTCTTGTGCCTTTGACGTTTGGGCTGGCTCACCTTGCGACTCGATTTATCGACACACCCTGCGTCAAATTCGCAGCTTGGTTCTACAAGAAGGCCTTGGGGGACCCAACGAGCAAGCAAGCTAGAGCGTAGCATAGATCTCGATGAAGAATAAATCAAGCTTAATTTTCGGCAACTCTATACGTGCCTTTGTTGTGCATTGACATGATGTAGCGTGTTCAGCTGAGTTGAACTAGATCTGAGATGGCCATGCTACCACACAGACTCTGTCACACAGACTCTGCCACACAGACACTGAACTTGTCAGATTTCCTCATCTACAAAGTCTCAAGCTTGTGATTCTCGGCACGTCTCGGAGCCAACGGTACTGCATTTCAAGGCTAGGTGCATCTCAACTAAATCCTATCACTTCGTATTCTTCCCCGTCAAGGATCCTTACCCCAGCCACGTACGTCGACCTATTTCCCCGCGCCGTAGAGCGCTACCCCGAACTTCCATGTTAGCTCCCGGTCGAGATCTGCAACCCTCCACAACCAGACAAAAGGCGTCCCCTGTTCAGGAACATGCGCCGGTGGCTAGCGCCCTGCTAACCCCCGCAAAAGTTCCCAAGAGAAGAAAAAGCACCTCGGCAGGCATATGATAATTGGGCTCATTTCTTGTGTCGACGTCGAATTCCAGCCACATTGCATGTCACGACGTGCCAAGGCATTGCTTGTTTTTTCCCCTAGATGCAATCTGTAGCTGAATCTCCGCATTGGCCAAGACTTTTAGTCTCTCAGTCGAGAACAATTGACGCTGTGACATATTATTCCCCCGCAATTATCGCTTCTGTTCAGATCATCTCCACCGCGTGAATAATCCCCCAGCTTCTCGACTCTAGATCGACCAGGTCCCCTGCTCGCGGAGTACGGTTCAAATTAGGCATAGTTAAATGAAATACGTACGGCGCATGCAGTCGCATTCACCAAATGTGCACGCAACTTTCCTTCCCTATCAGCGTAGTAATTGTTCAAGGGCATAGCTGGTCCCCTCGTCATACTCCATCCTCTGACACATTCGCCTCGCTTCTCTGCGAATCGTGCGCTTCAAGATGCTCATCCGAGATTCCCGAAAACTGGTTCTGTTCGTGGTGCCAGTTGTGCTTCTTGTAGTCTTTGCTTTGAAGCTCTATCTTGACCCTGCAGCTTTCCCAGCTCATGTTCAGGATTGGGTTCCGGCGCAGTTGAAGAAGTCATCGGATAAGGAACAAGAATCACTCACTGATGAAAACCCACTACCTACACATGCATCAGCTCAGTCAACACCGGCTGCGCAGACAAGTCTGCCAGAAAGTAGCCAATTTGGTGAAGGCATCATTCCCCAGGACATAAGCACAACACACAATGAACTCTTCTCACTGTCTACCAAAGACAAGAAATACTTCGGCATTGACTTTGGAGATTTCACGGCCCTCAATCCCAACATCATACCCCATCCCACTCTCGAAAAGACATGGATAGTTGTAGCTCAATGGCTTCAAGAAGGCGGCAACTCGCTCTGGTTCGCCGAACTTGTTTGCAACGCTGCTTTCCAAGATGATGTCCTCCGATGTCTCCACTCACCAACAACTCTTCCCGTCACCGCGACTGTGGGGGGCGGAAAGTGTGAAGGCGAGATGGCCTACTTTGATCTCAACATGGGACCGCACGATGCACGTGTCTTCTATGGTCCTGAGAAGCCTTACACGACATACGGCTCGAACTCACAGTTCACTTGCCTCGCTCAGTTTGTGCAAGATTTCCGCACCCTCACCAGCTGGATGGGAGATTTGTCGAATCTGAATGAGTTCAGAGTCGGCACCGAACTTCAACGGCCTCTACCTTGGCATGCAATGGAGAAGAACTGGTTTCTCTTCTGGGACTCTGGTGATAACATGTACGCCCACTACGATATCACGCCTAAGAGAGCATTTGCGCAGATGAACCTAGATGGCTCAGCCGGTCCAGATCTTGCACCCGCGGCACTAGGTGACGAACAATGTCTGACCAAGTATCTCCCCAAGGATATAGGCGAGAACGAATCCATACACCAAACTACCAATTCCCTCAAAATCACCATGTGTGGCCGGGACGAGCCCCTATGTGTCCCCGACGACAGTAACACATTCATCATGGTGATATTCCAGCACAAATCATACATCAACTACCACAGCGTCTACGAGCCATACGTCATGCTTTTCAGACAGCAGGCTCCTTTTGAAATCCATGCTATCTCTCGCAAGCCGATCTGGATCCATGGGCGAAAGCAATATCCTGAGAAGGCTACTTCTGATATGGTATATATCACTTCCATGAGCTGGAAGAGCAAAGATCAGAAGTATCATGGACACATTGGGGATGAGATGTTTCTTGGTTTTGGTATTGAGGATATTAGAACGGGTGGGATTGATATAAGAGCGGAGGATCTTTTGAAAGATATGGGGTTATGTTTCGAGGGCTAGATGTAGATATTAGATAGATAGTCTGTGCAGTTATAATGAATTGATAATGCATCTGGTTCCTAGTCAGTGATGCCGCTCGAATGCTGGAGGCCACTTTGATCATGATATGTCTACCTGTCGCAACGAAAACCAGAACGTTGCTTTGGAGAGGTGATATGTTAACTTTATAATTCCTAGCCCCTGGCGGCTATGTTTGATATCCGGTCTTTACTTGCCATATTTCCCGATTGTCATAAGCCTTGTCAATATCCAAGAGGAACCTGTGCTCCCCATCACGCCTTTTGGAGCTTGGAAGATTATACTTCTTGTCGGTCTCACAAACGGGCTATGAAGACAAAACAACATATATTTTGTGCTGTTCCAGATAATACTTCCACTACTATCTGTCATCGTAATGGCAAATACAGAAGATGTCCCTGTGGTATTGAGGGCAACACAGGTAGAGGACCATCATGAGTTCTCGGCATGCCCCATGGCGCCAATACAATACTCCCTGGGCCGAAATCAGGGTCGAATTCGTTGTTTTGGTACATCAGTAATATCAACGACAGGGAAGTCTAGCCCTGATCTGTCGCGTCGGATATTGGATAAAGGTTTTATCATCATGAGTCAAATCGAATGAACCCTAAAGGTTACAGGTCGACAATGAATATCCTCTGATTTTATAGCATACAAACGTATAACGTCCACAATAATGAGTGATATGAACCCATATCTAACCAAGACTCCTCCAATAGATCACTCCCAACAGACAAAAAGGACCTCTGAGCATCGTACTAGCAAAAACAGGGCCTGACCGGGGATTGAACCCGGGACCTCTCGCAAGCTAAATCCTTATGATAGGACTGAGATGTCACTCCCGAAGCAAGAATCATACCGCTAGACCATCAGGCCAGATACTAGATCCTAAAGGTACTAGTGCGGCTCAAACTGGCTGTTTATATACTCTTTCTTTGGATCTTGACTACCCTATAGCTTTCAAGTCCTTGATCTCATCCTCCATGTTATCCATTACATGTTGATTAAATCGATCGTTCGGCTAATGGTCTCGACCGAATTGACAATAACAGTGGCGATTGTTTCCAAACCAAGCGATACTCACCAAGCTCAGGCGGTGTAAGTTTCCCACACTTATTGTGGCCACAACGGATTTCAAATCCTTCAAGGCAGCGTTCGTGAAACATCGTTGAAGAATAGTATACAATTTAGTTAAAACACAGTTACTTAGAAGTCGTCTGTTAATATTGAGTCTAGTAGTATATTTAAAAAAGAGATCTAGGTATCCTAACAAATTCCACAGAAACATCAACCATAGAAGTCCCTACACAGACCGAAAAGTAACAATAGCTCAAATCCAATAAGATTACCCAATCATGTCACCAAGAAGGCATCCATAAGGTTCACCCTTTGAATTATTGTACCTTCAAACGATCACTATAGATTCCAACCTTCCTTGGGCTTTTCATCATTATCACTTCCCTTTTACAGGCCTAATCCCTCTTCTTTCCAAGTCTGGGCAAGCATAACCACAACCCCAACAAAGCAGTCAAGAACGCAAGGATAATAGGCTGTAGAGTCTGGACACCCTTGACTTGAGCAATAGCACCTACAGCAAAAGGCAGAACCGCAGCTCCACTGCCGCCAAAAGCCGCAGCAAAGCCAATGGTGCTGACATGTAGATGCTTAGGCAACATCTTTGTTGTGGCAACAACAACAGCCGGGAATAGGGGGCCGAGGAAGAAACCTTGGAAGGCTACTGTGATGGCGGAAACATAGAAACTCGGGACGAGCCAGAATACTAGTTGCAGTGCCATTGCAGCTGGTAGATACAGAGCGACTGCAACCTTGACGCCGAGTCGTGGCGTCACAAAACCCAGTATGGCACGACCGACGGCGAGACCTAGCCAAAAGCCCATGGAGGTCATACCAGCTGGATAGTTCTCGGCTTTGCGGACACGGATCATAAACTGGACGATCCAGCCACCGATGGAGACTTCAACGCCGACATAGCAGAGGAGGAATGCGGCGCAAAGCCAAGTGACACGGGCAAAAGGGAGCTTGAACAGAGCTTCTTTCATACCTTGGTTGTCTTCGTTGCTTGCGTCCATCGTTCGACGATAGACCTCTGGACCATTTGGCCAGAATGCCCATGAGCAAGTAACGAACTCAATGGCGGCCAGGCCGATCTGAACTCAACAGTCAGCAGTTTCCTTTAATTAGAATTGAACTTGGGATAAACCTACCATGACATAGTAAAATGTATACCAAGGCAACCCGGCTTTTGCAATCATATTTGTAGCGATGAGAGGGCTGATAACACCTCCGACACCATAGAAAGCATGGAGAAAGCCTAGAGTCTCATTGGCTCTGTCGAGATTGCCGACCCAGGCATTCCAAGCTGCATCACTGATGCCATTGCCGAAACCGGCGAGGGCATAAGCAAGGACTAGGACGGGGTACGGAGGATGAAGAGCGATGATGATATAAGCGACAATGTGGCAGAGTCCACAAGAGATGCCAATTCCTCGCTGTCCTATTCGCCTATGCAGAGTGTTGTTTAGAACGGCTGCAAGGATGTAGCCAACGAATGGGGAGAGAAAGACAAGAGATACTATGATGTAACTCAGGTTGTAGTACTCTTCTAGCTGTAGGGCTGTTAGCTCAGTTCGGCTGTCGAACGCCTGGGTTCACACACATATGGGATCAGAGCCTAGCATTATCAGATTAGCCATTCGATAAGAGGGTTGTTCAGGAAACTTACACCATAAGCAGCATCGTTAGCGCCCGAAGTCAAAAGGCTCCAAAAGGCGGCACCAGTTTTAAAAACATTCTCACGGGGATATTTCCAGCTCTCAGCAAGCTCCACCTCCGCAGCGGCAGTTTGCGCAGCGACACTCTCAAGACCGTTACCGTCACCGCTACCATCTGCATAATCGCGGGAGCCAAGCGTTCGGGATTCGTCAAAGAGGGCGGAGCTGTCCCGGGCCGCAGCGACATGGGGCTCATTTCCATTGATGGCGCGAGACGTCAGCTCGTAAGAGCCGATGGTGGCTGTAGAGGACGCAGTCATGGTGCGTGTCAATATAAGCTTACGGGGTTCCAGGAACGGAGGCTGGAAGCAGTGAGAAAAGAAGAGGATTTTTGAACGACATGATGACCGGTTGGGTCTGTTTTTAAACTTGATAATTGATGGAGAATCCTGATGATCGTTAAGCATTCTCCACGTAAAAGTTGAATGTATAACCACATGTGGAATAGATACACGCGAACCAAGACGGCTTACCGGACCGTTGGGAGAGCTTCGGCTAATCAGGTACCGTTCCAGGTTTGCTCTCCAAGATTCTTGGCTTCTGGCGATTATCCTATGCCATCATATTGAATCGCATGTTCGTATATCTAGACAAAACAGTAAATAAGAAACATCCTTCCCAGCAAACGGACCCAGCAGCATCAGCTTCTGTCAGCGTCTCTACATCGGTAATCGGCATCGGCCTTAACCAGAACTTCCACCACGCAGCTCCCCTGTTCCCACAAACCCATTTCCAACGTGGGACGCGTGGTATGTAATTTAATTTGGGTACTCTTTAGTGGCGGAGGCAGGGGGGCTCAGTACCAGTCAGCAGCCAGCAGCCAGCAACCAGCAACAGCAGCCAAAGAAACTACCGCATCAAAAAAGAGTCCAGACCATCGTTGGCGTGTGGCTATTGGGGTTGGTTGCAGGGTGGCTTTTCGCTATGTCCTACCGCCTACGCATTACTGCTCCCCCAGGAACCGGCGATGCTACCTAAAGGTGTCCATGGAGTTCAGCCCTGGCGCTGCCCATGACAGAGATGGGTCTAGTGCTGAATTTCATTTTCTTACAAGGCTGAGGGGAGGGGATGATCAGGGACGGAGAAGTCCGTGGTTTCTTTTCCTTTAATGTCTTTTCTCTCTCTCTTCCTATCTATCCTTCCCCTCTGCAATTATCGCCATCATCTCCCACTATACGCGAATTCCACTCCCCTCCCCTAAAGCTCAGCTCAGGCCGAGCTCCAGCTCTTAAGCTTAGGGAACTGCGGGGAACCTTAAGTTTACTGACCGGGCCGCTAGGGCCTCTCTCCAACTGGAAGGGTTTCAGACACCTCAATCTCTGTCTTTTTTAACTGGAGGTTTCCCGTCACCATGGAACTGAGAGATTACCCAGATCGCGATCCGATATCACCGCCCGTGGACTGGGAACCCACGAGCCCCTCGATCGCGAGAAAACCCATCGGCTCCGTCAAGCAGCCCTCGCCTTATACGTCCCCCGACTTCTCCTCGTCCTTCGCCCAGCGCGCAGCTTTCCAGCGACAAACCACAAGCGATACGGCCTACTATGGCGCTTCGACACCGTTGGGGATATGGGAGCCGAGTCATCCCCACGCGCCGGGCTCCGGACGGCCGCAGAACTATAGGGAAAACAGCCAGGCTTCGCTGTTGACGCGCGATGCTTCAAATGATAGCCCGCCGAATGTGCCCCGAGGACCTCCAGAGCCTCCAGGCCCAGGATATCTGGGCATTCCAGGACCTCCCCCTCCAACTTCCCCGCCAAAAGGCAAGTTCCTCCATTGGTGGATCAACGAATGGAAGCCATCATGGAGCATGTATGTCCTGGTCTTCTCAGGTATCGCATTCGCAGTAGGCCATCATTTCTACTATCGCAACCTCCACGGAGAGGTAGCCGTTGATCAGCAGGGCAAGTTTCGATACGGCGCGCTTCTCGCATTCCTCTCGAAAGCATGCTTCTTGAATGCTGTGGTGCTGGCCTTCCGTCAGCGTGTCTTGATGATGATCCGTCGTAAGATGCTTACGCTCTCTACTCTCGACTCGCTCTTCGCCGCATCAGAAGATCTGACGGCCCTGCTCAATTGGGAGGCTTGGGTCAACGCCAAGTTCGCCATGGCGCTGACCATCTTCATCTGGACATCGCCCCTCATTGTCATCTTCACATCCTACACTCTGACCGTCCAACCGCAACGAAAGGAGGAAATAACACAATGTCAAAATGTTCGCACTCTTAACTTCTCCCACGAGTCCCAGGTCTACTGGAGGACCCCGGCCAAAGTTGACAACTGGTTTGAGTCATCCGTTTCACTCTGGAATACCACCGTGTTGCCCGGACAGGAGAACATCGACGAAGACGACCCCGATGACTTTGACTACTACACTGCTTCCAGCCAACAGTTTAATACCATCGCTTTAAAAACAGCATATGTGCAGCAAGCCGTCATGCGCCCCAAGGCGCCCCAGGAGATCTGCGGCAAGGGCTGGAACTGCTCTTATGTTGTTGAGTTCGTTGCCCCGGGGTACAAGTGCCAGGGCTTGGCCTCGGGAGTGAACGCAGAGGTCAAGAAGCTTGGTGACGCAGAGTGCCCATTTAATACATCGGTTCTCGCGCCCATGGGAAATTTGACCTATTACGCAATGCTGGATCGAGGCGATTACGAAAACCCCCAGATGATCGCAGAAGCTGGCGGAAGACCCAAGGCGAAACGACCCTATCCCAAGAACTTAGGAACTTTCCGGACGGAACCCATCTTGTGGTTTGGCTACGCTGAAGTCGAAGACAGATCGAAGCCACAGCCCGCAAAGCCATTGGAGGGTGACTGGTTCAAAGCATACACCCCCACCATTTTCGGGTGCGAACACTACCAGACCAAGTACAAGGTTCAGTTCAATTACACTGGTCAAGTACAGACTCACCATGTGAAGAGTCGGAAGTTTCTCAAAAAGGTTATTGACACGACCTTTCTGCCAGGGGTAAAGGACCCTGACAAGAGACTCAAGGACCGAACCGTAGCGGAGCCAGAGAAGAATTATGTGCATCCGCGGGATATCGAGAAGTATCGCATAACAGCCGCATACCACGCTGTGGGAAGCCAGTTACGGACGATTCTGAACGGCACTATCACGATGCCTAATTTTGTTGTCAATAGCCAGATCCTCCAGACGAGGCTTCTCGAACGGCTCAACTACCTCCCAATCGCGAACTTTCCCGAAGAACTGCAAATGTTTTACGAAGAAATTCTGGTATCATTCCTGTCCGATCCGCAGATGTCCGCTGTATCGTGGGCTTCCGACCCGTCCCAGTACAGCGGAAAGTTCGAGGGCGGGGTGGACAGAGAATTTCCTTGTGTGAGGTGGCAAGTCAGGAACTGCTTCTTCTACAACTACGCGCAGCTATGGGCAGTGTACGCGATATCAATGGGTATTACCATCCTTGCGGTCGCGTCAGGCATCACGGCCATGGAGGAAGACGCCATGATGCGCAGTCTGAGCTTCTCTGCTATTCTCGCCGCCACGAGAGCGTCGAGTTTAGATAAGTTGCGGTGGGAGAGGGAAGCCGACCTCAAGAGCAGCAAGATTGGCTTTGGTGTCGTGGCTGATCACACCGGTGAAAGGACGTATTCTTTCGGCGTGGAAGGCGACGTTAGTCAGGAAAAAGCCATGTCGACGGGCCGTTCGCCGGGTATCTCGGTGATGAATTGGGGAGATAGGACGGCGCGCAGAGTGAGCTATGCCATGGTGAATAAGAGGGACAGGCAGGAAAATTAGATACTTTTGGCTGGAGCATTGGGAGCAGGTCATTTCAGCACATTTGGGTACTAGTGCATAGCGTTTGGCATTTAGGATGGCAGGTAAATTATTTATTTCATGACGACATGATCTTGAATAATAGCAATTGAGCTCCTCATTTCTAATCACGGTACATATCCTGCCCATGATGATGCTTAGCTGTTAAACTCGCTAAGATACAGGCCAAGCCCAGCTTTGGTGGAGCCGACCGCTCACTGTAGCCTTCAAAGTACTGGTGCTTGCGCGGCTCAAGGCTCAACCGTGTCCGCTTCACAGTTCCCCAATAACCCATAATGTCCGTCCACGCAGCATCCGACCTGTCAGACGCAGCATTAGGCGGTCCAATTCGCATCCAAGACGATAATTTCATCGATAGCTACGGTCGAGTCCTCTCGCTGCGTGGCCTCAACATCTCAGGCGGCTCTAAACTGCCCACTACGCCAAACGGCCTGTCCCACCTTGACGATGGCTTCTATGAGAACCACCGCATCGTCACTTTCGTAGGGAGGCCTTTCCCACTTGAAGATGCGCCGCTGCATTTTAGACGTCTACAGGCGTGGGGTGCCCCCTTTGTGAGACTCCTCGTCACCTGGGAGTCTCTTGCTCATGCGGGTCCTGCGCCGGAGGATCTGGATATGGAGTACATTACGTACCTGCGCCGATTGATCGAGCTGATGCCGCAGTACGGTATCAAGTGCTTTGTGTGCGCCCATCAGGATGTCTGGAGTCGTTACAGTGGAGGTAGCGGTGCGCCGGGCTGGACGTTTGAGGTCGCTGGGCTGGATATCGAGGCTTTCACCGACACGGGCGCTGCCTATGTCCACAGCCAGGATGAGAAGAAGCGCGCAAGTGAGCCGCCTAATCCCAAAGAACCTGGCGGCCCATTCCTGTGGCCCTCGGGATACCAGAAGCTCGCTGCGTCTACGATGGCGACTCTATTCTGGGCCGGTGAGGCTTTGGCTCCGAATCTCAAGTGTCGCAAGCCAGGCGACACCGATCAGGTTTCTGCGCAGACGTTCCTTCAGGATGCTTGCATTGAAGCTTTTGGACGTCTTGCGGATGATGTCAGTCACCTTGAGGCGTGTATTGGCTTTGAGCCCATGAATGAGCCTCATCGCGGTCTTGTCAATCTGCATCATTTCCACTCCTGGAACTACGACACCGATTTACACATTGGACACTGTCCATCGCTCGCCCAATCTCTTGCTCTTGGAAGCGGTTATGCTCAAGATGTTGATTACTACGTCAAATCGTGGCCGTGGCCGACTCGTGTTTCGCACAAGTCCCGTGTTGACCCCAAGGGTCGCTCCGCATGGCTGTCACTCGATGGTCAGTCTGCCGGTTACGGACGAGGCCTTGGGGAATGTGTTTGGCATGCCCATGGAGTCTGGGAGTGGGACGACAAGAAGAAAACCGCTCGTATCAGCGACAACGATTACTTTGAGGTTGACCATCGACCTGGCCGTGAGGGTAAGCCAATTGAGTGGTACAATGACTGCTATGCGCCTTTCCTTCAGAAGTTCACAGAGCGCATGTCGCGTAAGACGCCGCGCCAGCTCAGCTTCATTGAACCGATCCCAAATGAGTTTGTGCCGCCCTGGCCCACCGAGGACCCTGATAGTAAGAAATGGCGACAGCAGAAGTACGCTGAGAAGACGGTGATTATCTCACCGCGCCCGAATAACTTTGTGTACGCACCTCACTTTTACGACCTCAACGTTTTGTTCAACAAGTGCCATTCATGGATGAGCGTCAATGTGCAGGGCCTCTCACGAGGCATGTTTGTGCTCAACGCCTTGTACTTCGGCGCCAAGGGACTCAGACACAACTACAAGAAGCAGCTCAGCAACATCGTCAAGTACGGAAAGCTGTCATTAGGCAAAGTCCCTATGGTGATTGGCGAGATCGGTATCTCGTACGATATCAACAACGCAGAGGCCTTCCGCACGGGATGTTACGACACGCAACGAGATTTGATGAACGGTCTCGTTTCTGCAATGGAGGACAACAAACTCAACTTCACACTGTGGAACTACAACCCCAATAATAGGGTTGAGTACGGAGACGGGTGGAACAAGGAAGACTTCTCCATGATCAACGGCGACGACATCGTCGAAAACGGCCCCGTACGTCCCGACTACCGCAATTACCAGCACGAGCATGACGAGCTGTACAAGGGCGGTCGTATCTTGGACGTGATCATTCGCCCTTACGCTGTGAAAACAGCAGGTGTCCCCAAGAAATCAAACTGGAACCACAAATCCCTACGCTTTGAATATTCATGGACCAGCAGCACCGCCAAAGACCCAGCCGTCGACGAAAAGACACGCCTCACCGAGATTTTTATCCCGGGGTATCACTACGAAGCGCACGAGGTACGTGTCCAGGGGACGAATGCGGAGTGGACGTATGACAAGCCGCGTCAGACGTTGTACGTGCGCAGTAGTTCACCGGGCGAGCACCGCGTTGTGGTGGCCATTGAGAACGAAGCGCAGCATTTGCTCGAGAGGGTGCGGCGGCGGCGTGAGCTGTATCCCCCCAAGTTCCCGCTGAACAGGGTTTCGCCTGCCACGGAGGACTTTCTGGAGGATATTGATTGGTCGTTGGCTTTTGCTTACTGGCCGGTTGTTGCTGCTGTCCTTTTTGCAGTGCTTGCGTGGTATATCATGGTGTTGTGGATGGGTTAGAGTAGAATATAGATGATACTTTTCGGATGGGTATCAGGCTTGAAAAAGATGATAGAAATGGGAGCTTCATAGTAATAGTATGGAGTGTAACTAGCAAGTCTTAAAAAGGGAAAATAAATCAAATTTGGGTGTTGAATATGGATTTACGTGTCTTCACCATCGTTCTGCAAGGGTTTGTGTTGATATTTTAACTTATTATCCTTTTATGCAATAGAAATCATTGCTAAGTTACAGTCGCTAAATTAGAAAGATTTTCTTTTACTCTGCATCCAGAGGGCATCGAGGTGCTGTGTTATTCACTTGGATACCTCCTCGCTTCTTCTCCTTGCTGTCGTGGAAGGGAAGAGCCCATCCACCCTCAGTCTCTGGTGTCGAGAGCCATAGACGTAGTAGATGTCTTCGGGGAATAGGGGGAAGGTGATCTTTGAACATGTTAGCATTTACTTTCTACTCTTTGTTGATTGCGGTATCTTACCTGTGTATGCCGTTCTGGCGTGGAGGAGGTGAGTGTTGCTGACGAATTGAATATCACCAACTTCAAGAACCATATGCAGAGCCAGCTTCTGACATGTTTCCTCCAGAACAGTCAGAGCATGCGTCTGCTTCTCGCTCAGAGCAGGAACAAGACCCTTGTCAGAGAACCGCGTGAGGGACTTGACAAAGTAAGGATCCCACTTGCAGTACACACGGCCCTCGCCACCGTTCTCGATGTAGAAGATGGGGTTGCGAATCCACTCCTCTTCACCCTCTGACGTCTCGCCCTTACGGTCGAAGTACCAGATAGGCTGTGTGAGCGTCTCGGCGACGTCGGGGTTATTCTTCTGCAGGTCGTTCCAGACGTTGTGGATGCTGACGATGTCGCTCTCGCCGCCCTCCTTGGCACGGTGCACGCACAGCAGACCGACGATGTCGGAGTCGTCGGCGTGGAAGAACTGGCGCGCTGTGGTGCGGTAGATGCGCACGCGGTCGATCTGCGTCGCGTCGTCGCCGACGTCTTTGACGTGGCCCAGCACATGGCCCAGGCCGTTTTGCGAGACGAAGTAGCCGATGTATGTGCCGAGACCCATGTATGCTACGGCGTTCTTCAGAGGACCCCATTCACCAGCGGGGAAACGCTTGAAGAGGATGAAGCCCTTTCCGTTGAGGAGGTCTTCCCGTAGAGTCTGGAGGACCTTGCCTAGCTTGGGTAGAGGGAAGTTTGACTGAGATGTGTGTTAGTGGTAGTGCGCTTATAGGAGGTTGCTATCATACCTGTGAGATACCAGTGAGGGGTGTGCCGCTGGCGATGAAAGCATCAGCGGTATCACTGAGTTCTTGAATCTCTTCGTCTGTGAATGGATGTGTCCATCGCTCTGGCTTGTTCTCATAATCCTCCTTCTTCCAGAGTGTAGGGCCTGTGATCTCCTGGGGGAACTCGGAGTAGGGTTTTAGGGCATCATAGAGAGGAGGGTGTTGGCCCGAGGTACGAATTCCATCGGGGAAGATTGAACGAGGAGCTTCACTGCTTTTGATTTGGGGGAGGGCAGTGTGTGAAGACTCGTCGATGAGAGCGCCTGGAGCCATTTTGGGAATGTGTATAAGACAAGACGATGCTACAGTAACGCTAACAAGTCCAATTGAGTAGTAGTGAAGTTTGAAAAAATGAGTCAATAATTAGCCAGGAACTTCCTTTTATACATATATACCTCTTCTGTAACCCGATATTTGTTTCCGACACCCCGCATCGCAGCATGACGCCTTTGTCGGAGGAGCGGATTGCGTGCTCGAGGTACAATATCACGGAGTGCCAATACCACCACATCAGCGAAACAGGCTAAGAAGCTAAGCTGTCAACCCCGCCAATTAAATGCGGCGGTTTGAATGACGTTATTAGCGATCGGTGCAGACTGGGCAGTTAATGTCTAGAGCTTTGTGGTTTCATGCGGTGCCAGGTACGAATTACGTGGTGAAGCGGCCGTTGTTGATCATCTTGGGTGCGATTGCACCATCCTTTGGACGCTTTACTGCCGTTTTAGATCACGCTTTACTAATTTAAGTTCATTTCTTAGTGATTCCGAGGTAAACACTTCTGTGGGCTTTCTTACTTTGCACCCTCACTTTCCGCTTACAAGAGTAGCACTAGCAGCCAAGGTATCTCGCAGCATATGTGTCTTGTCATATGCTGTGGCTGCGGCAACGGCTGCGGCTCCGGTAAACCATGTGCCTTATTGGGCTTGTCTGAGGCGTTGGTCTAGTTCTATGATATATAAAAAATCAAAATTCTCCATCTGTGTGAACAACTGAACACGGCTGTAAAGGTATTCTTACTATTATCCTATGACATCATAACCAAAGACATGCACGTTACAGTGTATATCTCGACATCAGATCTTCTATAACTTGAGCAAGTACAGCTTTCTGAATGGATGGGGATAGACTTATAGAATGGCAACTCACTGTACAACTTACAATAGGGTCCGGGATGTCGATTAAACTGTAGGGTATGTCGAGTTGAAGATTACCTCTACAACATCTGGATTTCAATATGGCACACACAATTCTGTTGCATCTATTTGGACTACTCAGGAGATGTATCAATCGTTTAGTACAGATCGTAAATAAAGCAGTGCTATTGAAATACGAAAGTTCGTCAATTAAGCCGCAAGCTGGTCACTAGCGACTGCGTGTTACTACAAGCTATTCCAGTGTCTCACATCCTGTTGAAAATCCTGAACTGCGTCTAAAAGACTACGTACCAAAACGGTGATTGGGCTACTAAACCATACGCAAATGTTGCTCATTTCATGACGAGAGCGTTGTGATACACGGACCGTTGGATAACAAGCAGACTCTAGTCTCTATGATAACAAATTGTGCAAGCCACGCGGAAAGATAACAAACGTGACCTCAGATAGTGGCGGGTGATAACAGATAGGCGACCGCCGCGACCCGCCTTAGTAAGCATGGAGCTGAGAGAGTGATATAAATGACGACGGGAGCCCATCTCAAAGATCTTACATCGCAGCCAACTCATCTCTAGTCAAGCAAATCACATCACTATGACTTCCCAAATAACTATCACACCCATCTATCCACCCGCCGAGTCAAGCATCGACTTTGGCGCCGTCGTCTCCAACGTCGACGTTGAGAACATCAGCGGTAAGATATTGAGTGCATGCATACGTGAATGATTGAAATACAATTAGTGGGAGAATACCCGTGAAATCGGTAACCTCCTCTGGTAAGGCACAGCAAACTCTCGGTCAGAAGGCAGGCACTGACTTTCTCCAGATGCCGACTTTGATGCTATCCGTGAAGCTCTCTTCACGCACCAAGTTCTCGTCTTCAAGAACCAGGGCGAGCTGTCTGCTAAAGCGCAGTACGAGATCACCCGAAGATTCGACCTTGAAGCTGAGGGCTCGTATGGCCATGGCAAGACGATTGATGCAAAACGCTCAATCCTGCATCCTGACCTCAAGACTATTCCGCACCAGCCGCAGGTCCAGGTCATCGGCAACGGCTTCGTGGATGAGTACGAGGGCTTGAAGAATTTCCAGCTGAGACATCCTCATCACCGAACGTTCCACGCTACCACCATCCCTGCCGAAAAGGACCTGGACTTCACCAGGTTCTACAGATGGCACATCGACGCTGCTCTGTACGGGCTGGCTCCTCCCGTCGTCACGACGCTTCTCGCCGTTCGTGTTCCAGGGGGTCGCAAACAGACACTTGTCTACGACGACGGTTCTGATGAGGAGATGTCTGTCCCTCTTGGCACAACAGCCTTTGTGTCGGGCTACGCCATGTACGACCAGCTCTCCCCCAAAGACCAAGAGTTCGTGCGCACCACGAGGGTCGAATATGCCCCGCATCCGTACGTATGGATGAGTAGTGCAAAGTCGCGCTCCGACGGTCTAGGCCTCGTCTCCGAAGGCAAAGAAATCCCAATCGAGAACCTCCCCACTGTTGAAGAGGACAAGATCCAGATTCTGCCAATGTGCTGGCGCAATCCCGTCACCGGCCGCCTAGCTCTCCAAGTGCACCCGTCAGCAGTGCGCAAGCTGCACCTCGCGGATGGCACTGTGATTGATGACCTTGCTGAGGTTCGCGAGCGGGTGCATGATCTGCAGCGTCCTGGTATTTCTCCACAGAGGGTGTATCCTCATGATTGGGAACAGGGCGATCTTGTGCTTTTTCATAATCGGGGATTGATTCACTCTGTGGTTGGGGCTTTTGCTGAGGATGAGGTTAGGTTGTTTCGTCAGTGTAATATTGCTGGTAGTAAGCTACCTGAAGGGCCGGTGCCTGTTGTAGCTGGGGCATAGAGAGGGAATAGGGATATGATTTTGAGTAGAGTGTTTGAATAAATGGTCTTTGCCTAGTTATTTGGCCTTCTTATTAAGTCTTGTTAAGGTTATTTTCGGTCTTCAAGGAGGCTTGAAGTTGATATAAACTTAAAAGATTAAATCATCGCTGCCAACGAGTCCCAGTGAGAGTTTTAGATGCATGCATTGAAGATTGTAGGTAGACTTTTTATGAATTTGCAAAAGTTCAATGGGGTTGAGTACCATGGCTTAAGCTAACATAGAGTCACCCGGCTTTCTTCCAATTTGTCAACACAAGTCGAATTCGGAGGGGAAATGGTATCAACTACTACACAATTCTAATTACCAATAGCCTGACTCATCCATCTTTTAATCTCTCCAACCCCGTCCCGGAACAGATAATCTGCATACATCTCGTGAAATCCCAGCATCCACTGCATACGGAGAGGCTTGTTGACGGTTGGATTACAAGTCATATGCTGGAAGTGAATCTGGACTGTTTGCTCCTCACTCTGCTCTTTTTGCGATCTCACAACAGAGAATCTGTGAACACCAGCGAATCCCACCTCATCACTGCCGAATGCAAAATCCACATAACTCTCTGTCTGTTTTGGTGGGTGTTTGATATCGTCTGCCTTGGCAATCCGTGAATCTAGGACCTGGAAGACTCCGAACAAGACTGAGTTATCTGGAAGTAACTTGGTCTCAGGGATATCTTTTAGTGACCATAACGCTGTTGTTTGGGCTGCTCCTACATGATGTTAGCTTCTGATCTGATATAATGGCAGTGTTGCACGCACTGGAGAAGTGAACAAGTTTGATACCAAGCATCTGCAGCGTTAATCTCTCCGGTCTTAACACAGCTCCTCCAAAGAACCCCTTGACGAATCTTGCCAGTAAGACTTCATCGGGTACGTCGTGTTGGGCGGGTATATCGAGGGTGATGTAGCGCCAGTCCGAGTGGTGAACATGGTCTTTGAAATTGACAATCTCACTGACAGACTTTGATTTTTCAAAAGTCGATGGAATAGTGGTAGACCGCGTGATGAGATTTCGATCCACTATGGATACCCTCTTTCGAACTGTGAAGCCGTAGACGCCAGCGGTGGTGACAACGGCTACAAGAGAGGTAGCAAGTATTTTCTGAGACAAAGTTCGCAGCGCCATTATCGCAGATTGTTTTTATTCACCAGTAAAAGGAGTCAATTAATTGAGGCTATCTGTCTATTTATTGGTTTTCGCAAAATTGACTCATCAGAGGAATACGAAAATCCGATGTGAAGCGAGGACCAGCTGACAGCAGAATCCGATTACACCCGCATTGGCAAAACACGCACGGGCAGCTTTGGGGATAGCTTGGGCCTCGCTTGAGGAGAATCGGCGTCGAGTTGAGCCGATTATGGAGTAGACTAACAATTGATTCCGTCTTGATTCCGCTCGCATTCGCTACTAGAGATGCATGATATGATGTCTTGGTTATGGAGTACGGAGCAAACGGGAATGTAATGCAGGATTAATTAAAGTTCGCCGACTAGTAGCTTATTTGCACTGACTGACATGGTTGTGAATTAAACAATATTATGCTCATACCAGTGGCTCTCATACCACAAAAGATAAACAAAACACATACGACTGCTCATCGCAATACCTGAACGGCATCCCCCATATTCAACCTCAACCGCCTGCTGCAAGAAAACACCCGCAGCAAAGCGCCTGAAAGAACGCCAAGACTACTGTGTGCGACTTGTGGCTAAGCACCTTGTTTGCTGTGTTATCCGGTCCCGTAGGTCTGGACGACTTGTTGTTCTTGAGCACCTTGGCCGCGTTGCCGTCTGGGTTCTTGTTTCCCATCTTTGGGTATGAGAAGCTTGCTTGGTTGCTATTAGCACTGTCGTATCAAGTAATCCTAGCTATACCATACGTACAGAAGTGTCTCTTATTCGTGGCAATAGAAGGGCGCGCACCGTATGCTGTGACGAGGGATTTTAGTCGGTGAGAATCAAGAAACAGGTTCTGCTTGGTTAATTGAATTTGCTTACTTCTTCCAGCCTTATGTAACTGCTGGCCCAGCGGATAAACGTGGCTATGTCTTCTCACAAGGACCATCATTGGTGGCGTGGTAAGGCGCAGCCAAGATCGACTTCTCAGCCCTGTCGTATTGGATCCTTCCTCGGAGTGTGATGTCGTCAGAACTATAGGCCCTGTAAATTTCCACTGGGCAAGTTTAATGTCGATCACAGGGTTCCAAAAATCTACTTTGCAGCATGAGCAATGCATCCATAGTATCCAAATAAGGTCTATACTACCAACATCTAACTACTTCTAATACCAGCAAAAATTCTACATCTCGAGAGCAAAACATAGAGAATCAAGAAAGAAATACAAAAATCAAACCAGACTAACAGTAGCCAGTTTCATCTAAGCCTGACGCTTCTGCTTGCCACACTTAGCAAGACACTCATCAATCTTGATCGAAACCCCAGCAGGAATAGACCCCCTAATCTTATCAATCTCCTCGCCGTCTATAGCCTCTCCAAAGGTACGGCCAAGAGCATCCTTGTTGGCAGAGAACAGCGCGGGCGCAATGACAAGAGCGCCAGCATCCTCATGCGAGAAGGCAGCGAGGGCGTTGGCAGGCTCGCAGTCGGGGTTGACCTGATAGTGCAGGGTTCCCTGGTAGAAGATAGTTGCTTCGCCGGCGCCAATCTCGTTCCTGATGACTCGGGGCTTGCCTTCGCTATCGAGGACGCCGGCCTCGGGAATGGCCTCGGTGTAGACACGGCCGGAGATGACGGTGAAGAACTCTGCGGCGCGAGGATGGGCGTGGATCATGACCATGGAGCAGCCTATCCACTGTTAGTTTCTCTCGAGGTGTGGTTTACAGTCGTTGATCATACCTGGGAGCTGGGCGGTAGCTAGACTGATACCAGTGCCTGTGAGAGCAGGGAACGACTGGCTTGTGGCAAAGGCTTTGTCTGTGCCGTTGAAACTGTAGAGGAAGTCCTTGTCCTCAGGGAGAAGCTTGTAGCGATCAATGGAGCTGTGCCAAAAAGTTAGAAATATGCGTGCGGTCATCAAGGGTAAGACTTACCTGTCTGCCAGTCGTAGCTTGGTAGTCAGGCTAACCTCAGGTGTAGAGTTCCCCTTGCCTTGGGGAGCTGCAGTCACGAAGGACGAGCATGCCAGGATGGCAGTGGTAGCAGAGAGGAGTGTGTTGAGCATGGCGAGTTGGAGTTGAGATTGCTGGTGAGTGTGTAGATGGTGGTGATGAGTGGTTGAGTTTAATTGCTGTAGTTGCTTGGTGAGAGTATCATTAGAGACGAGGATACCACCCAATTTATAAAGTCAACTTTCTATATTCTAGTCATATTCATATACATCTTACAGGTTAGTAACTATTTCTAAGCGTATGAAAGACGTCGTAACTAAATGAGCCACAGCTAGCCCTATCCGCCTGATACGCCGCGACTTAGTATGAGCGGGAAGCAACTTAATCTACGAGGAATAAACATCGTATCTTGGCATAAGCGTTAATTTCCCGAGAGAGCTTCTAGATGACCATAGTTGTGGCTCTGGTAGATTTTGTTGGCGTATCCAGAATATTGATGCTGCTGTGCTGGCGTATTTCAGCGTATTGAGCGTATTCGCTAATGCTTGGGTGTAACCGCAGTATTGCGCTCTACTAAGAACACACTTAGCCACAATAGGGAAAGATCTATTTAGATGTATTAGAGTATTTGTCACGAGTGTTTAGGTAGCTATAAGCTAATGTGGAATTGTGGTGTTGCGCTTCGCCAGCGTCCATCGTACTGAGCCGTCAGTCAGCAACCTGTTGTCGTTATGGTGAATTTGACATCACTTGTTAAAGACAAAGGTTCGAAGGTATGGAGATGGTCTGAGTGAGGCTGTTAGTTAACATGACCCGAAGTCGAGGAACCACTCCAAGCGTCAAACACTTGTATAAGTAATGCTCCTCCTCCCTGTCCTCAACAAATCCATACCACAAACGAATAACTTCAGCACAATGTTCGCAGCCACCTTCCTAAGAGCTTTTACTCTGTTTCTAGCTATATTTACTTCCATCGCAGTAGCAGCAAACCCCTTTCTAGACTCAACCACCTGCGACAAGACATGTCAGAACCTAGCTCTCACATCCTCCGCCTGGATCGCCGAGCAGCAATCCGACCCAACTTACAGTTTTTACAAAGTCCCTTCCAACTTCTCGACTAAGCTCTCAGCGGGTGTTGTACTTAAGACTGAAGATGCGACGAATCTCACCAACTACGTCGTCCCTAGTGGCCTGACCATGTCGCGCATTATCTACACAACTGAAGACATCAACGGAGGTGTTGTACCAGCTTCTGCTTATGTACTCTGGCCATATACCTCCCTCACAGGAGTGAACCCCGGGTTACCTATGGTCGCGTGGGCTCATGGTACAACGGGAACCTTCAAGCCTTGCGCCCCGAGCAGCTACAGGGCTCTCCAGTACCATTTCCAAGTCCCGTTTGCGCTGGCACTCCAGGGCATTGCAGTCGTTGCACCCGACTACGCGGGCCTGGGTGTGAGCGAGTTGCCCAACGGAGATACTGTTCCTCATCCTTGGGTGGCAGCGCCAGCGCACGCGAATGATCTCGCTTTTGCTGTTACTGCAGCCAGATCAGTGTTTCCAGGCCTTTTGAGTCCGCAGGGTCCTTTCGTTGCGCTGGGTCACTCTCAGGGCGGTGGTGCAGCTGTAAGTAACAAGTCCTGCCCGTGAATAGGTACGCAGAGTTGTTAAGTTAGCCATGCTAATCGTGATATATAGTGGGCTTTCGCAGAACGACAGGCCAAGAAGCCCCTCAAAGGCTACAAAGGCACCGTCTCCATCGCCCCCGTCACTCGAATCTTGGATGACTTCTCCTACTGGACCGAGAACAAGATCGCATCGCCTGGCCTAATCGCCCAGACCGCCGTAGTCGACTCCATTTCTAAGCTCTACCCTAACTACAACTACACTGGTTTGACAGCCACAGGCTACGATCGCTGGCATAATGTCCTGGCCAAGGTCGAAGGGTGTTTCCCTGTATTGGCTCTGGTAACATCTGGTCTCCAAGTTGTGAAGCAAGGATGGTACAAAGATGCGACGGCGAAGAAGTGGGCTGATAGAGTCGCCGTGGGACGAAAGGCATTCGCCGGGCCGCTGCTTGTTCTCAACGGCGCAGATGACCATGTTGTTCGCCCGGAGGGTATTGAACAGGCTGTTAAAGATACCTGTGGCTTTGCAAAGGACTCTAGTTTGGAGCATGTTGTGTATTCTGCTATGGATCATTTCTCAGCAATTCAGGCAGGTCAGCTGAAGTGGATGGGCTGGATTAAAGATCGGCTTTCTGGTAAGGTTGTTGGGAAGAAGGGCTGTTCTTCTGAGGTTATACAGGGGCTGAGGACGGAGTCTACTGTTTCTTCTCTGGGACCTAACTTCTTTTTGTCTTTCTTTGGTCCGCAGGAGGGTTGGAAGTATAGCCTTTAGTCAGATAGCCCAGCGGCTGGGAGATGTGCAGTTCAAGATGGATAAGCTGTTGGGCGGAACTAGGACATTATCTATTAGCTTGCTATGAGAGATCTAGAAATACAACTGTTACAGAATGAGAATTGAGAACCCTCTACATCGACGCATGTCGCAAATGTTTACCACCCACATACCCTTCAGCTGTATCAACAAACAACTTCCTCCCCTTGACATACGACACCATGAACGAGAACAACTTCCAACCCCCAATCTGCCCCGTTGCATACTTCTTCCCCAAGGACACAAAGATCATCTTTTTCGTCGCAGGCTCATACGCCTTTATATCCTTCTGGCCCGTGAGAGCGCCGTCCAGCGCTGTCGCCAAGTGGATGATCTGGTTGTCGGTGATGGTCAATTGCTTAGGGTCAATGTTGCCCACGTCGCCGATGCCCCAGATGTTCTTTGTCCCGGCAACTCTCATTCTTGCGTCTAGTTTGATGTTGCCGCTGGAGTCGAGGAATGCGCGAGGAACAAAGGCGGTGTTGAGTTTGATGCCGTGGAGAGGAAGATATAGATCTATTGTGAGCGTGGTTCCATTCGACAGGTGTAACTCGGTGTCTTGGCCATCGGGGCTTTTCTTTGCTTCGTTTACGCGCGTCTTGTAGATGAGCTTGACGCCCAGCGCTTTTAGATCCCTCTCTGCAGAGGCACGAACTGAATCAAGAGCCCCCTCCAGCGGTTGCTCACCACTTATTATCAGAGTAACGTCCTTGGAGGAGCCATATCTCGCAGCCAACTCGCCAGCGACTTCGGTTCCAGTTGCGCCTGCGCCGGCCACAACTATGGACTTTGCGTCTCCGACTTGACTCTTGAGCTGCTTCCAAGCCGACATGGTCTCATCATGTGTTCCAACTGGTTTCAGTGGAAGATCACTAGCCATTCGCGAGCCCGTCGCAGTAACCAGCTCATCGTAGTTGATATCGCGCCCGACATTACTGTTAGAGGTAATATGAACTGTATCAGAATCCGCATCAATCCCATCTGCTTTCCCAAGGACAAACTCGAAGTTCTCAGAAGGGTATTGGTCAAAGCCGGGTTTGATAGGTAGAAAGAGCTGGTGATCGGGAATGGCGTCCGGTATGATGCCTCGAGTAGCGGCGACGTTCCAGAAGAAATGGCTGTTTGGTGATACGAGGATGACTTTGAGATCTGGGACTTTGGGGAGGGTGTGTTTGAGGAGCTTGTGGGCGAGTGGTAGTCCTGCCCAACCGGCGCCGAGAATTACTACAGTCTTTGCCATGATTGAGATTATGTTTAATATGAAAGATTGGGTATAGGTATAAGATCTAATTGAATGGTTTGTGGTATCTGTGGTTGTCGTTCAGCTCACTTATATGAATACACTTGGCTCGGTGTCGGGCCTGGGGCTCTTTTGGCATGCAAGTGTGATCTAACAAAAGATACATCTCCCACCACCAAAATGCATCGTCATCACATGTATTGCTGTTAGTGTCTCCCGCACTCGGTGGTGGATTCACCGGTGACAAGGATCACGACCGAGCACCGTGTCCGAAGACGACGCCCGGTCCATAGACTCTCTCAACAGCTGGGATAAGCTGAACGTAGACATTCACACATTTCAGCCTCACCTCATCTAGTATCATAATTCTATCTCGGATTTAATCTTAACTCAATTACTACGTACGATTATCTCCTCGTCCTATTCCGTCCGTTCAAGTCGGAGCTTATAACCCCCGATGGACCGACCAGCACCACCATCCCACAATGAGACCGGCCTCAAGATCTGGAGCTGCGTGATATGCCGCCGCCGTAAAATCCGCTGCGACAGAAAAGACCCGTGCTCCAACTGCACCAAGAGCAACATAGACTGCCACTTCCCCGTATCAGGCCGCATACCGCGCCGCAGCCGTGACCCCAACGCCTCCAGCTCAAAGACGCCTGCGCAGAAGCAGTCGGAGCTGCTCGGCCGTCTGCGCCGTCTCGAGTCAGTCGTCACGGAGCTTGCGGCTCAGGTCGAGGACGAAAATGGGGCCAAGATAGACTCCCACTCACATGTCATGGGTGGCATCACTGTGGATGCCGCTGCGACAGAGTCTTCGGCGGCTACGTCATCTCAGGCTGGCACCGAGTATGATGAGGATTTTGGGCGGCTTGTGGTTGACAAAGACGGAGGACTTCACGTTGGGAATCGTTTCTGGTCTGTGTTTTGCGGTGAAGTGAGTATTTCAATTCGTTGATATTAAAAGACTTCATAGTAACTGACTAATACCCTACAGGTAGATAACATTCTGCAGGCAGTTCACGACGTGGCCGATTACTCTGAACCTTCAAGCAGCTCAGTCATGGCTGAACCTACCATTGACGGAAGTCCGTCTCCCTTCAGCCATCTTGGCTTTGTCTTTGGAAGTGCTGAATTCGCAAAGGCTCTGGACGGACTTAACCCCATGCCTTCCCAGATGCTCTTCATCTGGCAAGCATATGTCGAGAATGTCGATCCTTTCATTAAGGTTCTACATACCCCTACCGTTGAGAAAGTTGTCAGGGGATTGAGAGGGAACTTCAGCTCTTGTGGTGACAATATGGAGGCGCTGTTATTCGCTATATCACTCGCAGCCATTGCGTCCATGGACGAAGAAACAGTGTCGTTCAACTTCAACACGCCCAAGGCACAGCTACTACAGCGATATCAATTCGGCACAGAGCAAGCATTAGCACGTGCCAATTTTCTATCTACGAAGGACATCACCGTGCTTCAGGCTGTGGTTATATATCTTTCTCTACTGCCAAACATCGGAGCCCAGGATAAGGTATGGCCGTTGACGGGGTTGGTACTAAGACTGGCAAAGTCTGCGGGCCTACACCTTGAAGATGACTCCAGCCGATACAACCAGCTCGAAGGAGAAATCAGGCGTCGTCTGTGGTGGCACATCTGCTTCATCGACTCCGGCAGTCGACGCGCTGACGCCCAGGACCTATCCATCACGCCAGCAGGTTTCAGCACCGGACTTCCCATTAACACAAACGACTTTGATTTGGAGAGTTCAACAACAGACTTGCCAAGTCCTGACCAAGGGTCAACGGGTGTAACGCTCTGTCTGATCCGCTGCGAGTTGTGGTATTTAACACAGGCTATACGTGTTGATACAAGCAAGTCGCAGGAAACTCGCCTCGGCCACTTCAATGCTCTGAAAGAAAAGGTCCAAAATACTTATTTCCAACACTTACAGGCGAGAAAACCCTGGGATTCGTTTATCATGACCATGGCCAAGCTCTTCTTTGCAAAGGTCGAACTTGTCATCCGACGACAATCCAGCAACCAGGCTCCAACAGATGAACTGCTAAAGCCATCGATCGAGGTTATCACATCTATTCAATCTCTAAAGTCAGAACCATCGTGGTCAAAATGGCGCTGGCAGCTGCAGGGTCAGATGCCATGGCATGCAATGGGCGTCTTCCTCCGTCAGGTTTCTCGTCTGCCCTGGACACGAGACCTAGAAGAAGCCTGGAGCGCAACTATAGTCCTTAGAGACTCGGCTACAAAAGATATGAAGACCGGACCATTGTGGAAATCTTTGATGGAGCTAAACACACAAGCCGAAAAGCATCGTGAGAAGGAACTCGAGCGCCAAGGGGCCAATGCCCAACATACCCGCGAGCGAGGCAGCCGCGTCAATTCCGACGTCCAGCAGATGCTCGACAACGCTGCGAACATGTCTTCCGAAATCCCCGTGAACCATCCTCTGATCGACACGTCAACGTTTGACTCGTCTCTACACATATCGCCCCCTGACAGCGGCGCTTTTTCTATAGAGCGGCTGTCAACCGGGTTGGGCACTGCATCTGATGATCTTCCCTCGTGGTCAGAAGCTGGGGGCGAGATAGATCTCGACCAGTTTTATTCCTTTGGCAATTCGACATCAGATAATGGTGCTACTGATTGGATGGATTGGGATGCTTTGATAGACGTGGATGAGACTTGGAATTGGAATTTTATGTAGATTCTGGTGAAACAGACACTTAGATGATGGCAAGAGCTGCTAGAAACTTTAGATATGTCGTATACGAATTAGGATGATAATTACCTGTTTCTTGATTATATTCCTGTCTTGGTTTCTTGTACATGGTCTTGAAGCGGAGAGTAGTTTTACTCAGCCGGCGGAGTTCCGCCCAACCATTGTATACAGTAACACCATCTCTCAAGGAAGGAGACGTATATAAGAAACCGTCTCTTGTCATATCGCACGTCCAATTTATTCCTGAGCAGCGTCGGTCAGTAAAATGCTATAAAAACAGCATCCCATTGTCCATCTCTTCATAACCACCACTGTCGTTACACAACATCGACAACAAACGATGGCATTCAAAGCTTTATACACCCAACTCTTTCCACCAAAGCCACCACTGACGGAAAAGAATGTCCCTCTGCAACTCGGAAAAGTCTTCATTGTCACAGGCGGTAACTCGGGAGTGGGTTTTGAGCTCTGCAAGATCCTTTACACAACAGGCGCAACCGTGTATCTGACTTCACGATCAGAGGTATGACTTACACGACACCAGTCTACGCAATTACTTACACGAACTGTAGCAACGTGGGAAACAAGCCATCGAGGAGATCACTAGTGCCAATCCTCCTCCCAAGAACCCAGGCAAACTCAAGTTTATCCACCTAGATCTCAACGACCTCAACTCTGTCAAATCCGCTGCATCCACATTCGCATCTCAAGAGACAAAACTCCACGTCCTGTGGAACAATGCAGGCACAGGCGCTTATCGCGTCTCGCAAGGTGCCAGAACAGCACAGGGACTGGAACCAATGGTGGGTATGCACTGCGTAGCTACACTCCTCTTGACAACACTTCTCATACCCCAGCTTCGTATCGCTGCTGCCGAACCGTCTAGCTCCGCAAGGGTCGTCTGGACGTCGAGCATCGTGACAGATCAGGGGTCCCCAGCCAACGGGATCGACATTGAAACCCTTCACGCGGGAACGTCAGATCGAGTGCTCAACTACGCTGTGTCCAAAGCCGGCAGCTGGATGCTCAGCCGGGAGATGGCCCGGCGGCACGGCGCCGAGGGCATCGTAAGTGTCGCGCAGAACCCGGGCAACGTGAGAGGGGGCTCATACGAGGGCACACCCGCGGCGACCATGTGGTTCCTCAACCGCTTCGTACTGCATCCGACATCGTACGGGGCTTACACGGAGCTCTTTGCCGGGCTATCCCCGGACGTCGACAACGGGGCGTATATCATACCTTGGGGACGCATGCGGACTGATGACGAGTGTCCCCGTAAAGACATTGTACACGCCATGCAGCCCGACGGGTTGGATTACGGGAAAAAGCTGTGGGACTGGTGCGAGCAACAGTGGGCAAATGTCGTATAACAATGTACACGATGCCCCGAAGGCTCGGCCGAGAGTGTAATACGAGAAAGAAGCGGCCGCTGCGGAGATGAATACGTTGGTGAGAATACGATAGTATACATGACCTGATTTGACGAGATGATATCCATAAATCGTGACGAATCTGAGTTTCCCGAACGATGCGAGATGAAGTCTTCTGGAATGCCACAGGCGCCTCTCCCGGTATCCTAGAGAACAGCAGAACAGATGATGCAAGTATCCATCGAATAGCCTCACTTATCAATCGGACTTGATGGAACTCTTGTAGAAACTTCTGACTAAAATGTGTCATGCACACGAGATGCTCGCTTCCACCGTTAGTGGTTGCACCGAATCTTGATCACCCTCCAATGAGAACGTCGGATCATTTCTAGATGCCGCAAGCGGTGGGGAATCGAGATAAATAAAGACACGAACCATCTGATAGAGGGTCAGGAATAAAGGTTACTGGCACGAGGGCTTCTGCAGCCACACGAGTTGCCAGGGGAGAAATTAGAAATGCCACCCTCCATCCGTAGACAGAGAACGCTAAGCACATATGCAAAGAGTGGTGTTATCAAGAATGCATAATCGTTTAATCGAATATTGTATGCAAGACGGATTGATAGATAGCGCGATCGGGGCTTTGCACGTACCCCTCCACGCCAAGTCGCAGATGCAGATTAAGTGCTCAGTCTGACAGGGGCTCCCATCTTGTAGAACAAGTTTCACAACAACGGCTGCCAATTTGATCCCCTGCTAGTTGAATATTCGCAATCACACCGAGATTTGCATTGAATGTCTCTCGAACACTTTGATCCTTTTTCCTTCTCTCTTTGCTAGAGCCAGGCGCATATGATAAGGCTGTAGAATTGAAATGTGTAACCTACTAACTTAGACTGGACGTAAGCCGCTTACCCAAGAAACCAATGCAATGAATAGGGGTGATCCTTGACAGGGTAAATTAGAGCCGACCGTTGTTTAATGAACAGCGCCGCAAATGATTTAGCGGTATTTAAACCTGCCTTACCAAGCTTACCTTAATCTTTTTAGCACTGGACTGTGGACACTGGGGCGAGCAGTTTCACGGTAGAAGTTCCCGCGAGGTTTCAGTGGAGGAAGAAGAAGAAAAGGCCTGTGTCACTCCCGCGACAATCCGAGACGAGGGATCTTCAGAATTCGAAACACGCGGAAGTTATTACTATAATAAAAAGCTTAAGCTCGAGGACAGCCTTGTTCTATTTGTTCCTTGCGGGATAAGCATAACATGCTACGTTATACTGGTGTGTCTCCTGAAAATCAACGCGCGGAAGTGGAAGGATCTTGCTCGATGCGCCCTAGATCTGCAGGTTTCGAGGCTGTAAGCACACGAATGAGCGAGTGTTTCCACAGATGCTGATGGATGGGCTCGGTGTGGCGTCCTCCGTTATCTTTTTTGTCTGGGCCCCTTTAATCAAGTGGCTTGGTCGTTGAATTGATGCTGTAATGAGTGTAGATTGGATGCATTGTCAGGCCTCGAACAGTCGTGAAGCTTCGGAGATAGAATTTGACTATTTTATATTAGAGGCCTTCTAGAATTTGTACACATTCAGATGGAAAGAGTATTATACATCAAACTAGGAGCTAATGTTTATGATATTATAAAAACTAAATGCACCCTCTAATATCCGTCACTAGGTAATTGAAGTTACCTTATCATCTTACACCCAAGGTTTCCCACCCGGACGGCAGCGCTTGGTGGTTCAATCAAGCTGTGTCGCAGCAGGCAAGGCGTTTTAGCAGCCAAGTTCTTCGAATCGAATTGACTTTCTCACAAGAAACATATACCACGCAACAGGCTAGGACGTTGTGGTTTCTTGCCAGTTAATCTAAATAAGCTCAGGTAAAAAGAACCCATTCAGACTGGCTTGATTGGAGTTCGTATCTGCATATTGAACTGAACATTCATTACCTAGGAGACAAAAGGCCGGATTCTTCCTAATCGCTTTAGTGGCGGGAAAGGCCTCTCTAATCTTGGGACTGCCCCAGTGTGGCTTATCAGCAATGGCCCCGTTCTATTTGAGTTCTGTCTCAAGCCTCCGACGCGATTTGCGTCACTTTCTGAAATTGAACCCAAGAATAGCAGGAAACGTAGACAATTGAGGCGATCCAAGAATGAAGCGAAACAGGAACAATGACAATAGCTTTGTTTGTCTGCGATTGATTGTACCAGCTGGTTACCATCTATTTGTCTCTTTGTAGTCGTGGCCAGGAACAACTTTGAGTTAGAGCGGAACTCTGCTGCAGGCTGAAATACTGGACAGCTCCTACGCCTCCAGTGCCCGAGCCCCTGACGGAAACCCCGTAACGTTAGGCTACAGCACTTACTACGCCCCCTGAGCCTCCCGCCTTGAGACTGTCTGTCGCAGCCTCGAGAGGTGCAGATGCGCTGTCTTTTATCTGTTTCTCGCTGCTTGGTTTTAATTGTTGAAATTGAAGAGGCTGAGACAGTTGGAAAGCCACGTGCGCTTAGAAAAGGAACCGAGGGAAGCCGCTGGAGAAGATAAAAAGAAAGAGATAAGGCGGGAATAAGCTTGAAGGATTGGCTGAGGCGTAAAAACAGGACGTGTACGGATACTATCATTTCCTTTCTTACCTCTTGTACGAGACCAGACGGGAAGAGAGTTTTTGGGGTATCCAATAGACATAGACACACAGAGGACGAAACGCCCCGCTTGCGCGTCACGTTAACCCCCTATCTCTTAAGACTCTTTTGAGTTTCTTTCTGCCTTATCCTTATTCTTCCCCCTCCTGTCCAACCTGGAACCTTTTTTTACCCACGTCCCCCTTCCCCTCGTAGCCAGCAAGAAAAATCTCTTGGCTTTCGGTTGTCGAGACGGATTCTAATTCTACTTCTTCATTCTCCCGCCGGTCGAAGGGTTTGTGATGCTCTTACTCTGAGACATTTAATTCTCTCTTCTTTCAACCAACCATCATCAATTCATTCGTTTGCAACGCCCACAGTACAATACAAATCTGCGCAAAGTCGCAAGGCAGAAAAAAGAACACAACTCACATAATGGCTGTCGCTCTTCCCAGGCGATTCTATTCGCTGCTCTGGGTCGCAATCCTCCTTGCCGTCGTCGTTTTCTTCATCTTCCTCCGCGAAGACACTTGGTCATCTATTCCTCGACCTCCCAGCGGCTGGAAGATCCCTTTCACCACCGACGATGGCGTGCTCTCTTCCTGGATGGGCAGCAGCAAGAAGAAGGGTAAGGACCCCAACGAGCCTCTGCGCATTGTGCTTGTAGAGTCCTCCGGCACCCACGACGAGGTCGCCGCTGCTCTCATGCACGCCTTTGGCAACCAGAAGGGCTCCCAACTCGACATCTACTTCGCCAACCAGCGCTTCAACATGCAGGAGATCATGTCCAACTTCAGCCTCGCCGCCAATGTCACCATCAACAAGTGGGACAAGTTCGCCAGCGCCGTCACCGAGAACCCTCCTCACATTCTCGTATCCACGACCTGCGAGTTTGATCTCGACCGTGGCGCCGAGCCCATTGTTAACCTCCTCAAGAAAGCAAACACCCATCTGTTCTGCACCATCCACCACGCCGATCGCTGGGCCACCGGCAAGTATGTCCAGGCTGTCCGAAGCTTTGCAGAGCACGAGCGCGTCGATTTCGTTGGTCTGAGCCAGCACACTGTCGACTTCTTCCTCAACGACACCATCCCCAAGTGGCACACGGCCGCCAACCTCACCACCCGAGTCATCCCCCCGGTCTTTCCTGTTCAGATGACCGACCCTGATCTTCAGCCTGGCATTTCTCTGTCTCTGCAGGGCGATTACTCTTCTGGTCGACGTGACTACAACGGTATCTTCAACCACCTTGGCAGTGTCATCCGCAAGGCCGGCGAAGAGTCTGAGGGTCATAAGTCTCAGAATGTCAGCCTGCACGTTATCGGACACGGTACTCCTCCCCCGGTTCCCGATCATGTCAAGGACCACGTCTACTTCGACCAGGGCCTCTCATACCCCGACTTCTACACGCTGATGTCAAAGTCCTTCTCCGTCCTTCCCGCGTTTGCTTCGGACACCTACTTTGACCGCAAGGCTTCTTCCACCATCCCTGCCTCTCTGATCGCCGGTGCCCCTATCGTTGCGACAGAAGAGCTCCTCAAGGCCTACTCCTACCTGCCCAGGGAAGCCGCCTGGGTCGCCCGACCCGGTGAGGGTGAGATGGACGTTATCGAGCGAGTTATCGATGACCGAGAGGGTTTCCTCAAGCGAAGACAAGCTGTGAGAGATCTGGCCGCGTCTCTGCTGGAACAGAACCAGGCCAACACCAAGGCCTGGATCGAGGAGGCCTTCGAAAAGTATAACGCCAAATAAATTAGATATGAATAACTGTTTTTTTGCTTTTCTTTTTTTTTATTGTACACTTACGCGGCACCATTTCACATGATCGGGAATCAGGATGAGCGGCTCTTATGTTTTGAGAGTATTTTAACACGCATGAACAAACATTCTTAATATACGGTTTCTTACTACATTGAAGATACAATCATGACATTTCACTTACATGAGTTCCCTCCCGCATTCCAGTGATGTTGAGCATGTTGATTGATGTCTTGAGCTTGATTACGTACAGCGGGTGGCGGGCGGGAGTCTCACGGCCATCATGTTGCCGCATTTTTCGCTCTCCCTTGCGTAAGAAAGAGTATCGAATCCGGCATATGGAGACATGGAGAATGAGATAGTGACTCATGATTCCAGAAAATGGGTCGTGAAAACGCCACCAACACAAAACCCCCAGATCTTGGCATGAGAGATCTAAGCTTAAAAAATAGTCGAGCCTTAACCAACGATGCCATCAGCATTGGATGCCTCAGATTTGTTTACTGATCACTGCGAAAGGTCGATTTTTGTGAAAATATTTATGTATATTTTAATTTTGAAGTCTCTCCCTCGTTGCGCACTGCGGAGGGAGAAAAAGGGCTATAACGAATACCCAAGATCGCATAGTAAAACGTCTCTATGTCTAAGGTATATGGAAAAAGAAGTATGCCAAAGATCATGTCATCCAAACACCTGTCATGATATAGCCGCCATACCCAAGAATAAGTATATAAGAAAAAAGCAAGGAAATGTTGTATGTGTAGGTTATCTTATGTTAGGTGGCAGAGGAAGGGTCTCATGACTTGAGGTCCTTAGCTTCCTTGCTGTCCACCATCTCAGCGCGTCCCTCCTCTTCGCGGGGAAGTAGCTGGTAGCTGGAGGCCTTCTTGGCCTGCTGATATCGGTCTCGGGCCCAGCCGTAGAGAGCGCTTCCCATGAGGATAAGAGCCATGCTGCCGGCGCGGTCGGCAGTCAGAACCTCGCCGAGGAGAACGACAGCGAGGGAGCTCTGGGCAACACCTCGGGCGGCGGTGACAATCATGTGTGTGGTCGGGCTGGTGACCTCGATCTGCATAAAGGTGGCGATGGTAAGGAGGAAGGCCGAGACACCGGTCAAGCAGGCGGAGCTGAGGAACTGGCGGCCGACGTCCATAGACTCGACGGTAAAGAGGCTGTTCATAGTGCTCATCTCACCTGAGAGAGGGAATAGAGGGATGTAGAAGAGGAGGGCCATGCAGTTGGACATCCAGACCATCTGCCACATACCCTCCTGGCTCTTGCCAAGGAAGCGTTTGACGACAACGGACTCGACGGCAGTGGTGAAACTAGATCCCACACCGAGCAGGACACCCTTGCCTGAGGTAAGCATCTGGCTGTAATCGGCCATCATACCAGTTCCGAAACCAGCCATGACCATGGCGCAGCCGACAAGTGAGATAGGAGGGTAGTAAGGACGAGGTCGCAGAACCAAGAGCGATAGGAAGAGGGTGAATGGCAATAGAAGACCACGGGCGATTTGGTAGACGGAGGCATTGACCGAGGCGAGGCAGTACGTCTTTGCCAAGATACCAATAAGACGTGCGACCGTGAGGGGTAGGAGAGAAATCCAAGCCTATTAGGTTTTCCAGTCAACAAATGTCTTTATTTGAAAGGATACATATGGTGTCAACTTACATTAAGAGGTCGGGACAGCTTGATCCATCCTGTGGCCACTCCAATGACTGTGAGTAGTGCGACCTGTATCGTAGTCTGTAGGGCGAGCAATGTGACGGGAGCCTCAACGCCATTAAGGGCTGACTTGGATAGGATAGTGCTCCAGATAGCACATGATGAATGGAAGAGCACCACCAGGGCGACTCTCATTCGTGATGGCGGGGGTCGATTCTCGACCTGAGGTTGTTCGGCGGCTGCCATTGTGACGAGATGTTATGGTGTATGGTATATACGTCGACAAGATATGTTTTGAGCGATAGAATAGCAGAAAGATGAGATGAAATAAGTAAAGGGAAGATGAAATAGAAAGAAGATAGAAGAGTAAGAATAGATAGAGTAGAGTAAAACAAGAAACAGCAATTCAAAGTGGGTAAACGAACGTCTGAAGCTTTTCGGTTCGAGAAAGCTTCCAAGGGTCCTGTCCTTCCTTTCTTAACTAAATAAACTCAAGGCAACAAAAACATGAAAAGGTCAAGACTCTCTGGGAGGGGAGAGGCTGGCAATGGCAAGTGGGCGGGCTGTCCGGAGGTTTTGTTGATCGATCCCGCGTGTCTATTTCCGCACTAAGGCCCAAACGCAGAGGTGTCGAACTGCATCTGCAGGGCACTGGGCTGGGGGGTGTGTGCGAAGCCGAGTAAAAAGACGAGGAAAAGGGGGTTTTGGTTTTGGTTTGAAGAATTGAACGCGTTATCCCAAGCAGGGAAACCGAAAATCTGGCGCCACACGTTAGCCTTGGCCTAGCAGCTTTGGCCGGTCTCTGGAGATATTAACCCTGACTATGGGATGGGATTCAGTCCTGGCCTGTCCTATGAGAGGCGCCGAGCGCCATGTGTTCCCAGTCGATATTCTCCATATTAGCCATTTCCATCGCCCCCATGGGCCCCAGCGTTCTTGGTTCCTTGAAAGGCTCAACCGAAGTACCGCCATCGAGGGGTTCCTGGCTGCCTGGGTCCTGAATTGCAATGGGGGAGATGGGAAGACGGCCCAGGGAGATTTGGTTAACTAGACGTGGGGGGGTTCCATAGTAGTGGTATTGCTGTTGAGATGGCGGCTGTGACAAGGCGGAGTGGTGGAATCTCTCTGGTGTAGCGCTTATGCATGCGTCGAAGGGGAGTAGCGGGGGGGTCTGGCTATGAACCAACACTGGGAAGATAGAGTTGCATATGCATCTAATGAGGTTCTATGCCTTCCACCCTCTTGGCACTGACGTATATACGTAGCAGCAGAACGGAGCAATGCACTGAGTATCCCCACGCTGGGAAATAAAGACCGTTGATCAAACTACGCGACCGCTATTGGCCTGCATCCTCCCAGTGACACCTACCTGTCGAGTGTAGCGGCTGGATGGTCCCCTGTCTTGAGAGGTCATAAGTCATTTCACTGGACCGCCCCTGACTACGCGGGAGTAAAACTTAAACATAAGCCAAAAATTAAGTCTATCTCTTTAACCGGCATAAGACTACAATGAGGTCACGACAGGGGTCTAAAGCTAATTAAAATTAATATAACTTAAGGTATATCTTTATATACCTAATTTAATATATAATAAAAATATTAATAGCTTATTATATTATAAATAGCTATATTATATTCTTTATAGCTATATTAAGTCTATAATTACTATTAATTTCTTAATATTAACTATAAATAACCTCTTTTTTTACTTTTTTTTTTAAAAGGTTATAATTACCTTTATTTATAGCCTTTATAAGTTAGGTAAGTAAAGTTTTTATCTTTATTAATATAATTAATATCTCTTTATAAATAAATTTATTATACTTTAAGATCTTTACTATTTTTTTTTTTTTTTATATAATATCTTTTTTTTATATTATTATTAATATTATATTTATTAAAAATAGTATTATAAATAGCCTTTTTTTAGTCTTAAAATATATTATAGGGCTTTTAATAAAATTATTAAGTCTTTTTCTATAAAATAAAGCTATTTATAAATATAATATTAAAAAGAAAAGATTAAAATAATACCTATTAAGGGCTATATTAAAAATAATATTAATATAAAATATAAAATCTTATTTAATTACTATAATTTATATAATTTATTTTACTATTATATTAAATAGTAATAAAAAAAATAGGGATTATTTTAGCCTAATCTTTATTAAAGACCTCCTTTAGGTATTATATCTTTACCTTTATATCTTTTTTAATAGGTAATTTCCTCTCTTTTAGTATATAATTAAAAAAAGCTTTATTATATATAATTATAAAAAAAAGAACTATAAAGCTATCCTTTTAAGTAACTTAAAAAACCTAAAAAAAAAAAAAAAAAGAAAATTAATAAGGAAAATATAGGTAAAACTATTTATACCTATTTATTTATTATTAAAATTAGATATATCTTATTATATATTAAAGGCTAATTATTAAAAAGCTTTTTAGTTTTTTTAATTTATTTTATTATAGTAATAATACTATAATTAAGGTATATTATATTTATAGCCTTATAATTAAGTTATTAAAAAAGGTAAAAAAGTTATAATAAGGAAAAGAGATTATCTATAAAAATATAATATATTATTATTATTAATCTTTATAATAAGTAAATTATAATACTTTATATATTATTAAAAAGGGTTTTAATTTATAGCTTTCCTTTCTTATTATATAGCTTTAATATCTCTAGTTTAATTATTATAGTTATAATTAATAATACCTTTATATATTAAAATTATTATAAAAATAACCTTATTATATAATAACCTAGACTTTAAAGCCTATTAATATAAACTTTTCCTTAATAAATATTATCTATTTTAATTTACCTATAAAAAGGATTATATATTTATTTATAATTAAATTAGTTTTTAAAAGATAGAGCTTAATAAATACCTTTTATATATAATTAGATTACTTTTTAATTACTTAAAAGGTCTTTAAAAGATCTTTTTTATTATTTATATTAAGATTAGTATAATTAAAAATATAAAAATACTATATAATTAGCTTAAATTTCTATAATAATATAAACTTTATAAATAGGTAAAAGAGGTATTAATTTCTTAGGTTAAGGGCCTTTTAATAGTCTTTAAAGAATATTTTTTTATAAATTCCTAAATAAATAAGGATATTAAGTTATATATAAACTATTATAGTAAAGATACCTTTTTAAGCCTATAAATATAAATAATTAAAAATAAAGGTATTTTAGCTATTAATAATATTATTTTTAATATAAAAAAAAGCCTAGTTATTAATATATTTAATTTATAATTATATAAAAAAAAAAATATAAAAAGCTAGAATAATTTAAGTAATTATTAAAATAAAGGATTAATTTAGAAATTATAATTTTTTATTTTAAAAGGTTAAAAATTATTATTATAGCCTTCTTTAGGTAGAAGGTTAGGTATATAAATAGGGTTATTAATAATTACCTAAGAAGGTAGGCTATTAAAGTTATAATTATTTATAAAATTATATATCTTTTAAAAGCTTATTATTTTAATTAAGACTTATTATAATTAATTTATATAAAGATTTTAATAATTTTAGTAATATTAAAAGAAAAAGCTATCTAACGGGAACTTTATATACCTTATAGGTACCTATAAAAAAGCAGGGTATATAATATCTTACAGTCTTATACCGGTTAAAGAGATAGTTTACTGAGTAGCTTAGAATTAACGTGATCTTTTGTTCCATTGCCGCCGCAAGTAAAGCAATGACTTTTACACTGTAAATCAACTACGACTTAGAGACCTATTCCTTTTCTCTGCTGTTATTGTTAAAGCACGAGTAAAGTAAATGCGAGGCCGTGGTGAAACGGAGATGGGGGAACCACTTTCCAGGTGAAGATTTAAGGTGAAGCCAAGTCTTTTGCCGAGAAAGACAGGCCAAGATCGGATATCAATGACCAAGTTTTGAACTGCAGCCCGTCCGTAACTTGTCCTCTGATGTCTCTCTTCTCTTATCTTCTCTTGTCTTCTTTTGCCTAGCTACAATAACTGCCGTAGTACGGATTACTTACTATAGACTAGGAAGCAGCACAATTTCCTATCATCTTCCTTCAGAAAATGTTCTCCACGTGATAATATCCTAAAGCCGCCTCAGTGGTCAGTGACCGAAGCAGGATCGTCAATGGAGTGTTTCATCCTAGATGGATGATCCAAGGGCTTACTCTCCGCGAGTGCTCCGAGGCTCTCTTTCGAGTCTTAAGTCTCGAGGATGGAACAGGGTTGCACCACTTTATCGCCTTGTCATTGCGTTGCATTATAATGTAGCCCCGAAAATTACAAGTTCCCGAGGGATTATAGTGGAGAAATCAAATCGAGCCGCGTAAGTTCTCTTATGACGATGAGCGAAACGACTCCGCCAGTGCTTATTATGTGAAACCCAAGTAAAGCATTGTCTCAAATCTCAACCACGGTTCACAAACACTGGGTCCCGGGTCCGAGTTCGGGGTTTGGCAAGTGGCCAGATTGACAACGTGAGACTTGAATGAAGTGATGCATGTTTTGTTGTTATTTTTGTATTGTACAGATCCGTGGTTTTATTCCCCAACGCTTCACGGAATGTGCTATGTTGCTTTTTGCTCTGTCCCGGTCTTTTCTCGACATCGAGGAGCAAAAAAAAGATACAAGTCTAACATGCGGTGACGAAATTAAACAAATGGTAGCGCCGTGCATGGTATGGTATCCCCTGTTCCTTTCCCCATCCAAAGCCCCAGACATGAGATGATAAGCTACGCAATGTATGGATGCTGTAACTGTAATATCCCCATCATGACGAGATGTGCCCCGTCAGAAAATCCTATTCCCCAGCCGGCTCGGGATGACCATTCAACGTGAAGCAGAAAACACTATTGGTAGTAATGATAGCAAAAGATCACAATGCTTATAGTAGATAATAAAAGACATCAAATCTGGTTCGTGAACCAGTTCATCATGACGATGTATCGGCGGCGGCGGCAGCCTTCTCGCTCTCCTTGGGAGCCTCCGCGTTGGGAGTAGGTACGGGTGTGGGCTTGGGGTCGTCAGCAGCCCTTAGGCCGTCCTTGACCTCCTGCTCGAAGTACATGCGAGCAACATCAAAGGCCGAGTCGATGGACTTTGTGATCTTTGTGCAGCCGCAGTCGCGCGTCCAAGTGTTGTGGAAGTTGAGGTTCTTACCCAACTTACTGTCCATCAGCACATGAGGAACGCCGATGACTGTAGAGAGAATGTGGCCGTGAAGTCTGTCGGTGATGACGAAGTGAGCCGATCCCAAGAGGTCGAAGCCGGCCATCGACTTGGCCCAAGCACGTTGGTTCTTACCCTGCTCGCGCTCGTTGTCGTTATCGATGGATGGTGTCTTGGTGAACTTCCAGTCGACCTTATTGTATGTTACGTTGCCGATGCTGCCACCCAGATCAACCTTGCCCTCGCCAAACTCGATGTCGCCGGAGTCACCGTCTGAAATCTCGGCGTCCTTTCGGGCAAGAATCAGGATGTCATGGCTAGAAATAGAAGGTTAGCGTATGCATGCGTTTAATAGAAAGAGAACAACTAACGTCTTCTTGGTGTTGTGTCGGAAATCAGATCGGTTACCCCACATGAAGGCAATGTCAGGAACAAGATCGCTCTGAATGCCCTCAGTCTGGCCAAAGTTGTCCATGAGCCAGTCATAGCTGGGCTTATCACGGGCAGCCAGTTGCAAGTCGTGGTGCTTAGTGAAAGACTTGCGGGTCTTCTCAATCCTCTCGGGGTTGGTCATGTAGATACTTTGGGGGAAAGCTCGGATGGAGATGTTCTGGAAGTTCTCAATCATGTTCATTCGTGAAGGTTGGTCCTCCCAGTAGTAATCGTTGAAGTTGCCACCACCGGCCATGATGATACCAGAATGGGGACGGTGCTCCTCGAGCTTTCTGCGGAACTTTGCAATGTCGCAGTCCTTGTACATGAAGCTGTGTCACCATTAGTATCGGCAAATGTTGTCCAACGTGGTACGAGATTAGATCTTACCGGCAGGCTTCCATAGTCTCAATTCCAAGGATGCTCAACAGAATCTGCTGGGCAGACCAAATAGCTGCATCACCCTTGTTCTCGGTCTCAAGGTAACCCCAGATGTTGGCATAGCGAATTCCAGCGAACCTCTTCTGGTAGGCGTGGATGAGACGTTGTTGGAGGTCGTTGACGATGTTCTCACAGCCCGGTGTAGGCGCTCTCGTCAAGTCGTAGGAGATGTCAGTGTTGGGATCTTTGTCCTGCTCAAGATCCTCCTCTCCAGCACCAACAGCACCGGCAGCGTCAGTGGGCTTCTCTGGTTCGTCGATGGTGGTGTTGCCGCCTTTGGACGGCCAATGCCAGTCAGCGCTCGGTAGGTGATCCTTAAAGCTCTCGGGTCCTTGGTAAGAGACCAATATAGCAAAGACGAAGAGCACAGCAACCACGGCTAGCGCGATGCGTGCGAAGCGGTTCATTGCTGGCAACATGATGAACGCATAGAAAAGTAAAAAGTAGGTTTAAGGTTGAGGTTGAGGTTTACACACGAAAGGAGTGGAACACCCGGATATTGTCTATCACGGGCTTGTAATTGTAAGCAAGCAAAAAAAAAAGAGAAACGGCAGAAACAAGACAAAGCGAGACAAGATGGATGATGCAATGGAAGAGAAGAAGAAGAGGTCAAGAGAGCATCTCGAAACGTCTTTTGTCCTTTAGATAAAAAAGATGTGACTTGGACCCCCCATTTCATCCTTGTCTTTAGCTTAATTCCCGACCCCATCCACCCACTACCTACTACACTGTCTAGACTGTACAGTACCTATCTGCTGCTGCTTCTCCTTCTCCTGGTCCTGGACCAGTGGACTTAGTGTGTCTCTTGGTCCTCCGTCCTCCACTCGGACGATTCGATGGATGCGTTCAAAGTGCGCCACGCGCCCGCACCCCATGCATAGCCTGTAGATGGCTTGGCATTTAAGGTACAGTATCTAAATTATCACTGTAACCCCTTTGCGTCTTGCTACATATGAACAGCATACATAAAATACTTGAGTACTTAAACATCTCAGCACCCTCTCTCGCTCGCCAAGTTTGAAGGGGCCAAGCACACTCTGCCGGGATGTGGGTTCCTGACGTCGACAGCCAGCCATAAGCCTCTAACCCATGTAGCATGTAGATAGCCCACTTATTCATATAAGCACAAAATGCGCCTACTAGACTCTTACGCGGCGCAAAAAAAGAAGTGGGAATGCTCCCTTACCAGGATATTGCCTTAGTCGAATCGACAAAGTTAGCCAAGACTTGACCGAAGCCCCCTTTTCCCTCGTTCTGACCACTTTGCAGTGTACGGTCGCAGTGTTACACCCTTTTTTTTCTATCCTTATCCCTATCCACTTGACTTGGCATCTTTGATTGATTGACCGGATCGATTTTAATCTGGAGACCATCGCATCGGCTTTCATTTCTTTGCCTTGTTTCTCGTCCCGCGCGTATCGCTCCGTTTCGTGTACTCTCGAAAATCGTCACTTTCACTTCACTGCTACGCTTTAATCCAAGTTGAACGACACTCGGCCGTTCGTCCACTCTTTTAGCAAGACCTCATCGCTTGCGACCGACCGACCGACCGACGCCCCTTCGCAGCCATGGCTGACCAGAACAAGAAGAACGACGACTTCGTGGCCAACATGCCTGAAGTCGCCAACGAGAACAACATTGGCGATGGCGAGAAGGAGAACGACTCCCTTGTTGGTCGTGGTCCTGGCACCGATGCCCTCCCCGCCCAGGCCTCAGGATTCACCTCCAAGATTGAGAACAGCGGACCATTCTCTATTCTCTCCTACTGCCTCTCCTCCATTTCCATGACTGTCGTGAACAAGTATGTCGTGTCTGGCAGTTCATGGAACCTTACTTTCTTCTACCTTGCGTGCCAGGTAGGTTTTGACTATTCCCCGCGTTTGAGGAATGTTATCTGACTTACCGTCTCTATTCTAGTCTATTGTATGCATTGGTGCCATCACAGCATGCAAGCAGTTTGGTCTTATCAAGTCCCTCGCTCCTCTGGAGATGGACCGCATCAAGAAGTGTACGTTGTGTTTCCTGTCACTCACACAATAGAGGGGCAATGGCTAACACGGTGACAAACAGGGTACCCTATTTCGCTCGTCCTCGTTGGTATGATCTACACAAGCACCAAGGCTCTGCAGTTCCTCTCGGTGCCTGTCTACACCATCTTCAAGAACTTGACCATTATTGCCATTGCATACGGCGAGGTTCTCTGGTTCGGCGGTTCCGTTACCCCTACGGCTCTCGCTTCGTTTAGTCTTATGGTTCTGAGCTCCGTGGTCGCTGCCTGGGCTGATATCAAGAGCGCTATTTCTGGTGACTACAGTGCCACCACTGGCGATGCCGATGCGCTTGCTACCTTGAACGCCGGTTACTTCTGGATGGCCATGAACGTCATCTGCTCTGCCTCTTATGTTCTGGGCATGCGCAAGGTCATCCACAAGATGAACTTCAAGGATTGGGACAGTACGTATACATCTTTATTGCACACAATCAGATTGACGCTGGGGCGTCGATATTCATGAAACATTCGCTAACGCATTAACAGCCATGTACTACAACAACCTTCTCACCATTCCCGTCCTTGTCTTCTTCTCCCTTGTCACCGAGGACTGGTCCAGCGTCAACTTCGCCAAGAACTTCCCCGAGGACTCGCGAAACCGCATCTTTGTCGGCATCATCTACTCCGGTCTGGCTGCCATCTTCATCTCTTACTGCTCCGCCTGGTGCATCCGAGTCACCTCCTCCACCACCTACTCTATGGTCGGTGCTCTCAACAAGCTGCCCATCGCTGTTTCTGGTCTCGTCTTCTTCGCTGCCCCCGTCACCGTTGGAAGTGTCTCTGCTATCTTCATTGGTTTCGTTTCGGGTATCGTATATGCCTGGGCCAAGGTCAAGGAGAACGAGGCTAAGAAGAATGCTTTGCCTACCGCTGAGAGCCGTGAGGCAGCTAAATAGATTTGACATGCTGCGACAATGATCTTCCCAGAGAGCCATGCCAGCTTCCCGTCAAGATCTTCTCAGCTATCATAATGCCATTCCGGCCAAACTATCAAGTCTGGTTGGATTTGGAAACGACAATTACGTATCTTACCACGGTACTTAAACGAAACACTAATGTAGACATATTTTTTTACATAACGGCCAGAGCAACAGCTCGTTATTTTGATGGGGTTCAAGTTAAGGGTGTCATTTAAAAGCGTTTATAGACCTGGTTCAATACAAAGTCATTGATTTTGCGCATGATCTCGTAAAGTGATATAAATATTCACATGCTGATTTCTACATCGGATTAAGTAACCAAGCAAAGCTCGAGCCTCTTCCCGTATAGTCTACCACCAAAGCAAAAATGACCTCAGCCCTATCGCTGACATGGGAGACTGGCTAACGGTCGACGGCGTGGCCTTGGCTCTCATCTCGCATGGCATGGATGGCATGGCATGTTGCACAGCACAAAGAAAAAAGGCTGCATAAGTTCAACGTTACATTGTGCATAGGGTAACTCTACTTCGAGCTTCACATACTTATATTAACACACAATACTTCAGCCATGGTTACAGGCTTATCCAACTAATACACATCAGTACCGAATTTATCTTTGAGGCTGACTTCGCCTTGACTCAGGCCGTGCATCAAACTCATCCTATCCCCCTCCCTCATCTTCCAGAAACACCGGCTCTTTCTCGCGCTGACAGCTGAAAAATCCTCCCGTCCAATTTTCGCTCCTGGCCCCGTTTTAAGCATATGAGCAGATCAAAATCTCTTTTGTGTTAAAAGCTGACATCGCACTTGTGGAGGCTCATTAAAGGCCTATGTTTCACCACAGCTTATGTGGCGCAAGGCAGTCTTGACAATTAAAAAGGAAGAAAGGACCGGTCTGGAGCGGCAGATAACAAACGGGATTTCACGGTTTGCGTGATAAATAAATGGCAAGGGTGCAAAGGCTCGCTACCGGTACTTTGGTTAAAAACTCGATAGAGCCGGGGCCACAGGCTGTTGGTTCGTAGGTTGTTCTTGGGTTTGTTTAGCGGCTGGATCGCCAACGGGACGAATCAATAGTCTCGTAAGGCTTAGGGTAAGAATATAGGTTGGTTTCGAAAGATGATGCAATTTCGTGTTAGTTGTTGGTTGAGGTGAATCGTCAGAGTTGACGTCCGCAGTCAATGCTCATATAATACCATCAAACCCCTGAGATCCCAGTGATCTTGATTCTATACTAGATGTCTTGTGGTTACCATCGTAGCAGACCTGAGTCCATCGGATTTTAGTACTAGCCGCAAGTCAGCCATGCCTCACAAATTAAGGATAACGAGATTGAAGAGGGCTGGCTCACGTACTCCCTCGTCAAGCAGAGCAAAGTCCAAGTCAAAACGTGTCATTCATCTATCAAATCCAATAACGTAGATTTCATTATGCGCCGTGCCATGCCGTTCAATCAATAACGGGTGCCTCTTTGGAACCCGTCTGTAAACTTTTCCCATCCCACTTGTTTCTCCAGCGACGTATATAAAAACTCCCTGAGTGTCATCATACGCTGATGGTTCTGAAGACGCTGAACTCCTCTCCTGTGGCGACCAAGCTGCCCGTGATCTGCGGGTGCCAGTGAACCTCCTTGGCGTCCTTGAGGTAGTGCACGAACAGCAGCTGTGGCGGCACGTCCTTGACGCCTGCTGTGTCCTTGCTCTCCTCGTCGTCCAGCTCGACAGCCAGATCCCACAGCGTGACGGTGTTGTCGCCCGCGGCCACGGCAACGATGGAGTCGTCCGTGGGGTGCCACTCGACGCTGGTGATCTGCTCCTTGTGGAAGTTGAAGCTGGCGATGGGCTGGGGCTTGTCGGAGCTGGCCTTCCACTGCCGGAGATCCCACACGGCCCAGGTGCCGTTGTCGTCGCCCGAGGCGAGCAGGTGGGATGTCTGGCGCGACCACGACAGGACGTTGACGTCGACATCTGAGACCTGCATGGTGATGGCAGCCTTGCGCGACTTGGATCGCACGTCCCAGATGCGGACTGTGCCGTCGCTTGAAGCAGAGGCAAAAACAGACTGCTCGGAGGGGGACCACTGCAGCTCCTCAACACTGCTCTGGTGGCCCTGGAAAGGTCGATTGTCGGTAACCCAGCCACCTCCGTCAGTACGCGAAGTCACGTAGATGAGACCATCGTTATCACCAGTGAGCAACTTGCCGCCAGGAACGGTAGGAGACCAGTCAAGGGCGTAACCCTCGGTCTTGTGTGCGCGGATGGTAGAAATTGGCTTGTTCTGTTGAGCGGAGATGGTGGTGCCGGGGTTGTCGAACGAAGCGAGGTGAGGAGAAATGTCGTGAATGAAGACGTTGCTCGACTCAGTCATGGTCGCAGTGAGGGTAGTTCCTGGTCGTCCAGCCTCTTGGCTAGGGATCTGGTGGGCGCGGATACGGTTGGTAGTAGAGTTGAGAGGAATAGTCTTGCTCTCGAGGATAGGGTCCGAATCCTCATCGTCGTCGTCTTCCGAGTCAGATCCCTCGTCGCCGCGGTCCATCTTGCTCAGGCCGCTGAACTTCATAACCATGATCTGGTTGTCCGAAGCCTTTCCGGTCTCAGCCTGGGTGCCGGAGACAGTGTACATGGTCGCAGGGTAAGCCTTGCGATTATCACCGAGGTTGTCGCGGACAATGTCGAAGGAAAGGCATGGCCAGGGTGTGCTGAGGTTGTGCAGCATCTCGTAGGTGGTCAGATCGGGAGCGAGGGTCTGGCCAGGCTCGAGTTTGCTTCGTCCGACGATGAAGGTTCCTTGGTCGACTTCCATAGCATTGGCATCTGTGGATAACTCGTTAGATTATGCTCGTATACTCAGAATTATGCGTATAATTTACCCTTCTCCTCAGCCTCGCGCTCGGCATCAGGTCGTCCATCAACACCAGCCTCGAGGATCTCATCTTCGCTCTCGAACTCGTCCTCGAACTCATCCTCAAACTCGCCCATTTCCCTGCCGTTGTCGTCAATGTCCATCTTCTCAGGACGGTCGCCGCCCTTGAGCGCCTCACCGTGATCGGCGTCAGCAGTTCGCTTGGACATGATTTCTGTAGTTAATTTGTGGTTATTGGTAGATCTACAAGTTGAAAACCACAAAAAAGGTTGAATTTTTTGTTTATCGCCAGCCTTTTTTGGTGCCCCTCCATCGCCTGCAGGAAAAAAATTAATTGGACCCCGCCATGACGCGGGGCTTGGAGGCCGAGGCTTTACCGGCGCAGAATTAAAGCTTCAATCGTCAGTTGCAAGGAAGACATTGTAAATACTTTACGACCTTGCAAGGATCAAATGATCGAGAAGTAGAAGGTCGGTAACAGGAATCTTGTATTATTCTAGAGTTATCATTGTATTACATGACTTATTGTATAATCATAGTCGGTCGAGTCAAACCTCGGCCATGATTCCGTCTTGATACCCTGGGCCTGCTGATAAATTCATGCCTCGCCCCATCCATGCGAGTCGTATCCGCAGATGCAATTGATTCCAAATGGTTTCACTGACGTATTGAGTACGCGCAAGTACCATGCTCGGCCCAACCTCTGGTCCATTGGATAATTCACTCCCTCCGATCGGGGATATCCTCGTTTTGGATGTTTTGTCATCATTCAATACCTTACCCAATTCCATGCATTTCATTTACCTAGGTAGGTACTCACTGTAATCACCGGCACTCGGGCGGGAAACCCCCATGTTGGCCTCTCCGAAATTTCACGATTGTGTCATACAGCCTGGCTCGTACATCACCACCGACTCCCGCCTGATCGTTCTGTATGTAATCAATTGAATCGCGAAACTGGAGTTTCCAGAAGCTCCAAATAAACTGCCTACCTATATAAAACCGTATCCACTCTTCCACAGTAGATCCATATTCAACTTTCCATCTCTCTTTTCTACCCCTCCATCAAAGAGAACTTATATAAACCAAAAGCCCCCCACCAAAACCCCTCAACTCTCCCATCACCAAAACAAAAACAAAAAGCTTCCACAAGTTTACCTCCAAAAACCCACCTTCACAATGTCTGACGTTACCGAAATCAAGACCAAGGCCGAGTTCGACGAGCTCATCAAGACCACCCCCTACGTCGCCCTCCAGGCCCACGCCGCCTGGTGCGGTCCTTGCAAGGCCATCTCTCCCATCTTCGCCAAGCAGGCGAAAGAGAACAAGTCGGAAAAGTTCGCCTTCGCTAAGTTCGACACTGACGACGTCCCCGACCTCGCCTTCGAGCTCGGCATCCGATCCATCCCCGCCTTCTTCTTCTTCAAGGATGGCGACAAGGACAGCGACCTCCTCGGTGCCGTCCCTCCCAAGCTGACCGCTGCCATCAAGGGCTACGTCGAGCAGGCCCAGGGTGGTGCTGCTGCTGCCGAGGAGAAGCCCGCTGAGAACACCCTCAAGACCGACGAGAACTTCTAAATAAGGACCTCCACAAAGAAAGAAAACACAACAAAGCGTATTGCGTCCAAAGCGCCAATTCGCAAGGATATACCCCCTCTAGATAAGGCGTACGACACGGCCCCATACATCACCACAATGGCACAAGCCATCATGATCTAGCATCATAGTACTATGACTACGCAAACACGTAGGGTTTGGCTTAGACGAGTTAGCTAAAATACACTCCATCACTTCATTCGATGCATCAAGCAATTGTGAAATTTCTCTGTAACCCTTGTGACTGTGCCTGACAGGCACCTCTGTATTGCGTAAAGTAATCAAGTAAATATGTTCGCTGTGGCTCGCTTTCGGCCGTGTAATTCGAGAATGTATGTCTCGCTATGCTCCAAATCTCATACCATCATCAACTTCCTATTGATTTTCCGGAATCCTTTCTTCGGGCCCCTTTTCAATCTTCTCCATGAAGAGTCCTACAGCCCATCTCAGGACAAGAAAAAGGTCAAGCAAGATATAATACATAGGCGTAAAAGTCCAAACACTCCGTCAGACGCCTTTCCAAGTGGTATACGGCCCAAGTTAAAAACGCGACAAATAAACAAACGCCGACTCCAACATATGATACTAAGAGGGATCAATCCCATGTGGTGTCTTGGCATGGTGTTCAAACAACCGAAGCGTTCGACTCATCGCTAATTCGCCCGACACCGGAGTCAACCCGTTTCTTAGTCGGTGTCGCCTCCTCCGGAGTCTCAACTTGATCCTCAAAACTCTTCTTGAAATCGCTTTGTGTCGACAACCTTGATGTCATCCTGGGTCCTGCTGATTTGCGCCGATTGACCATCTCTTGCCGAGAGGGCTTTGTGTCGCTGATACCCAAACTCATTCGTGGAGACGATCGATCTTTAACGCTGAGGAACTCGCTTCCAGAGCGAACATGTTCGGGGGTCGGAGATCCAAGAGGACTTGTGGGTGAGTTCAACACTGTAGAGTTTCGGAGGCTCTGGCGTGAACTCCTCCATCTGCTCAAATTCCAAAAACTGCCTTCCTTGTCATTTAGGCCTTCAGAATCAGATGCGCTTATCAGACTGAAACTTGGTGTTGGTGGACCTGCTGTGCCATTGATGTCCCGGTCACCTGAGGCCCTTCTGATCGTAGTACGGTGCGACAGGCCACTGCCAGTTGGACTTGCAGGCGTTGGGCGGCTGATCGGGCTCGAGGCGTATGGTGGTTTCCGGGATTCTGACGCCAGGTTGACAGCTGAGTTAACGTTTGAGTTGGCTCGTGAACGAGTTGGCTTGGTGGGCGACATGGACCGCTCACTTCGTGCTGGCGTGTTGTTTGGGCTGGGTCTCTCTCCGTCGATATCTTGACGCCAACTGTTAATTCTATCAGAGGCGTGCTGGAGTTGAGTCGGATTAGGACCGGGAATGGTAAGAGATCCGCGTCTTGACTGCACACGACTGCTAGCACTTGTTCTCGTCATGACACTACCACTTCTGCCAACGCCGGATAGGCGGTGGGACAACCGTGAGCCTGATTCCCATAGTCCTTGCTGTCGTTTCTTGTGAGCACAGTCTTGCCTGAAAACCTTGATCTTTCCCGTTCTATCAGTAGTGATGATGATGTTGCCGTCGAGATGTCTGGAGCGCTCGATATATGCAGGCGTTTCCTCGGGACGTTTATTGCTGTGCAACGAGTCGCCATTGTCATCCTCTGACAGAGCCGAGTGACTTGGCGTACTCTCCTCTAAACTCCGCAATGTTACAGGTGGTGGATTGCACAAGTCGAAGATAGGGTCGCCTGAGGCACTTAGAAGCTGCCGGCTCTTTGATGGGGCCATCAGAGCTGTGGTAACCACCTCAGGGTGGGCATCGAAGGACTCATATGGTTGTTTATCTTTGAGCTCATCCTGAGAACCAACCTTCCAAATGTAGGCTTTGCGGTCCTCGCTTCCGCAGATGATATAACTTGCGTCGTCGCTGAAGCGTGCGTTGATCTGACTCGACTGGTTTTCCAATCCTTTGTACTTGACCTGGATCACCTTGTCATTGAGGTTGTAGATTCGGACTCGAGAATCATTCGAAGTCACGAGAACCTTGACTTGTCCGGCTTCAGGTCCTGATGGGACAGCCATGGTTCGAATACCTGTGATTTTGCTTCCCTTGGCGTTTTTACCCCGTGAAGATCGGACGTGAATTTGGTACCTGAGCTTCAGTCCCTCGGTGGTGTAGAAAGTGCACAAACCGCTGAGCACGCCACAGATGGCAATGCTTCCATCAGGAGAAAACGCCACCGCTGTGATGAATTCGCCCGCCGAGACCTGAAAGGCAACATTTTTGTCCGGGATACTCCATAATCGTAGTTGCGAGTCCAGCGATCCTGCAAGGAAAAATCGATCATCCGTTGGGTGAAAGGCGATCGACGTAACCAGATCCTTATGGACGAAAGTGCATAAGCAATCACTCCTGCTCATGTGCCATAGCTTCACAGTCTTGTCCATTGAGGAGGAGAGCAAAAAGTTGTTCTTGCTCCAGCTCAAAGCCAAAACTTCGCCTTTGTGCTCTCGAAATTCTCGCACGGGCTTGGTGCGGAACACGGGAGCACTGAGCTTTTCGCCATGAACACCATTCTGCGCCTCTTCTTCCTCATGCTCCCTGCGTTCCTCTGGCGTAGATATCACTGCGAATACGCGCACGATCTGGTCCTTTCCTGCGACGGCTAGAAATCGCCCATCCAAGCTGAACTCGGCTGCCCATATAGCATCACCACCTCTTAGGATCTTGCTTCCAACTGCGGTCGCTACCGCTCGGCCATGTGAGTTCTGGGGCTTGTCTTCTGAAGCGGAAAGTTCCTGCGCGAGGAATAAATGATTATATTCCCTGTCCTTCTTGTTGTGTGCCTTGACTCGGATGTAGCGTGGGGGTTCTTTGTGAAGAGGTATGTATCCTCCGCCTGCACCGACAACAGACGTGAGAGCACGGGCGTAGGCACCATCGGTTCGTAGTTCACCTAGATCTGAGTCTGATTCCTGCATGTCATCATCCTTCCTCCAGCTTCCGCGCATTCCTAGTCGACTAAGGAAAGAAACTCCTTTCCTAAGAATCGTCAACATCGAGGTTCGGGGTAACAAGAGAGATATGCGCACCTTCGGTCCTTACTAGAATCCTGGGCAGTATTGGGCGACTTGCTAAGTTCGGAGCTTTGCCTTTGGATGTTGTCTTTTGCAGGGCTGCCGGGACGGCCCTGACTTAGAAGGCGTTGTGTAATAGTAGGTTCAGCGGTGTTACTGTTGGTACGCAAATATATTTGCTAGACCTCCGTTGTTAGTTGCGATCCCACTACACCCCGATACCATATATCGAAGACCTTAGAGATACTAACCGTACTCAAGGGATCAAGTCCAGCGTTAGGAGGTGGACTAGAGGAACTCGATTTAAAGGGTGGTTTATTGTCTTTTGTTTCTTTTGCATTCTGAGAACCGGACAGTGATGGTTGTGTAGTCGAGAGCCTGCTCGATGGGAGGTCCAGTGAAGCACCGGCACCTATGAATAAATTGTCAGCTTACATGACACTATAGTAATGGTTATAGCTGGCTTGAGACTGGCCAGTAAGTATGTCCTTATGCTTAGGCGCATTTGAAGCTCCAGTCGCGACAAGTCCCTGCATAAGCTGGACTAGCCAACATGGGCCCAGGTGTTCACATAACAGGGCTGACTTGACCACAGGACCAGATGGAGGGGCAAGAGTAAGAAGTCCGGGCATACTAAGTACAGAGTACATACCTTGGGAATCAGAACGAGCAGCGAGGCTCTGGCGACGAAGTTGAGGTTCGGATTCAGGAAGGGTAGAAAGGGCTGAAGAGTCGCGTCGTCTAGACCAACCACCTTCACCCCGAGCATACGGAGACTTAAAGGCAGACATATTCCATGCTGCGTGGGCAACCAGTCCCTAAAGAATTTTTGAAAAAGAGAGACCGGATTGCGCGGGCGGTCGGCCTCACGCAAACTTGTGGGAGTCCAGTCGCCGACCCGAGCAAAACGAGAGTGTGGCCTTGGCTGACGGACTTTGGAGCGGTCGTGGGGGGTGAGCAATTGAGAAGTGGGCGGGCGTGGCGGAGACCGGGGGCGGTTAACGAGCTTTGAAGATCCTAGGCCAGTCCGACGGGTCCGAGAACGAATGTGAGAGAGAGAAGAGCGAGATGAGGCTGGGACAGGCTTGGCTCCAGGCAGATCTCGGTGTAGGTACGGAGTACAAAGGTACAATATGAATATGTTGCAGATAAGGTAGTTAGTTATGAGGCCCTCGGCGGATGTTGTCTCCTTATTCCTATCCCTATTCTCATGCGCTTCGGCAAGACTAACATGCAGAAAACTATGTTAGTTCGTTCCAGCTGAGTGAGGGTCAGACGGGTACAGGCAGTGTGGAGTGAATGGTGGAAGAAAGGACAGGATATGATAGGCTGCGATTCAAGGGAGACGGTAACAAAAAAGAAAGACAAGACTGTTTGAACAGATCCGCGTATTTTGGTATCGTATTCTTTGGTTACTCAAAAAAGATAAAGGGAAGAATCATGTGCATGAGTGTAGCAGGTCTTTATGAAACCAACTTAAGCGAAAACGAAGTTGGATGGATGCGCTGTGGCTGTAGCGTGCTGGGCACAGCGCTGCACAGCAACCAGGCAGCGCCCGGAGGGTACTACTTACAGTGAAGTGGGCCTGAATTTAGGGATGAGATCCGTAATGGTGTTTAGTGTAAGTTAGAGACGCTGGGGGCGCTTCTTGTGGCGCGCAGTATAAGAAAAAAAAGGAGGAGAGTAGAGAAAGGGGGCTACAAAAAGCTGCTGGTATGGATGAAAGGATAAAAAGAAGGGAGCGTTGATTTGGTGAGCCACGCGCCAGGGCTGAGATGCAGTATTGGATGGCAAAAAAAGTAAAGAGGTTCGTACCTGTGAATGGACAAATGGAAGGAGCAGCTGATGGTGTTGGTTGCCGTCAGCAGCTGCAGCTCATTAGGTAGAGTGTTACGGTTTACCGGCTCTTGAAGAAACAAGTAAGCACCGAATCTAGACTGGGCTATGCTCTCAGCTTTAGTTATCAATAGCGATTTGCAAAACAATCACACCTCTACCGGATGTCGGCTTGATTTTAAGAAAAAGGGAGAAGGAGTGATCCTCAATGAGGTAAGACAAGCCTCAAGCGCCAAGATCTGAGCAAAGGATGCATCAATCAGGTTGGATCTCATAGGGCAGACCTAATCTGGCAGGTCGGTGGCTTTCACCAGGGCAACTTCTAGTGGCTGTTACTTGGTAGGCTATGTTATATGTTGAACAATCCCATTTCCATTATTGATGGCAGTGTTGCGATTTGACATGGACAATTGGACATCTTCTCCTGTTACGTAGTTAAATGGTAACGTCAATCAATCGCAGACCGGGTCCTCAATGATCGACCATCGAGTTACGGAGTAACTGTCCCCAGATTGTTTCTGTCGTAGTCTAATGCGAACATGTGGCTCAGTGGCTCACCGCAAGGTACCACCAGGATAGGCGATGCCGAGAGGGAATAAGACGATCATGTCTAGACCGCAACAGTCAAGCGACGACAATTGATCCATCTTGTTGTGTTTCGAGATTCTGCGTAGAATCCTCTCGAGAACAAGTTGGTGATATCTCAACCATTTCTATAATATCTTCGTGCATCGAACACATGTATTGAGGCACATCCGCGTATTCGCGACGGTCTGCTTCTTGGGTGACTTACACTAACATCATCCGTGCCACGCATCCAACGTCGGTCTAGCCCATGCGTTCGTGGCCGGGTATAAAGATGGACGAATTGAGATATATTCCCTTCTGACGACAAGTCGCTAATTTTCACATCGATCCATCGCTCGGTAAATTGTGATGTAATTACAGTGAGAATTTGTGTATTCATCAGTAGGAATGCTGCATCATTTCGATCCTCACTACTACGTACATCATCCAACGGTCTGATCCATGAATGAGGGGACAAATGACAGCAAAGTTACATGCACATAATACCCATGCGAGGGCCACCAGCGAAGCAACGCAGACTTACTTGTACATTCGTATGCTGGGCTTACGTCGTTGACTCCCGCTCGACAAGGGCCGGGTTTAGCATTTCTCGTTCAAGCCTGGGGCATCTTCACGGGAATCATGCCCCTTGCGCTATCGAGATGTGCCACATCAGATTGATAGGTATTCAAGGATTGTTGTCCTCGTTCTCGTTCTTCGTTCTTCGTTCAACACTTTCATGATTGATCTACAGGACTTTTACGGAGTACTAGGGGCGCAATGGCAGCTGACACATGGCATTATGACGCGGGTGTCTTATTGACAAGTAAGTTTTGAGTTAAAAAGGAACAACCATAAAGCAAACTAAGACTTTTACAATAATTTGATATGGAGGTTAAACATGACCTGATAATCGGGAAATACTTCTACTATCCCAATATTAGGTCATATCATTCTACTGTCCAACTCATTGCCTGAAGTACCTTTCCAATTACACGGAAGCCTGGTTGTCGCACGTCACACGTACTGTGCATACGTATCGCCAAGAAGACAATGCAGTAATCCCCGTGGATCTCCTGGTGCCGTTCTTCCAGAATTTTCAATGTCTCGATGCTAAGATCGCTGTCACAAGCAAGCAACAGGCCTACTGCAACCTTTGACACCCCAGTCGGCATCGGCTTAGGCGCATAGAAATCGTTCCATTTCTATTGCAACTCCGTGGTCTAAGTTGAACTCCGCAAGAGACGAACTAAAAATGAGGAATTGAATAGAATAATCAAAAATAAAAGGATAAAAAAGCGCGCAAACTTTAACTTAGTCTAGTTTCGGTATTTAACAGGGCGCGGAGTTGCTTCGTCCTCCGTGTTCTGCGAAAGCTTCCCTTCTCCGTAATCCGCGGACCTTTTTACCCTCCGATTTGACAGATCCGCGTCTTCTCGAAGTCTCGAAGTCTCGAAGTCTCGAACGTCGACAAAAAGTGTGGAGTTGGCACTTGAGAATCCTCGTCTAGTCTAATAATCGCCCACTATCCACTTTGCGGGCCTCCAATCCCGTTGCTTCTAACTTGTTTTACACAGCTTCTGCTCTCTCTCGTCTTTCCCCGCGGACTCAATCAAAACCCCGTCGGACAACGGCCATTCTCAACCACCGACGCCGATTATTACTGATTACTCGATATCGACATCATCGACTTAATCCTTGTTTTGTGCCTGAACAGCGGCTACCGACGAAACCAAGCACCAAGATCTAGAACAACTGCCGTGTAGCTAAACTACCGCGAACTACCCACTTGACGGAATTTGTCAACACTGAACTGCTACGTGCTCTATTTCGGTGCCGTACTGGCTGATTAACCCTGTCCTGTCAAAAAAGCAACCGTTGAGCCTCAAACTCTGCCGGTCTTGGCTCTTTTTCCTTCGTCTTGGTCAGCACAACCCAGCCTTGCTGGTCTTAGCCGCACTGCACCCACTATCATCAACCCAACGACCGTGGGTTTTCTTGTGAAACAAAACTCTGAAGGAAGAACAAATCACCTGAGTCGTTGTCAGACACGGGCCAACTCTTGTTTGTTCGCCGTCATAAACTCGCCGAGGTCCGAGGCTTCGAGGATCCAGCTCCCAGCTTCCGCATTTCACATTCACATCCTCGCATTTTCAGCTTTCAGCCACAGAAGCACAAGCAAAGATGAAGTTAGTCTCACGCAAGGTTCCCAAGACCCTCGAGGACGAGACCGTCTCTCTCCTCCCCGAGGATCCCGAAGATATGGTCAGCAGCCCCTGTTCCCTAGCTCTTAGTTCTCTTTCCTTGCTACTTTCTAAGTTTATACCCCTTGTCTTGTGTATCGTTTTTCATCCGTTGATCCTTAGACCCTGCTTCTATCTCTACCGTTACCCCTCCCCCTCTGTCATAGTCACACCCTCTCGTCTCAACTCGCAACATGTTCTCATCAAGCATTCACCTTATACCACATGTCTTTCACTTCAAGCCACGTTCTGCTCCGATCCTGACCGGTTTTCACCGCTTGTTCCTCTGAGACAGGACGCTAACATTGTTAATAGTGGCATGCATACAACCTCATCCTCTCAGGGGACATCATCCACGCTCACGCCATCCGTAAAGTAGTCACAACTTCAAGCACCGGAAGCACGGCCTCTGAGCGTGTCCACACAGAACTGGCTATCAAAGTGAAGTCCACTTCCTTTGACCCCGTTATCTCATCACTCCGAGTCTCTGGTACTGTCGTTGCAGAGAACCCATATGTCACACTTGGCTCTCATCACACACTCGACCTTGAGGTCAACCGTCCATTTACTATTATCAAGCCGGAGGGATGGGACTCTGTTGCAAGAGCTACTCTACAAGAGAGTCTGTCTGACGACAAGGATGGAGCCGTAGCAGCTGTTGTCATGCAAGAAGGACTCGCCAATGTCTGTCTCATCACGCAGTTCCGGACCGTCCTAAAGGTCCGCATTGAGAGTGTGATCCCCAAAAAGCGAGATCTAGCCTCCGACCAAGACGCAGGTATGCGCCGCTTCTATGAGAAGACGCTATCGACACTTCTACGGACCATGGACTTCACACAGTCGCGACCATTATTACTGGCCAGTCCAGGCTTTGTCGCTGGAGACTTTAAGCAATACATTGCCAATCAAGGTCGTGATAAGGCAGATAAGGTGCTTACAGCCGTGGCCAAGCAGGCCACAGTGGTTCACTCCAACTCTGGTCATGTCCACAGCCTCAACGAGATATTAAAGAGCCCCGAGGTCCTGTCCAAGATGAAGAACATGAAGTTTGCCCGCGAGACGCAGTACGTCGATCAATTCTTCGACATGCTGAAGCTAGACGACGGGCGCGCATGGTACGGTACCTCTGCTGTCGAGAAGGCAGTCAACGACGGCGCCGTGGGTCCAGGTGGTGGTGTTTTGTTGGTCAACAACTCGTTATTCCGCAGCGAAGATCTTGCTCTTCGCAAGAAATACGTTGCTCTGGTTGAAAAGGTGAGAAGTGATGGCGGCGAGGCGAGAATCCTTAGCAGTGACCACGAGAGCGGACAGCGATTGAAGATGCTGGGAGATATCGCTGTCATCCTCAACTACCCAATGCTGGATCTCGACGATGATGATGCCGACGAAGATAATGACGGTACTGGAGAACCCAGTATGGAGAATAGTGTTATCTAACCAAAAGATAGAAAAAGAAATGAGGCATGAATTGACGAAGTTGATGTTAGTGCTTGAGATACCCTATACTATTGAATAGACGTGGTACATTTTTACTCCAATTCCTCGTCTTTTATGTTGAACGACTTCACAATCTTTTATTCCACAGCTTACTAGCTTGCATAGCAACCACAGCAGTATATTGCCTCAGTAGTTATGTCGGCGAATTCGACAAACTTGATAGTTCAACTATCATCGCCGCCCACGTAATAAAGCCCCATAAAGTGTGCTTGAACGTATATGTTTCGACTAACGGAACCATTTGCATAATACGAGGTTCAGATCTGACTCCTAATTATGTAGAGGCATCTTTATACACCTATAAGTTATTAGATTTCTAAATCCAATTCTGCAGGGTTTTATGAGAAGATAGGCTCAAGGGTGCGCCGGATTCCATGAGCCGACGGAATCCTGAAGTCCGTGCAACGTCACAAAAGATCGTCACGATAACTCATGGCGCTTATCAGATCAACAAACTAATGCAAGAGAAGAGATCATCGCCTCATCTCTTAAACCCGAAGTCCGAAATTCTACTCGGTTTAAAAAGTTGAGCGCGAGGTTGATCGTGTCGAACCAGCATCAGTATAAGTGATTCATCGTCTCAATCCCTATTCTACCCCTCATTCACCATTAGCATCAACCCAACATTAGACAAAATCGATTCGTGTCTTCCAAAATGGCCTCCAAACTCGCTCTCAACTCTACCAGGAAGCTCAATTCAGGATATCAGATACCTCTTCTTGGTTACGGAGTAAGTAGACCAGTGCTTCCTCCAATATGTCTGCTAACCCTGGTGCCTAGGTCTACAAGATGTAAGTTCGTGTAATGTTTCAATATCATGATGTACTCTGACCGTGCAATCCAGCCCCATTGACCAAGCTCCGGAGGTCTGCAAGAAGGCTCTTGAAATAGGCTACCGTCATGTGAGTGTTACAAGGTCAATGCAATTCGGTTGGTTTCTGACATTCTCAGATTGACTCCGCTTCGGGATATAACAACCAAGGCCCTTGTGCAACAGCAATCCAAGCATCCGGCATCCCTCGTTCGGAAGTCTTCTTCACTACCAAGATTTTCACCAAGAAGTTTCCCTTGAACTACGAAAACGCTCACAAACAGGTGGAGATCGCCCTTGATGAGACAAAGCTCGAGTACCTCGATCTTGTCCTGATTCATGCCCCGTACGGCGGACCTGATGGCCGCAAGGGTGCGTGGAAAGCCCTCGTCGAGTGCGTCGAGGCTGGAAAGGTGCGTTCGCTAGGTGTCTCTAACTACGGCGTCCAGCATCTGGACGAGTTGGAGGCGTACATTAAGGAGCTCGAGGCCGAGCGTGGAGCAGGCAAGGGAGGCGTCATCTCTGTAGGACAGTGGGAAGTGCACCCCTGGCTTACACGACCCGACATCGTCAAGTGGTGCCAGGACCGCAACATTGCAGTTGAGGCTTACTGTCCCATTGTGCGTGGCGAGCGATTTGGCGAGCCTAAAGTTAAAGCCCTTGCGGACAAATACAGCAAGACGGCAGCACAGATCTTGCTCCGGTGGAGCTTGCAGAGGGGATATGTTCCTCTTGTGAAGAGTGTAACACCTTCAAGGATGGTGGAGAACTCTGAACTGTATGACTTTGAATTGTCTGACGAGGAGGTAGAAGACTTGGCGACTAGTGATTATAGTCCTTGTGCTTGGGATCCTACTGTTGAGCCTGTCGAGAAGTAGACCTAAAGACATACTACAGCGAGACAGAAACACTGAATCTCTAACTTGAAAAGATGAAAGGCTCCTAGAGTTTCTACAATTAAATTCTAAATTTCATATCGTGGGATTGATCGTCTCATTCCAGTTGTTGTTGTTGTTGATGGTTACACGTGACTTCGTTTCCACTTCGCGCCAGTCCAAACACCCCACGCGTTCCATGCCTCCCCTCCTTCACCTATCTATCACCCACCACCATCCATCCCACCATTTCATCATCGCTCGTCGCGCGACCTGGTCCAATGTCGTCTCCAACTTCAAGATGGGACAAAGAACCTTCACACTCATCCCGCAATTCCCGGGTCGCGCAGTGTCTCCCGACAGACCACCCTTGCGGCCCATGACCTCGAAACAAGTCAGGAAGGAATACAAGGCAGCCAACAAAGGACCAAAACTCACCCGGGCCGAAGCTTGGAAACAGGAGAAGGTGGAACAGGAGCGAATCAGAAAGGAATTTGAGCGGGAGAAAGCGGCGGCGAAAGCCAAGGTAGTGCGGGATAAGAAGAAAGAGAAGGAGCTGGCAGAAAAAGAAGTGAAACGTAAGAAGAGGCTTCCCCTTGTCAATGTACGGCCAAGCCAGGAAACGATTTCGTGGTTTGTGAGGGGCAATGGAACTACGAAGAAGAGGGATGCTTGTGGCAAGGATGTCGAGAAAACGGGTGCGACAACGAAGGACAACGATGATACGCCAGAAGAGACGACAAGTGCCAGTGAAGACGAACCAGAACAGCCTGCTACGAAGATCCAAAAGCTGGATAACATACAAGAGGAAGACGAGGATTCGTTCGATACTGGAATGGATGCCTTAGTTCAGAATGAACCACTGAGACTTTCGATGGAATCACCAAACGACGAGAACCCTCAGGAAGTAGCGAATGAGAACATAATGGAGCACATTGAACAGTTACCAACCGAGGTTACATCAGGATTATCGCCACCAAAACAGCCAGTACCAGAGATCGAGTTGGAAGGGATGGAGGATGAGTTGGATGCAGATTTTGAGGAGGACTTCGCCCTGGGAATACTTGAGGATATTGAAGCGGCCATGGGCAAATCCAAACCCAATGAGAGTCACAAACTCGAGACGGCATGTGCAGCTTCGCCCAAACCGAACTCACCTATTCCGGAACCGCTGTTGGATGATACTAGAAAGCCTATACCAAACCGTTATGCGGAAGATCTAGGCCTACATCGTCCTCAACCAGTCCCCTTCGACAAACCACCTCTACTCCAAGAACAGCAACCCAACCTGGAACCACGATCTCTATCTCCACCACACCAAGAACCCCCTATGAGCACACAGGCTATTCTTTTCAACTTGGACGATTTCTTCCCTTCTTCCACTCAACAAGCCCGCGAACTTGAAGAAGATCCTGACGACGACCTCTTGCCATCTGCACCACTACATCTTGCGCCCATCACAGAGGAGGAGGAATTCTCAGATGAAGAACCAGAAAAGCCTGTGGAACACAGTACCCTCCCAGTTCTCGATCCGGTTTTAGACTCACCTCCCCCGCCCCCTAGACGCTTCTTTACCTCGTCTGGCTCACATGAGCGAATGTGTCTCGCGGTCCAGCGGAGCCGCCGCACAGCAGCACTTGAAAAGATACAGCAACGTGAAAGGTCGCGTGTTCAGGCTGGTATAGTACAGCAAGTCCAGACTTCGAGTCGCAGCGCAGTCACACCGGGCGAACCTGCGAAAAAGCCGCCTACATTCTCCAAACCACCTGTCTTCTCCAAACCTTCCCCTCAGATTAACCAACGCAACCAACCTCGACAACCCCCGTTTCAGACATCACCTGGAATGCACGAAAAACCTCATGCCAACACACCTCCAGTGATGCGGTCAGAAACGCTGAAACAACCTCAACGACCTCCGTTGAATACATCACCCACACTACACAATAGACCCAATACCAACACACACATACCTGCGAAGGTTACCGGAACAGCAAAACAACCTTCACCGGCACGGCCGCAAGAAACTAAAGAAAACCAACGACCACCACAAGAGCCTTTTGCGCTTAGTGCTTCGCAAGAATCATACGGTGGCGAGTGGGTAGATGACCTGGCCTACGAACTCACGGTCTAACGATAGACACGATACTTTGGATGACGATTACCGATGGAGTAGATAATGGAATTGCATTGTATGACAAACCACATGATATTCGGAGTTTGGAACGGCTTACATTAGGAGGCACGCACCTGATTATTGGCATATTACCCCTTTTCATCAGGGTAGGGTGGCAGCGCATGTGTTTTTTACCTCATTATATAGCGACGGCGTTTAGGATGTTACCTTGCTTGATAGACAAGTGATTTGATGTGTTAGTCCTAGAATCAATTATTCTATCCCTGATCAAGTCATCCCTGTCTTCAGACCCCTTTACTCCCTAAAATCGTGTGATATCATCGCTGTGTTGTAAAAGCAACCCCCGTTCCCCTAGTACCTCGCTCAGAAAAAGCGAGAAGTATCTAAATCAGTTTAAACGCCAATGCTATGTTCCCGACCCCCCTTTCGTCATTCATAACTTCGTTTGCGCAAGTCTTAACCGCAAGCGAGGTTTTAGCAAAGAGATCAAAGGAAAATTCCCACCCATTCTGTTTTGGTAGCCACCTTGCTGTCACAGCCCTCGACCACACATCGGAGATCAGGGTTCGTGCCAGTCGGGGCTTGCCCATTAGGACCACGAAAACCCGCGCCGTCACGGTTTGCTTTGGATGGCTTTCTATTTTCGTAGCAATCGGCACAGTATACCTGATAATATTAGTTTCTGCTAGAAGACCGATTGTATTGCCAAACTCACATGTCCGCACTTCTTCACAGCCCAGAAGTGATGCTCTCCAGGCGATCGCTTACGTTTTCCTTTAGAACTACCAACTGAGCTCGCTGTTACTGTGCCTGTCGGGTCGTAGGCCAGTTCTTCATTACATGCCGGACAAATGACGACTCGTTCTGACTCTTCAGGGTCGGTGCATGTATTTCGGGAGAACCCCTCCCGAGTAGGCGGAGGTGTCTCCATTGGTGGTTTGGGAGTGGGCGGTTGGGCAAAGGCGTTGCGAGATATGTCGAGATTGGGCGGGTTGAATCCGGCACTTGCACCAAAAATACCGGCCAGTCTCCTTAACGGGCCAAAAGCAGCAAAGTTGGGAAGCCCTCCGAGAGCTGGTCGCTGACTTATTATTTCCAGCTCAATCAACTCGTCTGCGAGCGGGATCACGCGCGCCCTTGTTGCATAATTCGACTGTCGTTCTTCTTCGGGCGAGTCCACGGTAAGGTCTATCACGCTTGCTGTGCGACCAACAAATGTGCCGTCGGTTCGTGCCAATTGCGGTGGTGATATTCGCTGCGAGTTCGTCCTTCGTGGGTTCCTTGCAGCAGGTATAGCAGCCTCCGCTGGTGCAAAGCCGGCTCGTGATAGGACGGGAGAATCCGGCTCTTCGGTGAGATCGATGACGGGTGCAGGCTCAGGTGGCTGTTGTGATTGCTGAGGCGAGAACACAGCCGGATGTCTTCGCGGGTAACGAGGTACGTGTTGAGCTCTCCGATGTGTGGGAAAAGCAGCTGGTGCAGATGGATTTGGAAGAAATAGTTGCCCAGAATTATTGTTGCTTCTGGGAGAGGGTGCCTGTAGCTCTAGAAAATCCTCATCGTCGAAAACCTCGACATAGCCATCGCTGTTATCGGCCATGCTGGGCATATACAGGAGTAAGGTTTCGTGTGAAAGATATCGAAGTGTGTACGGTTAAGAATTCGATTGCAGTGAACAGCCAAGTGTGCCGTATTTATAGCATACAGTCACACTATAAGCTTTTCAGGAGCGCCAGAAGCTTTGAGTGAGTAAACGGCGCGGTAGGTGAAGCAAAGAAGCAGTGTGGCGAGTGCTCGCAAAGAAGTTATGCAGGTGCCAACACTGTTGTGACAGGTCTTAGTTATATCATCGGTAGGCGGAAGAGTTCTCGGGTTACAAATAGGCGTCTGTATCGTGTCGCGGAGGCGTAGCCGTGCTGAGATGTTGGTAAGCGTCAAAATTACGTGAGTGAAGGAAGTAGAATTTGAATGTCGCTGCTTGAAGGTTGATGCAAGGCTGCTCCCCATGTGACGACGAGACCTAGCGCGCAATACACCCTGCACTTGAGCCCGGCGACTACCCCGCCAAGGGCCACTAACAACAGGCGTCAACGCTGCCTTACAAGGGGTTAAAGGCGCCTGGAATAAATCTAGATCCAGTGGATCTGTTGAGGCTCTGTGAGAAGGATGTTTGTTTACATATCCAGATTGTTTTGAGGTTCAAGATCTCCATAAACGCAATATAAAAAACCAAGACCATAATTATCAATTTTCAAACACCTTTCTCTGTGCTTTGCTCTGGCCCATTATCGCAGGCCTATAATACAGGATTATCAGATCACCAGGGAATCATCCAGCCGCCCCCTTTCACTTTGAAGTTTCGTCTAAGTCCACCATCGTCTATTCCTTTGTCGCAAGTACGTTGACCACACCCTCGCCGTTGATTGTCACCAGCTGCTTCGCAGACTCTCCCCATCGGACCGCGACGGAGGGTGTAGAGTTCTTCAGAGGCTCGCTCCACTTCTTGCTAGACTTGGCGTATTGTTGCACTGTTACTCCGGCAGCTCCGCCAGTGGCGAGGAACTGTCCGCTGAAGTCCCAGGCAAGGGATTGGACCGGCCCGCCAGTCTCGAGAACCTTGGCCACCGCGCCGTCTCCCTCCTTTCGCAGGTCGAAGATGGTCACCATGGTCTGACCCTTGGCTGTGGCCGCAAACCAGTAGCCGTTCTCGGAGAAGCTGATGGCTTGGATAGGGGCGCCGAGGCTGAAAGAGGCAGCTTGCTCGAGGGTGTTGGTCATGAAGAGCTTGATTTCACCTGAAGTGGTACCGGCGGCAAAGAGATGACCGTCAGGATGGAATGCGCAAGATGTGAGAGCTGAGAGTTGTTAGTAGACCACAATGGAATTGGTGAAGTGTAACATACCAGAATCGGTGTAAGCGCGAGCAACACGCTTCTGCGCAGCCAAGTCGTAGAAAACGATGCTCTTGTCCGTACCAACGGAGCCTAGGATCTTACCGCTGGGGTGAAGGCTCAGCGCTGTAGCAGCACCAGCATGCTCACTCATGGAAGCAACCTGGTTACCCTCCTTGAAGACCTTGACGCTACCTTGACCAGTCGCAAAAGCGACGCCAGCCTCAGCCCAGGCAGCATCTGTAACGGGTTCCTCTACTGAAATTGATAGCTCAACCTTGTCTTCGGTGGTAGAGTAGATAACTGCCTGGCCCTTCAAGCCTCCAATAGCAGCAGCGTTGGCTCCTCCGACAGTAAGGGCGGTGGCATCAGGCACAGGTAGAGAGTGCGTAGCCGCGCTCTCAAAGGCTGAAATCTCGTCGCCGGTAGCCCAGCCCTCGGGGACAGGACGTCTCTTGCGACCCTTTGATAATCTGAAAACGATGTTAGCTGGGAACTTTGTATATATCGGATGGCCACATACGTCTGATGAGTCTCATCCACCTTTGCAACAAGCTCCTCCGGTAGCTTCTCCACGCTGTCAACCTGCATCGAATCGCTATCGGCCGCAACTCCTGTCACCGTAACCTTACTCAAAGCATCTCTAGCCTCGTCTCGCTCCCTCGTAAGTCGTGCAATAACTCGCACAGCAGCGTCGTGCTGGTACAGCGCTGTAGCGAGCTCTTCCCGAGTGCGCGCGAGCTGCTCTTTGATGTTATATGTCTCCAGGGCGAGCGCGTCCCATTCGTTCTGGAAGGTCGCGAGGAGGGCAGGGATGGATGTCAGGGTAGGAGGACGCGGTCGGACAATACGCGACGAATGGACTGGCAGGAGGTCATCGGCTGTCAGAGCCTCCCCGGAATCGGGCTCGGTGCCATGCTCGTTGATGTATTGTTCGATAAGACGCTTCTCGTAGACGACACCTGTCGCTGGGGTTAGCTGTGCATCGCTGCGCGTCAATCTTGTTGATTTACACACCGGACTTTTTAGACACGACGGGCTCTTGAGGAGCCTCTCCAGAAACTGCAAGGAGATTAGCGCACTGTTGTTTAACGACAGAGATTGATGCACAACTTACTTCCACAAAGCATTGCGACTGCGATTTTGAGCTCGTGGAGCTTTCAATTGCTTGTCGTTAGGTATAGCGCAACTGGACGTCTCGAAGCTCTCTCCGTTGCGACGACAATCGCCTAGTCGAGATTTTGCCGGTGCATTGACCAGAGCTTGGAATCACGGGGTGATAAGATAAGATAAGATAAGAGCTGAGGTGTCTTATCGTGCATCATCTTCGTGCATGTATCAACGCGGGGAGCACCGGTAATAGCAGCTTCGCAAGTCTCCGGGATCCGATAAAGGATATCTATTGATTTCTGATAGCAAACCTGAGTGATATAATTGTTTTAGGGAGACTTGTATCTCAAGCAGAGGTTACATATTTGCAGTTCTGATTGGGCACGGATAATCGACAAATTCAACTTACACCATGGCCCTTCTTCAACCTCAAGAGCTTCGTGTAGCAGATGAAGCGGAGCAGATCAAGACCTTAGACCTTTTGTTCGAACCAAGTCTAGCAATTCACTCGACTCTTATTCCTATCGTACGAGACTCTGAGTATGCATCTTACTCGGAGTTAATTGAGGCCTGCAAGAACCGCCTCTTCTCACTCGCATCTTCCAGCTCTTCAAGCAGTCCTGACAAAACCCTTCTCTCTATCCTCGGATCCCACCCCAGGCTAGGAGCCAAAAAGGTCGAATCTGCACAGTCGGTTGCAGAACAGGCCAATTTGCAAGGTCAGGGCGAGGAATTGGCCAAGTTGAACAACGAATATGAGGACAGGTTCCCTGGACTGAGATACGTCGTCTTTGTGAATGGGCGGGGAAGACCTGAGATCATGGAGAACATAAGAAGTAGGATTTCAAGGGGCGATTTTCCTAAAGAGGTCGATGAAGCGCTCCAGGTACGTGTTACTCATCTTCAAAATTTCGGTTGCTAATATGATATTTGTAGGCAATGTGTGACATCGCGAATGACAGAGCCTCTAAGCTAAGCGTAAAGCAATAATTGTTACTACATTATCAATAACAAACTGTTCTTGAACGCTTCGAACTATCTCATATAAATGCCTCCCAATTCCTAGCTGGTGAACCATAGAAGTCAATGTAGCATTTTCTAGCTTCCCAGCCTCGTAGTTGGCTGGTGCTTCTTATGACGCCGTGTTTAGACATGATAAACAACATAATTCCGCCCAATCCTAGACACATATATTTTACATAACTCAGTCAAATGCTCCAAAAGATGCTCAGAGACGCCACTGCATGACTTGCCTAGCTATCTGGACATCCAACAGATGCCGTCGAGCTCATCTAGATACTCCTCATACGATCTGTCCTCTTCTTCACCCGTATTTTCGTTATTTTGGCCAAACAAAACGCTAAAGTCGGAATACACACTTTCTTGATCATCGCCCACGTCGTCCCAATCGTCGTCTGCTGGGTGCATGTATGCGAAACTGTCCTCTTCCAGGTCGTCCAGCGGAGGCAAAGGTGCTGTGGGCCGCAACTCCGGGGATCGGATGGGGAAGAGCCGTGGTGATGTACGGTTCTTAGTTGCGGCGACGTCGCTGACTGGAAGAGGTAGTGCCACGGGACTAGATAGTCTGCATGCCGTGGGCTTCGGATGCTGAAAAGGTTTAGGAAGTGGCTGGTGTTGCTGTGGTACCCTTGATGATATGATGCCTGAAGGCCCGATGATTCCGGTACCAGTTGGTGAGATCATAAGGGATTTACCCGCCGATGAATCCTGTAGAGTTTGAGGTCGCATGGTGGATCTTCCGGTAGCTTTCGATGTAATGGCTGCTATTTCCTGCTCATGTCCCCTTCCTTCCGAGGAAGATTGCCCCAAACTCAATCTCTTCCGTAGACAGTTCATCGTGGAGAAGCGTAGAAAAGAGGTTGCATGAAGATGCGCGATCCTCCGTGTCATATCTACCGCCGTAGCCATCTTCAGAAATCGTTTGTCGCCAGCCTCTTGGCCTTCTCTATTTAGGATGTGTGTTGCAGGTTGCGAGTAAGGCTGCGATAGACGACTGGTGATGAGTTCAGCGCGAAGTCGTCGCTTCTTGACGCTTAGATCACCTGTGTTTAAACCATCGACATCAGATAGGCAGCGTCGTCGTTTGACTCCACAAGGAGCTACCGACTTCGACTCGAAGCGCATGTTTAAAGGAGTATGCTTGCTTGAATTATCCAACAATGAGAAAGTGAACCTCTGTGGAGCTTCTGATCTTGACGGCGATGTTGGTGCTTCTGATTCCGTTACTCTCTGCTGGATACCTCCAATACCTGCGGCATATCGAACGCTGCAGTAAGTCGAATCTCCCATCAATGCCTCGAATAAGGGATCCGGACCAGGACATCGGGGTACCTGATTCAAGTCGTCCGGGCCGAGATCCAGGGGAGAGATGGGGAGGTCATCGTGGCAACCGCCTGCTGTATGGCGGCGCCATGGCTCGAGCAGATTGTTTGAGCTCTGTCCATTAGCTTCTACCTCCATCACCACAGCTTTCGCTTCGTTTGAGGGATGGAAGAAGCTCCGCGCGCTGTCAAAGCTGCGTCGTCCGATCCATTCGCTTTAATCAGTTCGCGTGCCGCTCCACGTTGATGGGAGGAAATGCTGTGATGAAATAAGGAGAATCAGTCCTCAATAGGTCTGAGTTTGAAGTCCTCGGTATTTGAGCGAAGAATGGTTCGAGTCGAGTGCAGTATCTTAAGTTGGATCTGACGATGCGTAAAGAACGTGGTCCGTGGAGCTGTCCCAGTACGTGTTTAACTGATCCAATATAACTTGTTTGAGATCAATTTCGTAAGAGAATTATGACAGAAAACTCCATAAGAATGAATCGTCTCTCCCAAGCCCAGCACGTTTTTAACGGCTATCGACTCCCAAGCACAGAGATTCAATGCTGGGAATAGGTAACTGGCGTGATGCGATGCTCATCAAGCGAAAGTGGGGACCTGTCGGCGAGATCCGAAGTAAGCTGAAGTGAGGAGAAGGGAATATTTCAGCACAGTACAGTAGTCCTGGTGACTAAAAGCGATAGCCCGATGATATGGAGCAGATAGATTGAAGTATTGATAAGATAGAGAGATGGATTACCCCAGGATAAGAATGGTTGAAGACGGGAGATCCAGAGACTGAAGAGGGGAAAGGTCGTCTCGTTGAAAAGAAGAAGTACGAGGACCAAACACTGAATTGAAGATACCAATAGCGTACAGGGTTGCAGCAGCTACCTAGTCTAGTCTCCTGCAAGTGCAAGCAAGGATTCACGCTGAACCAATTCGATGGAAAATCCGGGGGTGAAGACATGGATTTGATTAGTAAAAGATACTTTTCTTGCCTTTCCCTTTTCCCTTTTCTCTTCTTTGGCACACCCATAATCACGGCTAGTCTCCCGGTTTGTATTACTCTACATGCCTGCCATTGTCCTTTCCGTAGACCGAGCACAGAGACAGGAGGGTCTGGTGTTGATCTGCGAAGCCCTTTAGCCTTTCTCCCCACCGAGGCAAAGCGAAGAGGCGGAATCCATGGACCAGGGCAGTCCGGGGTAAGCCATCCGGGGGGTGTTACACAGCATCTCATAGGCCGGAAGTGCTGGTCAGGCGGTTGGAACAAGCGTTCAAGCGTCCAACGATGCAGGGATGGGCTTGCTTTTTGTTTGGTTTAGATTCGACGGTCGGGCAGAAAGGGGGGAAGGAAGACAGACAGACAGACTGGTCGAGTCCATGAGCAGGCATTGGCAAGGGAGGCAAAGCAGAGAGATTACCCAACATGAGGTGTCATTGTCATTCTTACAGCCGTAAGAAAGAGGCCATAGGCATGAGCATGAGCACCATGAAATAATGGATGATCATGGAGACACCAAGTAGCGGAGAAGCCTGCATACACCCCTGGTCAGATCATATACATAAGTTCAGTGTTAATACACGAACTGCTCAAAAGAGGCGATTCTGTTTCCTTGCTATCCCATTCATGAACCCCATTACTACACATATAACATAATATCTCGTGATCTTTCTACCTCGTGACAAGCTGTTTCATGCGCGCCAGCTCATCATACAATCTATATGACATCCAATGGCACCATGACTCTCCATCGTCGCAACGCCCCAGAGGTTCCAGACTGCCACCCCTCTTGCTTAGCTGAAACCACTCCATTGGGATATCTGCACGTTTGGAACCATGTTTGCTTTTCACTTTCCCCCCTCTACCTCCCTTAGTTGAGCATCCTTGACAGGCTTGGCTCTGAGCAATCAGCCTCAACATGGCGGCCGCTGTTTCTGAGGTTGAGATTGAGAAATATGAGTGATCACATCCCTTGACGCCAATCGCATACGCGTACATATTCGAGTATTGTAACACAAAGTCGGAGCAAAAAGAGGGGTTTTTGTTCTTCGAATGAAGAACAGGCAACTTCATCTCAGATACTACTGCTTAAACCTACCGTCGGTACAGTGGTATAAAGCAAATGCTATCCCGATTCTGTTGAGTATTACGACATTCCTAAAGCAGGATTACCAGCATCACACCCATCATCTGTCTACAAATTAAAGTCACCTGGACTCACAACTGGAAAATGAACAAGTTGATTTATCAAACGCCATCCGAACCTTTCCCTTTTGCTTGTGACCCTGCTACAACCTATGGCAAACTCCGGCAACTCCAAACATACCTGCGTGACCTGACTAACGAGCGTATTGTAGTTGTACATGGCGCATTGAATAACAATCTCAAACCCGAACTGTGCTAACATCAAAGATATCGTTCTTCCATCCACCCTGATCATACTCAAAGAGTTTCTGTTCCGCATCCCGACCTTCCGTCTCCCACAGCTTGACCAGACTGCCTGGTGCATAACGTCCCTGGAAGACGCCTTTTCCTGCCTTGACTCCAACCCGGGCCTCAATGTCTGGATCGGGCGCTGGAACGAGGCGTGCAGCGACAGCTCGAATAAACGTCCATAGGTCCTTGGGGTCCGCAATGCGTGTGGCCCGAAGGCGTTCTCGTGCATACAGCATTTCGCGGTTCAAGAAATGAAGACCCTCTGCAATTGCTGCAGCAATCTTGATTTCAAGGGCCTTGCGCACAATAGGTCGAATAAGTGGCTTCAGGAGCCAAGCCAAGCAGGCAAATTTGGATTTGCTGAGAGTGTAGTTGAGGTGATGAATGTGAACGTTGACGTTGCGCAGCGAAACGATTTGTTCCATGCGATCCTTGCCGATTTCGATGTCGAGGGTGATATCTACACCACGTTTATCAAGATGAAATCCTGCGATGCCTTCGTCGACCATTCGAAGAAGGCCTGAATGTAGACGGAACCAAAAGCCCAGATCTTCGGCCGCAATGGAGAGACCAGACACGGTCACCTTCATCATTGAGGTCATGCTAGATTGGGTTCCATGAAGTGCCTTCTTCACTTGGACTTCGTTGTAGGTTGAGACGTTAAGCTGGAAAGGCAAGAAGGAGCTTGCATTGATAGTGCGGCCTGGCTCCAGAATAAGGTTCTCGATCAGAAGGTCGATAGCGGGTGCCGACACTTCGACACGTGGAATAGGAATGTACTGAATAGCCTGGATGAGAAGAGGAACAAAGATATTGATGGTGTCGGTGACCAGGTCGCTGTTGGCATACTCTCCGGCTGGGGACAAAAGCAGAGCAACTCTCTCAGTGGTGTGAATGAGCTTCTTGATATCCTGATCATCCAGAATTGATCGGAAAGCAGCATACAGACTAGACAACAACTCATCAAGATCATCTCGGATCGAAGACTTGGCTGTCAATTCGTTGGACTTCTTGCGCAGACTCTGGAATCGCTCCTCGATGTTATCGAAGAAGTCAGGGTCGCTGAACATATCCTGCACTAGATTACCGAGTTGTCGCACAAGCTCGTCAAAGTTGGGGTCGGTTTTCCCATCGTCGACAACAGCTTCAAAGGACTTCTTGACATTGTCCCAGTGTTCGCGCTTACCAAGTGAAGTGATGAACAGCCAGAAATTGTGCATAGCCTTGTCAGCTTCCCGGTTGGGCTGGGTGTCTTCCTCAATTGCCTCCACCGTTGCGGCGGCTGCATGTGAGTAGGCGAGGAGATAACGTTGGAGGAGAAGCCCAATAGTCGAAACCGACTCCTTATAGTCGGTTCGTTTCCGAAGATTGAGGACAGTCTGCTTGAGACGCTTAACGAGGGCATCTCCTTCGTCGCCTTTGGCGTGTTCTTTGATGCTCTGTATCGCCCCATCGGCGACCTCTAGTGCACCATCTTTGACAGTTTCCCCAACATCAACAACTTCGTTCTTTAGGTCTTCGTCTGAAGGAGGAGCGGGGGATTTTTCGTTTCCGTTTGTATGCTTAAGAGCTTCGTGCTCTTCCTTGGAAGGCTCAATGGCCTCGCCAGCCTGTTTAGAGACATCGGACAAGGTGAAAGCTGTGTCCCGAAGAATTTCTTTTCCTACTGTACTAAGATCGGATAGGAAGATGCGAAAGTCGGAGTTGGTCAAGAGGAGGGATCCAACAGTTTGTAGACTCTTGTAAGTCGCAACAGCATCAGCTCGAACCTTTGCTCTGGCAGCCCTCTGCTCAATATGGGTAACATCGACATCGAGACGTGCTTTGGTAAGGTACCAAATGAAGTCTTGAATCTGATCCTTGCCATTTTTGTGCTGCAATACTTCGATGAACTGTGTGATCCATAGCTTGATGCTCCTGATCAGAGCTCGTCCTGAAGGACTGAGTTCCTGCCGCTCTGGGTTCAAGATTTGAGCAGATAGGAGGGTTCTCAAGTGAATGATGAGCTGCTCGTTGCTTGGCATATATCCCTTGGAAATGGCGCGCAGCATTTGATATGTATGGAGCTTCTCATGCAGTCGCGTCTGCAGGCCAGTGTCGTCATTGTAGCGCGGCAGCAGAGGTTCGCGCTCTGCATCCTCGCGATTCTTGCCGATACCAAAGCATGACAGCATTCTGAAGGCTGCAGGCGTTGGCTGCCTGTGGAATATTTATTGACTTGATTAATCTTTGGTTTTTATTTTGCGGTGCGTTGTTGGTTTGATGAGGGAGAGGTTCATCATTATTTGTGAGGTCCCGCGGTAGAGGTATAGGTAGACAATTGAAGCTACCACAGCCACGACGTCATGACTCCGCCGGAGCTTACAGTCCTAGCAGGAGCTTTGAGGTACAGCACAGCACCTTAGAGGTAGGCAGTAACATGTGAGGCAACCATTACCCCTGCACATCAAGTCGCAAGACGGTAAGAGCATGCAGCTGCAAGCTCCATGATTGGATGGCAAAGGTTGGTCGTTTCGCACCTAATTATGCTATCATTACAGAATGTTGACTCGATCATTATCTATGATGAGCAGGCTTGTAGTGCGGAATGCGCCTACAGCAAATGCGTTCAAGTAGCAACCAAGCATTTCCCTTAAGAACGATAGATCGAGATGCACCCGATTCATGATTAGAAACAAATCAGGTTTTATGCGCTCAAAGATTCATACCATGTGAGACGGTAACAATGATAAGCTCAGTTTGGTTCCATCGGTTGAAGCACTGGTCATTGGTACACAGGCGGGTGAGCCGATACCAGTGAAGCACACAATGCAAGAAAACACACCATAATATTATTTACTTAGCGGTTTTCAAACTTCACATGGCTGTTATACTGGAATTGCAGTCTTCATTTTCGAGAACCACTTACAATTGTCGTTCACGGGTGTTTGATCAGCACAATGTCCCGGCACTGATACTGTCGGCGGACCTCGGCAGTGTAAGCCGGGCCTGTATCCGTAGTCCCGTGTAATCAGCATCCACTCCAAAGGCCGTTACAACGACACTCTTGACTATTCGCAAAGACCAGCAACTTGGGGCCCGTGAATGAAAATCTTGAATAGTTTCTTATGACGCAAGTACAGTTCTTGGGTTGTTGATGTCAGTCGCAAACTCAGTGAACCACCATCTCAGCTCAGCGCCGTATTCTCTGACAGCCAGCCTCAATGACAACACCCAAGGAATGGAAGCGGCTTTCCTTTCAAGAGGCTTTGGAATTGGTCAGACTCCCGGATGAGACTTCAGCACAACAGCCCATTCAAAAGTTTATCAGTCGTCAACCGGCTTGGACTCCTGGCCAGGAGCTCCCATGGAATGCGGTTGGCATCACTCCGCCGAAGATCACAAGAGGAGCTTACGGCGCAGTTGTATATGCGCAAGCAGCTCTCGCTGCTACCCGTGTAGTTGAACAGGAGGATGACATTAAGCGCAAGGAGAACAAACGGGGCATTCATGTAAGTTGAATAGGTCATAGGCGAACAGTTGCTCTGGAATTCAACTTACACTATCTAGTCTATTCATGCAGTCTTCACCAACCCTGGACTTTCAGATCGCCCCTTTTTCCTGGATGTATCCGAGGTTCACTCAAGTCGCTCATTCTCTACACGTCTTGTTCACGCTCGTCAGTCAACACAGCCATCGAGTAACCCTTTGGGTCCTTTCCCTGAGTCGGATGCTCAAGCACCTCTTGGCAGTCCTTGTTTGACAAGTATTATCACCTTCAAACGACCAGTTCCCAGTTCCGATGAGGTTCAAGATGTCCCACCCCAGGAGCGATTCAAAGAGATCCTCTCTTTGCGGAAGCCGGATCAATGGGATCCTTGCCCACAGGCTGACGTCGACGCCTTGAAAGCAAAATTCCCAAATGAAGGTCATGGGGCGTTCCCCATCCTAGACATGTACAAAGTTGACATGTCAGCCTTCAACACAAACAAGCCGATACCTGATCGGAGAGAACTGATATACTACCGCTTGCTCAACCCTCTTCCGAAAGAAGATGCCAATTCACATGTCTTGTGCCATGCATTCGAAGCAGACCGCAACAGCTTGTTTATGCTCGGCAATCACCTAGGCTATGGTCATGACTTGGGAATCGCAGCCAGTCTGAGTTACTCGTTCTACGTGCACGTCAATGCAGAAGAGGCTGTCATGGAAGGTAGTGAATGGTGGATGCAAGAAGTCTCCTGGCCGCGCTTCAGCGCAGGTAGGGGCGCAATGGAAAGTCTGATATGGAGTCCGCAGGGAAAGCATGTAGCGACTGGATATCAGGATGGAATTGTGCTGCCCATGACAGCAAAACCTGACAGAGAGACGAAGTTATAGTCCTGATTAGATGGGCGGCAATAGCTCGTCACCTAGGAATTGTATGTAGCCAGCATAGGCATGGTTTTTGATCGGCCGGAGAAGTTGTCATTTATGCAACGCGGAGAGTGGTAGGCGTTGAGTGTCAAGGCAGTGTTGGAAAGGGGTAAACTTTTCTGGAGATAGTGTAGATCAGATAGACAGCGTTCCTAGTTCTGAGATGAACAATTACTTTGGGTTGCAGATCTCCTCATATGCTCGAGATCTTGATCGAATTCACTTATTCTGCACGATCCTACTGTGTTGTAGGGGCGAACACAACACTGATTCAGTGCAAATAACAAGAGTAGCCCATTCTCTGCAATTAAACACTTCGCGTGCAAAGATTGCCTACTAATCTATCAACTACTAAGGTACTCTCTTCAGATCCCTTCCTTTTCACTCCTTAGAACAACGAATTGTCTGCCATCTGCCTACCTAGGTACCTACTAACTCAAAAGCTGCAGCTACTTATCACTCTGGGAGGTGCAGTGCTCTTGCCACGAAAGCTTCAAGATTCAACTCACATTTACTGCTGCCCAAGTCCCAAACATCAGCACCTACCTAAGCTGGCTTCTATCACGGTACTTTCTTTGAAAATCAGATGCTTCTTCCATCGCCGTGCAAATACCCTCGAAGCTGTGCGTTTGACTCGGATATTTGAGGTGCATCACTACATCACAGACATTCACATCGCATCTTCACCTCACATCGCGTCTCTATTTGCGCAAGCCATCCCGTTTGCCCTAACATCACAATCAAGTCATCAAGACAGCCTGTTTCATTCAGTTTGGGAGACAGCCTAATTCATTCAGTTTTGGATCGACTGTTCTTATCGCCAATAAATAGTCAGTTTCTCAAACTTAACCGGCAAACCCCTATTCTCCATTTTCACAAACGACACTGCTTGCCAAATTTCGCCACTTTGTGGCTTTCGTCGTTCATAATAGACCTTGGCTACACTGATTCACTGCTTAAGCTCTGATCTGCCCGGCCGACACATCAGTAGCTCTATATCTCTTCGTCTCAACACTGAAGTACAGTACTTCAAAGGTGTACCACCAAATCTTTCAACCTTGGTCTATTTTTCACATAGAAACACACCACCATTTCTCACCTGCAAACGTTCTCAAGCATCAAAGGGATCATTCACTACTGCTCTAGGCTCTCTCAACTGCTTGGTAAGTTTATTTAATCCTCTTTATTTCCCCTCTCTACCAAGCGCCCCCTCTGCCAGTGAAGTTTCTTAATCTTTACCAAGTTTTATCCCTTCTTCCCAACACTAAATCTTTATCTTTACCCGGTGCTTTCTCTATGTAACTACCGTGGTATGCCTTATATTAAAAGTAAAGACATAGTTAACCGATACCCTACCTCTTTATTTATTTCCTTATAAGCTATAAAGTAATTCCCAGGCTAAATGCTAACTATTGTTTAAAGATATCCTATCTTACTATACTATGAATCCAGTTACCAAAATGGCCAACAAGTCCTCTACTCAAGACGAGGACGTAGCACCTGAGGCTTTTGACAAGATGCTGCGCAGATCGTGGGATACAGTTTACCAAGCCAGTCCCGATGGAGAAACATATATCTCACCGCAATGCCTGAACGGCACCCCAGTTCGCAAGATTACTGAGAAGGGTGACTACTGGAGGATCGGATGGAATTCACTGGACTCCTACCTGGCCCAGGAAAAGGCAGAAGAGGAGTTGAAGGCAGACGCTCGGCAGCGCTACACCCTAACACCTGGTTCGAAGACAGCCAAGGATACCCTTAAACTCCACACTGACAATGTGTCCAAACATCGAAGGATCAAAGACATCTTCGGTCCCGACAGCTCTTATCATCCCAACCAGCTGGTCTCCAAACACCACCTTCCCCCTGAAGGCCTATGTCAAAAGGAACTTATGTATCGCATGGCCTGCAAAGTGGCAGATCTCCGAATCCTACACCAAAAAGGAGAGCTCGCCATGGACCCATGGGATTTCTTCCGTTGGAGGGTATCCCTCAAGCTACGATCATGTATGGACTTCGCCGCCCAGAGCGGTCGAGAGTACATCAGAACCATCGCTTACAAGCTGTGTGAAGACTCAGGTCTGCATAGTAGCTCAAAAAAGTATGAGGATTCCCTCTTACGCAAAGCGATTCTGCGTTCGGCAGATTACCAGCACCGAGCAAGTAGCTTCGGCAAGCCTAGTGGGACAAAGAAGATTGGCAATGGCTCTAAAGTCTCTCGTGCCAAAGTCGAGCCCCTATCTTCATCGTCGTCTGGCCCAGCAATGGCTGCTGCACGAATTGAGAAGCGTCAGAAGAAGGCATCACAGCCACCCTCCACTTACCAAGGGGTGAACGTCTATCGGGCACAACAGACAGACAAACAGCTGTCGAGAAATGGTGACTCAAAGCCTAAGGCTTATTGATTCACAAAGGAGATGATGACGTGAGTATCCCAACATTAGGAGCCTATTCATTCACTGACATGCATACTCTTTAAGGCCTTTCCATCATCCAGTCTCTTCCATCATCCAACCTTTTTCCATGTTTTGTCTCACAATCCACAATCGACTGAGCCTATACACTTTTTGCCGCTTTTCAGAGGCGAACAATTGACCCAATATCGGGCGTTCAGGAGGTTGATTCATGACACGTTAGTACTCAATTGCGCAATCTTTTCTTACGGCGCTTGGTTCTCGTCAGTTATTAGAGGATCTCTGCACTACATTCGCCCCCACGCTGTATTTCGTCGTCTCACTATGAATTAGTACATAGCTTTCATCATCACTTAGGGTTGAGTGAAGACTGGCTTTCGGACAATTGACTTGCTGTTACACTATCTTATCCCGTATTACAAACTTACTAACACTAGCTTCATGCTTCTTTTCAATTGAATGTTCATCTCTTTGGACTTTTATGCTTGCCAAATCCAACTTGGGCATTCATAGATGATTACTTGACTAGGTACCTAGGAAGTTATGTGGTAGCTGAGTGGTCGGCTATATCGGGTATGTCGGGTGACGTAGTGAGCCTCTGTGTAAAGACAATCTATTCATAAACTCTCGGGTTCTAGCCGAGAATCTCTTGTGAACAAAAGGCATCGTCATTTCTTACAATCATTTGATTGTTTAAAGAAGATTAAAATTGGCTGACTAGTTACAGTCACAGCTTCTCGCAAAGTGTGAATACTATACACTCGACATAAGGTTTCATTCATCAATCTACAGGCAAGCACAAGCTAATCACCCATTACAGTCAATTATCTTGACCATATACTAACTCGCGAGCTAGACATGAATACAGCTCTAGAAACCGTCAAAGCTAGTCGAACTCGCTTTTTGAACCAGTTCCCATGGATGACTTCACCATTCATCATCGGCGCACCGATGCGCGTGATGTCAGGACCTCATCTAGCCTTCGCTATATCGAGAGCTGGAGGTCTAGGATTCATTGGTCCGGGAGCAAAACCTGAGGATACTTCCAAAGATTTGGCTACGGTACGAGAGCTTTTGCGCAACTCGCTCCCGAGTACGCTTCCATCTGCGTTTCCTTCTACAAATACTCTTCCCGTTGGTGTTGGCTTCCAACTCTGGAACGGCGATCTCAACTCTGCTTTCCAAGCTGTTAGAGAACACAGACCCTGCGCTGCATGGCTCTTCGCGCCGCGTCGAGGTCAAGAGGAGTTGGATGAGTGGACATCTCGGATCCGTGAAGCTTCTCCTGATATCCAAATCTGGATTCAGATTGGCACTGTTAAAGAGAGTATTGAAGCTGCAAAGAGCGTGCATCGTCCAGACGGTTTAGTTATCCAAGGCACGGAGGCTGGTGGTCACGGTCGAGCCACTGATGGCATGGGAATAATGGCATTATTTCCTGAAATCTCCGATCAGGTCCGCGGCTCGGGTATGTGCTTGTTTGCAGCTGGAGGCATCGCAGACGGCCGAGGACTCGCAGCAGCACTCTCCCTCGGAGCAACAGGTGCAGTAATGGGCACACGCTTCCTCGCAGCAACCGAAGCTCGCATCAGCAAAGGATACCAACAAGAAATAGTACGAGCCACAGATGGAGCGCAGTGCACGACCAGGACTATGCTTTACAACCATCTCCGGGGCACGATGGGCTGGCCAGAGCAGTACAGCCCGCGTGGCATTGTCAACCAGAGCTTCCACGACCATCAAGCAGGTGTTGAGTTTGAAGAACTGAAGAAGCGGCACGATGAAGCGGTGCAGTCTGGGGATAAGGGCTGGGGACCGGAGGGGAGGTTGGCGACGTATGCAGGTGCGGCTGTTGGTTTGATTCATGATATTCAGGATGCCGAGGTTATTGTGAAGAATGTGCAGGGTGAAGCCAAAGAGATTATAACAAACCTATCGAGTCATGGTGTGTAGTCAGTAGATATTAACATCCCAGGTGTGGAAGATAAAGGTCTTACTTTTCCTTTGTTGAGTGACAGAGCGGCATATTCATTTAGTGCCATTTTTCTTAATTATCTATCACAAGGATTTATAACATTTCTTTTTCGACGACGTAGCCATCTTACTTCTTGTTTTAGGGCACATTAGTGCCGGAAACTTGAAACCAGTTAGTATGCTATTATATAAACCAGCCCCTTTGGTTCTCATGAATTAGATGTAAGTGAAATCCGAAGCCTACCTCTCTCAGAGTGAGTTACTTCCCAAGTCGTCCTCTATATTTTATTTTGTTTTGAATTATATGATTATGTGTAGAATATCATAGCATTATGTATGGAATGAATTATACGTTAAAACTGGATTGTAACAAAAAGATTGTAATTTCATTGGGCTCAGCATGTAAGATTCGATTGCTCGATAATATCATTAGACTCAAGCGAAGAATATGGGTCGGTCTATGGCTATCGATCATGTTGAGTCTCATCAATCAGACGTTCCTTTTCAAACTCAACTCACTCCTGTTAGGTCATGTTGGTATTGATCTTATTCCCTGTCAATATCACATTTACCCATGTATATTAAAAACTCCAGCGATACTACTAGAACTAAAGCTACTAGCTATTGGAATTGTAGTATTTAATTGTATTGACGTAGTTTTGTTCTAAAGTTGCGTTGGCTAAGAACCTGAATCTCACTATTCACTTCGCACAATTAGAAGCATCCAAGCTTCAAGACCACAACCACCTTATGTGTGTGTCTCAGCTCCAAACTAAGAAACAAAGGACTTGGAGGGAAGTGAATTATGTGAACATATAAGTTGTAGATTTGTACCTCTTCTCCCGTCAGTAATTTGGGAGGACTTTTTCAAAACCAATGCATAAAATCAGAGCTTTTTCTTTCTTACAACCTCCAACGGTTTTCACTAAAGCTGACCTACAGTATAATATTTCGATGATGAGATCAGCCGGATCATGAATTTGTCAGTTGATTGAAGTCTGTGAAATATAAACCTCGGCAAACTACACGGCCTGACAATCTGCACGACAGTTTCATAGTGGGTATTCCGATCAAGCGGATGTAAGAAGTTAGACCCTTTGAAAGTAACAAAAGCTCACAATCGATCAATCAAGTAGGTCTTCATCTGGTCAAGTTATTTCATCACTCTCAGACGCCAACTGTGACGATTCGTGAGCTCTTAGAGCTTCTGATGACGATCCCGAATCTCGCCTTTCAAGAGCCGGAGCTTTGACAGATCACGTGGTGCATATTATCACAGCTCTAATTGGTCAATGCGCTTGCCCGGGTGGGTCCATTTCCAACTTCGACCCAAATCAGCCCATTCCTCACAAATCCCTCGACAACACCTCTTCCAGCCCATCCCGAGTCATCCTCAAAGCTCGACCCAATTGCCCGGCGCAAACCCCATCAAACGAACATGTTTTTGCAACGCTCCGCCCTTACTGCGGCTCGCCGCGTCGCCGCCCGACCTGCTGCCGCTCGCACCTTCGCTACCTCTTTCGTCCGCCGTACGCAATTTCCATTTTGTTTCCTCCGCTCCGGCCAATGGCAATCGTCGTATGATGGCTGACTAGTGTTTTTTGCTTCACCAACAGGAGATGCTGCCCGTCCTGCCACCCCCAGCGATCAGGCCGCTGCTCTCGCTGGTTCCGCCGAGAAGAAGGTTGGCTCCTACAAGGTTCTGAAGGGTACGTGAAATCGACAATGCCGCCGTCGACGGTCTCAATGGCGCCCCGTAACCTCGGCCGACGCATTGTGACGTGACGTGATGTGCAACATCCGCTGATAAGCTTCCTTCCAACAGAGGTCAAGGGCGAGGACGACCTCTTCGGTCCCGGTGCCGCCCCCGGTACCGTCCCTACCGATCTCGAGCAGTCTACCGGTCTCGAGCGTCTGGAGATTCTCGGTAAGATGGAGGGTGTCGACATCTTCGACATGCGCCCTCTCGACGCTACCCGCCTGGGAACGATGGAGAACCCTATTATGGTCCGATCTGCTGGTGAAGAGCAGTTCGCTGGTTGCACTGGCTTCCCCGCCGACTCTCACGGTGTCTGGTGGCTCGGCGTGAGTCCCGACCTTTCAACTTCGGACGGAAGGAAGTGAATTACTGACATTGTGAACCCAGATCACCCGCGAGCGCCCCATCGAGCGTTGCCCCGAGTGCGGCAGCGTCTACAAGATGGACTACGTTGGTCCCGAGGACGATCACCACCACCACCACCCTCCGGAGTACCCCGAGCCCAAGACCTTCGCCGATTACGTCAAGCCCGAGTACCGCTACAAATAAATGCATTGCGCTGAGAACCATTGAGGAGATTGGGTTTTAGTCAAAACTGGAAACCAGATGGATATGAATGGTACCCCCGGGGAGAGGAGCCGTTATGTGTAGATTAGGGTGCCTTATTCCCTGTGTCAATTTACTAAGTTAGCTTGCAGAAGTTGATGTTGACCCTGTCTTGGTTTTGTATCTGCGAGACTAGCGATTCGTCCATTGGAGCTTGTATGTATATACGGCAGTAGCTTTCCAAGCTCCTATTTATTGGAAATATCCAGGTTTGTGATGTCATTTCGTGACTTCAAAGTGAAACATAGTCTCCGAATAATGATAGTCAAACACAGGCATGAATTCCAGTGTTGTGCCATAAGATATGATGCGCCTCTTGGGTTGTATGATAGAATCTTGAGGGTGCTGTCAATTATTTCGGCGATCTCATCTCCAGCTTTTGTTCTGGAGATTTGTGAAGTTGTTGTGTAAACCTGCCATCCTGGGGTATCCAATGGGTAAGATAGCATCATTTTGTTGGCTGTGAACGGGACATCGCATGGAATCCGCCCAAGCTGTTTCCGAGATTTTCATGTGATTGATGATCAAAGGGTCGTGTTACTTTGCTCATCCATCGTTATTCAACCTTCATCTTCGTCAAAGCTCAACTTGATCTTTTTGGCCTTCTTCTTTGGTTTGCGATTCTTTGCAGACTCTTTCTCAGAGACATCCTTTTTCTTATCATCCCCCTCCGTCTTGGTTTCATCAGCAGCATCACCGACAACTTTTCCGACTTTGCGTTTTCTTCCACCGATGGCGGCCTTGTTCTCAGACTCTTTGGTAGCTTCTTTCACCTCGGCAGGCTCCGGGTCTTGGTCTCCCTTGTCTTTGACGACTCCGTCCTTGTCGACCTCGAGACTCACAACGTTGCCGTCTTCATCAACGACTAGAGGCGCATCTTCGGCTTCCTCGCTGCTGGAGCGCTTCTTGGCTGACCTCCGTTGCGCGGCGAGGATTGGATCCGGACCTCTTGCGCCAGCGGCTTGAGCGCGCAGTGCGGCAAGGAAGGGCGGTGCTGAGTTGTCGTAAGACAGGTTTTTTGAGTTGATTTTGGTAGTCATGGTTTGATGATGGATGAGGCAGGATCCCAACTCCAGATGTGTTGTGGTTGGTCAAACTCACGCCGGGCAGCGATTGGTCTATTCAGATCCTAGATCCGAAAGACACTGCAGGTTCTGGAAATGTGGTGATACCAAGACACAGTACCCCCCTAAACTCTTCTAAGTAATAGTGCAGCTGCAACAACGTGGGGCTCTTTTCTCGAAGATTGAGTTGAATTTCTTGCTTTCGCTTGTCTGTAAGTGACGGGTGAGAACCTAATAATAACCTAACCCTTTCTCCTGACAGGGAACTTTGAGTTCAGGTCAGTCACTTGTCAAAAGCATTGACAAAGTTGAAGTTGTTGGCCACGGGACGGGAGATGCTGATATTCCGCCCTTGTTTAGATGAAGCTGCGTTGTTTGATTGGAATGAACTGTCATCATTCTGAGAATGGGCGGGCTATTGGCTCTCGGACGAGCCCGTGGCCCCTGTAACCACCCGGGACCGTGTGGGTTGGTGCATGATTAATGCATGGAGTACATCAGATATTGTGCCTTTGTCCATACAAACAACAAGTAACTTCACTTCTTGTTTCCTTTTCCTTTTCTCCCGGGCATGGGCCATGGCACATCATCGCGGCCCCATCTTATCGTGGTCCCGACATTTTACTCCCACTTCCCATCTCCCTTTTCCTCCTTAAACTTCCAAGTTAGATCATCCCTTTCCCAAGCCAAGCCCTTTAGCTTATTTACACGGGGAGTCAGTCTCTTCCATTCGCCCTTTGCTCGCTGTCTAGACCGTGTTCCGCATTAAAAACATTCCCTTCTCCATCTGGTGATTGAGTGAATCTCTGTCGTTATCATTGCCAAGGAGTTTATGCCCCACTGTCTGTCTCTGCCGGGTCGACGCGTCAGTAACTTTTCTTGCTAGGCCAAAACTCCGGCTCTAACTCTTGGTTCTGGCTTGGAATCTATGGTCCATGGAGTGGTCCCTGTCGCTCGTTACTTAATCTGTTCCATCTCCATCTGTGCTTGTACATCCATCTTTTTAAGATCTCATCCTACGATCCTTCGAAGCGGCCCGACAATCTAATCTTTTTGCTTCCCATCTACTGCTACGTGCTTGTACGATACGATTAGAACCACGAGCCACGACAACGATATCACGACCGTTTTTTCTTCACCGATGGCGATTGCTATATAATATTTTTTAAACTTTCCGGTCCCACCTTGAAAGATCGACCGACCTACGGAGCTACGGTACAAGTTAATTGCCCCATCCACCAACACCGACCTCCCTTACTCTCCTATTTCTTCGACTTCGAATTCGACATCGACATCGATAGTATCTTCGCCGGCTGTCGCAGGCGCCACGATACGACACATTTCATGTTCCCCCGACTTCGACTGCCATCAATTACAAAACCTGCCGCCGTGGTAGGCTCTTTCTCGCCATGGATTTGATACGGAGGGCCACCAAGGTGGCTCCCAGCAAACCTCCTCTACAGCTTCCTCTCGATGAGAAGAGGGATTCCAAACACAACAAACCTGTCGACTCCCGCATGGCCTTTTTCCGCCGACCGCTGCGGTTAAAGGGGAACTCAACAATCTCTGTACCTTTGGGCGTGGTCATCTTTTTCCCTATGCTTGTTTTAATCCTTATTTTTATTCTCTTCGTCAGCCATCCCAGTTCGCCAGGGCATTTCCTTATACCAGGAGGTGCTCCCCCCAAGATGCGGTTTGTGTAAACTAGCCAACTCGGTGTACCTCGTAGCTAACAGTTGGGTTAGGAAAATCAGCGAAAAATACGACAAGGTGTTCGTCGAGGGCTGCGCCCAGCCCGACACCAGCAAACCCCGAGCCAACGCTGCGTTTGTGATATTAGCGCGGAACAAGGAGATCGACGGTGTGCTACAATCCATCAAGTCCGTCGAGAGACACTTCAATCGATGGTACCACTATCCTTATGTGTTCCTCAACGACGGCGATTTCGATGACAACTTCAAGGAGGCTGTTAGGAATCATACATCAGGCGAAGTCGAGTTCGGAAAGGTTGGACCGGATATGTGGGGTTTCCCCGATTGGATCGATCCCAAGGTAGCTTCAGAGGGCATTGCCAAGCAGGGTGATGCTGCCGTCATGTACGGAGGTCTGGAGAGCTACCACAAGATGTGCAGATTCTACTCTGGGTAAGTTGGGTTACTGCATGGATTGAACGGCACAACTAACGGCGCATATAGCTTCTTCTTCAATCATCCCTTGCTGCTGAAGTATGAGTGGTACTGGCGAGTTGAGCCCGAAATCAGCTATTTCTGTGACATCACATAGTACGTTATGCCTTGGCGACGATGTATACTTGGATTGTTAACTTGAAATAGTGATCCCTTTCAGAAGATGATCGAACAGAACAAAACATATGGCTTCACAATTGCTGTCAAAGAACTTCGCGAGACCGTTCCCAATATTTTTCGGTACGCCTCCGCCTACAAGCGACTTAACAACATCACATCCAAGGGCCTGTGGGAAATGTTTGTCGAACCGCCGGAAGACGACGACGACGATACTGCTAAGGACAGTGATACTTCCCCGCCCGAGAGGAGTTTCTGGGACACTCTTACAGGAAAGAAGGGAAACGGTGTCGATCCCGAGTCAATGGAGGGAGAGGCCTACAACATGTGTCATTTTTGGTCTAATTTTGAAATTGCGAAGCTCAGCTGGTTCCGCAGCAAGGAGTATCAGGACTTCTTTCAAATGATGGACCGGAGTGGTGGCTTTTGGATGGAACGAGTATGCAAGCCAGAAAACCTCCCTTATGTAACGATACTAACATTCCTTAGTGGGGCGATGCTCCTATTCACTCCCTTGCCGCCGGTGCTCTGCTCGGGCCGCAGGACATTCATTACTTCCGAGACTTTGGATATCGCCACACTACCATCCAGCACTGTCCCGCCAATGCGCCAGGCAAGCAGCTCGCACGTGAGCCCTACCTCGAGAAGACAACGTTCCCTGAGTATAAGCGATTCGAGGAAGATGATTACTGGGAGCAGTGGGATGATGTGCAAGAGGGCGGTATTGGCTGCCGCTGCCGATGTGATACGGATGTTGTGGATGTTGAGGGCAAGGAAGGATCTTGCCTCGCTGAATGGGTCGACGTTGCTGGCGGCTGGGCTCATCCATACTAAGCCACACGATTATTCTAGCGTATGGGTATTGAGTCACGACGAGCTGATCACTTCAGCGCTCGAATACTTCGATTACAACACCAGCATCAATGGCGCTTCGGGGGTAAAGACAACTTCGATTTGAATAGGTTACAGGGATTGCTATACTCGGGGAATGGATAAAAAGAAGGTTGCGGCGTTTTGTCTTCACAAGACTGTTCAGCTGTTATTGCTGCAAGTCTTTCGGCTGCACACTCGGCTCAGTATGCTTCTTGGTTGTTGTTTTACAGGATATGCCATATACATTGTGGGGCATCTGCTTCATATGATTTGGGGGCTTTTGTCAAGATGTTTCGATGGATAATGCTGTTTTGTATTCTAGCTTAGAGATGCCAAGAGATGCCAAGAGTACTTCCCGGGCTAATAATACATCTAGGGTGAGAGATCGCTCATTCCTAGAGATTTCAGCCGCTTAAAGTAGTGGTTAGATTTCATGTTTCTTTCGCGCTGGTCTGCCTCGCTTTAACATGAGACATCAGTGACCGCTTTGGTCTCCTCTAGTTCTTACTGACCTGCAAGCTCTTAACGCCCCATGCAGCCATCACTCAATTATCTAGATCTGGCGGTAGCGTAGGCAGATCCCCAGGGGCTGAATGGACGTGGCGTTGGAGGCCCTTGTCTAAAAAGCACTGCCTTCAACATCACAGACTATAATTCCAGACCCACCATACGATCTGAAGGACTAAGTCCTACTGTCCACAGGGATAGTACGTGTGAATAGCAGTACGCAAGCCACAGATATCAAACTGTTTTCCATATGCTAACACTAGTATAATGTGTGCAAATTGATCAACGGAATGCGCCGCGCTACCACCGAAATTGATGTGTATTCTTTACGACTGTGTGTATAAGAGTCTTGGAAACCCACCTTGAAAAGCGGCTGAGCCTGTCCATCACTCGCACCTCAAAGACTACCCTTCAGCATCTTTTGTTACTACCTTTCACAATGAATGCACTCAATCGTGTCTCCCAATATTTCTTCGGCCCTGTAATTCCTCTCCGCGAACCATGCGGCCGAACAGTGCAGATCATGTCAGACCTCCATCTGGAGCTCAACCGCCAATACGCAACATTCGACTTCCCCGTCAAAGCTCCCTTCCTTATACTCGGCGGTGATATCGGCCGTCTAATAGACTATGGCATGTTTCTCCCGTTCCTCGCTCGCCAAACAGCCCGCTTCGAAAAGGTCTTCCTGGTACTCGGCAACCATGAGTTTTACGAGATGAGCTACGAGGATGGCGTGGAAAGGGCCAGGCAGCTGGAGAAGGAAGACAGTCTGGAGGGAAAACTCGTGCTTCTGGATCGCAATCGTTGGGACGATCCTGATTCAAAGCTTACCATCCTCGGCGCAACACTGTGGTCCAAAGTTCATCCTTCAGAGGCTGAGATCGTCGCTCTTCGGGTCTCGGACTATAAACTCATTTCGGGCTGGTCCGTCGCCAAGCACAACGAATGCCACGCCCGCGATCTCGCCTATCTGACAGAAGCCGTCGCCGAGCTGAACAATCTCCCCGCAGAATCCCAAAGGAATGTTTTGGTAACGACGCACCATGCACCCTGCGTCGACGGGGCGTCGAGACCGGAACATGCCAAGGCGCCTTTCAGAACAGCATTCTCAACGGACGTGATCCAAGCGAGAGAGTTTATGCGTGGGGTTGCGGTGTGGATGTTTGGACATACGCATTTTACGACGGAGTTCCGGAAGGGTGGTGTAAGAGTTGTTGCGAATCAAAGAGGATATGTTTTGGGATATAAAGGGCCCACGTTGGAGAATACGAGGGGATTTGATGATGCGAGAGTCGTAGAACTATGGAGAGAGGTTCGGACGCTTGACTCTATGGCGCGAAAGCTTTGAGATGATGTGAATTCTTGTTACGATGATATGGTTAAGTGCATTCAGGCTACTCGATAGACACGGTTTATTGTAATTGAGATCTACATCCTGTGACTCGTAGTATGATAGATAGTACCATCTTTGCTATGAGAGATATTGACCACGGAGACAAAAAGTCCGCAGAGGACTGTTCCTTTGGTAAACACCAAGGAGTGAACCAACATGATATTCATATCCGGCCTACCCGGCACCAGAGCCGGTATACACAAGGTGATTATGCCAGGAAAAAAAGAACCGTATCACACTTAAAGCTGCACACTTTGCGTTCTCATCACATTGCTCCCAAGTTTTCACAAAAGAACCAGGTTGGGTATTTAGAAGAAGACCTTATGTGAATGTTGGTTGACAGAGTCAACATCCCTAACACGGCTCGTACCATGCCATATCGTATCCAGCTACATGATGGAGCAGTCATAGCACCATGCGGCACCCTGCGGATCAAGCTTGGTTATGCGGAATTATACTATCACACGATTTTGCTCGTCGATCAACTACTAACTTGGGGCTTTGGACGTAACCTGTTGGCCGTGTAAGTGCAACACCCCTGCTGGCTGTTGGTCCATATCTCTGCGGCACGGAATATGGCTCGGACGGCGATCAAATACAAAGTCTCTAGGCAGGGTATGGGAAATGCTCTGTTATTTGAATTAAGCGAATACATGTTCTTATAAGTGAGTGTTGGTCCTCGGCATTTGTTCAGGTTATCCCGCCACTTTACGGTTTTCAATTTGCAGCATTGAGGAGTTGACAGCGGATCACTGTAAGTTGGTGCTCACAATTATACCTTTAAAACTCAGAATCATAAAGCTAACTGGTTAGAGGCTATCTAAAAACATATTAAACGAAGCCGCGAACTTGTTGGCTTTGGAACAGTGGATGCTTTGGGCAGAAAATAACCGACCCAAGCACACAGGCCCTCCGCAAAACGCATCGGAGCATTCCAGCTTGGAAATAAACGACTGTCACATAAAGAACCATTCTGCCATCTTGATATATCGTCTCAGAATGGTCTTCGGGCAGCGTGATCAAGTAGCTCGTGAGATATCACAGCACATCCCGGCGACGATGAGCATACACAACAAACGACTAGAAGACTCTCGGAATTTCGTATCTGATCCAGTATTCACATTTCTTGTGATTGGGGTTCCCATCATTGCAATATTTCTCATCAGCTTGTGTATCTGGGGTATATATAGATCCAACAGGGTGCATGAGAGGATCGGTCGTCACCACGCTGAGATGGCTACGGAAACACATCCGTATCCCAACGGAGATAGCCATAGTGTGGACTCTAGGACTCTATTTAATTGAATGTTATATGCTTTAGACCCTACCTTGGATGTTTGAAATGTGTAATGTGATCTGCACAAGACCAAGCGTACAAAGAACAGGTATAGTAGCGAGGGTCTTGCGATCTCAGAACATGTTCTACGCATGAGTACCAGCTCTTCAATTGATTGTCTTTCTTTCATATGAAAATGCTTAGTCCAGTAAAGTTCCATGTTCAATAATCCAGCACTCAGTCTTAATCGCGGTGTAAGTCAACACCCTTGGCTATTGCATGCTATACCAGAACCAAGACCCTTCCTACCACACCTATAACTGCAAAATTGTATCAAAGATACTAACGATCTATCTATATAATAGCCTAGAAATCTTTATTTTATTTTATTTTAATATTCCTTTAAGTGAGGCTATTAACCGAATTCCACTTCTGTTAAGCTTGAGGCAGATTTGTGGCCTGAGGCATCGAATGCCCCGGATTGACGATTCTAGCGCTAGACCTCCAAAAAATCAACCGTTGACTTCCAGATCGCCATCATCAAACTCGACACTCGCGGCCACGGCGCCCCTCCTACGACGATGCCTCCTCGAATCTCCCCTTTCAGCACGCCGCTGTGCTGCAGAACGACCGGCAACGCTCCCGTCTCGTCGCTGACTGCGTACCTCTCCGGCCTCTCCCTCCAGACCCGCAATGCGTCTATCCTCACCAGTCTCGCCAACACCCCCGGTGCTATTCACGTGAAGAAACGAGTTGGTCGTGGTCCCTCTTCCGGACACGGAAAGACATCTGGTCGTGGTCATAAGGGTCAGAAGCAGCATGGAAAGGTCAAGCCGTGGTTCCAGGGTGGTCAGACACCTTTGATCGTCAAGCATGGCCGAAAGGGTTTTAGCAACTTGTGAGACGCCTACGATTTTCCCGGACGAAAAACCAAAGAGTTCGGGAGGGAGGAAAGTTCAATTAACTAACTGATGTGCAGCCGAGCCCCTCAGATGTCAGAGGTCAACCTCGACCAGATCCAGGCCTGGATCGATCAAGGACGAATCGACCCCACGAAACAGATTACTCCAAAGGAATTGATCGAGAGCGGCATCCTCGGCACCATAAAAGACGGTGTTAAGGTCTTGTCCCGAGGCGCAGAGGCTCTTAAGCAGCCCATTGACGTGATGGTCTCCCGTGTTTCTTCCGGAGCCATTGCTGCTATTGAAGGCGCCGGCGGCAAGGTCATGACCCGATACTACACCAAGTTGGCCATAAAACGACTCTTGACTGGCGAATCTGTCAACACGGATCAGCCCCTGCCTCAAGGAAAGGAGCATGTCGAGACTGTGCTGGCCGCAGCCCGCGAATCCCCCTTCCGATACCGGCTACCCGACCCTACCAGCCGTGAGGATATCGAGTACTATCGTGACCCCGCGCACCGAGGATACCTGAGCCATAAGCTTGCGCCAGGCGAGTCGCCCAGTTTGTACTTCAGAGTGCCTGGTGTGCAGAAGATTAAGAGCGAGGTCAAGAAGGAGAAGGCGGCCACTGAGGAGACTCTTTTCTAGAATTGGACTGGCTGGCATGTTGAGGAATTGTATTATAATGACCGAGTATAGACACTTGGATGTGATAACAAGAAATGTACAATCAATTGAAATGAACCCATTCGATCTGAGATACGCTACATGATAATATGATACAATGCATGCGTTTAATTGAAACAGCCACAGTTGAGACAGTTTGTGGCGTCTCCAGGAACATCCATCTGCAATTCTGCATTAGGCAGGTACGTACCATGCCCATGACGCTCCACAACAGCTCTCCGGGTTAAGGTGATGTCGCAAACCCAGGTCTTCTCCACTTGGGATGACTTCACCAACCTCCCGGTTGCCTCTCAATTCGCGTGTATTTCGTTATTGGAGCTTCTATATCACTTGTTAGCCTCGCTTCAGCTCGTGCGTCCTCAAATTCGCTGCGTTGCCGCTCCGGTATTGTGCGCCGAAGACGATTGCGCTGTATTGTCCGCTCACCGAGCCATCGATTACGAGTCCCCCATCTAGACGTCGGATCTACAACCGTCCCACGAGTATCACGAGTCGGCTGATCGACATTGACAGGACTGCTACGCGTCGCGAAATAGCCCTACTCTAACTTTAACTTCTCGCAGTCACAATGTCCCTGTTTGGTTCGTCACCGAGTGAGGGCAGCCCAGAGCTGGCCCCATCCAGTGGTCCAGCTCGTCGCGGCGGTGCTGGGCTCTTTGACGATGATTCCGCATCCAAGCCGTCTGGCAGCCTCTTCGCTGACGATGACGCCCCGCACGACTCACCCTGGGATATGCCCACGCCTCGCAAGAAGCAGAGCCGTGCCGACCTCATCCGCAACCTACTTCCTGGCAGCGATGTGCCTGATACCTATATCGAGACCTTCGATACAGTGGTGCGTGAAGATGGCAGTGGAGGTCAGGTCACCTCTGGAGGTGTCGCAAAGCTCTTCGCTACAGCCAGACTTGATGCCGATGCTCAAGCTCGCATTATGTCTTTGGTTGCTCCCGGAGCCGGGGATGTCATGCTAGGTCGAAACGAGTTCAACGTCCTACTGGCCCTGGTAGGCCTGGCACAGGAAGGCGAGGTCATAGGCCTTGATGAGGTTGATGAGCGCCGAAAACGTAAGTAAACATATCCCTCTATTTTGCACCTCGCATTGCGAATTTTTCCCTCATGTAAATGGCTTGCGTGCCAAGACCTATAAACTGTCTTATCGTCTGGTCCATGCTGTCCCATGTCATATCTGTGCTGTCATCCCCGGTTGGTGGGGACACTACTCAGTCCAGCTAATAACTCATTTCATCACAGGCCTTCCGCAACCCAAGCTCGCAGGGCTCACTGCAGAGCCCGTCCTGCCTCCAGTTGCTGAACTTTCTGCAAAACCTCCTCAAACTCCTCCCAAAGATAATCCTCCTCAACAACAACAAACTCCGCCAGCGCAGCAGCCTAAACAATTGCGACCAGCCATGGACGACCCTGAGGAAGATCCCTGGAACAGCCCGGATATGCACAAGACCCATGATCACGGTCCCTCCAAGTCCAACGGCGCCCAGCGCAACAACACGAACGGCAATGCAAGCTTCAGCCAAACACCCCCGACAACAGTAATCGACGCTCCTCCTTTGACGCATGTTGCATCACCTCAGGTTGCCTCTCCAAATAGCCGCCGACAACCCAGCAGCAGTTCGGTAGCGACACCAGGCGGATGGGGATATTTCGAAGGAAATACTCCCGTCATAGGCGGCTTCGGAGAGTCACCGTCTGGCCCTATTGCCAATCCCTTCGGCGCCGCTCCTGATGCGACACCCAACACACAACCTCCACCAGGTCTTCAACATCATGCGAGCAGTGGTAGAACCGGCCGCGGTGTTGAGGAAAATGTTATCGTGGTTCTTATGCCAGAGAAGGAGGGCGTATTCATGTTCCAGCATCATAATTATGAAATCTCGAGCTTGAGGCGCGGTAGCAAGGTTGTCCGCAGGTACAGCGACTTTGTCTGGTTGCTGGATTGTCTGCACAAGAGATACCCATTCCGTATCCTGCCGCTACTTCCGCCCAAGCGTGTAGGCGTAAATGGCAGCCATCTTTCAAATGATGGCGCTTTTATTGAGAAGCGAAGAAGAGGTCTATCGCGGTTCTTGAACGCTCTTGTTAGACATCCTATCCTGAGCCAGGAGCAGCTTGTTGTTATGTTTTTGACCGTTCCCACAGTAAGTTGATCATGTCCCAGCGTATAAGCTTACTGCTGAAGCTAATATCAGCACCAGGAATTATCTGTGTGGCGCAAGCAGGCAACTATCTCAGTTCAAGATGAATTCACCGATCGAGCATTACCACCCGGCCTGGAGGATTCGCTGCCAGCTGAACTGGAGGATCTCTTCTCTCGAACACGCAACGGTGTCAAGCGCTCTGCTGAGCTTTACATTAACGTTTGTAACATCATGGATCGTCTTGTTAAGCGAGCCGAGGGCGTGGCTGCAGACCATGCTCGCATTGCGCTCTCTTTGGCTTCTCTCACCGAAACTTCCGAGGATACTTACGCCACGGATACCAATGAGGTTCCTCTACTCAATGATGGACTCATCGCCATGAGCAAGCACCTCAGGACATGCCAGAGTCTGATGGAGGATGAGAGCCGTGGTTGGGATGAGGGCGTGCTCGAGGATCTGAAGCGCCAACGAGATGCCCTTGTGAGTGTACGAGAAATGTTTGAACGAAGGGAAAGATTGGATAAGGACAACATTCCTTATCTGGAGCGGAGGATTCAGACCAATGAAAGCAAGCTTGCAAGCTTGAGAGCTAAGCCAGAGGTCAAAGCTGGTGAAATTGACAAAGTAGCGGAAAGCATCATCAAGGCAAGTCACTAGCTTCAATCAACTTTGATAAGCGTGCTAACAAGAAACAGGATAAGGAATCAATTGTCCAGCAGCACAATCGATCCATCTTTGTCAAGGAGTGTATCCGTGACGAACTAGTCATCTTTCAAACTACTCAGTACCACGTCAGCAGATGGAACCAGGACTGGGCCGGCGAGCGGGTCAAGTATGCAGAGATGCTTGCTGACAACTGGAGACGCCTGTTGGATGAGCTTGACGGTATGCCTCTGGGTGACTAGAGCACGCCAAAGAGTCATGGCGGCTCATACGTGACGGCGGATGACGAGCCTGGAGAAGAATGGTTTGACACGATGCACTGGAGAGAGGTTAGGTGGTAATTGGATCCGCCTAGGGATATGAGAGAAGCGATGGTCGTGGTACGTTTTGAATTTATCTATTTCGCGTTGAAAATGCGTTTCTGTTTCAGGATTGAGAACTGGTGGCTATGCATGGGCTGGAAGAGGAGTGGTAGTTGGAGGCTGAGAGAAGCATGTGGATGTATGCTCGATACCCTTCCTTCGTTTTAGTTTCGGATGCTTGTTCATAATAGAGACTCAAGATGTTATGTATATATGAGCCGCTGTTGACTGGATTACTTATGATAGTCGAGATTCGCAATGGGCAGGACGATATAATGGTCCTGTGTAGCTTCTTGTGAATATTCTTATGTGATTTTATACGCTTTTACATCTTGTCATCTGTTTACCATTGGTCCGTCACAGCACCATGAGAGGCATCTCCAACCAGTTTGGCATACTTTGCCAATACACCTCTCTTGACCCTGGGTTCAGGGGCCTTCCACTCACTTCTCCGTCTCTCCATCTCCTCGTCAGTGATGTCCACGTCGATGCGATTGCGGATAGCGTCAATCGTCATCATATCTCCGTCCTTGACTAGAGCAATAGGACCTCCAACCATAGCCTCAGGCACGACGTGGCCCACGATGAAGCCATGAGAAGCTCCGCTGTATCGTCCGTCCGTGACGAGGGCCAGGTTTGAGAGACCGGCACCCATGATGGCAGCAGAAGCCTTGAGTTGTTCAGGCATTCCCGGGCCGCCCTTGGGGCCTTCGTATCGGACAACGATAACCAAGTTGCCGTCGGACTGCTTGATCTCGCTGTTTGCCAGGGAGGCGTTAAGCTCCTTTTCAGTGTTGAATACGCGGGCCTTGCCAGTGAATGTCAGACCCTCTTTTCCGGTGATTTTAGCCACGGCACCGCCAGGGGCAAAGTTGCCCTTCAAAATGCGAATGTGGCCGGACTCTTTGATGGGGTTCTCAAGAGGACGGATGATATCCTGACCGGGGTCCAAGCTAGGCCAGTCTTCGACGTTCTCTGCAAGGGTCTTGCCAGTGATGGTCATGATGCTACCGTCGAGAAGACCGCGAGCGACAAGCATCTTAATCACTGAGGGGGTTCCTCCGACCTTATAAAGGTCCTCCATGTAGTACTTTCCACTAGGGGCGAGGTTGGCGAGGAAAGGAGTGCGATCACTGGTACGCTGGACATCGTCGATGGTAAGGGGCACATCGGCTGTGTTGGCCATAGCTAGGAAGTGAAGAACACCGTTTGTTGAACCGCCCAGAATCATGGTCAGAACAAGGGCGTTCTCAAAAGCAGCTCGGGTCATGATATCACGGGGACGAAGGTCCTTCTCCATAGTTGTTCGAATAACTTGAGCAGCTCGCTCACATTCGCGACGCTTCTCGGGAGATTCGGCAGGGTATGACGAAGAGCCAGGCAGCGTAAGACCCATTGCTTCGATGGCAGTGGCCATAGTGTTCGCTGTGTACATACCACCACAGGCTCCAGCACCAGGACAAGCATGCTTCTCAATGTCAGTCATGACATCACCGCTCTCACGACCAGGCTCGCCAGGATTGGACTTTGCGTGGAGACGGCCGTAAGTGAAAGCTCCCGAGGCCTCGTAACAGGTGCTGATGTTGATAGTATTCTCCAAAAGGTTCGAGTGACCCTTACGGATGGTACCGCCGTAGATCATGATAAAGGGGCGGTTGTGACGAGCAGCGGCAATTACGGTACCGGGCATGTTCTTGTCACAGCCAGGGATAGAGATGTTGGCGTCATGGTGCTGGGCGCAAGTGACGGACTCAATGGAATCAGCGATGATTTCTCGGCTCTGGAGAGAGAATCGCATGCCTGAATGGCGTGTCAGCTAGTTATGATACTGTGTGTGAAACTCACTCACCTTCGCCTCCCATAGTGATAGCATCAGATACACCAATGGTGTTGAACTGCCATCCGATCATGCCCTCCTTCTCGATGGAGTTCTTGACAATCTGGCCAAGATCGAGGACTGTCTGTGTGTAAGTACAAACTTCCCCGCATTCATGTTGGGATATCACTCACGATGAGTACTGCACAATTTGTTAGTGTCTAGTCTTTTGAGTGTACAGATTCAAAACTCACTTGCAAGGGTTGCCTTGCCACCAGACGGTAGCAACACCAACCTGAGGTGCATTCTTCATCTTTTCCTCGTTTGGGACACCGGCTCCGTAGAGCATAGCCTAGAAGTCATGTAGTGTCAGTGAGGCGTTGGTGGACAGCGGCGAGTTGATTGCAACATACCTGAGCTCCGGGATAGTCATGCTCACGGGTGATCTTTGTTGACCAGCGGTTGAGAGGGCCTCCAGGAGGCAGGCAGGGAAAGGGAATGTATTCACTGGACTGCTTAGGGTCATGGACGGGGACATTTGAAGCTTGCTTGTCCGCCATGATGATGATTCTTGGCAGAGTTTGAATCTCCAATCTAGAGTTGAGGTATGAAGCACTCCTTTGCGGATGGGCAGTTGGAGAGAATCGGAAGAAGAGTGAAGTTGTTCTTACTAACTCCTGATGGCGGCAATTAGTATTGGAAGGTAACAATGGCAGATGGCGATGTCGGAGAAGGGAAAGAAGGGGGCAGGTGAGTTATAAGAAACGAAAGCAGGAGCAGAGGCAGAGGCAACACAAGCAAGAGCTGCCAAGGATTTACCCCACGGGTACTTACCTCGTCACAGAAAATGAGCTTGATCCTTGACAAAAGAGGGTGAGAGTGAGCCTGGAGCCGGACAATTGAGAATTGGGTTTCCAACTTTTGGACCAAAGACAAGCGTTGGATTAGACAAGAATTGTGGTGCGAGGTCTGCCTTGTCCCGTCTGCCGAAGAGCGGAGAAAGCTGGTAGTAGTTTAGCGATGGCGATGGCGATGGTACCTCAATGCAATATAAGCGGAATGTCCTGTAAGAATGTCCTGTAGCGTGTAGCGTGCGGAGTTGCGAGTGACGTTTCCTCCTCTCTTGTCTCTTTAGCTTTGTTGATCAATTGTTGTTACAAGTGTGGCTTGAGAAGGAAACTGAAGAGAGAATCGGAAGATATGGAGATGGGGCAATGCGAGTGGTGGTAGATACATCTATCAGTGGGCTTCCCACGTAAAGACAGCTTCTATAGTAATTAGAAATAAATAGATTACTAGATAAGAAGCTATTGTGAAATCAACTCTGGCAAAGCTAACGATTAAAAGAGAAAAGAGACCTTCGAGTCAAGTCCCAACCAAATCCGTCCGGTCCATTGACTCTTCCCGGACCGAGCAACTCGGCAATAGCATCATCTCACCCTCGACCCTTGATTTCTCTTCGTCAACCCCTCGTCTTGGTCTTGGACCTGATCATGACATGTCCACTTCCCGATTGTTTTAGTGAAAAGATGGGGATGCAACTAAAACCCCGCACATTCAAGCTTCGTCGAATACCAGCCGTCGGTTTAGCAATTACGGATCCATCCTTCGATAACCCACCAGTTGACACTAGCCAACCAATCATTAGCGAGGTTTCGTTCTTTTTGACGAGTCTCGTCCATCAAGGTACGAAAACACAAGGGGTTGAAAACTGTCGAGTATGAACGATCTTCTTCATGGTGTCCTTCACGATATCTTCGCCATGTCGTCTCGCAGCGTTGGGGTAAAGACTAAAGGGAAGCACACACGGTTAAAAGACAGGGTCTAATAATAACAAATCCGGCTATTTACAGCTTACTCCACAGCCCACCGTTCCATTCGTGATGGATCATTTTCTACCGAAGCCTGATGGGCCCCTCCGCGTGACCCTCCGCCGGCCCCGAACCTCGGATCGGATACAACACGGGGCGGATGTCGATAATCGGGGAAAGATACCGAACTCGGATGCCATCGACCCGAAAGCGAAATTTGACATGTTTCGTTCTGCTCCATGTCTCATGTCTCACATATAACTACCAAGACAATACGTACCCATAATCAATCATAACATGCATATTTAAATAAATGGATACACCCGGTGGATAATGCGAGATACGCATAGAAAGAACTCACCATCCATGTATAGCGCTGCGCCCACCGTAAGCAAACAAAACAAACGCATAGTTAGTACTCTATCATTTCGTCTCATGTCTCATGTCTCATGTCTCAGGTCTCATGCAAGTCATGGACTAAAAGGTACGCGCTCAAAGCTTGCTGTGCCTCAACTACACACGGCCGTCATTGTGAAACAAAAGACTCGGAAACGCATTGAAACGCAGCACAGCAAAGACAATTGCGCTGTCGTACACCTCGACTACGTAGAAATGCATCAATCAGTAAAACCAAATCGTCAAAGCCCATTACAATTCGGGCTTTTGCTGCGAAATGATCTCCATTCATACCTTGCACAGACGCCATTCGGAGCTATCACCACCTCAAGTAGCCTCAAACATTTATCCTATCCCTTCTCCTCCACTCAACCTCTGCCGATCCAGTTTCACTCTAGAGTACCACACCACCACGTCACATTGCATTACACATTTCGAAACAATAAAGCACTTTTTGAGGTGAAGAAGATTATCAATTGATACCTGCCAGCTTTTACCACTGACAGGGTGTATCCAATACCGGTATCCTCCTCCACACAAGTTCCCATTCCCCTCAGTAATCCAGGGCCGAGCGCTTTGAGCTTTGGCTCTTTTCTTTTCATCACCGTAATTTCATCAGTCCTTAATGCGAAACAACGGACTGTACAAGTAAGGAAATTCTGCCAGGGAAAGGCAGGCCAAAACACAACCGGTAGGAACAAAAAAAAATAAAACAAAAAAAACGTGGAATCCAAAATTGAAACATAATGAAAAATCCAAGACTCTTGCCCGCTCCATCGGGCTGGTCTGTACCTCAAGCATAAGACTAAAAGGGGTGTATAGTATCGTAGTCTCCTCCTTCTGCGACAGTTGCTCTTCATGTCGTGTAGCAAATGCCGTGCATCTACCTCCTTTTTTCCACCTCACGGGATTGTGAATCCCACCCACTAAACAATACTTGGTTCGTTGAACCGTAGAGTGAGAACGATATACGCGCGAATTGAAGAGAATGAAAGCGATGTACTTCGTGAAAATGAGTGGGGGCGCAAGTAAAATGCCCAAGTTTGGCAGATATGCCGTGTGTGTGCGTGCCTCCTACAGTGTAGGAGAGCGACGATGCCATGAGTGAAAGGAATTGCGGGAAAAAACAAAAGGCGTATGGTACATTGGGAAAAGGCCACGCTGTGGTCTCACCCATCCATGTTCCTAATTACCTCGCCTCGGGAACAGGATCAAGACAGGACTGTCCGGCGAGTCCAGTTTCAGTGAGCGGTTTGCATCATACCGAATCGCTCCTCTTCCAGCCGTCTCACGATATCCCGATCGCGAGCAGTTCTTGGGTCAGCATCAATACCAAGGATTGAAGAGATCCGTGTCTTGTCCTGTCCCTTGTGGTAGCTTTGGCTGTGCGCATCCTTCTCAGCCTGGCCCGGGCTAGAGATGGGGGTGATGGGTGTCAGAGAAGAGGGACTGCAGCAAGTGCCTGTCTTCCAGGCCTGCTCGAGAACAGTGGGAGATACTGAAGGACCATACTCGTTGGCAATGGTTGTCCAGAATGAGGCGCGGTGAGTAGAGTAGATGGAGTGAAGGCGTGAAAGATCCACATGTGAGGCGTTGTGGGCGGGAGGAGAAGGCACAGGTGCGGGGTCAACCGAGCAGTCAAGACGCAGCGGTGGTGTTGTTCGCTGATGCGAAGCTGCTCGGTGGAAAGCAGGAGGCATCTGAACTGACACATCGACTGACTTGCTATATGAGTGGTTGGTCACAGGAGGAGGGAGAGACATGCGGGATGGCTTTGGGAGGATGGATGGTAGACGGGCCACGTCGCTGGGTCCAACAATGCTGGGAAGTTGGATGTGACTGGCATGGTTGCTCATGTTGCAGGGAGGAGGGCTGTAGCTTCGTACACTTGCACCGGGCGAGACTGAGCGCGAGACAGTCTCGCGTGCCGGGCTGGGGATGTTGATGAGGTGAGCGTGAGTGATTTCCATAGAAGCCCCTGATGAGACGGAAGCAGCACGCTTGTTGCGTCGGTTGCTGCCATGTGAGAGTTGGTGGTAGTGAAGACGGCAGGCCAATTCTGTCTTCTTGAGGTGGGCTGCGATGTACTTATATGGCATCTTCTGGAGTCGAGTTTGGATGAGATATGACTCCTGAGTTGGTTGTTAGTGATGTGGTCAAGTAGCAGTGATTAGTCGTTTTGACTCACCTCCTCGTCGCTCCAAGCACGTCCTCCGCCAGTCGACGAAGCCTTGCGGCTTTTTGTGATGCCGTAATCGTGACGGTCCATGGAATCCCGAGCTGGGATATAAGGTGCAGAGACCTGAGCCATCTGATGTGCAGGCATGCCTGTGGTCATTGTTTGGCTATTCATGAGTGCTTTCTCGAAATTTCGGAACGAGATATCGTAAAAGGTGAAAAGTGAAGTTGCTGAAAAGAATGGTCGTTACGTTGATGAGTCGAAAGTCGTCGTAGAAGCTGATCTTGTAGAAAGGCCAAGCTGAGTAAAGTCGAAGTGATCGATATCGTGTGAATTGTACCGGATGTGCTGTTTATGCCAGCGAGTAGAGTTTAACTCGAAAAGAGACACCGGATTTTGAAAAACCCAAGAATTGAAACTGTTTCTGGTAGAAAGAAGCAGTGGAGGATATTGAATCCTAAGAAAGTGGTTTCGAAAGTATCGAGTTGTGTTGTGTTTAAGGTGATCAAAGGAGTGTCAGCAGCCAAACCAGTTGGTCCAAGAGAATACTGTAAAAGTAATGAGTGTGTTGGAGCTAGCTGCGTTGAAGTGAAGCGGAAGAAGTGAAGACAATGACAAGACGCAGCAGCGTTTCTTGCAATGCAGAAAGAAGAAAAAGAAAAGAAAAGATGAGGGTTTGAGGATGTTGATCCAAGTGAAGAAGGAAAGAGGAAGGGAAGTAGTTAAGAAGAGGAGGGGAAAGTGGTGTAGTAATAAGTCGACATGCACTCGGGTTGGTTCATCGATTTCATCCCAGCAGCAGACAATTCAATTTACAGCGGGATGCAGGCTCAAACTCAGTAGAGTAAGGTACGGATACAGTACAGTACGGGGCAGATTGCAACGGCCACGACGGTGGTGATGGTTCGGGCCATGCATGGATGGGGGGGGATAGACAGGGGACAAGGGTCCCAAGTTACAGGGGCTGATAGCCCCCGGTCACATCTAAACAGGAACGGAACGGGGGGGAAGAAGGGCGTTCCAGGCCTAAGGACGACACCAGGGCCTGTGGCTTGGCTGTTTGTGAATGTTGCAACAGGAACAAAACATACATCGCACACGGAACGAGTAATGGAGATGATTCATCTCACAGTTGACGTCTGGGACTCAAAACAACCCCTACTCCAGACTTGATTGAGGCTCTAAACGGTCCCCTAGGTCCCCAGAGGGTCGGAGCTACTGTAAACTAACCTTATCTTGGGCTGGGCGCCAGACGAGACTTACAATGAGACACTAACTTCCCGGGGGTTTGGAGAAACAATAATAACAATGATATTACAAGAAACGCCACCGATGACAGACTCGTCTCGTTAGAGCAAGTCTATGCATGTTAGATCGAAAGTTGTGAACAACCGAGTCACTCACTTAGCTTTTTTTTTACCAAACGGGAATATGGAGCGAGCCACCGCAAAGCACGTCCGCCACATTCGAGGAAGCGTGGAAGATGGACCCGACATTCCATGACAGGGACAGGCGAGCCTCAAATCCGATCACCTACATACGAACTACGTACGTACATGGCCATGCTCAGATGCTGCAGACATACACACAAAGTACTGAGAGATCTTCTGCCTTGTCAACTCAACCCACCCATGCCTGGTAAAACGGTCACCACCGCACGTAGCGTCTCCCGACTTGCTAAAGAAGGGATCTAAACATCCATCGACACCCCCGGCTCGTCACTCTACACGCACTTGGTAGTTGCTACGACGGATATTTAAGGGCCTGTGCGAGTTTTATATACATCACCTTGCTTGGCATCCCATCTCTGATGGCGAATCGGTCAACCGTTAGACCTAGATATGTCCGAGGTTCGATGTTCGATGTTCCTGTTGTGGATTTCGGGTCTCGTAATCATTTCGCATTCCCAACTGAGGTTCTGAATCCCGTTTCTATTCTTGAAAGTATTATTCGTATTACTATCAAGTTCTTGTTCATGTTCCTGTTCCTGATTTTCTTGTTCCTGGCAGCTGCCTCTTTGTCGGACGGCGGGGTCGTGTTGCGTTACATCAACCTCAGCTTCAGGTGCACGCTGCGCGTAATAGTACCTTCATTACCTGGCCAGCCCAGCCTTGTCCGACTCTTGCAGGTAATGGTAAGGTAAGGTAAGGTAAGGTAAGAACACTCTCTCCCGCAGTCCCGCCAAACCTGCCCTGATCTTGGCTGCATACTGGCACTGGCACTGGCACCCCTGGTGAATAGCAAGGGGTCTTATATTGCTTCATAATTGGACAGTCCCTGATTTTTTTATTTTGCATCCTCGTGGCCTTATCCCCAACCCTGTCGTCTGTTTCCTCCATCTGGACTAGGAGTTGCTTCTGTGCTAAGACCTAAGAAACGATCCTGGGCAGACGTCCATCCATCGCGCTGTGTCCATGATCTTCTGGAGAGCCGTGGTTAGGTCCCAGGCTGTTGGCTGTGGACTAGCACTAGCTAACTGATGAATGGAACGCAATGAGCCTATCTGGTGCCCGGGCATAAGCAAGTAAAGGTGAAGGTAAAAGTAAAAGACCCGCAATCCCTCGGGTTCGCTTCATCGGTAGGTTACATAGTTACCGAATACCGTTGGTATAGTTGCATGACTTGACTGTGTAAGCGACCAAGGCCCTACTCCAGGAACCCCAATGTTTTGTTTAACAAGGGGACGGGTTTCGTTCCTTCGAAACAGTTTTAATTATTTAATATTTTATCCGGTATTGCTCTGTCCTGTATTATCCTGCCCTGCACAGCAGCTTGACGTATACGTACTCGTGCATCTCTGTACTCGGCTGGCACGGTGTTTGGTGGATGTGGATGTATGTGGATGTGGATGTAGATGCGGATGTCATCTGGGTGGGAAACCCTGTCGCCTATCGTTTCGTGATAGGTGGGTGCAAGATATGCCGTCCGTTTAGACGATGCGCACATGCCATCAACGCCTCGATTTATAAATTTGCGGGACGACAAGCGCCTGTCTAATTTCAATGTGCAGTGGCTTAGTTGCTTGCACCTTTATTAAATAAACTTTGTTTTTTTATGAGGCTCATCACTGCGTAGTATTTTCATCTACGGTTCTAAGTGATCATATACTCATCGTATAAAACATGTCAGATTTTGCCCTTTTACCCCAAACTCTCACACATTGTCTTCACCTACAAACTTACAACACATCATGTTTCCTGACCCATGGCCCATCAGTTTCGGTTCCAACCAGCAAAGCCAACTAATCTCGCCGCTTCCTTAGCTGCCGCCGTGCCCCAGGGTTCAGGGATTCCCCCTTGAAACCCGCTAACGCACTGGCGTAATTTCATCTCAGTATCAGTGGAGGGATTAGCCAAAAGAGATAGATAATTGCGAACGCTATGGGGCTCCGTGCTGATTGGGCGGCATATTAACCTCAAAGAGACCAGTTTCGACACAATGTTTTTGCCTACTCCGTCCAACAACCTCTCGAATACATCCCTTTGTGGCTTCACCCTCGTATAAGCCTGAAGCCCCAAGCAATAAAGAGGAGCCCGTTATGGCAGTTGACTAGGACAGGCTATGTAAGGCTCCGACCGAGCTGAGTTTGCGGCACCGACGGAAACATTTTCCTGGCCTCCCCAGTTACAGTTGCGAGGAGTAAACACGGCCAAGCGAGGAACAGGATGGATACAGATGCTTCGATCCTGTTACTGAACGTCCATGTTCCTACTGACTCTGAGCAATCTGTCTGCAACGCAATCTATCCAGCTATTCTTAGAGCCCTGGTCAGCCCCGACTAACACCATGGTATATCAGCAAGATGATCACCAGACCGAGCAGTGAATAGGACTGTACAGTGAGGTGTTGCCGTAGTCGATCGTCCCTTATCAAAGATCTTTCTCGTCTTCTCAATCCATGCATGTGCAGACAACTCTGATGGCAAATGTGCACTGGGTAGTGTTTGCGGCGCAAGGGGTGCAAAACTCGCTCGTGTCTATGTAACGCTAAAAGCAAACCTCTAGATGCCTTCAGATCCTGATGCAGATGGCTTACAGGGCAGCGTCTAGATAAACAGTTTCTACAGCCCAGGTCGAAACATTACCGAAAACCGGGACATGCTCTGCCGACTTGACAGGAGGTCCCATGACGCCGGATGGTCGTTGTTCCTGTGTGAGGTTCGAAGCAGCGATCAAACATTTTCGATCTGAAACTCCAAGATCTTGGGGTTTCCCGTGTATGTTTGAGATGCATTCAGTTTCAACAATCTTTCTTTATATAATGCTTTATATGATATACCACGTATCCCTACCATATAATCATGTCTTTGTTCTTTTTTAACTAATACCCATGGTTCAATGCGCTAAGCATCGTATAAAATGTTTTGCCCAGGCGCATCGTCTTACCATGACAAAGCTACCTCGGCATCGTTTCAGGAGTCTGTGCGGTTTGGCTGGCCCAAGCTGGAGTTGTCAGGATCAGGGCTCCAGGGCTCCAGAGCCCCAGGGGCGCCCTGAAAATTCTGTTCTGGAACATTGCCGTTCGCCGGTCTGCAAGGGCGGGGATGCAGCTATCGTGAGTTTGTAAAAGGGCGGACCATCGATTTTTTTTCGCTGGCGGACGGCATATGCTTTGTTCTATTAATGTCGGTACGCGTATGCGACCTAACGACAACAGGGTTCTATCGCGAAGATCATCTCCTTCTTGTTTGACTTTCATTAATTTTACCCGCAATAGTTCAAAGTCTCCTCGAAACCCCATTAAACAGATCTTGAAGCATTATGCGTGTATCTTTGTTGTCAGATAGTCGAGTCATCCCGTGTTGTAGAAAGTTTACATTAAGCATTATGGTGTTTGTTACCGATACCACATCATGACCCTGCAGGGCTGCTGTTTCAATATTCACCGTTATAAGGTTGCGGTAGCTTGAAACGTGACCGTAAGTAATGTTTGAGATTCCCATCATCCAGTTCAATATTTCTTACCTATTGCTGCGTAAGCAAGGGTCGCATCGCTTGGCCCTACGGCTCCAAAGAGGTCCGAATACTTTCAAGCTGCTCTTGCAACCGGGGTGGTTTCATCAGAGGTCTATAGGGTCAAGACCCATTGATGAGCGGAGGTTTCGAAACTTGTGGTATATTGTAAACGGATAAAGCACCGATGCAGCTTTGCTGTCAAGGTCCTTGGGTATCGATGAACATACAGGGGAGCTGCTCACCGCAAGAGCTTGGTCTGTAGGTGGCAATTGCAATCTTTGAAATCTGATGGTCTGGGATTACGGAATCTATTTCCCCGACATTATAAGGCTTGTGGAGAGGTGTTTTTTTGTTATGTTTCGTTCCTATCGGGAGAGTGCCCCGTGCTTTCGTGCTTATTGACGTGGGACTATCAGACCATGCGGATGACAAGCGTGTTTCGAAGCGGGGATCTGCAATGCAGACACAATTTGGAGTTCTAAGTTTTGATGCTGGGGCCGGATCGCCGTATACAACACTCAAATTTGGTTACAGTCCCGGCTTGATCGGTATTTTCCGCTATGTTCCTTTTCAACGGGTCTTAATTTACCGTTCGCCACTCCATGGGAGTTTAGGGTTTGCGGGATTTCATCTGATCCTTAAGTTAGATCTAATCTTAGTGTATGTGTCTGTCAATCTGTCTAGTTTGTTGGTTCTACAGTTCCAAGTCATCATTTGGGCTACCCTACACAGCGGATCAGAGTTTTGTCTTTTTGTATAATTGCCCACGGGCGTGTATTAATAGTTTCTGTATGTACATGTTTTACATACTAAAGGATATAATTGAAGTTCACGAATATCGTTTATTCCTGTGTTATGTTGTTGCTGAAGTTGTGATTATCGATTGCGTAAAAGCACATGTGAAAGTGGTGATTGACCCCACGAGAAGTGGGATAAACCAACTGGGCAGAATAAACTTGCCAGAAGCTTCATTTCTCGTCTACAGATACAGAATACGTCCAATATCCATTTCAGATCATCCCAAGACACTCGCCACCCGTACGAGAGAGTGAAGATCCGAGTCCGGATCCGACGATGGGAGGGACTTGAGAGGTACACAGATTCAATGTCACGATCTTAGCTCGAGACGCGACCAGATTGCCGGGTGTACCCCATTGTGTACAGTACTTGGGGTGGAGAATCGGGGGCAGATCCATCATCCATCACTGTGAGCGATGCGGCTCTTGAGGCCAGCCATCCTGAAATGGCACGTACCGCAAGACAAGGTACGTAGGGTAAAAGAACGGCGTCAACACTACAAAAAACGTGTCATTAATAAACACGCGCTTACATTTTTAGACCTCCCGTCATGGTTCGTTGGAGATTACTGTTGTGGAAGAGAGCCTTTTCCCAGGCAGAGCGGGGATGACGTATTGTTATTCGCCAGTGAGTGAAAGGTGACAAGGTCCTGATCTGACCAACACCCGTTGTGACTGTTAAAGCCGATAATGGCCTGTTGGGGATACAGTTATGAGAAAACCCATGATTGAGAAGGGCTGTCATAGCAAAGGCTGTTAATATTACTCGATATCATACAACAAAGCGCAGTTAGTCATGTTCTCCTGATGATTGACTGAAATTACATTCGGATACCGGATGCAAACATTTTCAATATAAAATTACAGTGACGTGGATGTTATCTGAGTTAATGAGACGGTGATGCTGTACGACTTATTCTTCTTTTCAACCATTCGATCGCTACAAGTTATAATTGATGATACCAAGGTAGTCAACTGCAACTGATGAAGTTATTAAACATCATGATACTCTGTATTCACAAATCAACGACATCAATTGAATACCTGATCCTCTGTCAAACTTGAATGCCACTCACTGACTGAGGCTGAGCCATGGATGGCTTGGCAACCATCGTCACAACCAAACAAAAGCGAGATTTGCGTTAGCGAGTGGATCATACGAGAGCACGTACCTCGCAGTACTTGTTTACTCAATGTTTCCTGCTGAAGGTGATCCACTACTCAAGCACGACCGCACTGTAAGTCTTCAGCAAGCTTAGGAGAGGCTCTACAGTGTGAAAGCTTCACTTGCAGTGAGCAGCCCGCGCCTCGGACGGACAGCAGCCCCGCTTCTGGGCTTCTGGGGGACCAAGGATCGGTAGCTTTCTGTCGCGCGTGCCCATCTCGTCTCGCCCATTCCATTCTCCCCTTTCCACCAAAAAAAAAAAGGGTAACCCACGACCACCTTCCCCTCCCCAGGTTCCAGCTACTTCCCAGGTCCTGCCCGAGTTACTTTGTCTCGAGGTACCGTCCATCGTCGCTCTCCCCCAGACCTTCTCTCTCTTGTCAATCCACCTTCTCCCTCTCTCCATCTGACACTGGCAGAAACGTATTGAGGTATTGATTGTACATCATCTTACAAGGCATTGGATCCATCCCAGACCAACCCAAACCAAACTTCACTATCGATCTACCTACAGCTGTGGATCCACCGCATCTGATTCTTTGTTGAACTACGATTGCGATTGCGATTGCAACTGCGGCTACGTCTGGACAGAGACCAAAACCCTCCATTCGCACTGCAACTTGTGTCGTCACCGTCGCCCTCACCCTCGAACAAGACGCGCATTTGCATGTTCCCCTGCGGACCTCTTGACAGCTCTAGTAAGTGTTTCAATTTATACTTTATTTTCCATATCCGTTATAAGTCTCTCACTGTTTGGTTTTGTTTGCAATTATACCGCACCCTTTTCCCCCAATATGACTCTTATTTGCACATGTTTTTGGGTGCGCGTTCTGTATCTTCCGTCACTGCCGAGTCGAGATACGGCAAGTGAGCTTTCAATGGGGCATTGTCCTGATCGTTCACTCACTCACTCATCCATCCATTCCACCCAATTCCGCAGCCTATCGCATTCCGCCTTCATCATCTTGTAACGACCACAGACATACCTTTCCAATTACTACGTGCCTTTTTCTTATACATTGTTCTCGTGTCTTCTCGCACATACACGTTACGCGTGTAGCCTTTGACTGGCGTCCGACTCTGGTTGCATTTTGCCTTGTTATCAGCCCTGCCCAAACCCTTTGCTCTCAAGCTTTTGCGCTCGTCACCAACCACCCTAAAAAAGCAAAAAAAGAAATGGGGCGTTACCTGATGTGCCTATTCACCACGGCTCTTCGGCGCACGCGAAAGCAGCACGGCATCTGACTGTGCGTCTGTGAAGCCGCCCACCAATGTATATGCTATTAATCATTCAAATCCAAACAAAAAATTACTTCACCATTCTGCTGGCTCTCACCACATAAACACGTACACACGATACTAATCTTCATTTAGCCATCACAAAAAGATCCAGCTTCTGACAAAAAAGACGAGACACCAGTACTCAACTTGTACTTGCGTGGAGATAAAAGACGTCGCCCACAGCACCCAATCAGTGTCCGAGTTTCTGTTTCCCTACGCCCTAGCTCCCTTCTCAGCAGAGAACTTGTTGGATACTTGCAGATACACTCACAAAACTCGTGTCTACCTGTCTGCTTTTTTGGTGTCAAATACCTGTACGGTTGCTGTTTAACCCTTTGGTACTCGACAACTAGTCTATCACCGAACACTTGAATCTTTTGCCCGTAAGTACAAACAGGTCTTTCTTCATCTGTTCACATTGTCACTTGCTTTTGAGTGCCCGTGCTTCAATTTTTGAGTGCTCTTCGCGCGTCTTGCCCCGTCGCGTCTCGTTACTCGCTGGTGTTTATGAGCAACGACTACATCGCAGCCTGAGCAGCTCGGTAGAGAAAGATGCTTCAGTATCCTGCGCGATCTGAACAAGATCCGAGTGATCGTCATTGTGGTCCCCATGGTATTGCGATGTCGATAATTACAGCTCAATTCAGTCCACACCCTGGTCGCGTCACTCCCAGCTTGCGCGTGCTGCAGACCCACGTTGGCAGGCTCACCAGTTAGTGTCATGATGTGTCTGTTTGTATTGCAGATACATTCACGTCAGAGTCTCACAACTTCAACATGGTGTTCCCGAGTTATTGCCAATTTTCCTTTGAACCCAAACGCTAACCTTTGTATCTCGTTAGAACATGCAGCAGTGGCAAGTCGGGCCTGTCCCGGAGTATGTGTACACCAACAATACTCATCAGCCAAATGAGATGCAGTAAGTTCTTCTTTAATTTCATTAGTACTTTATACTTTCCACGATACTTGTCATTCTTCGGTCTGCTACATATGTGGTTTTTCCTTCTGTCGGGTATCGTCTGATGAGTTTTGGTCGGCGGTCGGTACATCTCAACATTGTCTCACGACTGGTTTTCGTTACCTACAAATGCTTAACCGGCAACCACAATGATACACGGACTACTCACTCACATAAAAGTGATGCTGGATGTCCGTAGATTATGTTCTCATTGATCACCATACCCAGTCCTGTTGGAGTAATGTTCTACAATGAGAGGCAACACTGCTAACCAGCGTGCCTCCATAGCAACACTCACCAGTACCAGAACGAGATGGCCCGTCGCGATGATAGGATTGGGTTTGCATACGGCGCTCCTCAGCCTAATATGACACCGCAGCAACAGCAGCAGCACCAGCAGCAGCAGCAACAGCAGCAGCAACAGCAACAACATCACCCTGCGCCTGTTCAACCTCCCATGAACGTCCCTCAGCAAACCCCAAATGGCCCTGCACCGCCTCAGCAAACACCTACACCTAACCCTGCGCCAGGTGGTCGGCAGCGAAAGCGGCCAGCACCTGCCGTCGCTCCACCACCCGCCGCGGTAGCCCCTCCTGCCCCTATCACTCCTTCGCAGGTTCAGCCCCCTGTGACAGCCCCTCCCGCTCCTCAGGCAATTCCTCAGCCTCCGCCTCAAGGTCCGACTGATGATGCGAATGCCGCACCAATCGTGCCCCCACCAGCCAAGAAGAGCCGAACCAACACCCCTTGGACACCACAAGAAGAGTTGCGCCTGAAGCAGATGCGAGATTCTGGCAACAGCTGGGCAGAGATTGCCAAAGTAAGAACCATAGTATGAACCAAGCATGTTTTGTGTGCTAATTATGACGTGAAGACTTTTCCTACACGAACAGAAGGATCTGTCAAGAAACATTGGTACAAGGTATGTTTGGCACGCTGATTTATGTGTATATTTGAAAGCTAATTGGAGTTAGGATATGCACTATGCCGAGTTTGCTGAGGACGAGGTAACCACAGTCCGCCCTGTCCATTGAGCAACCAAGCTGACCTCCCCCTCATCAGAGTCAAGCGTTGTTGAACGCCATTAAGGAGTACGAGAATAACAAGTGGAAGGTTATTGGGCAGAAGGTCGGCAAGCCTGCCAAGGTATGGATAGCCATTGCTAGAATTTGCAGAATGTACCTTACTTACGATTGACACAGGCTTGTGAACAGTATGCCAAGGAACATTTTCCAGGTATGGCCACAAAGCTCCGTTTTTAACAAACGAAAGCCAAGGACGTCACCGAAACTGACCTGGATAGATCTGTTTCCCAACTCCAAGGGACGATAGGTTAAGAAATTGCAGCGCAACGGCAAAACTGACCTACGAGGTTCGACAGACAGCCACAAACCCAGCGATGCAAATTTTGGATAGGGTCTTTCCCCTCGTCAATGGTTGCTCGTGGGTAAAGATCAAAATCCCGAAGAAATTTGCGAGATTAGCTGTGGCGCATCCCATGTGGGATTATTAATGCTTGCTTAGTGTAAGATTCTTTTTCAACCTTTATTCATTTATGAGACCTGGCGAACACCTTTATTATCACTCTTTCGGATTGGAAACGGAACGGATCGGGCCTTGGCGTGGGAATGCGAAAAAGGAGGGTAGACTGGATGCAGAACTGCGGACGAACCTGCCAAGTGGCTTGTAGGAAGCAAGTGGTATGAAAGATGTTGGATAGGTGAAGGAAGCGGTTTTTAGCGTAATGCAGGAGACAAGAAGGGTGGCCAGGGGAGAAGAAGCCGCTTCGAGACGGGGCGGGGTGGACAACGAGTACTTTCTAGTTGTTTTTCTTTATCCTTTTCTTTCTCGTTTATGGACCCGGAAGGATGGAACTGTTTGATTAGGATCGGTTATTTATACCCCAATGCCTGGAGTTGAATGCCTGCGCACACAAAAATAACGGTTTCTTCGAGTGACGGTGGTATTATGATCAAAATCGGCACCAAAAAGGTAAATTGTACCATAAATCAGACTTCTGTGATGACCATCCAACTTCGTCTTGTAGTTTGGTGGTTATAAGAACAACCATTCAACAAGGTACTATACAGTACATGAGTTGAGTGTCAGCCAGCCAGCGAGGCGCTTGACAGGCTTGTAGACTTGATTAGGATCTGGCGTGTCTTCCCCTTGTTAGGGTGGGTGCCAGGGTGTCAGAGAGACAGCCATGGCTAACATTATCTGCCGAGTGTATGCGTGGCGTAGGGAAGTGTTGTGCGACTAAGGATACATAATGGCTTTAGAAGGATTTTGGAACGCCATCGAACATGAAAATGGCTGCGCTGTTACTCCGTACTTCAGAGGTACCTACATTAGTAGCTTGCATTTATATAAGTACCTTGTAGTAGTCCACGGAGTACCCAGTACCTAGTACAGCACGGAGACATGCCCGCAAGAAAGGAAAAATGGACCGGAATGAAGGGGGGTCGGACGTATTATGACAGGCAGGGATAGGGACCGTGACCTGAAATCTGGGGTGATTTCAAGGTGTTGGTTGACGGAATGCACGGCCATGGAGTCTTGGCCTGATATTGAATGAAGTGAATTATTTACATATGGGCGAGAGAGAGAGTCGATTTGTATGTATGGAGTGTATATGTGTTTAAATAATACGACGGGTATTGATGGCGTCGATCATCAATAACTCAATCGGGTTGGTTGAACTCTGTTGGTGATTGATCCTCAACAGTGATATAAGAGCCACGCAACTTGATGTGAGCCTGAACGAACAGAATGAAGGGAGAGATGATGGATGATTAATCTTTGACAGAAAATAGAGTGCATAGCACCTCAGTTGATTGCATTGCATTAATGACTGATATCTATTCGTAGTCTGTAGCTATACGATGAAGGATTAACGATCACCTAGAGCGTGACATCGCCTCTTGGAATCAGGGGCCAGCCGGGGGCCCGAGGCGTGTGATCGCAGACGAACCCATAACCAAATTTGAACAAGGTCGAGCTCTGATTGGTCTTTGCGGAAGCTTGGATCGTTTGTTATCTCCAGAGTGGTTTAGTGTCAGTGCATCTAAACGAAAAAAGAGGCCCAGGTCTCTCTCTCTTTGGGAGTTCAGAGTCTGGAGTCTCGGCACGAGAGGTCCGCTTTGCTGCTAAGAGGGGGGACCTTTTCCCTCTATGACCTGCTTCGCTTCCTTTTCTTTAATCCCTCTCTTTCCCCGGATTTGCCTGTCGAGTTCTGTGTGTGCAGATACCTCGTCTTTTTTCTTTCCTTCTTGTTGTTTGCTCATCCTTTGTTCTTCCTCCTTTTGTTTCAACAAGGGAAGATAGATATCGGTGGCACTATCAATCGTTTTTCTTTCTGATCTAATCAGTCAATCACTCGCTGCACTGTCGCACAAATCGCAAACAAGTTCCGATTGACCGAGTTCGAGGGAACACGACGCGATTTAATCACCCCCAAATCACCCCCAAATCATATACACTCGCTTCAGTGTTGCCGCTCAAACGTCTTCTTCTGCTCTTCTTAAAGAAGAAAGTTGCGTAGCTATTCAAGGGAGAAGACAATCTAAAGAAAAGGGTTGTCTTTGGGGAATACGGATAAGGACGCGCAAACTGCACTGCGGCCCGCATTCCAGCGCCCTTTTTTCGGACTTCATCGGCACACTATCAGCAGCCAAACCTCATCCTAATTAAACGGTCGCTATCACCTTAATCTACATCATCAACAACAAACGACAACCCAAGTCGCTCGCTTGCTGGGTTGATTCGACTGTCGTTTTGTATCTACTCGATTCAAGAGCACTCGCTACCTCTTATCGACATTCCGACGCCTCATCTACTTTAATATTCGATATCTCGACCACCTCACCTCCTATCGTTTAACTCCGAACCTTAATTTGGAGCGCTTTCCATCAACGCACTCCGACTGCATCAGTGCATTTGTTATACTCGACTATCCCATATTCATAATGTTGCGATCACTCGTTGCCGCTGCCCTTTTGGGTGTCAGCTCTGTTGCTGCCATCAAGTGCACACGCAGTAGCCACTGTCCCGAGGACTCTCCTTGCTGTTCCAGTATGTTCTTTGCGCAAACCCTCCTGATCTCGATGTCTAACGTAGTCCAGCTTATGGCGAATGTGGTGTTGGCGCGTACTGCCTTGGCGGTTGCGATCCTACCATGTCCTTCTCTCTCGACTCTTGTGTCCCTGCGCCCGTCTGTGAGGACCGCAAGATGAAGATGGACAACATCGATAGAGTTGTTGACATTGGCAAGTATCTTGGTGATTCATCAAAGGCCGACTGGGTTGCACAGGGCGAGCCTGTTGTCTTCAAGGATAACGTTCTTCTTACTATGCCCAAGGACAGTGTCGGCACTCTCATGTCTTCCACTGTCTACATGTGGTATGGCAACGTCAAGGCTCGCTTCAAGACTAGCCGAGGCCCTGGTGTGATTACTGCATTCATTCTCTTCTCTGATGTCAAGGACGAAATCGACTACGAGTTCGTAGGCACAGAGCTCGGCGATGCTCAGACCAACTATTATTTCCAAGGAATCACAAACTGTAAGTCATTCCAAGGTTCAAGGTCCAAGGTCCAAGGTTTGAGGTCGCACAACAAGGTAGTCCTTGTTTGTGATACAGTGCTGCACACTCACGTGACCACCCCATGCTATACTTGACACTCCTAACACTTTGCTAGATGAGAATTCAGAAAACATTACGCTCTCTGACACCTTTGCCAACTTTCACGATTACGAAATCCGATGGACTCCCGACAGGATCGAGTGGTGGGTCGATGGCAAGATGGGCCGATCCCTCGACAAGAAAGATACCTGGAACGCCACAGCTAAGAACTTCAACTTCCCCCAGACCCCATCACGAGTCCAGCTTTCGCTCTGGCCCGGTGGCAAAGAGGGAAACGCAGAAGGCACGGTATCCTGGGCGGGCGGGCCTATTGATTGGGATCATCCTGATATCCAGAAGAGCGGTTACTTCTATGCTGCTTTCTCCGATGTTGAGATTCAATGCTTCAACGCCAAGTCTGGGCCAGGCAGCAACTCGGGTACCAGCTACTGGTACACGGACGCCCGTGGTACTAACGATACGATTACCGACGGTGACAAGAGGCACACTATTGCTTCTCTCATGGCCAGCGGTGAGGATATGGACAAGGGAAAGAAGACGGACGAGAAGAAGAAGGACAAGGACAAGGACGATGATAAGGACGACAAGGATAGCAAGGATGATAAGGATAAGGACAAGGATAAGGACGACGATGAGGATGATGAGCCTGCCACCATCCCTGGTGGCAGCAGTGGTGCACCCACCAACGACCATAACGACGACGATGGTGGTAACTCGGGCTCAAGCTCGGGCTCAGGCTCAGGCTCAGGCAGTGCCCCCAAGGGCAACCCTGACGGTACAGACGACACGGAGCCCGCTGACACCACCAACTGCGAAACCAACAGCTTCAACCAGGACTGCGCAAAGTCTGATTCCAGCAAGAGCAGCTCTGAGGACAGTGGAAAGGGATCCAGCGCTGGGTCACGGAACGGCGCAAGTGCTCTGGCCATCATTATTGCTGGCGGCGCTCTGTTCTGGCTGTGATCATGTCATGCTTAGGTTGCGCTGGGCTGCGATTCCTTGACCATTGACATCTCTCCTTTTTTTCTGTTTCACCGCCCTTATATATAGCATCTTGCTGTACCTTTTTCTTTTAGCATCTTCATGGTGGGCGGCATCGGGCATTTGTATGTAATTCTTCTATTTCTTGTGTGTATATTTCGTAAGCGGAGGGATGATAATGGGAAATGGTTTTGCTCTGCCCTGTGTGTGTTGTCATGTGGTTAAAGACTATCGTAGCCTCGGGTGACCTGTGTTTTAATAAGTGGTTTACTGTTTGTCATGGTCTAAGCGCAGTGATGGATTATCCAATGTGATCCATACACCGTAGGTTTTTAATTACTGGATCGGACTCCTTCGGACATCATGCGAGAACGGTGAGACAGCATGCATCGTGTTGACGGGGTTAACTAAAATCTGACGGCTGTCATGTGGTAGGAGCTGAAGGATTGGTTGTGAAATTAGGATATGCCTGGTTTCTTAGATATGCAGCTTAGAAACAAGTCGAACGAGACGAACAGGACATAGTTGAGAAGTAACATATGAGCTATTGATCCGATATACTATGTATGCTGTCGATCGTCCTTTCAGCCCTACCCTCTGAACATGGCATCATCAAAGTGTCCCATTGGCACCTAGGCTACAGCTGATCCAATCATTTCCCATCTTGGCACGTTTTTGTAAACGCGGGAGTCCAGCCACCCCCTGCATCTTCTTGTTCTTTTGGGGGCTTAAGCGCTTTGAAGTGTACATGTCATGTTCCCCCTTGTAATGCAAACATTTTAGACGCCCTTGGCCAATGGACAAGAGCAGAGCAAGCAGAGGTAGTGGCTTGTGAAGGAGAAATAAAGAGGGGGGGATCACTGGTGAAACCTGCAACTCCTTTGACTCTGGCCAGAATATGCACGTTTGCTTGTGGTAGTGGTAGTACCCGTTCGTTTCGTTTCCATCCATCGTTTCATCTTAGTCGTGCTTCTGCCGCTTGAGGCCATTCAACTGGCTCTGCCCAGCCCTACAGGTCATAGGTGCTGCTCAGGAGCCCAGTGGATTTAGTGGCACAGCGCCACAGCCCCTCCCCTAGTTCGGGCACCTACAGCGGAGAGCGGGCTTTATAATTGACGTTTTAGTCGGTAGGTTAGTACCTAGTTTAACCCCTGGATCAGCAGCAGCCAAAGGAGGATCAGCCAGAACCAATCTATTCCAGGCACTGAATCAGCACCTCGCAGAGACCCTTCCAATCACAGTCCCCCCTGCGCCTCCACTGAGTATCCCCCATTCTTAGACAGCGAACAAGGGTTTGTTTGAATGAATTGACTGGTCCAACGATGTTCTTTTCGTTCTTTTGTTCCCCTTTGACAGGTGCTTTTCTTTTTCTTTTCTTTCCTGATCCAATGAATCATGCTTGCATGTACTTTATATCGCGCGTGTGCAGGGTTCACTGTTCCTTTTCTTTCTGTCATAGTTCACTCCCTGGCCCTGGTTGAGGCTGAGGCTTATACTTTTTGGCTGTCTATATATGCTAGCCAACCCCCGGCGGCTATCCATGCCAGGACCTCTTTTTCTCTCACAGCCTCAGCAATCCTTTGAACGCATTCAGCCTCCCCTTCATTTTAAAATAAAACTTATCTTTGTCTAAAAGATCGGACTGGTTCCTGTTTCTTTTTCAACTTTTCTATACATCCTTTTCCCTCAAGAACACTTCACTTGTTTCTTTTTGATACCCCACTCCCTCGTTCATAACCTCTATCTGCCTACTTCAGCATTGATTGTCTATCACTTATACTCACAGTATATCACATCTTATACAAAAGACTCACAACTGCAACGGCTTTGAAACGATACCCCACATCACCATGAAGTTTGCATACGCCGGCCTCATGGCCACTCTCGCTGCTTCAGCCTCTGCGCTCCCTCACGTTGCCCGCAGCTCATATTCTGTACCCTCAGCCTCCGCCGCTGGCTCTTCTCCTGCGCGCATCCTCCTCGGCAACTCTGGTCACATCTACGTCGCCGACTTTACCCCCAAGACAGGCAAGTTCGAGCTCAGCCTCGAGCAGGAGATCGTGGGCGGCAACTCGTGGATGAACTTTGTCGCCCCCAACCTGCTCTACGCCGTCGACGAGAACTCCAATGAGCTTCGTCTCTTCGAGCTTGATCTCAAGGCCAACAAGCTTACGCTCAAGACCAAGAAGACTGGAAGCACTGGTGTTGTCCACCTCGAGTTCGACCCTGACAAGACCCGTCTTGTTGGTGCCGCTTACGGTAACGGCACCATCGATGTCTGGAACACCGAGAACGGCGGCCTGGAGTTTGTCAAGACTCTCAAGTCCCCTGGCAAGCTTGGCCCCGATGAGGAGCGCCAGGCTGCTTCTCACCCTCACCAGGCCAACCTGGACCCCTCTGGCCGCTACTTTGCCATCAACGATCTCGGCACTGACTCTGTTGTCATCATTGACTCCAAGGACGATGCTTACAAGATCGCCAAGAACATCCCCGTCACGGCTGGCTGCGGTCCCCGTCACGGTGTCTTCTACCCCGCTGGTAGCAAGAAGGCCACCCACTACATCGTCGCCTGCGAGCTGAGCAACCAGGCTCTCGTCTACTCCGTCAGCTACGAGGAGAACACACTCGCCTTCAAGCTCTACCAGTCCATCTCCACCTACGGCAAGGATGCCCCTCCCAAGGACATCAAGAAGGCTGCCGTCGGTGAGATCATCCTCGCCCCCAACAACAAGGACGTCTACATCTCGAACCGTGTCTCTGGACAGAAGACCGACTCCATCGCCCACTTCACCATCGCCGAGTGCGGAACACTCACCTACGCCGAGACCGTCTCCTCCGGCGGTCTCCTGCCCCGCATGATGAGCTTCAGCCTTACTAGCAAGCACATCTTTGTCGGCAACCAGGACGGCACCAACGGCCTTGCTGCTTTGAAGCGAAGCCCCGACGGCAAGCTTACTGAGAAGCCTGTTGCCACTCTTCCAGGCTCTGCGTTCGGAGAAGCTCTGTTCGGACCCCAGTATGTCCAGCAGATCGTCTAGGAGACTATGACCTGCGGCATGGAGGGGGGCCAAGCGTGAACAACCTTTTTCTTCTTTTTTTCTCAATGGCGCTTTGGGTGTTTTGGGCTTGTAGGATATATCCTGGCTCTGCCCTTGGAAATTGAGGGGCATGATTTAAAAAAATTCTTCAGCATTCTATTCAAGTCAATTGACAATTCTTCTATACCCTGGTATCAATCAAAAAGCAAAACGCCCTGTCATTCGTGATGAAACATTGCTGTCCATGTAATACTGTACTGTAATACTTCCCATATTTATATTTTCTCACTCAAGCTCAATCTGAACTTGAGTCACTCGCCATACCTGCTCCTCCACGCCCCGAGGTATCCTCCAGGCGCTCCTTAACCTGCCTGTACTCTTCATCTAGCAGATCAGGATCTGAGCACTTGTGAGCGGTTTCGAAGTCGATGAGAACAGCCTCACCGTCGTCACCCCTGATGAGGAAGTTGTGCTTGTTGATGTCGCCGTGCACAATACCCAGCTCGTGCAACCTGTGCAGACTGCGCTGGCAGGCGGCCAGGTCCCCGGGCTCTGCGGTGCGGGCGCCGGGGATCTCCTCGAGCAGGAAGCCGATGACACGGCCGTTCTCATGGATGTGGCCGAGAAACACGGGGCCGATACCCCGGCCGTGGATCCACTCGTAGGCGGTGGTCTCGGCAGCGAAATAGGGGATCTCCCAGGGGAACTGGGCAAACTTTGCCAGGACGGGCGTCTTGAAGGCAGGGTGCGTCACGCGGTAGATGGTCTGGCGCACGCGCTCGACCTGCCGGAGCTCCAGGTGGTCGACGGTGGTGTCGTGCCAGACGTTGCCGATGCCGGGCAGACTGCACCTCCGGGTCTCGCAGAAGAAGGGCTTCCCTGTGTGCCCGTCTTTCCCGACGCGGCCCTCGTTCCAGTCGCCCGGGGGAAACACGGGGAGCTGCGGGAGCAGAACGGGCTCGTAGGTGCGGTCCTCAGGGGGGATGAGACCGCCGTCGATGGTGACGTATCTTACGTGGGTGTCGTCGACGAGGAAGCGATATTCGCTCTTCTCGTCCTGCTCAGCGTCTGCGAGGACGGCGAGTAGTTTAACGTTGTTATTGTTATTGCTGTGTTTCATGATGTGTTTTGTGGTAGTTGAAAATGAGCGACAGGTTTTGCGATGTGAGTGAGTCCTTCATATATCCCACGATGAATAGGTAGGCGAGGTGATGTAAGAGGTAGACTGTAGGTGGGGGGTTGAACAGCCACAGTAAAGGTAAAAACCACGTGCGGCTTAGAGGGCATATAACGACAGATAGAAGCACCATTCCTTTTGAATCCCTGGGAGGAGTACGGATAAATAATGTAATAATGTAGTCAGTTACTTCTCGGCAATCTGTCATTGATTGCGCTTTGACGCGTGGTTGTAGTCAGTGCCCTGTGAGCTGCAGCTGTACCTACCAGGAATAGGTAGAGGTGGAGGTAGAGGCGAGAGGTAGCAAATAGATTGGTGTACTAAGTGCACTGCAGTTTATCCACCTGTTGGAACTGGACTATTTGTTTCTTTATTGCGGTGCTGTAATGCAGGTCCAGATCTAACGGGTACCACCTCTACTCTCCCGTGTCGAGTCGAGTCCATTTCCACTGTTGATCAGCTAAACAAGACACAGTGGAGTTGAGTTCCCCCTGTAACACCCCATTACCATCACCATCACCGTATACTATGTAACTTCAACCCCGGGGAATGCATACCTCAAGTTCCGGGTGGGAACTGGACAATCAATAAACGTATTGAAGTGAAGGCCGCTGACTCTTCCATATCAAGCGTCCACCGTGATCCGCTCTGCCGAGTCATGGCCCTGTCGTGACTATGTAACTTAGTATGTAAGTGAGGCGGTTCCCCCTGTGCCCCTGACTACCTATTTAGAGCGGGTTTTCGACAGGGGGTTTTGGGGATTATGACATGAGAAGAATTGGTTACGAGAGATGAAAAGTTGATCTGTAAGGGTAAGGGTAGATATGTGAAGTAAAGAAAAGAAATTGATATGAATTGAGCCTCATAAATGACAACATCAGGCCAAATTGCTTTTTCCAAGACTTGGGCCTTGTCTCTGGAGACCAATTGGACTTGTCCAGGCCTCGGTACTAAATCATGTTACATTGTCAAGTACGGTTCGAGCAATTATCTCATGTTCAGTCCAATCACGTATTCTTACCTGCATCTTCAAATGGTGTCGTACGATTGGTAACCAGACGTTCGTTTCCTGAATGCCTCAATGGTCGGTCGATGCGTTGTCAACTCAGCCGCAGCAGATGCTGTGACTATTCTTTCTTGTACCTCTTATCGTCGAACTGTGTTCTATTCTTTACTCTTTAATGTATTGCTGCATTTCTTCTAGAGCCTATGGTGTATACAACCCTAATACGGTAACATACTTATACATCACAACCTGTCTGTCCCTACTCTAGATCATATCAGTCACTCTCGCCCCTCATTATCATCCCCCTTCGTACATCTCACAACTGCACCTCACATCACACAATCAGTCTCACCCCCCGCAGAAGCGAACCGTAACGGTAGCCGTCACAGCACAATCCTCGCCTCAGAATCCCTTGATTGGAAATGAGACTGCACGTGTCACTCCCCCAATAACGCTCGAGTCCAATGCCTCTAGGTCGGGCTGCAGCGGCATATGCATGCGTCCCTATCCCTCCATCCGAATGTTTCCTAGAATCAAACCTTAGATTTATCTCTCTCACACCATATTTCTGCCTGATCTTTTCTATTGTATCCGTCGCTGAGTACGGATTTAAATATGTATCACCATCAGGCCTCATCCAAGTGGACGGGTATCTCTTGATTTCTTTGCATCATGTTTCAATACTTGGTGTCGTTGGACGCCCGCTTTACACTTGTATCTTGATGCTTTTTTAAACTGTAATTTTGCTCTCTTCTATTCTTTCGATTCTTTGAACCAATTGCTTGAGACTAGATGTATATCCCAGTAGCTTCGCAGCATCTGCACGTCTCCGTGGCTGATACCCAAAGCCATGGATCCCTACCGAGCTTTATATTCGCTATCATGCAACCACTCATGAAGCTGTCTCGCAATTTACACAGCCAGGTTGGCCAACACTCGTCAATACTTGACAAGAGACAGTTCTCTGACAATCCATCTCGCAACAACAACATCAAGATCGGACTCATCGTTGGCTTTACCCTTGCTGCATTCCTGGCTATTGTCGCCACCTTCTTGTACTTTTACTACCGCTCTGCACGGTTTACATTTAGGAAGAAGAAACATCGTCGTCACCATGGGCATCATCATCATCATCACCAACATCCTCATCCTCATCGGAGGCACAAGTCTATGAGTAGTGGGGGCTCAAGAGGTTCTGATAGAAGTGCTGCGCCGCCCTCGCCTAGACCTCCTGCTGATGCACCTCCACCTGGTAAACCAGCAGATGGATAGTAGTAGGAGGCTGATTGTTTAGTTCTTGGTAAGTCATAGCTGCGTGGATTTATGTTATGCTATGGGTGAAGCTGCCGTAGACTAACATTTCTCTAGATCTTAGTTTCGTGTACATCTTATTCTTTTGAGGGTATCATGCCTTGTTGTTTCACTATTTAAAACTGATTGTAGCATGGGTATTATTTGAGCGAATGGACTAAAGCGTTGTGCTATTTGTATTTTCTTGATTTGTGTTCTCTTTGACCTCCCTCAAAGACGCTATCTTGGTCTATCACGCAACTATTCACGCATTCTAGGTTCTTTTGTCAGTCCTCGTTAAGGCCTTGCAACTCTCTCTCGCTTGTCACGGCGTTGTCCAAAAAATTGAGACATGTTCCATCCTCCATGTATCTGGGGCGCGTCCATCTCATTCGGTGGCTGAATTGAATGTCGATGTTGACTCCATCCACTCGGGATACTGAGTATAGGTTCAGGTTGTTGTGGTGTCCAGTCACCCATAGCGGGATGGTCATGTCTGTGGTGAAGTCTTTGATGCCGACAGTTTGGGTGATGATGAGTTTCTTGGTGTTGATCTTCTTCTTGGGATACGTGGTCGAGGTTATCCTCGATGTCTTCAAGATTGCCGTCCAGGACAGTCTGTGTATGGTGATGCTGGTGAGAGGAACGTCTATGCCGATGATGTTTCTTTTGACGTTTCTGGTTCTTTTGGACCTCCATTTGCTTGAATGTGTTCAAGTTCCTTGCGAAGAGACCAACACCTATAATAGTGGCGAGCAATGTTAAACCCACTACTATTCCTATGACTCCAGGACTTGCATTTCGACGGTGAAGCATGTGTAAAGACCTCGAGAGGAGGTACTTATTACTGTTGATGACTGAATATGGCAGAGATTTGATTGTTGTATTATGTGTACTTGTAGTGTCGCTGAACAACGAATGTGTGAACAATGATGCATCGTGACTAAGACGGAAAGGAGGCATCTTCACCATATAGATCGTTGATACCTAAAATTATAATCTCCAACAAGGGAATATAAAGCGGCTATAGAGCTCAAGTATATATATTGTTCAACGTATCATGTATATTTCATCATGCTTCCGCTTCGCAGGTTGAAACTGATGCAACAAACCAACGTCTTGTAACTCTCTTTGACTGTACAGCAATCACCCGGATATGGCCTTTATTCTTATGCAGATACGAAGCAATGTTTGATCAAACTTCTGCAAGACAATAATGGCCTGAACTGCATCATTGAATTAACCAAACTCGATGCATATTCTTTGTCGTAACACCATGCATTCTAGAAGATTGCTTAATAACATGTTTGCAGAAAACAACTCCCAACAAACCCAACCAACAACAAATCTACTACTCCCAATAATAACAAATAAAATAAATCACCCCCATCTATCGCTTCTCTCGCCTCTTATCCCTCCTCCGTCTCCTCCCCTCCGCCTCATCATCGCCCTCCTGCAGCCCCCTGATCTGTCCGAGCGTACTCCCGATGACATCCTGCAACCGCCCGCCCTTTCGCACAAAGCGGTCGTAGAACTCGCAGTCGCGGTGCTGAGCGCCTCGTGCGTTGAGAGAGATGATGGTGCTTGACATGGCCTCGAGTTCCGTCTTGAGCGTCTTGAGGTCTAGATCTCGCCTGTACCGGCGTTGGCGACGGCGCCGTCTGCGCTCTTCTTTGTCTTCGTCAACGGGCTCGTTGTAGTCGCGGTGGCGGGGCTCATAAGGAGGTTGAAAGTAGGCTTCTTGCTCTTCTTGACGGGGGTCGTAGTAGGGCTCTGCAAAGGTTACGCGGTGACGTCTCCTCTTGCGTCGCTCTTTATCCGATCCGTATTTATCCCCATCATCTCCCACGTCCCTACTCCTGGGAACATCTCTGCTCCTGTCCTTGTCCTTATCTCTCTTCCTCTTCTTGTCCTTCTTCCTATCATCGTCTCTCCTGGGCTGCTCACTCTTGCTGCCGAGCATACCGAGCACAAACTCGGCCACCCCGCGAAAGTCTTCCGGGTTGATCTGGTTACTGCTTCGAACGCCATCGCGCGAACGCTTCTCGGAGGTCTGACCCATGGCGTGTTTCGCAGCAGACTTTGCAGCAGTTTTCGCCAGGTTCTTGGCAAATGTCTCCATGAAGCTGGGGTCCTGGGGCAATCGAGCGCGCGAAGACTGGTCCTGACGACCAAAGAACTGCTCAGCGAAGCGATCCATAGAAGGTTCTTCAGGGTCGTTTCTGAGGTGGTTTAACAGAATCTTGGAGATGAAGTAGAGAAGCAGAGAGCAAAGATGGTGCTCGTCGTCACTATCGTATTCGTCGTCCTGGCCCTCGAATTTGTCTTTGAAGGTTGTCTTTATCTCGTCCTCGAACTCACCAACTTGGGTCTGCTCAAGATCCTCTGGAGACTCCTGCTTGATCTCTGGGTCCGTTGGAGAGATGAAGTCGTGAGTAGCAACGCCGCTGCGAAGTCCCTCGACTATATCTCCAGACCTTTGCGAGGAATGCTCCAGGTTGTATATGTAAAGAAAGAATTATAGAAAAAAGAGGGAATAATAAAGATGATGCGTAGTTACAAGGCAACGAATTTGTGTAGCAGATATGCAGTCGCCTACCTAAGTATACTCTGTGACACAGACAGCAACATAGCGAGAGCAGCCACCCTGGGCCTTTTATCTATTTAAATATTCCAGCATTAATATCAGAGCCATAACGTACCCATGAGGTACCAAGTCAGGTGAGTCGCGTCAGCTTCGTGATGGTTGAGACCGTAAATGATATATTTACAGGCTCAAGGTCACGCGCCTTTCGGTCCAATGCAGGAACATGACCGCGCTGAGACATGGCCATGACCAACAGTCTACGCCGAATGATCGCCTTGCTCCTCGCAATATAAAGACCTGACTAGACAAGATGATTGAGTTTCGTATGTATTTTTAAATAATTAAACTATCGTGATTGCCTCCAAGTCAGGCCTGCCCGTCAGATGCTGGTGTTCTCTGTTTCAACCACCAAACACAGGCAACCAGGCCCGTCATACCATGCCATGTCATCTATTGTTACAGCAGGCTGCCTTTTTGCGTGCTGTCTATACCTTGCCCGTGCCCTTTTGTGTTCCGTTTGTATCCCTAAAACGCCTTTGTGGATGCATTTGCGTGACAGCCATTATCCGCCAAACCATGCGGCAGTATACCTTATAGCACAATAGATATTTGCATCTCTTACTTAGCTTAACAACTCTTTGATATCTTCGATGCGCTGCATCTTCTTCTCTTCGTCATTCATCATACCCAGAGAAGTTGCACTATTCCAAATGTTAGCCATGTCTCATCAGTTTCACCTCGAATACAACTCACATGAACTTCTTCCGCTCCTGAACCCTCAGCATTCGCTCTTCTACACTTTCCTTGACCACGAATCTCTTGACTTGTACTTCCGACTCTTGTCCCATCCTGTGCACTCGGTCGATGGCTTGAGCCTCGACGGCGAAACTCCACCAAGGATCCATCATGAAAACTCGGCCAGCACTCGTTAGATTGAGCCCGACACCACCAGCGCGCAAGCTTAGTAAAAGTATTGTGAACCCTTTCCTCTCGCTGAACTCGTTAAGAACCGCTGCTCGAGATTTCTGGGCCATCGAGCCATCCAACCGCAGGAATTTGACGTTCGCGCGAGTGAGTGCAGGCTCAATAAGACTTAGGAAAGAAGTGAACTGAGAGAAGACGACTGATTTCATCTTTGGGTGCTCTCGTCTCACCTTCCGCAGTTCGGACATCAGCGCAACCACCTTTGCTGAAGAAGCGTTAACACCAACTCGCTGCAGGCTGATCTTGGACTTCTTCGACATCATGTCGGGGTCGTCATCATGGCGAACAACCTCAAACAAGTCTCTCTTGTTGAGCGGTTCGCGACAGCTAAAGCACCGAGGTATCTCCGCCTTACCAGTCTGATGCTTGATGTAGTCAAGTAGACACTTTTTACATGCAGAATGCCAGCAACCAGTGACAGTCTGGTCGTTCATCGGTTCCTCGAAACACAGCGGACATTCATTTTCAGCTTCATCACGAATCTGCTCTAATGCATGAGCCCCAAAGGTCTGGTTAGTATCTTTTGATGCTTCATCTGTCACTGCCGTGAATGAAGTGATGAGCGACTCGAGGTCCATATCGTCTGCAAGCCCGGCCGCTGCATCAGCAGCCGCTCCGGCTATTTCTTCGTCTGCCACAATGTCACGGTTGCGAACAAGTATAGGATGACAACAAGATTGACGAAGACGCAAAATCTGTGCAAAGATGGTGGTGAAGGCCTTCATCACAGTACCGGCCTCAACATTCTGTGAAAAGGTTCGCTTCGCCTTACTAAAGATGTAATTATAGACATCTCGTTCCGTCTCCGATAGCTCCACTTCAACAATTTCGACTTGCTTCGGTGGCAGGAGCACGAGGGGCTCGCCGTCGGGCGTTTTCATATCCTTTGTACGCCGGAGTACGAGAGGCTCCAAAACTGTTTGCACAACATCCAAGGCCCGCATGAACTCTCCAGATTCAAAAGGCACAGTGATGAATGTTCGCCAGAACGAAAAGTTGTTCCAAGGCTCCACCCCCAGGAACCTGACAAGACTAAACAAATCCTCCAATTTGTTGACAATAGGGGTTCCAGTTAGAGCCCACCGGTGGCTGGCCGAGATCTCGTAGCATGCTTTTGCTGTCTTTGACGATCTGTTCTTGATGTGGTGTGCTTCGTCGATGATGATACGGAAGAACTTTAGCGAGAAAAGACCATTGTGAAAGCTTTTGTCTCCGTTCCTTGCAGCCAGGCTGCTGAATTCCGAGAGAACAACACCATAGCTGGTAATCACCAGATCTGGAGCGTTGGCCGCATTCGACGCGCAGCAAAGTCCTTGCAAGTTGCTTGCCTTTTCATTGCCGTAGTATAACTCAATCTTCATCGTTCCATCCTTAGAGGCCTTCTCCGCTTCACTCTGCCATTGCGACAATAGCGACATGGGCGCGACAACCAGCGTAGTGCACGGCGCATCAAGAACCGACTCGGAATTTTTGCCTAGCCTTGTGAGTTGATTCACACTCGATAGTCCAACAGCTGATTGGCGAGCTGCAAGAGCAATCTCGGATCTATGCGTGTGAACCAAGCTCAGCATCTGGATTGTCTTTCCGAGACCCATTTCGTCGGCAAGAATACCACCAAGACAATGCTGTTCCTGGACTGGGAAGTCAAGTGACAGATCACCAGAGTATGGGTTAACATAGAACTTTGGGAGCCCTTCAATTTGCGACAGATCTTTGTCGTCAACATCCTTTAATGGCCAATCGTACTCCTCCCAAAGCGGATGCATAGATGGTTCGCGATTACTTTTCTCGTCCTTTTCCTTCGCCATCATCCAGTGCAGCGCTTGTTTCTGATATGTCCGGAGTGTCATGTTGAATGTATCTGCCGGTTCCGCTTCAGGGGTACTGAAGTCGAAAGACTGGGCCTTTTTGTAAAGTGCATCGAGCTGATCCTGTTCCAACTCTTCTCCCTCCTCGGTATCGGAGGATTGGGAGCCATTCTCCTTGGCTTTAACATTGTCATTCGCTTTCTTGACTTCCTTTTGCTTCTGTTCGTCTTGCTCAGCAGCCTGAAGTAGCCCCTTTCGTCCGTCCTTCGCTGCGGAATTCGTCATGGTGGGTTGCAAGTTGATCTCCTGAAATAACTTGGCCAAAGCTACTTGTCGCAATCGAAGGGTCTTCTCATCGTTCGTCTCGCTCTGTTCGAAATAGGCAGCCGATCGATCATCAGCAAGTTGAAATGACCTGCTGAAGAATGCCGAGTTGAGTAACGAGCATCGCAGTTGCAGGAAAACCGTATCGTTCGTTCGGAGTCTTTCAGGGGCGTAGACAACAGTTCCCTCAAACTTGCATACTTTTTCGTCTATCAGAGCCGATACCCAGTTTGCTGTTTCTTTAGCCAATCGTCCAACCTCTGTACCACTTTGCGTGGTGAAGCGTACAATGACATCCATCTTCCGTGAAGCAATAGCAGCAAATCCTCTCGAAGGTGTAGCAGGTCCAGTTTTCCCTTTTCCTCTCGTCGGCTTGGGTGCTTGCAATTTTTGTCGCTCGATCTTAACAGTATCGCCATGTTTTAACACATTGGTCCCGCTTCTTGTAGCCCATCCTTCAACACCAAAAGCTCCTATGTATCGTTCGTTCGGCATCCTTTTGGACGCTTTGACTGTTGGAATCCGTTCGTTGGAGGTGCTCGGGGAGTGGCTTGAACTAGCTGCTGGTCTTAGCGGAGTTGTCCATGACTTTTTTTTCATAAACTTTTTATATGTTCCGTCAAAGTACATGTTGACAGCTCGCTCAAGATTATCTCCACAATGCTCTCTGATTGCGGAAAGAACATCGGCGGAGATCTTGTCGCCTATAAAGGCTTCGAACGTCTCCTGGTCAAAAGATACGGAAGCCTCTTGTTGGGGTGCTGGAGGCTGCGTATGTGATGCTTCTGGCAAGTCATCGTCGGATTGCCCAACTGCGGTGTCTGAATATTCGTTCTCTTCTTTTACTTCGTCTTCCTCCTCGTCTTTAAAGAATCGTTTCGGCGGTAGTGGGGACCTGTCATGAGAGACTGGATCAGAGGAAGCTTCTGCAGGGTCGGCAAAAAATCTCCTTCTTTTGGTGGGAGGCTCTGGATCTACATGACCATCTGGATGTTTGTTTTCGTAGGAAAACATTATAGCTGGAAATGGTTTCTCGTGGATGGTTCGTTCAATCGGTTGTACCCCAAGTAACGACACTTGACAAATATCGGAGCTCGACACTTCTCTGGGAGACGCGACGAGCCCCTGCAAGCGCGATCTGCGCGTGGAACGGTCACCTGATCCCGTGTTTAAGTGGTTCTTTCATCCCGTCCACGGGTCATTTCGTGTTAATTGATGTGGCTAACGCTGTGGCGGGCGAAACCTCGACGTCATGAAAAATTTCCCGAGTGCAATTGGAAATCCGATGTCTATGGGTGGCCGTGTCTAAGTCGAAGAACCGTCATGTTCATTATATCACCATTAATTGCATTGATTTTGAGGTAACAATAGTTACTCTCAATCAAGCTGTACTTTTGCCTTTTGAAAAGTCATTCATTCTAAGATGTATCGCCCAAAGATTTTGGGTCAGGGCCTTCGAGGTTTCGCCTACGCCAGGACATCTCGTCGAACTTATATCACTGATGCCGAAGTTGAGTCCGCACGACGATATTGCTTAACACAACTACAGTAAGCCTACTGAAACCCTCTCAAACAGCATACCCTAACATTGCTCAGAAATAGCGACTATGATGCTCATCTCATCCGCCGCTTCGTCCCCTCTCCCGTACAAGACACCTATGCTGCTCTACGCACTCTCAATCTAGAGCTTGTCCGCCTTCCTGAGCTCGTCTCTAACCCCACGATTGGAGCGTTTCGAATGAAGTTCTGGCAAGAGTCCATTGACAAAACCTTCGCGGGTCGTCCCCCTCGCGAACCTATCTGTATTCTCCTTCACAAATGTCTACAAGACCTTGAGGCCCGCGAAGGCACCTCTACCAAAAAGTCGTTAAAATTCTGGATTTCCAGATTAATAAAGACGAGAGAAAAGCACATGACGAACCGACCTTTTGTAGATTTGGCGAGCTTGGAAGAATATGCTGAGAATACTTACTCAACTCTGATGTATTCAACATTGGCGTCTCTACCGCTACGGTCGATGCACGTCGATCATCTCGCAAGCCATATCGGAAAAGCCTGTGGTATCACTGCGGTTTTACGTGGAATCTCTGTCCTGGCAGCACCCCCACCGCCTGTCAACACACCGTCTGGCCAGGTTCCCGCTGTGCGAGAACCAGCACTGCTTCTTCCGCTAGATGCGATGGCTGAGGCTGGAGTTAAAGAGGAAGAGGTCTTTAGGCAAGGTCCCAACGCACCTGGTCTACAAGACGCAGTGTTCAAAGTTGCCACGCGCGCCAACGACCATCTTATCACGGCACGGGAGATGCTCAAAAGACTCAAGGCGGGAGAGGATCCAGGCCATGAATTCGAGCACCAGGGGGAAGCTGAGCATTTCTATGCTGAGGGAAGTGACACACTAAAAGAGATTCGCCAGGGATTTGGCGTGCTACTAGAGGCCATCCCCTCAGCGCAGTACTTGGAACGTCTGGAGCAGGCTGATTTCAACCCATTTGCTGTCAAGGCCGCAGGCTGGAAATTGCCATGGAATATCTGGCAGGCCTTGTCTAAGGAGCGGATCTGAAATCTGTAAAATCACCATGTAATTCGAGAAAAATCTCGAGTGTATTTTTGGAGAACTTGTACTATAGAAGACGATGCGTATACAGCGTGATGATTTAAAAAGACAATGACCATATAATTCAGCAAAGTCACGAGAGACAAAAGTTCTAAAGAGTGAGACCGTCACTGTGCCCCCACTTGTCATGAAGCTCCCGACAAGTCGGAATGGCTAATCTTCGGGACCCAAAATTCGAGATCCGCCAGAAATTCATCAGCTCTCCAGCGACGACGGTTTCGATATTGAATCGTTCCGCGACATTACCACTTTTTTTGTAGATGCTATCACCAAGATGCTCTACGAACTAATTGCAATTGTATGTATTCCAATTCTCTTACCGTTAACAAGCGATCGCAGAACTGACTCGAACCAGGTCCGACCGGGCAGCCTCTCAGAGGTGAAGGAGTATGTTTCCAGTATCGAATCATCCGACCGATAAACTGACCATTGCAGAATCGCCCAAACCGTCGGCTCTCTCGTCCTCAAGAACGGCGGCGTCGTCCGAGGTCTCGCCAATTGGGGCGTCTTCTCGCTGCCCAAGCCCATCTCAGTGCATCAGATGAAGCACACCCACGGTCACTACTTCGTCATGCGATACGATGCCGCCTCAAAGGTCCACCAAGATGTTCGAAACACACTTCGCCTCGAACCTCGTATGATTCGTGCCGCCCATGTCAAGCTCGGAGATGGAAAGCTCGAGACACTCGCCAGATTTGGTCCACCCAAGTGGAAGACAACGGGAAGCGAGGCGTAAGAATAGAGAAGGCAAGATATCAATAAGAATATGGACGAGCGGCAATTGGCTATAATAGCGATTATGAGGGATCAGGGAAACGCCATGTTCTAGGATACATGGAATGGCTTCAAAGAAGAGCTGGGGCATTGTGGTCTGGGAAAAGATCAAACCCTACGGCTATGGCATCACACGATGCCGTGTACAAAAAGCATGCTGCGTCAAAAAGACAGCAGTCACGGTTGTATGAAATATTATGGAGCTTCAAACTCTGCGTTGCAATTTGTCTGAATGTACGGAAATGATTGATGCAACCAGATAATCAATCAGGCATCTCTCACAAAACCAAAGAGGCTACCAATGTGTGAATCTGCTTTCTTGTGTTGCTCCATGTCTATCATAAGTCATCAAATGCCGCCATACCCATGGTCTGAGTACCCTTGGTTAACTCCGTACTTTCATCCCTTCTAAAAACGCAACCCGCTGCCCATGTTTGTGGTCGGCGCCTGAACGATATGCCTTATGTGGTGGGATGAGGTCGCTACGCGGCTTCTCTATTTGTTCTTCTGTAAACGAGATCGCGGCTTTCTAGTTGTCAACGTCCATGCCATCAGTTTTGCCGATGCCCTTCTCGCGACACCAGCCCACGAAATCGTCGATCACACTTGGCCACGCGCCATCCTCATTCCAGAACGATAGCGACTCGTCGGACAACGATTTGAGAGCGAATTCAAGTGTCATGTTCCACATGTCTTTGTTAACTGAACGGGTCCAGGTAGCGAGGAATTCCTTCCAAAGCTTCAACCAGTCGTGCTTGCTTGTCTTCCACTCGATTCCGGGAGGCGCAAACAGAATTTCCCAGTAAATGAGAGCGTTTTCGATACTGAGGGCTTTCTGATCGGGCTCTCGACCAGCAACAAAGGCATGTCTGTAAACCTTTTTGAACAGAGCTTGGTCGGAAGAGAGGGATTTGATGAGTTTCCGGATATGGGCAGCATGCTCTTGATGTGTTACTCCAGCTCTAGAGTATAATTAGTAACAATTCGACGAAACTAGCCCGACCATAGATCTTTGAGATACTCATAGTCCAGAAGGTGGCTCTTACCCAGTCACTTTCCAACCATCAACGTAACCTCGTCTGGTAATAACACCAACCGAAGGGGCTTGAACAAGTTCAAGTGCAACGAGCAGCTCTGCGTTCTCGATGTTGACTTTCAACCTCGTTTGGAGATACGACATTGTGGATTCGAGCCCAAGCTTATCCTTCTCATCATCGTCATCGTCATCATCTAGTGAAACGTAAGCTCAACGTTGCCACAAGAGAATGACAACACCTACCCTGCAAGTCGGTAAACAGTGAGTCGAGCTTTGTCTCCAGCGGGGAAGGGCCTTTGGTGTCTGCATTAGAAGAAAAGAACCTATCCATAGAGTTAGTCAGTGTTGCAATTAGGTGGTTTAATCCGCAAAGCCATGGTGTCCAGCAGCATAAGTGTTAGTTATGGCCAGCTCAACCAACGCATAATACAACTGCCCAATAGACCGAGGTGATGTACCGAGCTGTTATATCCTTTGGTATTTTTGCAGATGCCCTTTGGTGAGATGGTCCGGACACGTTTGTATTGGCCGTCTTGGACAACGACCAAATGGGTACCCGAGTAGCAATGCTATTCTTGACACCTTTCCATCCCATCTTCTTAGTTTGTCAAGTTTGCTTGACGAGTATAGACCATGAAATGCCAGGCGGTTGCAGGAGTTCTGGTAATGTTGCAGGGTCGAACACTCTGTTAACATGAACAAAGTAGGGAGATTTTGTGTAAGTCTGGTCATGTGTGTCGAGAACTCCAGATTGCCATTGACTCTTACCCGGGAATCCATGCAGTATTGGCACCGCATGCCTTCGAAGTAACGTATTCAGAACCCCTCACTAATACCAGATACCACAAGCAACCTTGTTTCAGGCTATCGGCGTCTTTGTCGGCCATACTCTGCAGTGTATCCAAAACGAGCCGGGCAATAGTGGGCCAGGCTACTGCGACGGAATACATAGCAAACAGTAGCCGGGTAGTTCTCCATACAGACACGTCCGTATTAGGTTGCAACAGGGGGTTTATGCCAATAATCGACAGATGTGATGTGCATGTATATTATGACAAGTGTGAAGGACAGACAAAGTAGAAATGACTTACGCATCAACGGCTTCGTTAAGCTTAAAACCAGCGTTCTTGAGGTACTGTTGAATTGACGTTAGCATTGTCATACCATACAACAAACACCATGGCTTAAGTGTTTCCGGTTAAACAGCGTCACCACTGAACCCCGAAATGATACACCTGGGAGACCTAGTCATATCGTGCAGGAGTATTGGGTCGTCATGAGGTTTATCCGTGTTAGGGATCAGCCTGGCTGTTGATGCTAGGCACAGCAGCGACCATGCAAGATACGTACACGAGTAGCTTGTCGTTCCGTTTGGCCAGTAAGAGCAACGAACTGGGCAATGAGAACCTTCTGCTGAGCAGCAGATGGTGGAGGCATCTTGACAGGTTCGGACTTGTCTCTAGTCGTTGATATTATGCAAGGATATCGATGCCAAAGCGCGGGGTTTCTTATTGCGATGGTCGAGCAACAGCCAATACGATCGAAATGTTGCACGGGGGATGTTCGTGGTCAGACTCAGGGTCTAATAGTGGTGATCGTACGGTGAAGGTATTTCGTGACTGGCCCGGTTTGGTCGCTGTGAGAGCTGGCGCTGAGATATCGTCGGGAAACGACGGGTAAATTTTGTGAGGAAGAAGCTTCGTGCAGAGTATGCGCCGTTGCGCTCGAGCGTTGGTGGAGAGGAGGGAAGGTAAAGATGAAGCAGATGGAGGGGTTATGAGCTTTCGCTTCGCGACAAGGCTACGATCTTGTCCATCTGATGGTGGGGTTGAAGTTTGGGGAGCGGGGCATTGGCTAAAGATGCCTAATGCGCTATAGGTTGTAGGCTGTAAGTTTAGGTAGTCTAACGTTAGGTTGTACAGTCAGGCTGGTGCTATCGTGGCTGATGGCTTCTATCTGCTTGTCCCAACTTTGAAATCCATCTCAAAGAGGCGATAACTCACGTGAGACAACAGGATTGCGGGACGAAAATTCGTGAGAAGTTTTCTTTTGCTATTGACTTACAATGGAACTTGCTATGCTTACATGACAAGTGCAATTCATACACTGTATTCCATGCTCTTACGCAATATTACAGCGGCTTACAGGGCTTCCTACAGTGCGAAAAACATCACACAGTGGTCTCTGTCTGGTGTCATGACGTCTCAGCTGCGAAAAGCACTTGACGCGGTTCCGGGTTCACGACGCGTTCCCAAAAAGATTGACATCAATTAAAAGCACAAGCTTCGGCGTCCATCCTTATTGCAACACCACGGTAACCGCTAAGGAAAAGGACTAAAGATGACTTCACTCGACGCGAATGACGAAGAAAATATCCAAATTGACCCAGCAGAGCCTCTTAAGGGTATTGTTGTCTGCTGCACAAGTATTCCTGCTGAACATCGTGTTAGTACCGTTCAAGCCTGTCTCCTCATGGTTCCGTCTACTAATCCATGATGTGTCTAGACAACCATCGCCGCCAAAGTTGCAGAGCTGGGCGGTATTCACAAATACGACCTTACACCCGACGTTACCCATCTTATTGTTGGTGACTACGGTACACCGAAATATCGCCATGTCGCCCGTGAACGCCCCGACATCAAGGCTATGGACGCCGCCTGGATAGAAGACCTCAGCGAAATATGGAAGAACGACGACGAGATCGATTATCGACAGCTCGAGAACAAATACCAACTCAAGCCTCTAGAGAAACGAGGCATCGACCCTACAGCTGAACCACAACAAGGAGAAGCGACAAGAGACTCATTGCTCATTTGTCTCACGGGATTCGGCGATCAAAGGGACGAAATTGCACATAAAATCATCTCAAACGGAGGGTTATACACGGGCGACTTGACGAGACGATGCACGCATCTCATCGTCAATAAACCTGAAGGCAAGAAATATGCTGCAGCCAAGGCATGGGGTATCCATCCAGTCACGCTTGCTTGGCTTGAACAATCCGTTGCTCGGAGAATGATCTTGGAGGAGACCAAATTCGATCCTACATTACCTCCTGAAGAACAGGGAAAGGGAGCCTGGGTCAAAAGGGAGCTCAAGCGTTCGCTGAGCAAACGATCAAAATCTGCGGTCGGAATTGGCGCCGAGGAGGGTCCTAGGAAGCTCAGGAAGACTGCTAGTATGAAGCTCAGTTCTCAGCACAGTCATATCTGGGGCGATATTCTTGGTAGATCAACATCAAGAGAGTATTCGTTTGCTCAAGACAATAATCCGGAGGACACAAACCCACCACAAAATCAACAACAGCAGCCTCAGCGTGCAGAAGCCCAGCCTCAACCTCCACCTCCTTTAGCCCCCGAAGACCAAGGCATTTTCACAAGCTGCTTCTTCTACATACACGGGTTCACAGCACAGAGAACTTCTGTTCTGGAGCAAACTCTTATTACACTTGGCGCTTCCATATGTTCTTCACTGCATGAAGCTGCTCTTGGGAAAACACCCCGACCACCTCGCAGCCGCTTTATGATCGTTCCCCAGGCCTCTCAACCCAATACCCACCCCCAGGAATCGTACGACAACGTTCACGTTGTGACGGAATACTATATCGAAAAGTGTCTCCATAATAAGCAATACTTTGACCCTACCGAACACGTCCTTGGGCGCCCATTCCCTTTCTTCCCCATTCCAGCCTTCGCCAACCTTGTCATTTGCAGTGCCGCTTTCACAGGCATAGAACTTAACCAAGTCGCCCGTGCTGCTGCTCAGCTAGGCGCCAAGTTCGATGGAGAATTTCGCAAGACTACAAGTGTTTTAATATGTAAGGATATCACTTCTATGCGTAAGGAGAAACTCCGCATGGCTTTGAAATGGGGTGTCCCTGTCGTGTCAGCAGATTGGTTTTGGGAGTGCATCTCGACTGGCTACAAGGTTCCCCTCGATGACTACATCTTCCCAGAGATAAAGAGCAGATACTCGGAGAAGGCCCAAAGCACTCCTAAGCCAGCGCCTAAACCCGTCTCTGAAGGCCGGGCACAGCACAAATCAATACAGCGCACCCACTCAGAGCCTGTTGTAAAGCCCACGAAAGCGAAGATGCCAAAACCCCCGTCTGGTGCTGGTGTCGACGCCACAGCTTTTGATAAAGATTCTCCAGAGAAACCTTCTCGGAAGACGACTACTAAAGCTACTGCTCCTGACTCTGATATCTCGGCGGACTTTGCAACGGCTCGGACGCACCAGAAAACAATGAATAGTCTCCCTAAAGAAAACGACTTCGACGCTCCCCTCGCTGAGGTTCTGCAGGCACGGCTTAACAGGTCTCCCTCCCCTACAAAACAGCATACATCACTACCACGTACTCGCTCCGATCCTACTAGCAAAGCTACCACAGATCCACAAGCGGAGGAAACAACAGATGTCTCCCCGAATCCGCAAGAAAACCCTTTCCAGCAGACGAAGCAACAAACAGCAGAGCAAGCTCGCCTTCGCGCTAAAGCCGCCGAGCGCCAAGCCCTCTCTTCAAAACTAACCTCCCTCATCGAGACGACCACGCCAAACCTCCCGTCATTTGCCTCTGACGACACTGAACAGACAGCTCCACGACGTAAGCGTCAACTATTTGGGCGCGCCATCAGTAATGCCTCCAACACCAGCAGCGTCGCCTCTCGTTCTGCTGCCGAGCTCCATGATGTATTCGGGGACGAAGACAAAGACGGGGAAAACCAGTCTGAGCCACCAGCAACACAGCTAGAGTACCGAGATGATAAGGCGAAGGAGTGTCGGGCTGCTCTAATGAGTCGTATGATGGGCGGCAGTGGCGAGGTCAAACCAGCGTCCACAAGCACACAGAATCTGGTTGGTGGAGGAACTCGAATATTGAGAAAACGCTAGGGATGAGTTATCTGTTGGAAAGAATGTATATACATATAATAATCTGCTTTGATGAACTAGCTCAAGTCCTGCTTGGTTCTCCAAACAGGGACATGACATTGTCTACCATATATCGTGGCCTTAATTACACATCTTACACCGAACATCACCTCTCATTCGACCCTTGGGCTCAAAGTCCTCATACGCCATGCAAGCCCAGCAATAACGCATGGCAAAGATGAATCAACTTGGTCATGCTTAAAATTGCGTTTGAATTTCAATAAGTCGATGTGTGTGAGCCACTACGGAATAAGGAGATAATTCTTCTCCCAAGGCAGGTTTTTCCTTTCTTCCGTCAATTGCCCACCCTTTTCCATCCTTAAACCCCTGTCCAAAGAAATACAATCTTCCTATAAGCACACAAGTTCCAGTGATGGTATGTGTGCAAAGTGATGCCTCTAAACGAAAAAGAAAAAAGCCACAAGTGGTCAAACCACATGCCATAATCAGAAAGGGATGTTGGGGACAAAAGGATAAATATCTCTGAAAAGAAATCTTTGGTAGCCTAAAGCTATTCCACCAAACTTTTATTATTAGAGTCCTCCATACAGCTGCTCAAACAGACAGCTGTTCAGAGACCATGTTTTTCCAACGACGGTCAAGTTCCTCACTATCATAGTCATGTTAGCTCCGCATCTACGCGATTTGTTCATCAGAATATACTTACACAGAGAGTTTGGCCATCTTGACCCTCCTTTCCCTGCAAAAGAACAAAAAGCGGCGTATTGTCCTTGCCCGCGGAAAAGACGCCATCACATCGCCTCGATGTTTGCTGTTTGAAGCTTCGCCGTCGGCTCCCTTCTTGACGATGATGTGAACACGAAGTGCTTCGATGTTCCACACAATTTGCTCAACTTCTTCCAAATAGATGTGAAAATCAATCTCATCTCTGAATAGACCCCACTTTGCAGGATCAATGTCTTTCAGGACCTGGTGTTGGAAGCATGAAATCTGTTCTATCCATGTCCAATACTGTGTCACATTTGGGTGGCTTGTATACAGTCGACTCTTCACTGTAGAGAGACGCCAGTCATACTTAGTAATGCCGCCACCACTGCAAGAATCTGTATCAGACCAATTCTCGAACTGAAATTCGTCATGTACCGGACCAGGTACTGGTGGCAGGTATTTAGGCTTCTTATTGAGATGAGTACTGAAAGCTGGCTGAGGCACAGCAACCGGAGTCGGAAGGGCCGAGGACAGCTGACTAGGCAGAGGAGAGTTTTCGATAAAGGAGTCCTCACGAGGTGTGGTGGGCACCGAGTGCATAGACTTGCGTTTTTGCAGAGGTTTAGGTGTACTGCTGGGACTGCCATGGCTCAGGCGAGCTTTCATAACTCCAGAAGGGCGACCGATATTCTTAAACCCATGCTTATATCGAAGCCTTGTGAGCTTAGAGTCGTGGTAGAAGTCATGGATAGTTCGGGGAAGGTTGAAATTAACACCCTGGGTTTGGATAAGCTCGTGAAGACGCTGTCGCATCCAATCAACTGGCGAAATGTCAAGGTTAAACTTTTCGAGCTCTGACATTGTTTCTGACAGGCGAAACAAAGTGTCATATGAGGTTATACCACCCTTGCCAGAATGAATGTACTTTTTGCTCAGCAGTTGGTAGGGGCTGATAGGGCCGTTCTCGTGAAACTCGAGGATTTTGATACCGCGATTTACTTGTCTGCCGATCTGGTATTTAGATGAGCCACCCTTTTCCTGCTTCGGACCTGCATCAATGGCAGCCTGGTGCTTCTCCTTCCAGCGAGCAAGCTGCGGCTCAATGAGCGTCTTCACGTTTGGCCAGTTAGGCTCCCAGTAGGAATGAGTCTCAGTAATCTTGACTAGAGGTACTCCCTCGACGCACTCAGGATAGGTATAGACCACCCCATCATTCTTGAGAACCATGTTCTCTCGTGTGATTTCTTCCTCTATAGGCAGAGGAATAGGTGGGGAATCCGGTGGCTGGGATGAAGGGTCAATAGGCAATGATGGTGGGGTTGGTCGTCCCTGTTCGCTTGATGGAGGTCGACTTCTTATATTAGCTGGCGTGAATCCAGGAGTCACTCGATACTCCTGTGGAGTAGGCATTTGCTCAGGCTCGCGTGGTTTGTGTGTGGTATAAGAACCGCGGTTGTCTTTCGGATAGGCGTCGCTTTCGGTTGATGGGTGAAGAATATCATGACTGTGGCGCGGCGCACTCGAAGGAAGAGCAGAGCGTTGCATTTGAGGCCTAGGCAAAATCTGATGAGGTGTCGGTAATGGCGAATTTGTAGAATCTACTAGACGTTCCGGGGCATAATCCGGCCTTGGGGCAGAGGTAGGACGACTAGAAGGTCCACGAGGGGGGTCGTAGACCGGCCTACTGGCAATTTCGCGAGGACCTTCAGCAACTCGCATCGGTGCCACTTCAACCGATCTTTCCGGAGCTTTTGCTGAGATGACCTCCTGGAATCTTTCTGAAAGTCGACCAGGAGGCTGCTCGGACGATCGCTCGGGTCGCTTTTCAGGTTGTCTTTCTAAGAGCTGTTCCGGTTGTTGCTCGAGGATTCGTTCTGGTTGGCGCTCTGTTGCTTGTTCAGGCTGTCGTTCGATTGGCCCTTCGGGTCGTCGCTCACTTTGTCGTTCGATCGGTAGCCCACTTTGCCTCTCAGGCTCTCGATCTGGCAACTGCTCAAGCGTACGGTGTGGGAGGGGCTGGAGTGAAGGAGGTCGAGATTGTACAGAAATCTGTTCTTCAATTCGTGAGACTTGCTCAAGTTGCGGTTGAAGTGTTGATGCAGGCGTTGGCTGAACTTCAACTGTATGGCGTACAGTCTCTGGGGAAGCTGAGGCCCGTATCTCGTCTGCTCCCACCTCCTTGCCTTTCTGCCGCCGTGCTCTCAGCTTTGAAGCCACTATATCGATTGTGTCTCCAGAAGCACCATGACATCCCTGGCGATTCCATTCACAGTTTCCGCATTTCTGGTATAGATCCCCACCGACAATGATGCAATCGTCGAAGGCGCCCTGGTTCTTGTCGCAAGAAAGACATCGCTTAGACTGTATTTCTCCTGTAGCTTGGATCATACATGCTAGCCATTTAACACCCTTGGCTTCGGTACGCTCATAGATGCTGGAAAGGTTCGTCCCATTGAATCGTCGTCCTCGGCGGATCTTGACAGGCCTTCGAATTTCTAGCTCTTGGATTCCCTCCACCCACTGGTTCCAACCCTCGACCTCTTCCACTGGTCCAATCACGTTGCCGTCAGCGTCCACAATATTGACAAGAGTCTCATTGCGTTCAACGCCTTCCATCGGATCGTCATGGTCTGCGTGCAAGGGTTCAGCGTTTGTAGGGCCAGTAGTCTCTCTCTGTGGTCCTGGCTCTTTGGGGACGTTGGACGCGTTAGAGGTTGAGGACAGCCCAGGCAACTCATTGGGCAAGACAAGTCCTTCGGACTCGGGACCTCTATGGTCTGGGGCATCTGGGTCTTCTCCCCTTTTTTGTCTGAAGAACCGGCGCATTTTAATCCAGATCTCATGTTGCTCTTCCACCCGCTTTTGGCGCGATGCATAATAGTCCCGTTCAATGCGCACAAGTCGATCTGCCTTTTCCTCACATTCATCAGCAATGAGAGCCAGATCGGCCTCAACTTTAGCATGCTCTCTGGCAATCCGGTTTCGAATTTCCTCCAATTGACTTCGCTTTCCTATGAGTTCACTATGTTTCAAGCGATCTTCGTTGAGCAAAGTCTGGTAATCCTTTTCAATCTTGTCGTTCTCGGCCGTCTTCTTCTTGCGGTGACTGGCCCAAAAATTGCTTTCTGTCTCATTCCAAATAGACATATGCTCCCCTTCTGGGAGAGCGCCCCAGACTTCGTCCTCTGTGTCCATCTTGGGCCAAGTAGTTTTCATAAACACTTACCAGAGAGCGGTAATAGTGACGATGGGCTGAAATGAACAACCACTTTCAGGACTGGATAATTTGGTTTCAGAGAGCTCAGTGATACGATGCAGAGACCCTGCTACTTAGTTGCACGTGACGGCATCCAGCTGAAGGAAATGTGCATCAAGCCACTGATAGTCGAGCGTGGTTCATCACCTATTGCAGAAGATACTCGCAAAGGCCGGACGAACGAGGAATTATTAAATCACGATGGCTCTAATTCGAGGGTCCGAGGGCCCAAATAGAGTCGTGGGGCGTGTGCTGAAAGCGGGCTGAGATCGGACTAGATCACGCCGAGAGACAATCTGAGGTAATAGACTGCGAAAAGGAAATGAGTTGGCGGGCAACGCGTGAACTAGAGAACTGTCTCAAAACCTTGACCAGACGTGTTGTGACCGGCGTGTATTGGTCAATATGGTGATGTTCGTGAACAAGTGTAATTATGAGCTTTCTCTTGAAGTTAAGAGTAAAAGCTGCAGAGACCTATCACACCAAGTCAACTAGTGGTTGGACCTGCTTTCTTTCTTTTCTTTCGTGATGCCGTCAATGGCCTGTCGAAAAAGAAACGGGTTGAGGTTTGCTTCGAAATTCCTTCTACCACCCCAGTCACAGTCGCATCCGTAGTCACAACAGTAGTAGCAGTCGCGCAAACGAGCTCACGATTTCGCGCCGCGGACCACTTGGTACCCCTGCTAAGAGTGCACCCTTGTGGATAAAAGCTCCTTTGAAAGGTAGCAGTGAGGAATTTGGAGGACGCGATTGAACGAAATATGAGTGTTCTTGTCTGGTGTTGGTTGGTGAGAGGAAAGGATATCCAGTGGCGTTTGCACAGCTTGTACGCGATGGCGATTGCGATGCAGTGTGGAAGATAGAGATTTCTAGGCGACAAGCCACGGTTGGGGATGGGGATGGGGATAGTGCGCAAGGATAGGCAAGGCTAGTTGCATTCCACGAGGGAAGAAACTGTCGGCAGATTATGTATAATTGATAGTAAGTTTAGATAGGGAAGTGTTCTCAAAATGGGGAAAATAATAAAGTAAGATAGGCAGGTAAGCTCGGACAATGGCCTCCAAAGGGGAAAAGTGAAAGTGAAAGCAGAAGTGACAGCTCCAGTGACGTGTGTGAGTATGGAGGGAAGGAGATGGAGCAAAAAAGCTGCAGTGCAGGTAGGAGGAAAATGGGAAATGAGAAATGGGAATGGGAATGGGAATAGAAAGGGAATTTGGAAATTGGGAGATTGGGAAAGAGAAGGGAAGAGGAAAAAGAGAATCGTTAGGTAAGTTTATTATTCACTTCGAATGGGAAAGTGCTACTGTACCAACCTAACATTATCTCCCGTCAGTTGGTCTGCCCGGCCTAGGTAGAAGTAAAGGAACAAGGAAGGGTACTAACGACCAACCGAAACCTCGACTGGACGAATGAGAAAAGAGGATGAATAAAGTATTTGGTATTAGGTGTGGATGCGGATACAAAATGGTAAAGCATCCAATGCCTTAGCACTAATGTAAAGTCTGATATAAGTACTACCTACTATACGGATAGGACCGGAGTATACCTAGAACGACACTGAGTGAGTACTGAGTACAGGTACGTCGAATGCGAATATCAGGTACATAGTTCCAGACTGTGCAGCCGCAGCCAAGGTACGTGCGTCGACTATTTAATCAAGTATCTTTTTCTCTTTCTTTGGTCCTTATTCTCATTTTCACTTAAAATTCCCTGGTGGTCTCAGCTGCTTTTGCCCGCAGCGCACTGCACACTGCACATTGCACTTTGGATAATACGCTAGATCCTCGTGGACCCTTGCTCGAATCGACCACTCAGAGAGGTTGGTGGTCAAGCACTAACCTAGTCGCACCTTGTTCCGCAGAGGTACTTGGTAGAGGATGAAATACGGATATGAATGGAATGAACAGGAATTAAGTTTTGTCATGACTATTAATTTCGCTGTTGCTTTTTTCACAGCAACACCGTGTATCTTCCTTCTGCCTATTTACGTACAAACCTTAATAAAACTTCCCCCTAATATCGCGCATCCTTCACATGTGTTCCAATATCTCATTACTCACTGCTTAGTACCTTGTGTCATCGATTGCATCGCTGCATAAGTCCTAGGAATTTGATATCCACTGCCCTTTTTATTCTCCATTATAAAAGGTACCCAGCATCCGGTACCGAACCATGCAAGAAGCGAGCAAAACGTAAAAGTCGACAGGCCACCCCCCTGTTCCGTCCTCTTTGGCTCTAGTGCTTCATCACGTGCGAGAGAACTATAAGAAGTGATTAAAGCAAACGAGGAAGGAGAATAATCTGAGACCAACAGACGATGGATCCGAGGCTTATCACCAATATTCTTTCTCGGTTTTGCATTGTTCTCTCTTTTTTTTTGTGGTTCCCCCTGAAAGAAAAGATCCGAGATTGATGAGCTTAGGTGCGGATAGGCAAAGGAGACCTCCGTTCTAAGCAACACGCATACGCGAACCCTGTCACTGTCATTTACCCGAAGGCTATCCCTAGGTACTAATCAGTTATCTTAAGACTTAAGTTCATCTCATTGCACTAAATCACACGTAGTGTTGGCCCGAAACAGATATATGGGGACGGCAATAATACGCGGTTCAGGCGCTTTGTTATTCCCCCCGAGGCTTATTTATTTCGCAATACGCCGCCTATATTGCTCAACACTTGCTCGATAGGCATGATTATACGGATATATGAGTCCAGAATATATGTAAAAACATATTGTGCTCAGACTCAAAATTGTATCTACATTTAGTCCACTACAACTTATCCACCTCCTCGCATCCTTCTGCTGAGTCTTGAGTCCACTCGGAAACGATGAGCGACAAGATAAAAGCCAACAAACGCTTAATATCAACTACTCTGGTCGGATTGGGTGTACCACGTAGCCCCTGCTCCGTGGCGCCAGTACCCATGCTGACACGATAGTCTTGTCAGTGAAAGACCACGAGAGTGCGAGTATCAACCAACCTGACTTAATTCTTCGTCTATGCATGCATGCATAGTTCCTTGCTGATACCACTTTATAACTATCGTTGCCTGTCCCGCGTGCGGCGTAGGTATGTTACATGTTCCATCCATATCTGGGTACGTACTTCTCAATTATGTATTACAAGGATACTAGGTACCTAGGTACCTAAGATAGGTCTTAATCTAGTCGCTCCGTACAACCTAGCTCACCTCACTCTTTATTATCACCGATATACTTCGGAGTATGCCGAATTATATAAAGTATTGGCTGGCAGGGTGGAGACTACTGCTCGTTTGCCCACTGTAAAAACTCGGCCACTGATATCTTGTGCCAAGAAGCCAAGAAGCCAAAATACCTACTTAACCTTATGTCAATCCAAAAGTTTCTGCTTGACACGAGACTTCATCTCACCAATCCCGACTCGGTTCACCACCACGCTTGTGGTTTATCAGCTGAGGTCCCCGAACTAGCACATATAGTAATCATATGCTAAGCCCACTATCACTTATTTATACGACATTCATCACAGCGATTTCACACCAACGAAGTTTATCTTCAAGAATATATAAACTACCTAGTATGTAAATATATATGCAAAAGCCAACAGCAACTACATGGCGCTCCTGTCCATTTCTTGACCCGGCTGGCAACTTGCGTATCTCTCCTCCTCCTGCACATTTCATTTGCCCGTCAATTTTCGTTATCACCAGTTGTGCCCATCAAGACCGGTTGCCCTGGTGCTATCCGCTGAAAACGCCGCGCAATGTAAACAGCCAAAAAGCAAAACACTTCATTGCTCCCTATCGCAGTTCCAGGGCCACATGTGCCGCGGGGCGCTGAATTAAAACATAATAATAAAAACACATCTCGTTAATGGCGTCAATGTGAACTGTGTGTCATGGTTCTTAGTACTTGGCCGAGTACCGTGCTGCGCCTGGTGAGTAAGGCAGATCGTATGAGCTGGTGTGGCCGTAGGGGTCCTCAGAGAAGACAGTTGCCCTTCGTTCTTCTTCGGGTAGCAGCTCCTTGACCTCCCAGTTGTTCATCCTGGTGCCAACTGAGAATTCGAGGTCTTCCTTGGTGATTGAGTCCCAGTACTGTTCAATGTTAGCAGCGTTCGATATTTGTTTATTGTTTTCGTCGAACATACCTTGTAAATCATCATGACTGCCAACAAGTTACACACAGTCGCAAGGAACAGGCCATCAAGGTAATGGCTAATAGCGACACAGATCTTTGCGCTAAAAGCGTAGAGAAGAACCTGACCAGCCACGAAGAAGAAAATACCAAAAGCAATATCTCCAAGGGGCCAACGGTCCTGTAGTGTCCTTGTCACGAGCAAAATTTGCATGACCACATACACAAAGAGCTGGACCGCGTTCAAGAGGTAAAGAACGACAAACAGGCCAACAGTATTGGTGGGACCAAGTCCGGCCCAGCTCTTGAATGTGGCCAGAGACACAAGGAAGCTGATGGTGAAAGCGGCTAAGGAACAGAGGCGCATCATCCAGACAGAGAGCGGTGTTCCATCTTCATACAGTTGAAATCCAACAAAACCGTTGATAAGAAGACATGTAATAACCGCGCTGCTTAATCCATTTTGTACACTGACAAAGTACGGATACGGCTCACTCCCCGGAGGTGCTACACCAGCATCGACAATGAGGGACATGGCAGTGAGCAGCATGTACAGGTAGAAGAAACTGAGAATTTCTTTACGGCCGACAGCAGTGAACTTGCTACGAACGTGGAGAATCATGATGACGGTCATGACAAGCGCAGCGATGTGCATCACGGATGTAGCACCCTCGAAAATGATGGTGTTAGCAAGCTCGATGTTGCGAGCATAGCATTCTGGCTCGATACCGGTGCGGCCGGACGCCTTAAGAATAGGACCGACGGCAGCGCATAGTGGCAGAGGTGCGATCTCGCAGATCGGGGTGAAGTCGCCAAAGGAAGACATTATGGGCGAACACCGTTCGGTTGTCGCCGTACGTATTATGTGTTTTATATGACAATAGAACGAACGAGTGAAGATTGGTGAATTGAATATCAACACTAGTGAGTGGATGAACGATTGTCGTCGAGTAAATCGTCGTGTCGGTGTTGGTGTCGTCGAGTCGTCCAACTCTCGGCTCGAGATTCAATCGATATCCGAGCTTTTCGATTGTTGCTACCACTTCGAGGGCGAAATTTCGTGAAAATCTCCAACCAAAAGGGGCTTCCAATTCGATCGGAATGCAATCAGGTCCCTCGGGAGCATAAAAAGGGGAGTATCTCGCTAGGTCGATGCCAAATGTCTCGTCCTTGACCGATGGCTTGTCGGCGCCCCTTTCTTCCAGCCCCAGCGGCTAAAAATCCAAACAAGCGAAGAGACAAGAAGGATAGAACAGAGGAGCAGAATGCGAACCTAAAACACCAAGAACAGCGTCGCTCGGCGAAGGCGATAATTAATTCGAGGTACAATAGCGAGCGAATGTGTTGCAAGCCTCTTGCGCTTTGGGCGTTGGGGGAGAGATGAGTGAAGGTCGGAAGAGACAACGAGTGGAGCGGAGAGATCTGGTTGCTGTGCCATCTGCAGCGGCAGCGTGGATAGTGGATACCTAGGTGGGGCGTAGTAAAGTGGCTGGTGATGGTTATAATTGGCTCTTGTTTGGCCGTTGCCGTGGGAAGCGCATAGAACCCTGTTTCGATTATTGTAAACGAATGAACCATCTAACATGACGACAACCGATATCTGTGGATTTTGAAAGGTCAGAATAGGCATGACTCCGGCTTGTTTAAGCTCAAGCTTTGAGCAAAAGGTTTGTGCAGCACGAACTAATTGCGTCATCCGATTTACATGATTCAACTACAGCGCGTAAAGTGATACATTACCTGTTGGTGCACACTTCCCTACCCTGTAAATCAACATTAATTCAACATTTCAGAATTCATCAAGAAACATATTAGACAATTTACGGACAATTTACGGACAAATATGTCAAAATATGCCAGGATTATTATTTTTAAACTTCTCGAACTCTGAGGTAGCTTACATCTTACTAGTCTCAGCGTAAATGCCACCATTCGTTAGACAACATCCTGGGGCTGAATTCCAAACCACACACATGCACCTAACAAATACATAAAACAGTAAATGGGGGCACACAAAACAACGCTTTTGGCAGATCCATTTGTTGATTGATCTATTCTAAAGTCATAACTGACGTTTCGGCCCGTCTGTCTATATAACAGGCTCTGCTGGCGCAGACGCCGTGCTGAGAGATTCGATGCATGAATGTTTGCTGCTAGACCCTAAGCTCCTCGTGAGAAAGCTCATCGCATCGTAAAGCATGCTTCATGGCCTGTTTCGTGCGGCCTCGCAGCGTTCATCGCTAAAAAGAAGCCAAAGTAACTCCAAGCCAAATGCAACCGTAAACCCCCCTTGCCCAATACCTTTCCTTGCGTAGTCCTGCTCAGGAGACTGTTGAACCCTGGCCTGTTTCTTTCCTTCCGAACGCCTAAAATATGCCATACCTGAAGATGTGGTACCGACGCCAAATAATCTAATTTCATGAAAAAAGATGCAAAGATCCTACTAGCAAGAGATGCGAGTGGATTCCGAATGCGGAGTCTGGAGACACTTCAGTAATGAAGTTCGCGGTATGTGTTCTGGTGAAATCCGCCATTGATCGGAGGGTGACCCTGCCATTCCTAAGACGGGTAGTGTCCCTGAACGAGTCCGTGAGGAGGAAGAGTCTGATGTTGCGGGTGACCACGGTCGTAGACAACAAACTCTGGCACAATGCCGGTTCGGAGATCATTTCGTCGTCCGAGGGGTTGATAATGCATCTGTGTCGGGGGAAGAGGCACAGAGAGATGATACTGCTCCAACGATGCCGACGGAGGGGGGTACAGCAGCGTGTTGACGTGGCGCACCGGCTTGTACGGACTATGTCGTTGTTGTAGGTAAACACTCGGCGAGTTAGAGATGGGAGTGTGTGTCATAGGAGTGTGAACAGCCGATGCTTGACCATAGGCCTCGGCCAAAGGCGACGAGTTGAAAGGACCTAGTCGACCAGGGCTGTGTTGCTTATTAGGGGTGCCAAAGTTGACAGGTGCCTGAGTAGATAAGCCAGCCTGCGCCATGGCGACACCCGTCGATGTAGGAAGCGGTTGCTTTTGCACCATGCCCGTGGGAGTTGAAGAATAGACTGTCGACATGGCGCGCATACCGGTCTGCAACGGAGGAAGCGAGACGTGAACAGGTTGAGCCATCTGCTGTGCAGTTTGAGGGTACCCGTTGACGTTGACGTTGACGTTAACACTGGCATTGCTGAAGGGTGTTGACGTGGGCTGGACCTGGGATTGCATCTGAGGCTGTCCAGTCATGACACTGAGATGGGGAACAGGTAGCCTCGCCGGCTCAACAATTCCATTGGATCGCGGGTGGACAACCTGAACCATGGCGGGACCAGGACCTCGATGAGGGGGCGCAAGTCGCTTAGCTGGGTGTTCCAGGATCTCTCCCTCGGGACTTCGCTTCCGTGAGACGGGGAATTGCAAGTTGGGCTTGGTAGACAGTGGAGAGACGGTGTTCGTGTGGTATGCTGTCCAGTTCTGTGAGTGACTCGAAGTAGGTGAGTAGTTGGTCGTGACAGCCGGAGTAGGGGGGAGGTTGACGGTGGGCTGCATGACACCGGTTGGTGAAGCGACAGGTGAGTGATGGGCCTTGTTCGTCGGCGAAGGGATGTGAACAGGGGATTCTGGCAATCGCACAGCCCGGTCGTAGTACTCATGGAAACAGGCCAGCTTGTCCAACCAATCTTCCCACTGCTCCTTCGTCGCCACCAAGTTGTATCGCATGTTGCTCAAGAACTCCACTTCCATAACATGAATCTCCTGCACATTGAAGCATGATACCTCAGCCCAGGTTTTGTTCGTGTAGGTGTTATCATCCAGGACTACAAGATGGTCAGTTGGTTTTCTGTATCAAGATCTGCTTCACTCACATTTGTTCCCGAGCATGAGGGCCACAGTCAGCAACCGATATTCGCTACCCGCGCGGCCTTTGATCTGAGGTGTAGACATTTTTAGTCTGTAGATGAACAGCAAGGCCAACAGTATGACATTTTGGGTCACTTGTGTTGTGGAGAGAACGCTGTACACCCACTTCCGAAATTGGTCGTAGGGTTTGGCGAGAGATGGTAACCGCGGAATGGGAGCATTGGGGCCCCTTGTACGGATCGACTCGGCTTGCTTGAGTTCATCAATAGACTCAAACCAGAACAAGCATGTCATCTGTAACTTGTCAGCTTAATTCATCATTTCATTGAATGTGAATACACTCACCTGAGCAGCGAAATCGGCAAGGTTCCCGCCCGAAGGGCTGATGCACTTGGGTATTTGCAGGCTGTGATAGACTAGCGACTCGGAGTCGTCCTTATTCACGGTTTTAGAAGACACAGGTGGTGTCGAAGGCCTGATGGTCTGTCCCACAGCTGGCAACATCTGGGGAACTGTCGAGACGGACCCATTTCGTTGTTGGGATACTTGAGATGCGGGGTGTAGCTCATGAGGTAAATGTGTCGACTGCTCCTGCTGGTAGTAGTGGTTGTATGTAGTTTGTGGTTGTGGCTGATGTTGCTGTTGCTCTTGTTGATGCGCAGGATATCGGTAGTACTGAGAACTTCTCGTATCGTTCATGGCAGCTGCAGATCGGGCAGCTTGTGGCACATCAGGGTAGTTGTGAATAGCATGGCTATCCCACGAAGCCAGTGGGGGTTGGAAAGCGGTGCTCATGTTGTCAGTAGGAGGAGTCCTTAGCCCGTTTGCTAAAGAAAGAATGTTGTCGAATCGAGCTGGTAGCTGTGGCACTTTGATACTTGAAGGAAAGCCTCGTTCCCGACTGCCAGGGCCGCAGGGAGGTGAAGGAGGAAAGTTCAAGGTCGCAAGCGAGGTATCAACCGACATGGAGACTCATGGGGATCGCTGAGGTGTTGTTGGAAGAGGCAAGAAACGCAATCGCCTAGTTCGAGGAGCACCGGAGCTGTGAGTGTGGTGTTTAATGCTTCACTTTGATGTGCTTAAGCCCCACTGCAGGTTCAAAAAGCGAAAGTTAAGTGTTCAGTGTGTTAACTTATTGTGCAGGCAGAATAACAATTGATTTGCCCCACCAAAGCTTGCATACGTTTCGTATTGAATTATTGATGTCAAGGTCGGTGGTTGCGTTTGTTGATGAGAGGGTGTTGATTGTTCAAAGGGCTGCTGAGAGCGCCAGTGCCATTATCGATTTGCACAGGCGAGCAGTGTTATCCGCAGTAGGCCAGCTAAAAGCGAGGAAGTTCGGTGAGGGTCGTTTGGATTTCTCCAATGCAGAAGAACTTGTTTCGTCGAGGATATCGAGCAGCGAGCAGAGGCAGATCGGCCTTGAGGTTGGTTTAGGTTCTCTGGCTGAAGGTAAACTGTATTCGCTATGGTGATGGAGGTTGAGTAGGTTGAGGAGGTTGAGGACAGAGTGTTTGAACTGGGAGGAAAATATGAAGTCAGGTAAGGAAAGAATAGAGTAAAGAGAAGCAACAACGGAACGGTCAATCCATGGCTGGCGGTTGTATGCCAATGTACAATCCTGTAGGTGGTAGTTTACTTGCATTCACTTGGATTGGACTTGTATCGTCAAGTGAGGTGTGGTTCTCTCCTAGACGCAGCCCATTATAGCATAGCGTGTCTAGCGTTCCTAGCGTTCCTAGCGTAGCGCAGCCAGCCCAGGTTGTAGGTAGGTAGCGTAGGGAGCAGGAGTAGGGGTGTCCGTCCCACTAATAGCCCCATCCATTCCCTCCACCACCACAGCCATGAACGGGCTACAGTACGGCGCGGATACATGCTCTCATCACCGCGGCACCTAGTAGTTCAAAGTATCTTTGAGTGCACTGTCTCCGTCTTTAAAGTGATGGCCCTGGATCAGACTGGGCTTGATGGAGTCATGTATGTACTTCGGTTCCGTTGGCCGCTGGCCGATTGTCGCTTCTTCTCTGAATGCCGGACTCTCTCTTACTCTTTACGCTCACGCTCATGCTCATGCTCACGCTCACTTTTCCCATTCACTCTCAGACAAGACATTGCACACGCACACCCGCCCCGGCCAGGTTGCGCGCCGTGTGGTACTGGCCGAGCGTGTACGGAGTATTGCGTGCGGTACTTGTTGTTTCCAAGACAAGGCCATACAAAGCCCGGTACCACCGGCATCCATCACAATCCTCTGTCCGTCATGCCGCGAGCCTCTGCTAGACCTGCCACTATGGACTAGGTAGACCAGGGCTATCGTGGCGCTTTCCAGCTGACACCGCACCCAACGACAACCCCCGGTTTCCGTGAGGTGAGGTGCTTTCCACTGCCCTGTGTTAGCTGCTAAAATATTGTCGCTATCACACACCCCAAGACCTGGTCACATTTCACCCCCTCTTACTCGCCGCTAAAACCCTCGGGTTTCCTCCACTCCTCCCCAAAGTCCAATGGATCCAAGCCCGCCAAACAGCGGAGTCTCGACGTGCCTGGAACCTACCATTCAACCGCTGCCTTTTAAGCCCCCAGGCAGCTCAATGGAGCATCAAATTCGTTCAGAGTCGCCCCTGGAACGCTCTAGGGGTCGCCCAGTCGGTGCCGGGATGGATGCTGGTGGGCGGGCTTGACGGGGCATGCAGGCCCGAGCATTTAGGGATTGTACTCGGCTGCGGATCTTGCTCACGGGAAACATCGACCCAGGCACGCTACGGTATTGATATTGATGTGGCCGGAAATGAAGGTGAAAGTGAAAATGAAAGTGATAATGAATTTGCTCAAGAGGGGCAACAACGCAGGCGGCTGATGAATACATCGTCTCTGAAAAGCCTCAAGAACTTGACTTGGCTTGCACACCCTTACGCACATGTTAGATTCCTTCCATCCCATCCTTGAAGCCTGGGGCTTGTACGGTGCATGCGTGTGCGAGATCCTTGATAAGTGTCGTTCGGTACAGTGTAGGAGGAGGTTTCGACAAACACTACCTCTTGTGGAGTACGAACCCATTGATGAAAGTTCATTGGGCCTGTAGGATTGATGCAGAGCTTCTCATTCATCAGCCCTCTAACTACATATAGAGCAGCGCGTTGTAGTGGTAGTTCTAATTATCTCAGCCGCTGGTGCAGGTTTTGATGCTGCTCTGCCTATCTTTATCCGTGGTGTCGCATGCTTGCTTGTCTAACAAGTCTTGAACTTTTCGACGTTAGATGGTGTGTCGAAACCTTCACCCACTAGCCTATCCACACGATGGTGCAACTCTGCCTTAGACAGACACAGACTGTTGGCTCCTCATGAGCTGACCGTCAATCATGAGTCCGAACCCATGAGGAGAGGAGGAGTCATGTTGCCCTGGGCCATGTCATGCCGCGGCGCTTACTCCACTGCCATTCCCTGCTTGACCTTTCCTGGTTCCAGGAACGTGAATACGTGAGTGATTGTCGGCCGCAAGTACCAAATCACCAGGTTCTCTCCCCATTCGATACGGATTTGACTTTGCTTCCGTGTCCTATGTTGTGCAGCCCGGGTTATGCTTTTCTGTGATTTTGGCTGGCTTGGGATGGCCTGGGCCTTGTGCCCAATGGATTGAGGCACTCGACAAGATTGGTTATTATCAAAGAGGATAAGGAGAGATGCACCAGAATTACCGGCAACAAGAATCCGGCATGGCATGGCTGGAAGGAGCGAAACAAGGCCCCAGCTTCTGAGCCCAAAGGCAATGGCGATAATACTCCGTATCCGTAGATCGAACAAAAGTTGTCATGTCCCCCCACAAGCATCCGACATGTACTCCGTATTCCCCTCCAAATGGAATCACCACCTATTCGCTAAGATTTGAGAGGCGCCGCAAATCCGTGCCGCTCGTCAAGGTCAAACTCCCAAACGGTTAATTAAAGCAACTCCTCACAGCTTTGTCACCCGGTGTGCGTGCAAGCGTCTTGTTTTGAGTATCCATTTCTGCTTCATACACAAGTCCCCATACCTTTCCGAGACACTGTAATAAGCACCACTGGCATACATGGCGCAGCTCGCTGAAAGCCAGCGTACCTGCGGCATCCTTATTAGCTCTTCCGGATCCTTGGTATAGCACCGAGTCGTATCCCACAGTGAGTTGAAATTCTTTCAAGTGGAACTAGGGTGTTCTGATCCGCCTCGTTGACCATTGAATAAAATAATTAGCACGTAGTTAGAAGCCACCGTCTGGCCCCATCCGATAACCTGGCACTGGACGGTGGAAATCCCTGTCGCTGCGAGCATTTCTCTCGCCCTGAGGTAGAGCGCCATGTACGGAGCCAAGGGAGCCCAGCCCGTCACCACACTTCCAATAAAGAGACTAGGGACGATGATCCAGAAACTCAACCGGGGCAACCCAGGGCCTGTCTAGTTAAATGCAGCAAATCTGCATCTCGCAAACCTCGAGCTGTGTCAGCCAGCCCAAGACAATACTGGTACGTCCGCGCGCCAAGTACATAGTCGAGCCTCAACTTGTAGCACTAAGAATCGACACATGGCCCACGTCGCTTTCGATAACGCCCTTGTCAACCTGGTGCAATCAACAAGTCAGCTAGGGGGGACGCGAGTCTTCCACCAAGATATCTTCAATTGATTATAATACGATCAAATAAAACAGTTTCTTTTGATTAGAATACATGACAGATATAACTAAAGCTTCATCTTAAAAAAAAAACCCCATTATCTTAATATTCCCATCATAATATGTCATGTATATTAAAAGTCTAATATTGAGTGAATCTCACGTCCATTAATTAGTTTATCCCCCGAGGGTCGGCTCTCAGATGGTCTTTGTAGACCGGTAGGTACCAATATGAAAGGTATCGTTCGGGACTCGTGATGGGCAAGAAAGAGGCTTGTTGCCGTTAGAAAGCAAGTCAGTCGTGCACAAGCCTGTCACTGCATTCCGTTGACTGTAACCTTCCTTGACCAAAAACAATTGGCGTGCAACAGGCCATTGTCAAACCTTCGTAGCGCGCTGCGAGAACCAAATTTGGGTCCAATTTCGTACAAGGACAGCAAGAAAGACATTCTTTGCAATTTAACCAGCCTGATTGATTGCTGTGCACGAGGTACATGCATATGGACCTAGGTAACCTTGGTGTGTAATCCGTGTTGGAACCGAGGAGTTTTTGCCTTTGCTCTACTCTCTGGCTAGCAAGATTGTGAGACAACAGCCCCAGGTCCTTGAACACAGCACAAAGTATGCACTTTATTATCAACTGATACGCCGAAAGGAGTCCTTTGATACATCTCTCTTTCGTACTGACAATGGATCATCCTGTAGGCGACGATTCATTGGCGCTATGATGACGTTCAATGAACTCAGTGCATCGTATTTTCGGCTTCAGGTACCGATCTAGTAAATAAGTCGAGATGCCAGGTCGATGAAACCACTTGCTCGGAGTAAAGAAACTTCCCAGGCACACACCACCTGTGAGAGCACAATACTCAAGGAATAGTTGAGTCCTTGTATTTTCCTTTCTTTTTCCTCCAAGGGTTCCAGAGGTTATCTCCAACCTGCAACTGCAACGATAATACTCGTGTACGTACGGAGTAGGTACTCTGTACATGTACATTCAAACCTGCAATGCATCAACAAGTCATAGCGAGAGACTGGCTCGTCTGATCAACAATCGCTTGCGAAATTGAATACGTACGCAAGTAGGCTTGGTACGGGAAGCTGGTCGTATTGCGTGCCTAACTATGCCTGCGGTTGCCTCGTATGTACAGGAAAAAACCATGCCGCCTCAGCCTGGTTTTCTCGTACATGGGCGCAAAGCTTGCAAGAGTGGGTGCATTGATGACCACTTGAGTCCGGCCCACGGATAATCAATCTTGAAAGCGAACGAATCAACATGGTACGGGTACTGGAACAGGTGTTGGAAGCCAGACGGACGGCCAGC